TGATACCCCACATCGTCACGGACTCACGGACCACCACCATCGACCACGGCTGAGTATTCGAAGTGGGGGATCCCTCGGGTGTACATCCCAGAATCCAGATAATCCGGCCCGGCTGCAACTCCTCAGAACGGTGGACTTTGGCAGGTTTCAAAATACGCAGGCCGTTCACTCCACCGTGAATGCGAGTACATGCATCCTCTACATGCATAATCATCTTTCGAACAAGGCGCACGGGGCAGAGAGCGCGCGTGTGAGGAGGGTGTGTGGTCACTTTATGTATGTCGGTACGAGTTACACACCAAGGAAGGAGGGGAGGCTGCATCGATTCGAGTTCCCAGGGGCCGGTTCGTTCGTTCGAACCCAGGGCTATGTGCATATATATGCATTGCATCCGTGCTATAGCTTAAACCCGGACGGGCAACTCCGTTCGAACGGGATGTTTTGCCAATGCTCTGTGCACGGCATCTCACTCATCTTGCGTGCTTCCTTTTTCTTTCTCTCGCGACCATCATCCGTGACAAGGGGGGAGGGAGGGGCTGCACCGTTATGTAGGTGGTTCCCCACAACATGGAACACACTGCACGCTTAGCGAGTGGTCACGCTGTATCCAAAACAGGGCATGGACTTTGAAGGTCAATATTTGCTTCTTCCTTCTCCTACATGCTCTTCCCCCCACTTCATCTGTGCGGAGAAAACGTCACCTGCGCGTGCGCTCTGCCGGATAGATAGCAGGTTTCCTCCAGCGTATCAATCTAGTGTATGTGCTCTACTCTACATGCTCGGTGCACCGAGGGCCAACTAACCAGGTACACAGCAGGCGGTTAGACATCTCGAACCCTCCGTGCCAAGTGGAAACCGAACCAACCCAACGGACCGACCCCCCCGGACCGCCAGGCAAACACGGACCCCATCCACCCCTCATGTACCCCACATTATGCACCCATGGATGGGATGATTCCACCCTCCGTTCACACACACACACACACACACACACATACACACACACACACACACACACACACACACACACACACACACAGGTTCGGACGTTGGCTGGCTGCACGTCATGTCACGGTAGTTGGACAAGGGGAACGCACTGCTGCACGGACTATGTGGAGCCGGCGCGATGTCAGCAGCTATAAGCTTTTCTGCACGATGGCTGGCAGTTAAACAGCCGCGAAGGCAGACCGAGCCCGTCGTTGCGCGCGTGTGCCTGTTCCTGTGCCTGTGCTTCCATGAACCCGGATAGCATCGACGGAAAGACAGACAGAAGGGAAGGAGACAACAACACCACGGAGATTAATAGCATCGAATCGATTCGGAGATATCAGAAATAGCTGCTGATACGCCCACACACACACGTGTGCGCGTGCGCGATCGGGATTACCAAAGTCGGATGGTTCTTCGCTTCTCGCACACACACCCCGATGAGATATCCCTCCCTCGTGCCAACCTTGCATGCACACGTTGTTCACATTCATCTATCGCTTTTTTATTTTCCCCCTTCCCTCTGGAAGAGCGATACGAACGCGAACGTGTGGCGAGTGCTTTGGGGATAGATTGTGTAGAGCACATAGTTGCTAGAGAAAAAACCCTACCGCAAAGCGCGCGTAAGACGTGGGGTCCCAAGGGTGGAACGGACTATCTCGGCCTGCTCGGACAAGCCTAGTGTTTCAAATACGTTTACCACCTCTCGCGGTGCCTTGCTAGCTGACTGGCTTGCGTGCGTCGTGCGGCCCTTCCGCTCATCGTCGTGGTGGTGCTGGTGGTCGTCGTCGTCGCCGCCATCTAGATACTACAGTTACCCAAGTTAGAGCGGAACGCCCCCCCTGCTCGGCTGGGCTCTTCCCGCTGACGGATCCACGTTTTCTTGCGGCGAGGGGCAAAAGTCGGATGAATTGCCGAGTGTGGTGGCGGTGATGTTCAGTTTTGCCTATTTGACGGACACATGGACCAGGAGATGGCGTTCTGGAAGGCCGACTGATCAGCACGATGGAGAAGTGCTTAGTGATCTTTTTCGGTGATCTGACACCAGGGCCGTTCAGTCAATCTTACCTACTTTCCCCCACACGGCAACCATTCGGACACCAGCGTTTGGAGCCGGCACCACCTGCGTCGCAGAGCGTAGGATGACATACTATTTTTGTGCATGCATCCAAGACATCAAGGACCGACGCGGCGACGCCTCGACTAAGCGCACGAATCTAACGGCCGCGCCAGCACAGGATATACCCGAGTGAGCCGCTGTGGAGTGAGTCGTCATCCCTGTTGCCGTCCTTGAAGTACCTTACTAACGCACCTTGCCGAGATTGTGCGTGTTCGAGTCGAGCGTCGTCTTCGGTGTTCCGGAGACTCCCATCCCGTCTTCTTCTCCCCTCCTTTAATCCACTGGGGTTGGCTCCTTCCGCAATATGATCCCACGACGAGGAGTCGCTCGAGGTTCTGCTCGCGACCAAAAATCGTGCCGGCCCCGGCTAAAAGTTAGTGCTGCCGTCGTCGTTCTCGCATACGCAGCGTATGTACCTGGAGTACATGGAAGCCTCAAGGAACCTGGAAAGGAAGGGAGGGAGTTGCAGCAGTAGCATGTACATACATCCACAGGTGCATTGCATGTCTCCCCCCCGCCCGCCCCCCGACCGTCCGGGCTGATGTTTCTGATTCGGAGTGCACGCCCCCTCCAATTCATTATGCTCTCCCCCTCCCCCATCGCCGAGAGTATAGTATAGCAAACCGGTCGCATCGCATGGACAGAAAAGCAAGAGCACCATGGGGGGATACTCTGCTTCACAACGTGGATGGTTTCAGGTAAACGAAAGTAGAGGAGTCTAGGGAGAGACATCGGCATTTCAATGTAGCGAGCTCCGCACCTTGCCCCTCCCTCCCACGCTGTTGCGCACACGCAATAGAGTTCGTACAGTGCGGCCTCCGGATCGACTCGCACGGAGTTCGAGATGGATGTCCGATAGGCATGCAAACGCGTTACGCGTATGGGGGGGGGGGGGGGTGGATAGCGACCAGGCCCGACTCCTGAGCAACATTTGGAACTTGGAACTGGCCAGAGATAGCGTGACTTGTGAGGACTCCAAGTTCCAAGTTCCAACGCCGCCCGACCCAGACGAAGCGATGGCTGGAAGGGAGGTCTATCCGTGGCATCCAACCATCCAACTATTACGCGTGGATACGTGGATGGGGTTTTGAACATGCTCCAGAGACCGCTCACAAGTCACTCTTCGAATCCGGGAATATGCAGTGAGTGCGGGCGGGCCGCGGGCGGCACTTGAGTGTATGTACCACCGACTGCCCTCGATCCATGTGTGTGTATCAAGAATTGTACCACCTTTCCCCTCTAACTAACGCAACACAAGTTATAACGGCCTCGCATACCTACTCCCGGCCCGGACCTGTATGTACCGTCTCTACGCGCCCTTCCCTCCCACCTGGAGATAGAGTATGGAGATCTTCCGCCTCGCTTAGCCCACAGAAAGGGCATGTACGGCATTGTTGCTGGCTATGGGCTCCAAGCCAAGCCCCCTCCCTCTGATGAGGAAACTCGACGGTTATTTCCGCCCCATCGCGTCGGAGAATTTATCTAGGTAACTCGATTCTTGGTGGTCTCGACTCTCGCCTGAGCCAGAGCGTTGAGCGTGAGATGCCGCGGCATAGTTCCCCGACGCGGTTAGAGGAGAGGGCGTGTGCAACACACGATGCAACGGCATCTGTCCATCGTTTTCTTCCGGTTTTCCCTCGGCCGGCTGGGCCCAACGCGAGCGGATTGTGGCATTTGCTCTCGGTGAGGCCGTACGTACAAACGGCCGCTTGCAGAATGGTGGACGAAGCGGGGGTGTGTGGGGGGAGGTGGAGGTGGAGGTGGAGGTGGAGGTGGAGGTGGAGGGGGAGGTGGAGGTGGAGGTGGAGGTGGAGGTGGAGGTGGAGGGGGAGGTGGAGGGGCGGAAAAGGAAAAAAAAAAGGAGAAATCAGCTCAACTCAACCCACGCACTCCCGAGTCCTCCTCCTCCTTCATGAAGCCGATCAACTCCTACCCACCGGGGGGTTGCGTTGCGTGTGGACGTGGACCACCATCATCCACTCTACTCTACTCTACGAATCCCCAACTAGATCAGGTCAGGTAGAGTAGAGTAGAGCAGCAACAGTCGACGCGTCTGTCTGGTCCGAGCCGATCGTCCGGATTCATCCTACTTCCCTCACCCCCCTCCCCCGCCCACCGAGAAGAACAAGAAGAAGGAATATACTTTCTCAAGCGAAGGTGGAGGGAGGACACAAATAATACCGGAGAAAAAACAAAAAAATGGGCTCCGCTATTAGTTAGCATAGTTGGCTAGGTCCGCGCCGTTACATACACATCCTGCACATCCCATCTGTCGCTCGTCGGCCGATGAGACATCTCCACTGCCTGCCTGCGTGGCGTGGACTGCCGGTGTATGTATGTACCTACCTACATACATACGTAGGGCTGAAATGCTGGCCTGGCCTGGCTACCACGGCAGTGGAGGGGAGTTGGCCAAGCGCGCGTGGAAACAGGAAGTCCCAACCGGCCGGCCTGTCGCAGGATCGCAGGCACTCGGGCATGCCGGTGCCGAGATATCTCGTGGCCATCGTTGAATCGTCGTCGTCGACCACGGAACGGGAGCCAGCCAGATCACGGTTCAATGTCATAGGTACGAAGTACGTACGTACACATCGAGCGAGCGGTCGCGCCAAAGTTCAAATACTACAATTGTAGCAGGTAGTCCAGGGATGACGCGGGGGGGCGGATCGCTCCTCTCCCTCTGGACCTGACCTCTGCAACCGGAAGGCTTGTCAAGTGCTAAGTAATATGCACCTCCACTTCCCGAAATTCACAAACCCTAGATACAACCGAAGCCGCTGCAGCAGCACACACCAGAAACCAGAAACTTTGCTCGCGACCTCGTGGACGAAATATGAAGGTGGAGGGAAGTGAAGAGGACGGAGGGAGGGGGGTGGGGAGGGGGAGAGAAACGTGGGGTTCTCTCTCTCTCTCGGAATAATTGAAACGTGCCAGGTGTCAATGAAAAGGGTGTAGTAGCGTGGTGGGGTGGTGCGATGCGATACGGGACCGGGCGAGGGCGAGGAAGAGATGGGAAGATGGGAACCACATGTGCAAGGGAGGGAGGATGTTCCTTGCTTGCTTCTGGCCGCGACGTAACGTTACGTTAGATACGTTAGATACGTGCAACGGCTTTTTTTGGCGGGAACGGCGTTTTGGTTTAAAGACGACGGACGGTCCCGCTGAAGTTGAGATCAATATTCTCTTTTCACACATTTCGAGTCTCTCTCTCTCTCTCGGTACTATCCCCCCACACCCCACCTCACTTCCATATGCGACACTGCTACGACTACTACGACTACAACTACAACTTCTACAACTACTGCGCCCGCCATCAATACATCCAGCCCGCACCCGCACCCGCACCCTCACATCTCAGCTGCGACGCTCACATCGACGAACAAAGACGAAGCCATGGATATCAGGAAGATTCTCAACCCCGAAGAGCCCACACCGACAGCGTCCACGCCGAGTAAGTCCTCCCCTATTCCCTCCATTCCCTCCATCCCTCTCCACCATATGTCATAGTAACGTTCGCTCTCACAGAACAACCGCCAAAGAAGGACCGACAGCCGCAGGGCGAGCGCGGCGATGCCGGCTCGAAAGACTGGGAGGAGCTCCGACGGAAGCGGGGCATGCCCACCGAAGGCCTAAACACATTCCGGGTGCGGAACCAGTGAGGAGGCCGTCCTCCTCCTCCTCCTCCGCATCCTCCACAACCAGTGATGTCAGCCGCACACGCGCGACGACGACGGGTAGGCATCACGGTTTACGCGCGGCGGCGGCGGCGGGGAGAGCAGAGCGAGGGGGGATAGAACGAGGAGGAGATGAAGAGATGAAAGACGCTTTCGATTCGTTCGTCACACATCCATGGACCGAGGCCGACTGGTGCGCTTTTTCTCGAATAAGTGGACCGTCCACGGGGGCGGGGGTGGGTGGGGGTAGCGGCGGCTGCTATAGGTGAGGCAGAGCAGAGGCGGGTGTATATTATATATATGGGGTGGTGGGGGGGCAGGGCTGGCCGGTTCGGCCCTGGGTTGTGATGGAATCTACCGGGGTACTCTCCAGCGGGGCGCAGGATCGGGGTTTGGGGTTTGGGAATGCATCGCTCATGATATAGCGGGTCTATGTCTGTGCGTTTTTCTTTTTTGTCCTCTCTGATTGTTTTTGTTTTTGTTTTTGTTTGTTTACGGGGGATGCGGCGTTGCGTGATATCGATCGATTTTTTGTCCACGTGGACGGTGGTGGGGTTGTGATGGTCAAGGCAGTGGTGGTGGTGGTGAAAGTGGTGGTGGTGGTGGCCTGTGTGGGTGGATGGTGATTTGTATATATGAATTTTAGGGACCGTACCTGCACCGCATCTGCACCTCTATCTATCAACGGGAAAGGAGTGACCGGAGGAGGAGAACGAGGAGGAGGAGGCACAGACGCTCAGGCTCAGCGGAAGCAAGGAATATAGTATAGTTACTCCCATCCATCCCATCCCATCCCATCCATCCATCCATCCCATGATCCCACGAGACCGACCAGGTTATTATGTAGGTACATATCTGATCTCGTCCCGAGGTTCCCAGGGGCATTTCGCCCATCGCCCATCGCCAATTATTCGTAGTTAGTGGGGGGTCTCGGGCGGCGGTGAGGTCATGGGGCATGCCGTCTCCATCTGCAGAATACATATTACATTCAAACGGAAAATATAACATCGGTATCGGCAGAATCGGTAGTTACTATACCTAGTTGCGTGTGATACTTAAATCCTCACATCAACCGGCGGCGGCGGCGGCGGCCGGCCGATTGCGTAGCTTCCCGTCCAGAACCCAGGGTGTGCACTGTGTGCCGTGCCGCCCCGCGCCGTCTCGGCCTCCGCTCGAACTGTCACTGCGCCGGACACGAGAATGTGGGGGCGGGGGCGCGAGGGCGGGGCGGCCGCACGTGTGAGGTGAGGTGAGGTGGTTTCTGAGCACGTTTGTGACAATGTGACGTGAGAGAGAGGGTGGACCTCCGAGGCCCTGAGTCTTCCAGCGACCCTGGAGAGTATCTAGAAGAGACCGAGAGACCCAAACCCGGGCTAGGAACAAAAACGTGATGAATTCGAAGAGAGTTCTATGATACTGACGATGCTGACGATGACGATGACGAAAAGAAACCCAGAAGAGCCGGACGAACAGAAACTGCGAAGTAGTGACAGAAGAAATATTTAAACGTTGAACGTTGAACGAGAACGACAGCATCGGCTTCCCTCAGGAACACTTGGTCTCAACTCTCGCCAGGTTCCGACAAGGTCTCACTCCCCCTACCAACAGTTGGTCCCACCCACTGCAGGTCCCGGCTCCCGACTCCCGACAAGGTTTCGCGTCTTCGGCGGGAGCCGATGACGCCAAGCGCCCTCTGCCTCCGCTCCTCTCAGTAGTTAGACTCACAGTCTCTACTCCGCTCGTCCCGCCGCCGCTTTGGGACCGCAGGCTGCGGCGGACACCGGCACCAGCACGAGGATGGCGCGCGGGGCGCTGGGGCGGCCCGAGGTGTGAGGTGAAGTGAGGTGGTTTCTGAGCACGTTTGCGAACTTCGAAGCGAGAGCGAGGGTGGACCTCCGAGTCTCCAAGTCTCCGGCCGGGGCCCGGCCCTGTAGATACTATAGATAGTATAGATACTATAGTTGCTATGGATGCGATAGATGCTATAGATCACATGCACTTCATAATCCATGGGTACTTATGAGTCTACGGAATGGTTTGTCGGTCGGATATTTCACAGCAGAATGGATTATGGGACGGACGGACATGGGACGGACGGACATGGGACGGGCATCTCGGGCGGTCGGTCGGGCGTGGTCAGCGAGAGTGAGAGTGAGAGTGTGAGTGACAAATATATGCCGGTATCCAGCGGAAGCAGGCAGCAGGCAGGAAGCAATGATTTCGAATGCTACGAGCGAGCAAGAGGAAGAGCTCTACCGTACTCCAGCTTCCAGGATAGGTATCACGTATTCACGGAAATGCGGCAGCTTACGCAGATATGCTGAAACAACCTCGAAACTAGAAGGGAAGGGTCCAAGGGAAGGAAAGGGAGGATCTGAAGATGTCGAGCAGAGCACGTTGAAAATTTCCACGGACCGATTCCGACGGTATCGGATAAACACGAATATGGTAGTTATTGCGATAAGTACCACGCCGCCGAAGCCGACAGTAGTTCCAGACTCTAGGGAAACAGGACCGAATACCGGTGCCGGTATGGAGGTGAAGGTGAAGAGGGCGGTGTGATATATGTCTGTTACCTAGGTAGAGCGTCCCTTCTCCTATCTTCACAAGAGTACCCGGTCATTCGACGGAAAGCTAATATCAACATTCCGTTTCAACTTCCAGAGGAGTGACATCCCGTGATTCCGTGAAGCTGCCAACCGCAACCGAAATCCACCATAGCCACCAAGGGATATGTGAGAGATAAGTACTTGACTTCCCAGCAATCGGCCGGCCGGCAGGTAGGCAGACAGGCAGAACGCTCGCGTGCGCATCTGGCGCCACGTTTCGCAATCTGCCGAAGCGGGCCGGGATGTTCCTTACTTTCGGCACTCGCACGTGGTATGTAGCGGGGGATGCGGTAGTGTGATAACGTATGCAGCATGGATCGACCGAGCGGCCACTTTTTCGCGTCCGTCGCCGATCCGCCGCGTGCGCAAGATAGCTATGAGATTCCCCATGACGAGGGGTGTGCGGGCGGCGACCGGAGCCTATGGAGGGACGGCCACTCCTAAGCAACTGGCATCGTCATGAATACCGAATGAAACGCGCTACGAGTGATGGCTTGTGAAGCGGCGAAGCCGGTAGTGCTGTAGTGAAGCTGGCAGTTCTCATAGGTTCCTCGTTACGATCGTCTCTACTTAGTCTTTGCACTTGCAATCGTCCAAGATACACAGTACACTATAGCCGAAGTGGAAATGAAAGTGGAAATGCCTTCATGTATCGTCAGGTTCGTACGTGCGTGCTCTGGAATGGGTACGGATCGGATGGCCCATTGGAAGCACTCAGGGTTGGCAAAGTGCCGAATCATCGCCGGAACTAGACTGACCACATGGGACCTACCCGTTGGGCGTGAAGGAAAGCTCGGCCCGGACGATGTGAAAGTCCCGTGCAATATGATTTCATTACTGTACATACTTGTATAATTCCGCATCCACTATCACGCATCGATCCACCCAATACAAAAACCGGCCCACTTCGCAAGAAAAAAACGATAAACATGAGGCACAAAGCAATGGAAATTTAGCTCATTCCATTCTTCGTCATCCCACTTTGTTTGAGTGGACCCGAGCCTCGGATGGTCCTCCAAGAGTCAAGACTAACAGGCTTCAGTGAAACGTTTCCACCATTGAGCATTGAGCATCCGATGTAGCTCCGCGTCGAGCACGGCTAGATTGTACCGGCAGTTGGCATTGCTACCTCCATAGCGGTCCCACACTGTTTCGAACTGCCCGAACTGCTCGGCGGGAATAGGAGTTTGACTGCACTCCCGAAGGGTTCGTTTTTGGCTCGTTCGTAGTACACATAGCGAATGGGACAATGTGCATAACTTCGGGTGCGAGGCCTTCGGTGTATGTCGCGCCAGTGAGGATGTATGTTGCGCCGGTGAAGATGTGTTAAAAATCACCACGAGGCTAATTTCGCCGATCGACACCGTTCTGTCAGCGTCCGGGGGCTCGAGGGAGTCGAGACACCGGATGACGCGTTGATAACTGAGATAACATCCCGGATGTAGACGCCATGCGGGAAACGGTCGTATTCGCGAAAATCGAACCGTATTCGGTGGTTGCCTCGTGACCGAAAAAGGCACTGTTAGCTTTAACCGCGAGCAGAAAGTTCCGACGCTGTATGGATTGTTTGTGTAGCAGGGTATGCTTCATCTTGGTTGGCGTCCTCGTAGTTCCCTGCAACGACGGAAAGAAGTCCATGCTCCGAGCCCGGATTGCTATCGTACGGTAATAGCGAGGCCACAGCATGTTGACTGTACTTTCAACATCTGAGCCACGGATAGGAACTGGGGCGGGAAAATCAACGTTCTCCGGCGTGATGATGGACTGTGACGGGCTGCGATGAATAGCAATCGATTAGGGACTAGGGCTAGAAGACTGACGTTCTTCGATGTTGCGATGGACTGCGATGGTTGGCGATGGTGGGTTGGACCGATGACGGGGAGGGAAGACCCGGCGGCCGCGACGCGTTGTGATGGCCGATTACGCGAGACCCTGGCATAGGCCACATGGGCGTCCTGGCGCCCCACCACTAGTCGTGTCGGGAACGAATGACGTTCCTGGTGGTGGCAGGGGTTTCCCCGACAACTTACACACTGCGCACAGTGTTCGACATTTCTACCCGTACGGCCAGGCGATGGTACTGAGGTTCGGCATCACCGTGGAAAGCCGAAGCAACCCGAGCGCCCGATGCACCCGTTCCTCGATAGCCCTATTACTCCCCACCCGCAATACCACGGAAAACAAGAATGCCCGTCGCATCCGCCATCCCAGCGGACCTGACTCTCTCCGAGAGATCCGCCTTCTTCTCCGGAGCGGCAAGTACCCCCTCCACGTACCTTCACCGCTAACTAACGGGCCGCTCTACAGACCGGCCTCCTCATCCCGCCCGTCTCACCGAGCGCCTGCCACCGCGGCAGTCGTGAATCCTCCCGCAGCTCTCGCGGCGGTGGCCACATCCTCCGCAACCCCGCCTTTCTCTCCGCGATTCTGGACGAGACCACGCTCACGAATATCCTCCGCTTCAATACCTCGGCGATTCACCTGCTGGGACGAAAGGATGTGACGCAAAGGCTCCGCGCACTCGAGAGAGATCCCGAGTATGTCCTCGTGTACCTGCGGGATCGAGATGTCGTGAGGGTGCTGTCGGAGTTCTGGCGGAGCTGGAGGGACGCAGAGATGAGGCGTGCGCCGGGGGAGGTTTTGGTGGAGGAGGCGGGAGAGGATGCGGTGGAGGAGAAGGAGCTGGAACTGAGGGATGTGGGTGGCTTGATTGGCATGCCTGAGCGCGAGGATGAACTGCAGGCGCAGCTGAGAGCTGCTAGGCTGTATGAGCTCGATGCTGTGAGTACGCTCGTGGGGAAGGGATGGGTACGGACGCTGTTGGGCTGCTGGAGTCGGCGGTGAGTGGATCTCTTTGTGCCGCTCTGGGGAAGTGATTGCCGTGAGCTTCCTACGGGAGAGGAGCCTTGCGGGTTTTCATTGGTGCTGTCATTGGTTCTGTCATTGGTTTGTCGATTGGCGCATTGGACGGGAATCGAAGGGATGCTGGCATCTCGCTCGCGCGAATATAGATTGTTCGCATTTGCTGGAGAAGTTAGCGGAGGCTTATCGCTCTCCACTCCCCTGATCAGTCGACGAGGGTGATTACCAGAGACGCTATAATGCGACGGACGACAATCTCCTGGCCGGCCACCGCTCCTTTCCCATCTTTGAGTGGTAAACGGTGGTGTACACCGATGGGAGGCGCTCATAGATGTAGTAGGTGTCGACGAATCTACATGTTAATTCTGTACGTTGGCCCTAGATACACATCCTTCCACCGTGCGTTTACTGCAACCAAGGCCTCTCAACTGATTGCAACTATGCACTATATGACGCTTAGGTTAGCCCTCATCGAGAGATAGATGCTGGTGAGATTGTGCCTGCGGTTTGTAAAGGCCTATTTTTTATACCGGTTCAATGGCAGACAATGACGGGGACTGGGGAAGGTGTGGTGAATCCTCTTGCTCCGTCGTTGGATACATGATCGGTTGTTGGCGTAGAATTCTTCGATGACATGAACACGTGGATTTTGTACGATTATCGACTGGAAAAAATGCTCGGGTGCTCAAACTCAAAAGAAGCTGTGACGGATCTGCTCCGGCGGAATTGAGTTCAGCCCGGAAAATCTTAAATTTCGGTGAAGGATTTCTCCATGTCTACCGAAATTTACTGCTCTACTTCACTAACCACAATCTTCTTTTCCGGATCCATGGGGCGCCGATCGAGAGCCACGCAGCAGCGTTTGAATAGCCTTGCCCGCCGGTCGTCATGTGATATTTTACCCCAAGTTTCATCGTGCAATGAATTGCGTCGAGTATTACTGGGGATCATGTGAGCGCTATGCAAGAAAAAACTGTACATGTACTCTAGCTAGACCGTATGATGTTTTATCTGAAGACTGAAGCACTAAAGTCTACGCCGGACACATTGTTTGGTAAGTACATCAGATGTCAGCAAAATAGCCTCGCGTTTCTACTAGCCATCGGGGCTTTTTTTGTTTCATGATCATAGCATTCGACCTTATCAGATCATGGCTGTACAAAAATCCGGTTCCATCCCACTGCCTCCGACCGCAGGCCGCGAGCTCGATGTGGGTTTCCTTTTGCTCTCCGCCCAGCCCATCTGCACATAGAGAGACAGAAAGAAAGAAGAAAAATAAGATGACAAAGTGAAAAAGGAAAGCACGCGTGACATGTCCATCAGTCTTTTCAAAACCCCACATCAAAGCTCCCTTCTCCAACCAACTCCTCCAACCAACTCCTCCAGCCAGTCTAACGCCTCATCTCTTCCCCCGCATACCGGGATCTCCGGCCGTCCAGCCCGTACCCTTTCCTCCGCTCTAGCTCTCACCGCGTGCCAGTCTATTACTCTGCCCGAGGTCGGGGTTGGGGTTGGTGTGTCTGTGGCCGGAGGGGCAAAGTTTGGGTGGGTTGGGAGGAAAAGAGGTTCCCCTGCCTGCCCCTTCTCGTCTGATGCAATTTCTCCAGCCATCGGGGCGTACCTTGAGGAAGACGGCCAGTGACGGAGCGACGCCTGTTGATGTGCGTTCGCAGAGACAGGCCAGTCACGTGAGAAACGCACACTCGAACTAGGGCATTGGGAGAACTGTGGGTCTGCGTGGTGCCGTATCATGTTGTGTCTGTCGCTGTGCCGTGGCTGGACCCGCTCGTTGTGCCCGCTGCCAGTACATTCTTTACTTGCTTGCTTTCTCCGAGCACCATCACTCGGTAAACTAGCGATTGACTTGGGCTAGGAGCACATCGACATCAAATCAATCAACCCCTCCACTCCTCCTCAGCTTTACCACCCCTCCTCAGCTTTTCCATCACACCGCCTACACCCAGTTTCCAGCACGCTGTTACCCAAAGCAGCAGTAAATTATTATGGCGAACAAGGAGCATGATGTCGACGCTGGTATATACCCCCATCTATCCTCTTCTGCTCGCTCCCCGGCAGTAAGCTGACAGTATCCCACAACCAGGGTGCACCTCCAGGTGGTCCTTGAGTTTCACTCGCTCCTGCCCGAGTTCCCCCATCTCCCGCCGAAATACGATCTTTTCACGCCCCGTCACACCCCTCGCCCGTCCGGCCACGGCCTTCTCACGCCCGATCACAACCCTCTTCCGCCAGACCACTTCCTCTTTCAGGCAATCTACCCTGTTCGGAGACGACCTGGCCACACCCTCTTCCCGGCCATTGACCCCGTTTGGAGACGGCCCGGCCACGCCCTCTTCCAGGCCATTGACCCCGCTTCGAGAAGACCCGGCCACACCCTCTTCCAGGCCATTGACCCCGTTTGGAGACGACCCGCCCACCGTCACCCCTCAACGAACCTCCAGCCTCCGTATCGTCCGCCAACCTCTCCCCGTCCTGCGCAGGACCCAGTCAGCACCGACGGAGAGTTCCCGAAAGGGCGCACAGGCGAGGATCACAAAGCAAGAGAGGGCGTCTGAAAAGGCTCGGTTCCTTCTGGCAGCCGCCGAGCTCGACATGGAGTTCGACTCGGAGGATGAGTCTGAAATCGACGATACCTGGGACTTCAAGTGCATCGGCCTCGATCATCACGCAATGGCGCCCGAGGAGTGGATAGGGATGCCGTATAACAGGGACGAAACTTGAAGGATTGATGCGGTGGAGGGACGGGTCAGGATTTCTTTTCTTTTCCGCGCAAACTGCTGTACGCGTTTCCTCCTTCGGTCATGAAACTTCTTCTTCTACTACTACTACTGCTACTACTGCTACTACTCCTACTACTCCTACTACTTCTATTACTTCTACTGCTTCTACTCCTTCTACCCCTTCTACCCCTTCTACTACTACCACTACTTCTACTACTTCTACTACTACTGTTCTTATTCTCGTGTTGTTTTATCGGCGTTCTTCGCTGTATTGATTGGTTCTTTACTGTATTGATTGGTTCTTTGCTTATTGATTGGTAAATATTGCCCGTGATCGGTGTTTCGGTTTTGGGTTGCGTTTATACTGTGCCGGCAGTAGGTACTAGGGGAGATACACATTGTTTATAGAGAATCGCCGCCACAAGTTTCTGCCTGGCTGCTTTTTTCTTCTTTCTTCTTGTTTTTTCCACCGTGTAGCTACTTCTTAGATAACATGTAATGAAAGAATGCACGACATCGGCGGTTGACATTTGTCTTCCAGCCTACACGCAAACACGAGTATCTCCAGCCTCTGGCATCTTGACACCAAGTCTGAGGTCTCCCGTCTTCAACGCTCACTCGTCCTTTTTATCATCTATGTTAACTTTGAGGCACTGCAAGTTTCTGAACCCCTCGATTCAACGCGGTAAGGGCTTCAGCCATTCCATGCACAAAGCATTGTATCTCGTTCTCGATGTCGTTCTTCCTGCACGGAGGGGTACACCGTCGATGGTACGACGATGGGCTTCTCGTTGAAGGCTCATCACCATCAGAGGGTTCGTCGTCTGAGGGGTCACCTCCAGGATTAGGGTTAGGGTTAGAGACTTGCACCGGCCAGTTGTAACCGACCGATTAACATTCGCACTGCAAATAACCTGACAATGGGGGATGGAGAGTCGAGGGTAGTTTACGTTTTCCAGAATCTCAGAGCCCGTGAACCGCGGCTGCGGAAGTCACCACATCCACCAGTATCCAGATCCAGTTTGTCGGAAATTGGAATGTTGCTCTTCGAAAAACTGCTTCATTCGTCAGTTCAGTTCTGAATTTTGCGAGTTCAGTCGAGTGATGGCTCCAAGATTCTCTACATAGAACTTGGTACTCCCTTCCACTTACTGACTCCAACTTTCGGGAGTCGGAGACTCGTTATCGATTGCAGCGGTGTCATCAGAACCGCATACTCTTCTTCCGCTTCCTTCTTCTGTTGACATTCATGTGTCACGTGATACGCTTGTTGCTAGTTATTCAGTTTGACTAGTTCTAACTGGATAATCGAACCGTTTTAGTATAGTTCTAATAAATATGCGAACGTATATGCACTCTGTCAGCAGGTCTGTCCATGTGGCCATTGCGTCCTTCCCTTCCCTTCTGCAGGCGTTTCGACTGATGCTCCTTCGAGGTGCGTTGAGAATACAGCCAGACTCCCAGCCAACAGATAGCTTCCTTATCGAAATGGATCTTCAGTCTCTCACAGGGATCATGGGATGGCTCCCAACTTCCCATAGTTGGGTACCAAACAGGATCGCTTCGGTTCTGCCATGATTGAATAGGGTTCCGTCGTTGGATACCCAAGAATGCCCCCACCGTCTGCCCAAGTTTCTTCGCTTCTCTGCTACCAGTGAGATATTTGATGTCTGCTCGGCAGATCCATAGTTTACTTCCATCACGCAGCAGATTAACGTACATGACAGTTTCGGACGATTATCCAGCGAGTCGAGTCCCGATACCGGGTCAGCGAAATCACAGTCTGTCACTCGGATGCTGACCTTTGAAACACCATCAGCGGTTGTGTCTGCACACAACCCACCACAGCGGCGGATCTCGCGCTTTTAAGTTCGAAGTAGTTCTACCAGCGCATCCCTCACATCCCCCATGCCTCGAAAACAGTGACGAGCACGCGAGCGACACCCGTGCGCCGTTGGTGCGTAGACTCGCCACAACTGTGACCAGTCAACAAGTAGTATTCATTGTTCTATTCCAGGCGGACTTCTGTACGTAGCAATAATCTAGGTACTCTATGCACGATGGCGACGGCAATGGACTGCTCGATCTCGACACTCGAAAAAACCGGGGGGCGGCAGAGGTTGGGCAAGCCGCAGGACCGTAATACTGCCATCTCCGACTCTCCAACTCCTCGAGAGACAAACAAACAGAACAGAACAGACGCTAGAGAAGTAGAACAGGTGGTCCCGCCTCCCACGGTGACGGGTGATCGATCATCGGACAGCCGCTCCTTATACACACCGTACACCGGCGCCGGGCGCCCGCGATCTTCACACACTGGCGACTATGTGTATGCCAGCCAGTATATATCTTACATACATACATGCCTACACCGTATAGTAGACATGCCCTGGCATGGCCTAGTGTGTATGACGTGCCTAAACAGGTATCAACACGAAACATTGCACACAGCATAGCTTGCGGAAGACATCTGCTCGCTAACTAATGCAGCCTACATAGAGTATTTGGATATTGTATCTGGCTGGAAGACGCGGCCAGAAATAAGGATTGAGCACGGACATTTACTTTCGATGGCAACGGGACCGTGACGTGAACCTTCCCTGCCCTGTGGGATACATAGAGTAGATACATGCGTTTCCCAGATCGAAATCTACCCCCTCTTCTCCACCTCTTACGGCTAACCGGCGGCACTACGGCCTCCTCCTGCAATTTGACTCCCACTCTCACTGCCACTCTCAACTCGGATAACCGGCTTGGCGTCACCGGTGAGCGCCGAAGGAGCGGGACTCTGCCGGGACCTGAGTGGGACCAACTGATGGAGGAGCGAGACTTTGTCGGGACCTGGTGAGACCAGCTGTCTTGCCCCTCTTGGGGGTGACGCTAAGGGTTTCTGATGGGAAACCCGATGCGGTCGTCAAACGTTGCATTGTTTTTGCTGAGACTATGCATTTCTGTCGTCCTTGCTCGTCTTGTTTTCTTTTCATCATCAGCGCCATCATCGCCACCATCACCATCGACCGAGAACTTTAGTCCAATTGATCCCATTTTTGTTCCTCACCCTCACCCTCACCCTCACCCGTTTTTGGGTCTCTCAAAGGTACATACACAGCAGCTTTCTCTGGGGCCCGGGCACCTACTCTACCATGGCATGGGATCGGCCGCAGAGTACCTGTATAGGTATCGACATAGCAGTACAGTAGGGGGGGATTTCAGCCGGGAAACAACGGTGGGTCCGTATCAATTTCGATTTCGATTTGACGACTAACTAGAGTTTACTATATAGTACTCTGAGTCTAGAGCAGTGCGAAGGACTTCACCCGGATGCGAGTGCTCGAGACTCAAGAGTCAACCGGAGTTTTTGTATCACCGACGGCCGGATGTCACATCCTTCGGCACGGCGGTTTCGTTTTCTCGGCTGGTTGTGGTAAGGGCGGGGCGGAGGAGGAGGTTGGTTCTGGTGGTCGTGGTGGTCGTGCTGGTGGTCGTGGTGGTCGTGCTGGTGGTCGTGGTGGTCGTGCTGGTGGCGGTGGGTGGCGGTGGTGGTGGTGGATGCTCGCGACGCGTCGGCATGGCATGGCGGGGAACCCTGCATTCTGGGCAGTGGAATCTGCGCAAATGCCGTTTCAGGCGACTGCACGCGCAACGAAACGCAACGGTACCGACAAACTGCTGAAAGTAGAGTACTATCAAGGGATATCTACTCTTCTCCATGTGATCCTACAGACGGTGCCGACCATTGCATTGCACCAAGCTTTACTAGTGGAGTAATGGCCAACAAGCGAAAAACACCAGTGATGGAAGCGACGCGCCGGACGACGAGGAGGCGGAGGAGAAAGTTTGTGGGGCCGGCATGCGGACGCCGGACGGGCGCGCGTCATGCTGCACAGCAGTGCAGGCTGGTGGAATGAAAGGGGCTCCAAAAAAAGAACAAACAGTGTTACAGTGCAGCAAGGAGTCATGTGCATTGTGGGCTGGGGGCCCGGGGAAGGAGGGGGGCCGCGACCAGACTCGCCATCGAGCGATCACATCTCCAAAGCCGGGTCCGGGTTCGCTCGTTCGTTCAGTATCATATGCCCATGCAGACTCTGCGCAGCTCAAAGTCATCCTCATCCTCTGGGTCTGGGACTCTGGGGGCTGGGTGCGTAGCGGATTTTTGTTTGGCTGGGATAGTCAACTATGGGGACTTCGCTTCAGCCTTGGTTAGGTATGATGAACTGCTGGGGTCCGACCCGACCCTGTACCGCGCAGCATGGAGTGGAGCATGGAGGTGTGCAGCCGAGGATACGAAATCATCCTAACGAACAGTTGGGTTGGGTAGTTGGGTAGCTCGGCCGCCTGCAGACACACCCACCAACGATGGATGGATGGACGGACGGTTGCGCTTTCTGCCCTCTCCTCCCCTGCCCGCGACGGACGGGTGAGTGGGTGGGTGTGCCATAAAACAAAGGAGCTGGGTCACTGGGTGGGATGGGGATGGGGGATGTAGTATATAGTATAGCTCGCATTTCCCGACACCCTCGATCGTCCCTGCTACTCCTCCTCCCTCCTCTTCCTCCTTCTCCACCTTCCCTCATCAGCATCAGCATCACCGTCGCTGGAGAAAGACTCCTACTCTTCTTCTCCGCCTGCCGCGTTCCCACAACCACCACCACCGACCCCGTCATGTCTCAACCGCAAGAGGTCATGGCTGTCCAGCCCACCCCCGCCGTATGTGACATGTTCCCCGCTGTTCTCTCCGCACTCCCTCGCCTCCCCTCGCGTCTTGCCTCTCGCCCCTTCCCTCTGCCCTAAATGGAGATCGTCGCTGACGTGCATGTATGCGCACCCACAGGAAAAGAAGAATGAGAACGCCGAAAAAGCTAAGGCTTTTGCCGAGAAGCATGGCCTCGCGGATAAACTGTATGTTTCCCTCTGCCCTTTTCCATCCACCACCTCCACCACCTACCACCATCTACCACCACCTACCACCACCCCAGGGCCAGAGCCAAGGGTTAACGGAACGGGTGCTACACAGCAAGAAGTTCGTGAAGAAGAAGCTCGGAATCGCTGCCCATTAGGAGAATAGGAGGGCACGGAGAAGAGGATTTCGTTTGGTTCTTTGGTTCGGTTCGTTCGGTTCGTTTGGGTTGCTTTTTTCTTTTTGACGCGGTTATCATTATGGCTGCGCGGATATCACGGGCATTTTGACTGGGGGTTTGCTTCACGAAGGGGTGTCTGGATTTGGGATTTACATGTAATATTTATCTTGTCGCAGGATGACGGTACGAAGGAAGGAAGGAAGGAAGGAAGCGCACGGCTCCGATGAGAGTGGGAGAATAATGAAAGCTGTGTGGTTATTCCTTATCCATCCCTGGGAAGTCGCTGGAGGCTGGAGCAACACCAAGAATGCAAGAATACAGAATGCAGAAATATCATGTCATGTCACGACGTCGCTCTAGGCTCCAGCGGAGTTCCGGTTGTCAAAGTCCATTGTCTATGTCGTCCATGTCGTATCGTCCCGCAGGCTGCAGCCACGGACGTCGGAACATGACTGACAGCGCCGATCCGAGCCTGAGACTCTGCTGAATACTCTAGGTAATGCACAGCACCACAGTCTTGTCTCGTCTCGTCTCGTCGCACTTCCGGCGATCCGTCTCGTATCGTCCGCGTCAATCCGTCTCGTATCGTCCGCGTCAATCCGTCTCGTATCGTCCGCGTCAATCCGTCTCGTATCGTCCGCGTCAATACCTTCAGACATACTGTCGGCTTCGGAGGCAGAGGCGCCTCTGTGTTGCGGAGAGCGGGGAGGGATGAGCGGCGGTATGGTGGGACCAAGTGTCATGGCGGGTAGACCCGATGCGGTCGCTAAACGTTGAAATGTTCTCTGTTGCTGCTTTTCTGTTCGTATAGTACTATTCGGTCGCACATCAGCCATTTTTTATCAACGCCGCAGACAGTTGTTATCTCTTGAAGTTTACAGGCTTGAAGTTTACAGGCCTGCTTTTCTTTCTTGTTGCTTTTTTACGCAATTGAATCGGTTCATCAGTCGTCCATACCCGCCGAGGGTCCCTCACCATCAGACATCTTCGCCTTAAGCTTCAAGCCGTGTGAACCGACGCGACGACACGACCGACCGGAACATCCGCATTTTTGCATTTATGCACTGCACTGCCCCGTTCCCTGCCGCGTTTCCGTTTCCGTTCCGTCGGTTCCGTTCCGTTTGCGTCGTCGGTCGCAGCAGCACACGAAGTTCGCCGACCGATGCGCGATGGTTCGATGGTGAAATAAATGCATCCCATGATTCGATGCGTACGTCGGAAGGCTGTGTCCGACCGGCAGCGGCAGCAGCAGCAGCAGCTTATCGAGCACAAACTATGCGTCCTAACTAGCGTCCAGGATAGCGGGTCTCGACCGCCCCCCCCCCCCCCCCCCCCCCCTCCACCATCTGGCGCCGCGCCCATCCCCGCCGCGCTATCCCCGCCTTCTTCTCCCCCAGAGTCCAACGCCAGAGTCTGGAGTCCCAGCCCTGCCTTCTCCAGAGTCCATCCCCGCCTTCTTCCCCAGAGTCCAGACTTTAGAGTCCCATCCAATCCCATCCCATCCCATCTCAGCCCAGCCCAGCGTTCTCCAGAGTCCAGAGTCCGGAGTCCCATCCCGTCGCACTGGTAGTTATGTGTTGCCGCTAGTTAGAGCACTCCGCCTACGTACTGACATTGGAATTACTTGCGACGGTGATCCCCCCCCCCCTCTCATGTAGTCTGACAACTGACACACTGTGGATGGTCATTAGTCTCCAGTGGCTTGTATGTACCTATCAGCCAGCTCTCGCTCGACAAATCAACAGGGAGCCGGCCGCTGGAAACGCATGCAGGGGGTGCTGGTACATATCGCCTCGCCATCGCGCCGTCTTTGTGAGGAGAAGAAGAGACTATTCGCTAATCCAAAACACGCGCGGAAGTCACCAATTACCAACCACGCCAGATTTCTCAGCTGTGGATGTAGAAGTCACAAAGAAAAGAACCATCCTGATCGCGGACGGTCAGGAAATGTAGATGCTCTAATCGCGTGAATTGTAGTCGACTCAGAGTCCTAATCGGTTGTCTTGAGGGGGGTGGGGATGCGTGCCAAGAGGGAAGAAAAGTCAAAGAGAAACTCGCAGGCATGTTCAGACTTCACCGCCCCGCTCTTTGGTAGGTGTCCAGGTAGATATGTAAGATCACTACATAAGCCAGACAGTTCTCCATGCAAACCCGGTGACCAGGACACGGGGCATGCCTTTTTTTTGCAGAGTATATGAATACTGGCATCAGGCATCTTTCTAGTTTCCACACGACGCGAAACCGACCGGGCATCGTAGACTTGAGTTAAGTTGAGTTGAGAGCCAAAACGCCGCGCATTGACCCTCATTATCGAACGTCAAAATTCCCCGTCGCTCGTCCCCGTCCGTCCCCGTCCCGTGAAATCTGCACTATGCATCCATCGACAAGTTATTTCGCCAGGCGAAATTGTACACTCATCCAAAACGCGTACATAGAGTACATATGATACGAGATGGGCAGGTGGCTGGTCCTGTCCTGTCGCGTTCTGCAGCAACTGCCGACATGAACGAATAATGGCTGACATGAATAAATAACGGCTGATGTGAACGAGTAACGGCCGCCTCTGGGCTCTGTAGGTATTGGTTATGTAACCACTCGGTGAGCCGAAAAAAAAACCGGTGGAGAGATACGGGAACGCTGGATTCCGATACCCAGCCACAGCAGCCACATCAGTCATCAAGCACGGCTGAAGACAGCCTGCCCAGCGAGCCGAAAACCGGTGTAGGTAGAGTAGGTACTCGTGCACGCTGAATTCCGTTTCCCAGCGACATCATCCAAAGGCCCAGCACGGCTAACAACACCCCCCAGTCACCAGCGACCACCCACCCATCCATCCCGCCCACCCATCCCATCCGGCGCCTACCGACGAAGGCGGTTTCTCGGGACCGCACAAGAGTCAAGACCGGCTTCTGCAATCCAAGACCGAAATTCGAATCGACGCCACCGACGCAGTGTCTTAAGTCGGTTCGCCGTCGATACGAGTACGGAATTGCAACTTCGCTCTCCTGGGCAATTCCCATCCATCCCGGCAAAGCTGTGGCGCCAGCGTAGGGGCGATCCCATAACGGTACAGGAGCCAAGTGGATTAGCGCGCTGTGGGGAAGAGTAGCGAAGGATTCGGTCGGCCGGTTACAAGCTGGAGCCGGGGTAAAGGCAGGGATCTGTAGTTAGTTGTGGTTAAGAGCTGGTGGGAGAGACATGAGCGTAGATACTCTAAACCCTTCGAGTTTGGGCTGGGCTTTCCTGGGTAAAGGGGGCTGGTGCTGGTGATGGTGAGGAGTTGTAAACGAGGCTCGTCTACCGGCGTAGGGGGATCGTGGACGCGGGCTCTGTGTGTCGCCCTAAAACTTCATCCCTAGGCCTGGGAGGTAGTGTTCGCTGGCGAGGGTATCGTCGTCAGCGGGAGGATCGTTCTGATCGTTGTGATCACAGGCAAGAATGTAGAGTAAGTTGAGGATTTACCCCGAGTGCATGCATGCAGCATGTAGATATTGGCCACATCACCAAGGTCTCCTCCTGTTCCCTCACCCTTCACCTGCCCATCTATCCAGCTCCCTGCCGGCGCAGGCATGACGGCCGCCTTTAATTAACCATTCTTCCCGCTGAGGATTGGCGCCCCCTCTGCACATCCACATGTCGGTAGCGACGTGCATTGCGAACCCTTTTCTTCAGCTGCACCCTCATATTTAATACCGACCAGCCACAGGAGGTGCAGTCAGTCCGTACGCTCCGTCCTGTTCCCGTTCCCCCATCGCCCTCTCTCCCCCCTAGAGCACCTACTCGGTGCCCCACCCACCAAGCCACCAAGCGCAAGCCACCAAGCGCAAGCCACCAAAGCACGATCGATGTCCGCCCAATCGTCAAGCCATCAGTGCTCGCAGCGCTGCCCGGACAACTGCGTGTCGCCCGCGATAACCCAGTCCTCAACGAACAGCAACACCACAGAGTCCAGCTCGAGCATGGTCGGCGAGACCGAGTCGATAGATTTCGATTCCGTAAGCCCCCCGCTATCCATCGATCCACTCGCGCGCGCGGCGCGCCCGAGGCCACACTCTTGTCGATCCGATCCTGCCATGCCCGGAATCCGGATGACGGATTCTGCCAGTACGTGTGCAGCAGTGGCTAACGCGACGCGTTGCGGGGAATAGATCCAACTACCGCCGGAAGAACCGCAGACCAAGCGCCCGCTGGGAAAACGAATGTCCGTGTCGACCCCCTTTCTTAGACCGACTGACGCTGTGCTGTGTTGACATACGATTTCCTGCGTGCACAGTGTGCGGTGGCTCAAATATGGGCCCGTCGACTGAATCAGCACCGACACGTGGGGGGGGGGGGGGGGGGGGCTCTCGTATACGGCAGCGAAAGTGATGGGCACGATATGTAGAACGACGGGATCAGCGTCTTGTTGCAGGCGAGCGGAGGAGATCGGAGGGTGGGATGACAGCGGTATGGGCGAAAGGATGGGAGAGATGGACAGATGGGGAGTACCAGGGTTCGACTGTATGAGAGTCCCCGGGGTAACCTTGCTCGCCAGGGTGTTTTTTTGTGCTGTAAGGCGTCGGTTTGAATTTATTTTGATTTGGATTCTGTCCGTGGCGGTGGTACTCTATGTAGGATATCGAATGGCTTACCACGCCATGCTTGTAATATGCATGGAAGACGCCCGTGTTAGACGCAGCGTAGTGGGATTATGGTTACGACCGATTAGCACTGCATAGTAGCATACTGCTCTGATTACGGATACGACCGATTTGCACTGCATAGTAGCATATATACGATTAGCACCGCATGGTAGCATACTGCTCTGATTATGGGTATGACGGATTAGCACTGCATGGTAGCATACCGCTCTCCTCGAGCTTGTGTGTCGCGTCGAACGGACCGGACAAGGCTTTGGGACCGTCAGGGTGGTAAACATTCAAAGAAAACGGCGGTCCTAGTCACAGATCCCCACCACGGTGGCTTCCGGAACCGTGTCCACGAACAAACCTCACTTCATTCAAAATTCCGCACACACTAGCGACTGCCCTCTCCATCATCACTACCCCCTTCCTTCTTCCATCTTCCTCCTTCCTTCCTACATCCATCTTCCATCTTCCATCTTCCTCCTTCCTTCCTACATATATCTTCCTTTTTCCCTCTTCCTCCTTCCTTGCTACTTCCATCTTCCTTCTTCCCTCTTCCTCCTTCCTTGCTACTTCCTTTTTCTTTATTCGTCCACAATCTTTCTTCCATACGACTCATAGTCGTACCAGAGTTCCGGAATTCACTAAGCACATGCCTGCCAAACAATTTCTGTTTCGGTATGTAATCACTTCCTTCCCTGCCTGTCATCCTCTCTCTCTCATCTGAGAGGCTATATGCGCTCGTGCTGACATTGAGCCTCTTCATTCAATACAAACCAAGCGCAAATATACCTGCGGTGGTTGTCGTGCACTTGATGTGCACGGGAAAGAAGCGTGGGGCAAAGTTAAGTGCGATTAGGTGGGCCCTGGAGGGCCCTGCTCGCACTGCCTCGTCTGCACGATTAGTGGGTGCAGATTGCGCGGCGTGGTCGACTACTTCGCACTCTCTGGAGGTTCGTTCCCGTTCTCACCCATGCAGCACACAGTGTATATTCTGACACATCCAAAAGCATAGGGACCCGTCAACATCAATGGCTGGCGGTTGGGGACTTCATGTTCCCAGGGAGGATGAGCTCCCTGCCCCATGGGTCATCTGCTCTCGGCGGCGTTACAGCCGCCGGAGCAGAACCCATGGGATGAAGTCGGCTGCCTGTCGGCAGCGGCTTCAGAGGTGGTGGTGGCGGTATAGCCCTTGGTTCTTCGCAGTGATTGCCGGTTTGGCAGTCGGCGAATTTGTCTTTGCCCATCTGACGTCCGGAAGGAACGGTGGTGGTGGTGCCCATTAAACGGATATTCTTGCTGGCAACCCGCACGGATCTCGAGCCTAAACGGGATGCCCGTCTGCACGATTAGTGGGTGCAAATTGCGCGGCGTGGTCGACTACTTCGCACTCTCTGGAGGTTCGTTCCCGTTCGCACTCATGCAGCACCCGGTGTATAATCTGACACATCCATAGGCGTAGTGACCCGTCGACATCAATGGTTGACGGTTGGGGACTTCGTGTCCCCAGGGAGCATGAGCCCCCTGCCCCATGGGTCATCTGCTCTCGGCGGCGTTGCAGCCGCCGGACAGAACTCATGGGGTGAAGTCCGCTGCCTGTTGGCAGCGGCTTCGGTGGCGGTGCGAAACGTAGGTACACTCTGTGCCCCAATTCTGTCCATGGAATATTCCGCTGACCACTCTTCGAACCTCAGATTTCGCACCGCCAGGCGGCCATTTGGCCCGGGATATTGTTATCACGTCACCAGCAACAGTTACGCCACAAGGAAAAAACTCGCCGCTAACAAGGATACTCCCAAGATGTCCGCACCAAAGGCTTCCCACCGCAACAAACAAATCCTTACCCCCGACATGGCTACTACTAAGAAATCCGCACTGCAGTCGCAAGCCGATAAGAAGCCGCGTATCAAGGATAAGAAGCCGCATATCAAGGAAGAGGACGCCGAAGAGCAGGCAAGCCCGCAGCCGCACTGTAAGGAGCAGCCAGCCACCCAGTCGATCGCCGCATCCGCCCAGCCATCTCAACCCGCCGCGGCCCCCACGAACCAGGCTCCCATTACCTCACGATGTCAGTGGGGGACTTGCGCCGAGACGTTCAACAGCCCGAATGATCTTTATAACCACATCTGCGAGGCCCATATCGGACGGAAGGTCACCCGGAACCTGTGTCTGCAATGCTCTTGGCAGGGATGCAGATACACCGGCGCCAAGCGGGACCAGATCACACCCCACGTCCGTGTGCATACGAAACGGGCGACATACACTTGCGCTAAGTGTAGCCACACGACGATGAGGCTCAGCGATTTCAAGAAGCATGCGAGAGGAGGCACGGGAAGAAGCCTGCCCCGGCTGCTGCGGAGTCTGATACACCTGTCAAGAGTCATTCTGCAGCGTCTAGAGTTACCGGAGACTCTAATCAACAGAACGCGCAGCCCAAGAAGGTTCAAGAGAGTGACGCGAAAATCGATCGAGACTCGGAGCGACGGAACAAGCACAAGAAGGTTAAAGAGAGTGACGCGAAAGTCAGCGAAGACTCGGCGGGGCAGACCAACCCAAGAAGGTGGAAGACGGTCACTCCAAGCTTACCGGAGACTCTAATGGACAGAAGGCCCACCGGTAAGTCTTTACTTACCGGTTGGCGATGAGATCCGGACGTTCTGCAGGATGGGGACGGGGAGACGGGCGGACGGCCATACGAGTGTGACTCAACAACCCGACGATCCATGAATCGAACAGCCACACCGTGGAGGACGGTGTGGATGCAGAAGAAGAATTCCGCAAGAAACGTCGGATCCGAACAAGAGGGCCTCTTACGAGACTGCTGAGGCCTCCGAGACAACCGAGCAGGTGGTGGATAGGATAATGAAGGACACTGCTGTGCCGGCCTTCTAGAAGGCCGGCAAACACATCGCGATAGAGTCGCACGACACGTCAAACCATATACGGCTGAACGGCTCTCCTCGGAGTGCAAGATGATTCTGACTTGATACACTGACCGTGTTGAAGCTCGAGAGAGAATCAAGAGACTCAACCGTTGCACTTCAATAGCTAGCATTAGAGTGCACGCCTAAAAAATAAATTTAAAACTACTGTACCTTACTTTCGCTCTTTCCGTGACCAAATGATGTAATATTTACTGTTCTTAACGGGTGCTTCACTTCTATCCTCTTCTCTCATACATTCCCGCCGCTTCTTTACTACGCATCCCCACTCTCACCCCCCGGTGCTCTCTCATTGGACTTCCATAGCTGCACAGGCTGCACAGGCTACACAGGCTGCACTGGCTGCACTGGCGTTTCACCCAGTTTACCCCGGAGCAGCCCCTCGTACTTTCCTGAACCAACTACGACTTGACACCTTCTTTTCCTTACTGAACTGGCAACGACACCATCTGAATGTGAACTGTTTCAACCAGCTAAATATTGGAGAGTCTAGTGATGAGTAACTGTCCTATCTAGAGCACGAATCCCCACTTTCCCCGGGTTACTGGCAATCGCATAGGATACGCCATACGCACACGCTCCCCCGTCGAGCCGAATACAAAAACACAGTATCCCGCAAAACAGCAATAAAAGCAAGACCACGAGCCCAATACCCAACCCCCAACGATCGATTGAAACGCTGCATGCCCGTACGAACTATCACCCGCAGCCAATCCCCCAACACTGGCATTAATCATTCCCGACTCCTCCTATACCCCAAGCCAACATACTCATCGGGCGCCATGGGGTCATGGTCTAGGCCGGTACATTTAAAGTCCCAGACGTCACTGCAATCCTCGGCCCCCTCTTCCTGCTTTTTCTCCTCAATAACTCCCAACAGCTGCTTCGCCTTCGCCGGCGCATTCTTGTACTTGGAAAGCTTTAGGTCGTCCTCCTCCTGCTTCTCTGTCTCCGTCGACGCCGCCGCCGTCGAAGTCCTGCTCCTGCGTAGGTTGGAGATCTTGATGCGAGAGCGGACGGTACCGATTGTGCGAGCGAGACTGGAGGACGCGGGAGGGCTTGGGGGAGGGCTCGGGCTTGGTGCAGCTGGTGCGGGATCGGGACCGGGGGCGGACTTGCTGCGAGACGGACTCAGGGAAGGACGGGACTCGGGGGGCGGACTCGCGAAGTTGGCGGGTGCGGTTTGTCGTCGATGGGTGGAGGGTGGACTCGACCGCGTCCGGGAATGGCCGGAGCATGTGGCTGTGGCTATGGTAGACGCGTGGGAAAAGGCCGAGCCGGGCGAGCGGGCGGCGGTGAGTGTGCTCCACCGCCGCGAGCAGGAGCGGGAGCGGGAGTGGGAGGATCGCGATAGATGCTTGGAGATGTATTCTGGTGGTTCTGGGATTGTGAGATAAATCGAGATGAGTGCGGAATGCAGGAATGGGTTATATATACCGACTCTGTCATGGTTGCCAGAGGCCCGCGACGCCATTGAGTGCTGATCTGTGAGTAGCGGGTACATTTGTGCCGATACTGAGTGAGGCGATGGATTGGCGGAGTGAGGTGATGAATTGGCGGAGTGGTGTCCGCACCAGTACAACCAGCGCAGTGGGTAATTGAGGGTTGAGTGAATCCTGTAGCAGTTGCCATGTAGAAGTCGGTCCTGTTGCCACAGACAGACATGTAGGTAGACGAATTGAGTCGTCGAAGTTGTTTGTAGCCCGACCTGCAGCTCCCGAGTCCCAAAGTGGAGCACGTGCCTACCTTACATAATGACGCTGAGGTCGCCATCACAAGTAAGCAGGACTTACGTGTTATGACGCAACCATCCCATCGTACGTAGCGAGATCCGAACCATATTATCATATCAGGATCTTGTGTATAAATCTCCGCACATACATACCGGTAGTCTTCAAGAGTACCAGGTAGGTAGGTGATCGGCAGCCTCTGCTAACCGTGTTCCTGAGCGACCTAGAGGCCTGCGGTATTTTGCTGTCCTTTCCCATCATAGCTAACTGCTGAAGGGACCTGAGTCGGTTATTGGCTGAAGCCCTCCATCGTCTGCATCCAGAGGAACCGAGCTACGGTTCTATCAGCATCTGTACGTCCGGAGCACGGGCACATGTACCAAACTCGTTTTAATCGGTTCTCAATCTGCCGTTTGGCAATCTTGGACCCACTTGAAGCTCGAGCATCGTGGTGTAACTACAACAATTCTCTTCGGTTGTCTGCCACCACCATGAGAGGAGCAATATGCAGGATAGATATGGGGATCAGATAAGATGGGAGGAGTGGCTAGTCAGATCATAGCCACACTAGCCGGATTGGGTGGCCCCGAACGGTAGAGGTATCATAGCCGGTAGCAGCAGTGAGCTGAGCTGGCTCTTTGAAGTCAAATAGAACCGGCGATACAAAGATTCCCCAGTAGCAGCAGCAGCAGCATCTCACTTCTAGCTTTAGTAGCTATTAAGGGCTGCTTCGTAATAGAGTATTCAGTATTCCGCTCGTCGTCGTGCACCATCACCGGCGCCGTTAAGATCAGGCAATATCACTCGATCTCCGATCACATGACGACATTCAGTCTCTCACTTTCTATTGTGCCTCGCCGGACCGCTTCACTGGCTGGCTGGCTATTCAGCCTTGAAGATTCACTTACCCATCCACTTCCTCATCACAACACTCCTTCCCACTTCTCATCACCACTTCAGATATCCTCTATACCTCCATACCTCGACACAATTCACACACCCACGCGATCGAATCAACACACGAACCATCCACCCATATTCGCTCGCAAAGATAACACCTTTTCTTCCTAAGACGCTCGCTCAGATGTCGCACTCTCCTCGTGCACCAGCCTCTTCCTCCTCTCCCGCTGCACCAGCCTCTCGTGCCTCTCCCGCTGCACCATCCTCACCCGCCTCTCCCGCTGCACCATCCTCACCCGCCTCTCCTGCTGCACCAGCCTCTCCCGCCTCTCCCGCCTCTCCCGCCTCTCCCGCCTCTCCCGCCTCTCCCGCCTCTCCCGCCTCTCCCGCCTCTCCCGCCTCTCCCGCTGCGCCCGCCTCTCCGCCCCCAGTATCCTCCTCCTCCTCACTGGCCGAGTACTCCATCCTCTCATCCTTGAAGCGGATAGTCCACACGCAAAAGGCAGCCGATCTTGCGAAAAAGCAAGTCGTCCTGGCGCCAAAGCTCGCGGTGCAGACACGTCGGCGCGAACAAGCAGCGGCACGGCGAGCGCGGTTCACACCAGCCGGGCTCAAGTCCGCGCTACGTCGCTCCACACACCGGATGACCACGCGGTCGAAGGGCGAGCCGGCGCTGGCGTTCGGGCAGAACCAGCACGCGCTTTTTAACGCCGCTGCGGCACCCAAGGAAACGAATGGTACGGTCTTGCATACGTATGTGCTCGACAGAAGTCAGATTCGACGCTTGAGGTTGGAGTATAATATGACGCCGGAGGTGGAGAGGGATGAGTACAAATGGGGATGGGTCGCCGCCGCGTTTCAGAAGTTTGAGGAGCATAAGGCCGGCCTGTGGTCGGAGGGGTTCGAGACCGTTAAGGTCACCTTTGAGGTCCCCCCTGGGTATGAGTTCATTCAGTGGTGGCCGGAGTCGTTGGAGATTCTTGATGATGAGGCGGTGGCCGACGCGGAGGCGGAGAAGAGCGAGGATGAGGATGAGGATGCTGACGAGGTCATGGAGGATAGCGAGGATGACAACAAGGATGAGGACGAGGTTGATATGCAGGAGCGCAAGGATAAGGATGAGGATGAGAACGAGGTTGATATGGAGGAGAGCGAGGATGAGGACGAGGATGAGGACGATGAGGATATGAGCGACGAGCCTGCGGATGACGAGGACGATGAGAAGGAGAGTGAAGAGGGGAGTGAAGACGAGTAGGACGGCGATTCGGAGAACATCGACTACGAAGAGGGGGCGGAAGTGAAAGCCAATCCATGAGATAGCGATGGCGATGGCGGTGGTAGTTGTGCGGGTTCGGGGGGATTGACTATTTCTGCTTGTATCTTTTTGTATCCTTTTTTAAGCATAACTATCAATTCCATCCATGAAAAACACTGACGCCGCGGCATAGACGTGCCTTCGTACCGTGCTTGATATCACCAATAACCTCTAAGAAAGAGGTGTGTAGTCTACTCGGGGTCCATAGACAGGGATGGGAGCCAGCAGAAAAACTTACAGAGGTAGCCCGGAGTCCAGACATGTGCAGCATTTGTCTTGCCCGCCCGCCCGACCAACAACCTTTTGTAGTGGACTGTGGGACCCGATCGCGAACCACCTGGGGCATCTATTGGCGAGGGCTGGGCTGTTTGCGGAGGGCCCTAACGGGCGGGAAAGACTTTGGGTTTACCAACCGAGAGATATGGAGTATCAGATAGGTACTGGGGGGTACTGGTCGTGAGAGGTTTTTGGGTTTTTGGATGGAGTCCTAGTTCCAGTCCCAGGCCCAGTCCGACCAACATTGTAGCTTCGAGGTGTTCTCTTAGGCACTCCAACCATCCTCCCCAGTAACTATCCAGGGAGGAATCGCAGCTCGAGAATCGATCATCACTGCCGTCGAAACCGGGACCGTCTCTCTGTGAGTTTCCGGCCCGAGTCTCGCACGCCGTCTTGCTCGCCACTGCAGGCAGGGGAAGGTTGCCGTCGGCGATTTTTGCTGTGCTGTCCTGTAGACGATGGACCCTGGATAGTCAACCAGTGTCAGTGCTTGTAGTGTTGTAGTGGTTCATATAGACGAAGACAAAGGAGAAGAAACCTAAACTTGAGGTTAAAGCGGTGGACGCATGCGTGAACATACTCTCCGACCCTACTGGCCAATCAAGGGAGGAAGCTCGAGTCGAGTTGTGAGAACAATCCCATGTGGATGCAGCTAGGTTTTGACTTTTTTTCTTTCTGCGGTGGAGCTGCGGTCGAGGGCCGGGCCGGGCCCGTGCGGGCCCGTGCGGGGACGGAGGTTTCCACCGGTGACACCGGAAGCGATAACAGTGTTTACTTCAGTGCATCGTGCGTCAAAGGCTATTAGATATTCGGTCTTGTTTTTTTCTTTTTCTTCTTCTTTCGGTCGAAAACCTCCACAGAGCAGTCTCCAGAGTCCAAGGCCCAGAATCCCCATCCCCTTCAACACCGTTAAGCTTAGGCTCGGAGGAGTATCTCTTCGCTGCACATCGAGATGGGCATCGACGGCGTGTGTAATATATTAGCAAGGTATGCATAATTGGCCGCGAACAACAACATGCGAAGCGAGGGGTGGTGCAGCGAAAGCCGAAAGGGCCGCACGTAGTTACATTTGTACTGTGGAAGTGAAGTGGAAGTGGAAGTGGAAGTGCAGATTCTCCGCCGATGGATTTTTTTCTCTTCCCATAGCATGCCATGCCCCAGGATCAGGATCACGCTGCTTTTCTTTAGAATTCTGCATCCTCCTCGATTCTCCGGGACGGGCTGATTATTGCTCCATCACTCCCTCGCTCGCAGCCGAAGGAAGGAAAGAAACTCGCTCGCTCTTTGTCCGCTACATACACCAGTACACCAATACTATACACCAATACCGATCCCATCCGAACCAAACCATACGGCAGACTGATCGCAATAGTTAAGCTCATCACATCAACCTTCTCGAACAAACGGACGAACCAACGAACGAACGAGCGAACCAAGGAACGAACGAGCGAACCAAGGATTCAAAGTTTGTGCAAAGAATAGTCCTATCAAACAGACAGACGAACATACTTTCACGCTCGGTCGGTCGCGTCGATAGCAGCAAACTTCGTCCCAAACCCTGGTCCCTCTCTCCCGCTTCAACCAACTACAAATAACCACCCTCCCTCCCGCGGCGTTCGAGGCAGAGGCAGAGGCAGAGGCAGAGGCAGAGCGATTCACCCCCGGTCCGGTTCCTTCGATCCTCCTTCTCCATCTTTCCGCAGCATCCACCTCCTCGTCTTCCTCTACGATGCTCGCCGTCGCCACGCCCACAGTCGAGGTCGAGCCTAACCCGCCGGAATGCGTGCTCACGGTCCCGCCAAATTCCGGCGCCAGCACGCCCCACTCCCCCAGCGGGACGGACGGACTCGACGCTAAGGAGCTCGACCGTGCGCTGCGGAAGCTCAGCATTGTTATGCCGGAGGTGTGTGTGTTTGTTTACTCTATGGATGGCGGGGGAGTGTGGGGAGCTGGGGGCTGATCGGACTATCCATGTAGCTGCAAGTGTCGGCGACGACGACGACGACAACGACGGACGAGGAGACACGTGACGCCTGATCATCGCGACCGCGTTCGGTGGGGGCAATTAGGCGGAACTATCGGTGGTGCGATCGCGATCGAAATGGGGGGATAATGGTGGTGGTCGGTGGGAAGTCACGGGGGATTGATTGCTTATCAGTTTTTCTTTTGTTTTCCTTTTCCTTTTCCTTTTCCTTTTCCGTTTCTTTTTCCTTTTCCTTTTCCTTTTCCTTTTCTTTTTCCTTTTCTTTTCTTTTCATTTTCATTTTCTTCTGTGCCCCGCCGCATTTGTAAGTCCGGACTCCGGACATCCCAGGCGTGTTTTCATATGATGCTTACCTCATCCTTAGTTAAATAATGTTGACATTGTGAATTGGCTGACTGGCGGGCTCGCCGCACACGTCTATCTACTGAAGGATGAAGCAATGTCACGTACATCATACTTCAGGTATCGCCCCCACTGCGGAGGGAGGGAGGGAGGGAGGGAGGGAGGGAGCGGAAGAGCAACACCTGCGCGTCCAACGGTCTAACGGTCCAACGGTCCAAGGCTTTCAACGACACAAACCCCGCATCCTAGTGGTGTGATTTCATCCAGCCCACCCCTCCGCGCACAAGTTGTAGCCTACCTAGCACATTCTTGCACTTTCTTCGCCGTTGTAATGCGGCGCATGCTTTGCCTTGACTTGATTGCCCCCGTGAAATCATGCCCAGCAGCGGCAACCCCACGGGTAGAGTACACCACCGCCGCCGAGAGAATTAGAAGCCAACACTACACGTATACCCGTAGCATATACCGGTTGGTATGTGGTTGTCCCCTGAGTTACTCCTGGAGTCTTGAAGTCACGGTGCGTTCAGAGTTCAGAGCCCAAGCCTCGCCGCAGCCGGCGAAATGACAAATCCCGTCTCTGGCGGACCACAGACCACGGTCCATCGGACATCGCCGGGTGTTTCCGACGGGCTTAGTTAGTGGGGGAAGACTTCTTCTATGTAGAGCTGGCCAAAAGGGCAACTTCTATCGTATCTTTCTATTGTTAATTCGATTCATGTCAATTCCGACGATGACAGGCTACATACAGCTCGTATATCCACGCGGCTGACTACGCCCAATCAACCAAGCGGTTTCAATGGTTTCATCGACACGTTGCGTAACTTGCGTCGCTGGTGATGTACAATACATATCGGACATCCTCCCATGCCGCTATTTTTTCGCTTATGTAGACGTGATTTCCCTTCCCCACAGACCACTGAGACGAGAGACCCCGCAGGGTGGGGGTTGGGGTGGATTAGCCCTAGGGAGATCTATGTAGAGTACCACAGCCTACATGCTTAGATACCTTGTACATACATTGCTGCGTCCGTGATTGAATTGCGTAGAGCACAATACAATACATACACACGGATCTGCGGACGATTTCCTAGGCTAGGTACTTTGTACTATCTATATTGCCTGATATAGTTTGCATCCCGAAGGCAATCTTCATCGCTGCCGCTTAATAATAAGACCACGACGTAGCTTGTATTGTACATACCAGCCGTTGAAGAGCTCACTGTTTCCCCCGGTCGGCATTGGTACACTATTTAAGCGCCCGCCAGAGCCCGCCGCCCGCCAGCGGCCAGCCTGCTGAGAATTCCGATCCGTCGCAGGTGCAGAATGAAGAATGCCGGAGGCGGGTACCGTAAATTGCTCCGGGGATTCGAAGAATCGAGCAGCTACATCGTCCGCCCGGCGCCCGCCCGGAAGCTTATCGACCTTGGTTACTGTACTAGGTACATAGCCTAGACAGTGGAAAGCAGTGTACTTATAAAAAAAGTCTATTCGAGTGCGGGGCGATACTATACACTTTATATCTAGACTTTACATTGACTCTAGAGTATTGAGCAGTATTGTGGTGTCAATTACTCTAGTTGGTGCCAACTTAAATACGGTTGCCTCCGAACTTCAGAGCTCTTACAGGAAACGGTTGTAGCACAGCAGTGTTTCCCGCCAGACACTCCCACCAGTTTCATCACGGGTTGTATATCTACAATCCAGCCGGTATGGCTTTCTCTGTTGATGCTGCCACTGCATCGCCGGAACCTCTGCGCTGGAGTGCTGTGCAGGTAGCGATTCAAAAGTCGAGACTTCAAGTACGAGCCGGGCAATGTCCGGACCCAACCATATCCAGATAAACTCTGTACTCTACAATAGATATTATGGAGGAAGGAAGGAAGGAAGGAAGGGAAAATGCACTATCGAGATTGGAGCGAGCTGCGAGCGTGTTGTACTCCGCTGTGCTATACACTGGGTCCGGTGAGTGTAACTGTGCAAGTGCAGTTTTAGCCAATAGCCAAACTCACTCACGACATCCTGCGATTCGCAGCAGTATAGTGTAAGAGGTTCTCGATGGGATTCCACGGCGCCTTGTGCGCACAACCCTTGCCGCACAGGTGCATTCGGCTTCCATCCAATATCCTCTCAGCCAGCATCGCGACATTTTCCACGTGACTACGTTGCGGAGACTTCCGGTGGGGGTGAGGCGAGACAGCAGCTGTCGGTCCGGGGCGGCGAAACACAGTGGCTGGATCTTGCCATCTGTCGTATTTGGCGAGTCAGCGATAGGTCGTAACTTGGAGTCTTGGACTGCGCTGCGGGCTGTAGAGGATAGATTTCTGCAGGAATCGTTACATGCGCGGGATGCATCGGATATCACTCGGGTGAGTTCGTAAATCGAATCGATGATAGTAGCAATCTGGTGTGCCGCCGGCAGCAGCATAGCTAGATAACGGGACGGGTGCTTCTCCTGGACGAAGTCGACGTGCTTGACTCCATGGTCCCTGTGGATGGAGAATTCGCGACCAGGTCCCGCGATGAAGGACTGTAACACCCAGGACTACAACCTCCAGAACTTTCGGTGTTCATTCACGGATCTCGAACAGACTTCAAGGGGACTGGTTCTCCGTTTGGCGGAGCAATGGAGGAGCTGTCGGCGAGAGGAGGAAGTCAAGGAGGACTCCTGTTGGCGGGAGAAACCGAATGTGGTTAGTAGCGGTGGGCATCAACGTTGGTTGCCATGGCGGGATCTTCCTATTCTTCTTCTTCTTCCTTGATAATCATCTACAGAATAGACAATCAACCACCATCTCCTCTTTCTCCTTGTGTGTTCTCCTTCTCTCGACCCATCGCTTTCCGGCCCTGAAGAGGCATCGGCAAAAAGCCCTCGCAAAACCATCGTCTGGCGCCATGGTACCCAGTGGAAAGGCCATAAGGTACGCAGCCACCACACCCGCACTGAAAACGGCCGTCGACCCTTGACAGAGCCACCACCTGTACGGATGCACAAACGGCCGATATATCTGAAGGACGACCTACTACCTACCCACAACGCCCTGACTAAACGAACGCCATCCAGGCCAAGAAACAGATCGCCACCTTCCACACCCTGCCGGAGGGACCGACTGTGAGATCTACTGGTGCTCGGGTCAAAGACACCCATGGGAATGAAAAGGCTGACGAATGCGCCAAGCTGGCAACTGAAGGTACCGAACGGGCCTCTGCCATTGCCACCCCCTTCGCTCGACGCTCGCATGCCTGAAGGTTAAAGCGTGACATCACTGACGCCAAGTAGGAGCAAGGCTGAGGCCAAGGGCCAAGGCGTGGGCACTGGGCTGACGCGAGTTTCACTTACAAGAAGTTTCAACTTTCACGTACCGACTCAGTCGGAAACACTGTTGGAAAGCCGATCCGGATCCGGTTTTAGTATAGGCCGCTCGGCGCCTTGCCTCGAGGTTATGGCCATCACCCGTCCCGACGGCCGGTGCGGCGTTGCAGATGTCTGCAGGTGCGTTCTACACGGGTCTTCAGGGAACCGGGGAAGCCATGCATGTCGAGCTGGCCATAGGAAACGGAGTGGGTAAGGTATTGCCTCGATCTACACAAGTTGCAACTTGCAAGCAATCAACTGACCAAAAACCCCGCAGTACGAAGCTCCGAACGACGACGCATTCCGGAGATGATTCGCACGGGGCTCCTCATTCAGATCCCCCGTGGAGAACGAAGGAAGAGGAAGCCTCCCAGCTTCGACGTCCTATCGCGATGTTTTACGGTACCTACTCCACGCGGGGACCAATGGCCATTTTCACGACTCAATCCGCCAAAGGCGACGCACTACACCTGCAGCATCTAATCCTATAACTGCAAACGGGTCACATTGCGAACTTGCGATACGCCTCTGCATGCGCATGTGCAGCAGCAGCTGCATGCCATCGCAAATTTTGGCCGTTGACTGTTCTAACTTCTGCCTGCACCCCACCATGCGTATGGGGCTCCTGGAGTCTGGAGGATTGTTTTCTTGCTTTTTTGATTCGGAGAGTCCAGATCAAATCAGCACGCAGTTTTTTTTTTTTCCTGTCGGGGCTTTGCATACATACAGAGTGGGGCAGAATGAGGGCGCGGGGATCGGAGCTCGCGCTGTTTGCGCTGTGAGGACACGCAGCACATGCCGCCATGGGATGGATGGATCGCTGAAGGGTCTCACATTATATAAGAGGTCCGTTATTCCTCCTCCCTGCCTCGTACTATACACACCAGCACGACACAGCTCACAGCACCAACTCGTTCGAACAATACTCTCACTGGCACCGATACAAACGAATTCCCCGCAACCTCCGCAGCAAACAGGCAATAGGCAGATCGACTCCTCCCTCGTTGTCTCAACCACCATCTCTTCCACCATCATTTCCGCCACGACTCCCGCGATGTGGAAGTGTCCCAAATGCGAGGCCCTCATCGCCGACCACTACCGCTACTGCCACCAATGCGGCCGCCATCCCTTCGTCCGTCGGACTGGTAAGTCTTGTGCAGCCTTCCTGTTGCGCCCACGAGTGCTGATGGGGAATCCTAACAGAAACCACCGAAGCGCTCGACGAGCACGACGACGACGGCAGCTTCTTCGAAGGTCTTTTCACGCCGAGTTTCTGGTGGCGGAGGGTCTAGGAATCGACCGGGTTGGTGTTTTTTCAGTCTTCGGGGTTCACTTGGGGTCGGTCTTGTACCTGCATTCTTTTTGCTTCTTGCACTGGGTCGGGGACTCGACTCGGGGTCTCTCTCTCTATCTCTCTCTCACGCGCGCGATGGGTGTTGTACTGTACTCTGTTTAGCGAGGTAGGACAGCAGTAATGTACTATGCTGTCATACCTACTCGCCGGAGACTTTGCGGTGTGCACACACCCGCGATGTGATTCGAAGGCGTGGGCGTGCGGGAAACCGTTGGCTGGGCTGGACGGATTTGCAGCCTTAGATAATAGGCGGACACTCAAGATTGCAGCAGCAATGATTATGTACTCGGGTGTAAGGGTAAGTGCTGCCTCACCAGTTTTTACCCCATACAGCTTAGCGTTTTTCCTTGTAATTCGTAATGGTGGTGAGGCACCACTTATTGGCAGCTCCTGGTACTGTACCTATGCTGCTGCGCTGCGATAGTGAGTGGCTCGTCGGAAGCGAGCGGTCGGGGTATTCGCTCCCAGCTCGGCGGGGTGGTTCAGATTGCTTTTTCTCCATTTTCTACTGGGGTAACTCGATATCTATCCTCCGAAGCCGTGGTCGGAAGGAAAACGCCACGCTACGGTTAGCTGCGGATAGATTCTACCACCAGTGACTACCGTTCTTCAGCCGCGAAAGTGGCTGCCCGTGGGCATCTAGGTGTGTACTATGAAGTACAGAACCTTCCGCCAGGTACCTAGCCACACGAGTAGTTTCGAGCAAAGGGCGGGCTTACTGTTCTGTTCCCCGGGGCTTTGGCGGTACACATCGTTCCAGAACGAAGAGATAATCCAGCAGAGTGAAGATACTGGTCCCGTACTCCATCAGCATTGCAGCAGCCCACGTCCCCATAATTTCTGCACCATCTCGCACGCGGTATTCTCCTCTCGTTCAGCGGCCAGCCGCTATCCGACCAAGCCCGCACTTCCAGCTTCCAAAGATCCAGCATCCAGCATCCAGCAGCGCCAAGCAGTCGCGAATCGCCGCATCTTACCGACCGGCGACCGGTCCGGCGCATGTCTTTCTGCCTGCAGCACCTCTTGGCCGGGCTATGTTACATACATCTTTCTGACATGTCGCATCTGCCCCACTGCCCAGTGCGCCTCGAAGAGCTCGGCGGTCAGCGTTGCACGCAGCCATTAGTTATCGGCGCTCTGATGTGGCATGCGCCGTGTGGCCTATGGAGCAGCAGCTGCTGCTGAGGAAGTGCACGTCAAAGTGCAACAACCAGCGACGGGGCGCGACGCACAATAGAGGCTCGGAGGTGTCTTCGGATCCAGTTGCGAGGAAAGGGTATGCCGGCGAGGAATTGGGGAGGGACTGGGAGGGACTGGGGGGGACTGGGAGGGCGGGAGGGAGGGGATGGTTAGCGGCGATCGCCGATATTCATGATGCTATGGATGTATGTATGTGGATAGGTAGTTAGCCTTCCGCGGATGCTGATAATATGTGAACGACGTTCTGCGGATATTTATGATACGGCTCTAGGTACCTACCTATGTGCATGGCTGTCGGCGCTGCCTCTTTCCATCTGGATACGGTGTAGTTAGCCACAGAGGAATATCCGAATACATATTGTACATATCAGAACTCACCCACCCGATGAACTTCGCCAGGTGAACCGGCGTATAGTCGTGAAAGACTGAAGTCCGAATGGAACACACACACACTCACCCTCGCCGGGAATCATCGCCGCAGACATCCTCTTACTCGACAGCCAAAACTTAAAAGTGACGAGTCGACAACCAAGTATTACTCGTGTGCAATAATCAATTCGGCACCTTACTCTAGCATTGCAGCCAGCCAGCAAAGCGATTGTGATATCTGCAGCCGGCGAGCTGACCAAGCATTGTAGTATTTGCACCTCCGAATCTTGGACTGCCTATATGCCGCCGACGTGCATTGCACCGTCTCTCGTCACAAATGTTTGTCCGAGTGTCCGAATGTCCGTGGAAGGGAGGCAAGAGGCAAGTGAAGCAGTTGGGAGGCGTTCTGCGTTTGTGCATACATACTCCGCGACGCCGCGACGCCGAGGTGAATATGCAGCGAACCAACGAAATATATGTGATAAGTACACTTTGCACTACCACCGCCGCCGAAAGCCACTGGGCACTGGGCAGTGGGGTTGGCTTCACCGGTCCGTCATTTTCCGCCTTGACATTCAGTAAAGCATTTTCTGCCCAGTGATTAATGCTAAACTAAGGGCAGTACTGCTGTAGCCTGTAGGTATGCCGAAAAGAAATGGGACGGAATGAGGCTTTCGCGAGTGCGATACTGTGATTCTGAGCGGGTTGCAGCTCATACGCGGGTTTCTGCCGTTCAGCGGGTTTCTGTCGCCACGAGGGTTTCTGTCGCCTCGCAGCATCGAGATTCAAGCATAATATGTGACCTGTCACTTACCATCTATTCATATCCTAGCATGCCGACTCCCGAGCAGAAATCGGACGGTACGAGACTTTCGTGAGTGCGATCCCATGATGCCACGCGGGATTCTGCTTCTACGCGGGAAACTACCGCCACGCGGGATTCGGCCGCTTCGCAGCATCGAGCTTACTCCGCTTCCGCACCGGAATGCTCAATTCCTTCGATTTCGCCTGCTATCTATGAGATATCCGAAAGCACCACGTTTCAAGGTACATAGTTCGAGCCGGGCGCAGGGGCTGACCACCAACCACTGTCTACACCCGTCCTTTTCGCTACTTCGTCCTTCTAATCTTCATCCACACGATATACTGCTTCAAATCTGCACCTTGTGCAGTTCGTGAAAGGTCCTTGAGGCTTATAATTGGTATTCCGTTTGTGGGCACAACCAAGAGACTGAGTTGAGCGAGTGATGGCACATGAGTTCTTCATGGATATCACTGTTCGGGTGTTGGGTCGGTTTTCAACTGATCCAAGACATGCTCTCGAGACATGAAATTATCAGCATCTTGTATGCGCATGCTAGGTGTGATACTAGGAAACTCAATGATTGATTAGCGAGCAGTGAATTCCGGAAATGAAGATACCTCTCCTATTGTCAAACGTTCCTCCCAAATCCAAGCTCAGATGGACACGCTCCAGGTGAATGTTTGAAGGTTTGCTGTCCCATTTAGTAACATTTATTCCAGCTTACGATGAAGCATTATGACGAGATCTGGGAAGATGCGGATGAGCGGGGGGATACGTCGATTATCCATATATGCACGGCGAACCAGGCATTCCGTACGCGTCATACTACCACCGGCGATTCTCGGAAGACCGTCTCATAACATGAGTTCTCTTGGAGTCTTGGAGCCAAAGGAAAGGTGGAAAACTGAAACGGCCATTTCACGCACCTGAATGACATGCTAGAAGACATCCTCCGGCTTCTCCGATCACAGTCTATCAATCGCCCGTCGCTGAGATCGAGATGTATTTCTGCCCATCCATCGGCCGCCATGTGGTGTGTTTTGGTGAGGAAACGCAAGCGTCAATGACAATGCTAGACTAGGTAATTAGAGCTCGCAACTTCGTGAGAAGACTGAAGGTAGTCCCCATTCACCCTCATTCCTTGTTTTCTCATATCTTCAACAATCTTCGCCAACTCCTCTCCCACCTCTTCTCTCCTACCCTCAACAACCTTCACAGACCTTCATCACCTCGCCTAAACCCTCTTGATCGCCAAATATCTCACACCTCAAACCTCACACCTCACACCTTAAAGCACACACTTTCCCAACCAACCATCGACAATGTCGTCTCAAGAGTTGATTTACTTCAAGCTCACTGCCGAAAACGTGCAGAAATTCAATCGGGAGCGGGGGGATACCATCCAGGTAAGTCGTTTCCCATCTGGTCCGACGACGAACCAAACTGATATCGATGCGCATTATGCATAGGAACGCCATACCGCGGAGCTAGTGGATTGGGTCACTACCCTCCACGAACCCCCCAATCTCCGAGACGTGAGGGGAGAAGGAGAAGGACAAGAAGGCCAAGAAAGCCAAGAAGGCCGCCGGAAATGAGAAGATAAAGAAGGTGCGGGATATAGTTCGAGACAGCGGTTGAATCGGACAGATACTGATGTGTCACCCATTAGCTCAAGGAGAAGAAGCGAGAGCTCGAGCAAGACCTCCAGCTCAAGAACAAGTAGGTGGATCTCTTCCTCGGACGCATCTGCAACATGCCCGAGAGCGAGATGGCGCAGGATCCCGAGCTGGTGTTGCGGAGCCTCTACTTGTGATCCTATTAGAATATACCTTTTTTTTGCCCCTACGTTTGTCTTGATGCTCCGCGTGCGTAGCTCATCGTGCTGTATCTATGCCTTATCATAAGTGACCGAGTGAGCCCAATGTGAACCCCCAAATCCGAGCACGACTTCTCTTCAAGATCAACAAGCAAACACATAATCGGTCTCCAAACTTCATCCCACCCAACACCACCATTGAAGTCCGACCGTAGTACCCTACTCACATCAAACACGAATTGAGGCTCCACTCATTCCTATGGCCTTCAACCGTCATACCATGTGAAAGTTCCCCCGGAGTCTACAGCTTCCGAAGTTTATACCCCAGCAGACGGTCCTTCGGAACAACATTCGTAACAGACTTCACACGGCACAGCTCATTTTCAAACCCGTTCCATTCTCCAAGCAGTTCAATCTTGAATTGACGTAGCGGCTATTTCCGGGCCCCATCGAATGCATCTCTCGTTCTAGCTCTTCATCTCTTCTTCTCCTTTTCCTCTGGAGTGATATCCACTAAACTTCGCTTCTTTTCGATGCGTTGTAGATGTTGGGATCTGGTATCTTGAGCTGTAGATAAATATACCAATGGGTACTTTCCTGGTAAACATGCACGTTCGCCCCCAGGAAACAAATGCGTCATGTCGGTCATTATGTATCACTCGTCTTCGTATTTCGCGCAGCTGGCCGTGCCGCAAGCACAACCACACATACTGCACCGATCGGACAAAGACTGATCTTTGCAGACGAGCGGTGCAGCCAAGCCATCCTTGACTTTCTTTCCTCCACAGCTGTGGGCAGGCGGTTCCCAGAGGGCGATGAGGAAGATGTAGCAGGCGAGGTGTTAGAATGGGAGCTGAGGGAGCGGGAAGAGAGAGCGGAGCTGAGGCGACTCGAGGAAGCGGCGGAGGAGGGCTCGGAATTTAAGGAGCTAGGCGATGTAGAATAGTGGACCGGAGACGTGCGGCGGCGTTGGAAAGACTGAAGGGCGCGGGGGCGAGTGTGGGTGCGGGGACGAGTGCGGGCGTGGGGCGATATACTTTCGGGAAAGGCCAGGGCGGAGGGCAGGGAAAGCCACATCGGGCCGCTCAGTGAAAGCTGGGTTGGACAGTGGCGTGGACAGGGGGGGCGAACGCGGTGACATTGCCATGATCTAGATAGGTCGCATGCAATTACTGATTGAACTAAAAAAAAAAAAAAAAAGGCTGAAAGCCCGCTGTTGTGCAGACCACAGGTCCTTTCGGGCTCCGAGACTATGTATGTGGTGAATAATGCTGTCTAGTAGTTTGGCGATTTCACGGTGGTAACTGGTTGGACACGATCGTTACTCCAACTCGAAGCCTCAGTGTCTCATAATGACCATGCCATCGCACTTTGCCCTACTGACACACTGCCGTTCAACCTGTAAGCCTTTGCCCTTTGTATTAGAAGCCGCGCCAGGCGCAATTATGCATTACTTTCCTCTCGCCATGCCTATTATTATTTTCGCGAAAATTGCCGCAGAACCTGTATCTGCAAAAAACAGTGGAGGAAACTTGTAAGTGTATCACCCCCTTCGATTCTACGCGAATCCCGCTAATTGCCAGTCGGCAACAGATATAATGGCCCCAGGTGTAAAGAAACGCGGAGAGCCGGCCGAACCGGACATTCCAGTTCTAGTTAAAAAAGACACGCCAACAGCCGGCCGAAACGGCTCCTGAAGTGGAGATCGTCGGGATGGATGCTGCAGAGACACCCAATGAGACGCCAGACTCGGAGGGTGCCTCAAACTGGCAGATTGCATCATATGAGGAGGAGGCATCAGACCCTGAGGAGGTATCATACCCTAAGATCCCATCATACCCTGAGAAGGGATCAGACTCTGAGAAGGGATCAGACTCGGGGAAGGGATCAGAAGAGGAGGCCTCAGACGAGGTGAAGGCATCATATTCGGAGGAGGTATCAGACCCTGAGGAGACATCATACCCTGAGGAGACATCAGACCCCGAGGAGGTATCATATCCTGAGATCCCATCATACCCTGAGGATGCATCAGACGAAGATAAGGCCTCAGACGAGGACAAGGCACCAGACGAGGAGAAGGCATCAGACGAGGACAAGGCATCAAACTCTGAGAAGGGATCAGACGAGGAGGCATCAGACGAGAAGAAGGCATCAGACGAGGAGGAGGCATCAGACGAGGAGGAGGCATCAGACGAGGAGGAGGCATCAGAGCTATCAGAGGAGGATACTCCCAAGCTATATACCCCCCCGAAGATGACTACTATTCGCCATGCGCGAGCACCGGCAGCACCGGCAGCACCCGCAACACCGGCAGCACCCGCAGACCCGGGCCGAGGCCGCTACGACTTGCGCAAGCGTCCGATCGCGTGCCCGGAAAAACTCGAGTATTACTACATGGGTGCTTTGAATTCTGATAAGAAGCGGACTAGTAAACACCTGTGTGGCGACCACACGGTGTGTGGTATTTAGGGCAGCGCCACCTAATGTAAAGTCATAAGTATGTACGTTGCGGTCAGGGCGTATTTAAATCCGACGGTCGGAAACTTAGGGTTGAGCCACGGAAAACGCCACCGGGAAACGCCACACCGCTGCCCTTTATAGGTATAGAAGACTTGTCGTTGGACAGTGAGGTGGTTGGATGGTTGGATAGCGGCGAAGTGAGGTAGCGGGGCAGTGGAGTAGTGGGGTAATGGGGGATCGAGTATGTTCGGATGATTTAGGCGCGGAGGGGAGGATGTATATGCACAGAGAGTAACCACCGACCACTTGCGGAGTGGGAAGGCGGCCATCCCGACGTAGTAGGTAAGTACTCTATTACAGTAGAGTACATATCATCGCCCGCGCCCGCGCTCGCGTTCCCATGAAGTGACGACACCTCCGCCCGCGCTCGAACCGACCCGCACTGACGAATGCACAGACCGGCGCATCGCGGAGGGAAACAGCAGGCGCACGATCGCCGACGCGTCTCTTCGCCGTCCGCACCGTCTATCCCCAGGAGCTGCTTGTTTCATGGGTTGCGGCTTGCCAGCGCGTTCGTGGCTGGGAAATGGCGGGGTCAGGAGGTGGAGGCTGTACGGTGGAATTGGAGATCTGGGGTATAGCAGCCTGCAGGGCTGTGGTCTGGGTGCAGTTTTGACGAGACAACTTCATGAACTTACTGGGGAGGCTCTCGTTAAGAAACGACGAATAACCACGCCTTGGTCCCTGTACACGGTGAAATAAATGAAACCCGAGTCCTTCGCGTTTCTGCAACACGAATGCCTGCCAGCGATCATCTGGGCGCGCAGAAACCTCACTTCAAGTTCGGTTGCGGGATTCAGGGAGTAACCCCTCAAACTTCACATGGGACCGCGAGTATAGAGAATTGCTTTGTGCCCAATTGGCCTCGGTTCAAGTAATTGAGAACAAAAGGAACCGCATTTCATAAGCCCCCATATCCCCGTCTCGCCAACTCCTCCTCTGCGAAATCAGATCAAAAGCCCCCAGAAAAACACAAATGTGGAAGCCCTTAAATCCACCGCTACCTCCATGGAATTGGATCAGGTGCGGAACTATGCAAGTGGGACACATTCCAGGTAAAATCGCTATTCCTCATCGCTGCGAAAAGCAGCGATCAATGCAAACACACCCTTCAGGAAAGCAGGCGGCAATGAATGAATGAGGTTTCCAATTAGGCACATAAATCACAGTAGACACGAAACCACCTCCACAGCGGGATCGGTTCACTCGGACCCATCTAGACATTAATCCGAGTCTGCACCTGCAACACCATTTTATGGATTGGGCGGTAACTGGGTGTCTATCAAGGCATGGGTCCGAGCGAATCGTTCCCGGGGACGTCTTTGTGCCACTGTTCCGCAGTGGCGGATGAGCTTGCGGGCGGAAAGGGCGGATGAGTTTGCGGGTAGCAGAGTTAAATGCAGGTCGATGGTACGAGAGGGAGGAGAGGGGGAAGGCGAAGGAGGAGATGGAGGAGGGGTGGAGCTGAGTTTGGCTGGGGTGAAGAAGTTGGGCGGAGCGGTTGTTGACTGAGGGTCGGCGGTTGGTTGAGGGCCGGTGGTTGGCTGAGAACCGGTGGTTTGCTAACGGTCGGTAGCTGGCTGACAGCCGGAGGTTGGCTCGCGGCCGGAGGAAGGGACGGGTTGATCATGGGTTAACCGCGGGTTGGTTGTGGTTGCCTGCGGTCGGAGACGGCGTGAGGTTAGATGGTGGGTGATGAAGGTTTAATAAGGACGGAGGAAGCGGAGGCGCATTATATATTCGCGCCAAGGGATTTTACCCGCCCATCGGCCAGACTTTTCTTTCGCCGCAGGGATGATGGATAAGATGAGGGCGACGATGATCCAACATTGATGGCATTTTCCCCCACGCGAGGAACTTCTGGGTCTTGCTAACGTACGGGCCAGCTCTGTCGGCGGGGAAATATGGATTACTTACACGTCCTTTTGAGGCGGTCTTTGCTCTCAGTGTCGGCAAGTGGAACCGAGGGTGTCTGTAGGATCAAATGGTAGTGATGGAAAGACGTCGCACTCGAGTTGAGCAGGAGGCAGACGCGCGAGACAGCTGTCCAACGTGAGATCTTCGAACTCGATTGTCGGGTCATTCGTGGGGGGGTCTGATCGGAACGGTTGCTCACGGCATCCGGTACGTCATCACCTGCGGCTGAAAAAACTTCGGCGGCTACAACCGTGGCGACATCTTCCGAAAAAACAGAGACGAGCTTCGAGCTATCCCCCACCTCGCCCCCTCCACCGCGACACACACCTTCGGCGGAATTCCGCGCATCCGCAATGTTCCCAAACATAGGCGTCGACCTCCTCTACCTCCCCCGGCTGTCTACGCTCCTCCGCCGGCGCGGCACATATCTCCACCGCTTCGCTTCACGGATCCTCACTGCCAGCGAACTCACCACGTTCCAACAAAAGCTGCACGGCGAGGACATAAGCTCCGTCGTGCGATGGCTCGGTGTTCGGTGGGCTGCGAAGGAGGCCGCATTCAAGGCCGGCGGTGTAGGGAGACGCCTACAGTGGAAGGAGGTTGAAGTTCGATATCTGGCTAGTGGTAAGTGTTCATCTAGTGGGGCGGGGATCGTGGGTTGGGCGGGTACTAACGGATTTCGGGCGCGATAGGACAGCCGTACCTGACGTTACCACGGGAGGGGATCACGGGCGGCCTGAGCATTTCCCACGACGGCGAGTACGTCGTTGCTATGGCCATGCTGCCGCCCGAGAAAGGGACGATGGCGGAGTGGGTGAAGGGCCGGAGGGAGGAAGCGGTTGCAGTACACGGATAGACACGAAGCGTAGACAGGTCGGGAGTTGTATTATATGATAGACGGCGGGGAACGCTGGAATTGCGTGGGTGTTTTCGGTACGGCGCGGCGCGAGGGTAGACTTTGCGATGTATTATGGACGGAGTGGGATCGGGAGATACGGTGATGAGTGGAGGTGGATCTGTCAAGATATCAGTGAACTCGGCAGAATCATTGCCCTGAACCTAGGAGACTCGATAAGGCAACATCAACGGCCTGCATTCTGCCGCTGTGTATAATCGAACCGGTTATCCTGCCATGTTCGCAAAACCGGGTGGCCTTTGCCTTGAAGAGTTGCTCGGTGGATCCAATGGGCACAGGGCCGTACCATATTCAGAATTCAGGTCACAATGCCTCCCAACACACGACACGAAATCTCCCCTCGTTGATACATTGCTTTTACAAGTGTTGCATTCCCACACGGACGACTCATATCCACATTTCATCTCACGACCACTACAACCTCTGGCCTTGGCGGACCGATTGAGTCACTATTCGGTGTGGTGGGTGTTGCTCGGAATCTGTTCTGTGTCAGGCTACGGAGTTTTCTGCACGGTAGAGGCTCGTTTGATTCCCCGGTGGTATGGAGGAGCTAGGCTCTTTCTAGTATCTCTAAGCGACATGAGCAATAGACGGTCGAACCCAGCATTCTATGTAGAATCTACTCCACTCCTCCCATATATAAACAAGGACCGTCCAACCAGCCCTCCTCCACCGCACAGCATTCGAGTTTTAGGACCTCCGCATCGCTTATTATGGGTGATCTTCGCTCATCCATCACCCTCCTACCTATTTCATTGAAGATTCCATTCTACCCATGTCTATAGTATGTATATTCCCCGCCGTCCGATAGTGTATGCAAGGCTTCCCTGCTGATCCGCTTCAAGGAGCATAAGGCTGATATGATTCAGATTACGGGCGTTCCGCGGTCGAGTTCGGCAGGCACCGTCCTAGTTCCCCACGATCCCGTCACCCTACCTCTTCCTTGGTAATCCCGTCCTGCCCATTTCTATACTCCATACTTCCCGGTGTCATAGTGTATGCAGAGTTCCCCCCTCTACCGTTGCCCTTCACTGGCTATTGCACTCCCATCACCGCATCGCCGTCGCAACACCGGCGCATCATGTATACCACTGTTGTCAGGGTGTGCATTATAACCGCACGTCTTCAGTAATGCAGTCCGGATGGGGAAACTTCATGGTTACGGTGGGAGCGATTGGTTGGGGCTGTAACGGCGAGAAGTGGAGCATATACAGTATGGAGTGCCATGTGGGAGAAACGACAACCCGACAATGACCCACCACCCGACTTTTGTCAAGTGGTCGATATGATTTCTCCGGCCCTCCGCCCTGGCCTGTCCTTGCGATGCAATTGGGATCGTTGGTGATGGAATTCTTCGAGAATGCCCTCGAATGTCAAAAACCGAGTGATGGGTGGATTGTTTTTGGTTTAATCATTGATTGCATGCGACCTAGCTACATCATGTCAATATACACACACTACACTCCGTTTCCATGGCTATACACTGTCCAGCTCAACTTTAGTCAAGCGGCCCGTTGGGGCTTTGCCCGCCCTCCGCAGTGGCTATTCCGGAAGATACCAGTAAATGGTAGGGCGAAATAAGGAAATAAAACTACGAAAGGACATTTTCCGATCCTCACTCCTGTCTCTTCACCAGGAGACGCTATGAAAGAGTGTGTGGGAAGGAACAGTAGGAGTGATCCCGTCCCCTCAACTTCAGCGTTCTCCACTCTCATTTGTTGAAATCTTCGGGAATCTCGGCGAATGCAGAAAACCGAGTGATGGGAGGTGACGTCGATGACGTATGACTCTGACAGCGAGTGACTGACCATGATATGAGCACGGAGGAGGAAAATGATGTAAATTGCGTATTTCTCTGCTGTATTCGGTAAACCCCTCTGTTGCCTGTTCTCGCTGAATCAAAAGCTTAACTAACTTGGACTTCATTTGATACACCCGCGTTGAAATGCTGGCCCCGGGCTCGGTTGGGTTCTCCGGGAGGCTTGCTTCCTCGAGGCTCCCATTGCACTATACACAGGCCATCTGCATTCGACCATCATTTCTGTAGCCTGCCTTTTCTAGATGCAATGTACCTTTACTTCAATCTTCTTACCATCTGACTTGATAGTTCGCACAACCGAAGTTGTGAACGTCAGTCACCAAAATGTAGAGTCCAAAACAAAAAAAAAAGTTGAAAGTTTTTGTCGGTACCATGAATCGAACATGGGTCTAAGCTGATTTGCGGAACCCACAAAGCTTCGTACTAACCACTATACTATACCGACTGATTGACATTACTACTCTGCACGTGGAACACATAATGGATGGCTCTAGTAAGATGCACGCTGAACCAACGGTACTTATGCAGTCTCACTCGGGATGCTCACCGTTAAAGTTAGATGTCCGGAAGGCCCTAGAAGATTCAAGATCCGGAAGGGTCTATGTAATGAGTTGACGGAAACGGCGATTGCCCTGGTCAGACGGACTGTGCGTGCTTCAGAAGCCGAATCATGTGGGTATCGAGTATGCGCCTTCGATCGATTGGGACTGTTTCTGCGGGTCCATCCAACGGTTTCCTTATACAAGTGAAATTAGCTAAGGCTTTACAAGGCATTCGGATTCTTCTACAACTTTTCCAGACGTATAAATACAGAGTAGCTTCGTCAGCCAAAAAAAGCTGCCAACCAACCAACCAACCAACTTAAAGCTACCCAGCCAATCACTCTTATCAACGGATAACAACACTCCTTTTAATGCTTTCGTCATCTCCTGAATTCCCCTCCGATGTCACAGACATTACCAGCCGAATTTATATCCCTTTCTCTCCCGCTTCGTCTCCCGAAATCCGCGCAGGTTACCGAACTTACGAAAACTGCGGAAATTGCGGTGACGCCGGTTTCGGCTGCCGAGCCTACAGAGTCTCGCTCCTACAGAGACCCCGCTACCGGCGAAGTATGCTATTCATACCGAGACCTCTGAGACTTCGCAGACCTCGTCCAACAACTGTCATGGGTCTTCAAACATCAACGATGTGTTCCGAGTTCCAGAATAGCCTACTGCGGGACGTCGGGAGCGCACCGGACATCGCAAAGGTGCTCATGCACCGTGACCTAATTTAACATCCCTCCCAAGGGATATACGCGGTTGGATAGCCGGTATGTGTCTTTTACCCTCGGTCTATCCGCAGTATCCGGGATTCTCACGTTCGGACTGTTATCAAAGATAGACCTGTTGAGAAAGACACTTCCTCTATGGAATCGGGAAGAGAAAACTCGCTACTTCCACAGTAACCACCATACCAAAGTGGATACTGTCACTCCTGATGCAACAACTGCGGACAAGACTCCTCCTCAAAGAGAGTCGGGAGGAGAAAACGCGCCATGAAATAACAACTGCTGCCAAGAAACTCGTCATGAAGCAACAACTTCTCACGAGACTCCTCCCCAAAGACTGGTGTATAGAGAATGTACTGGCCGGAAGAGATATGTAACAATGATACTATCAGGTACCCAGTCTCTCGCTATTTGCCAGCGACGGTGTCATTCCACTCCTTTGTAATGGCGGGCGTCCGACATCTCGCCGCTCCATCTCCGGACGTCTATTTTTTAACATACTGCCATAGGAGGGAAGGGAAGACGATGACTCTCCAACCAACGCGCTCCGAGACTAGAAACTTTGACGCGGCTCCTCAATTCGAATCGAGGAGAAAAGATACACCACTACCGCACCCTCCATCGGATGAGGATTGGATTAACGTCCGGATGGACGATTCACCACCATAAAGAGCATCGAGTTCTTACCCGCTGGAAGGATCTGCGATTGCAATTACCAGCCATTCCATCGGGAAAGTGGACAACAACCGGCTTGCTGGATATGCTGCTGAAAAAGCTGTGAGAATTGAGCGGTGCCGTTCGCGAGTTTTACCGAGACCCCGCTGGCTCTTGACGCCCCTGGGCTCGTGCTGTAGGGTCGGTCTTGCGAGATGACTAGCTGTGAAATGCCATAGAACCTACCTGTTACATGGACGTAAAGATGGTCGGAAGTGAAAGCATCTTTTCCCTTCCGAGTAGATTAAGCTAGCTGCTTCGAGAGCTTCAAAGTCTCCGAAGTTTGGAGGATCCGAAAGCTTAACTAGGAAAATCACACTCGATCGATAAACTGCTATCGGTGACGGCCTGTAGGACGTCCTGGGGGTCATTCGGAAAACTATTTCAAAGGCCGAAGCTCCTCAGTATACTCCTCGGGCACCAGGTATGGCTTGGATTGCTCCACCGGAGAAGCCGCTGAGACCGGAGAATCGCCGTAGGACTGTCGGATTCTTTCTGGCTAACATGCTTCGGAGACATCCGCCGATACCTTGAAAGCCTGCAGTGCTGATGGAAACCAGAGTGTGAACAATCCGGATGCTTTCGTCTTCCGTTTGTGTGGTAGGCAAAGTTGAAGTTCGGAAGTGCGAGGCGGGAAAGAGAGGTTATCACAGAATATTGGTTCTCAACTGGAGAAGCCGGTTAATTGCAGTAGATAGAAGCTTGAGCCCGAAGTTTTGAGAATAAATAAATCCTTATTTCTCATTTGACGTAGAAATCAAGGTTTTAGAGAACACAGAATTCCCGACTCGTCAATTGAGTGCAAGAATCAGTGTTCTCCATAGTCCAGTTCAAATTGCCAAAATTGAGTTCCGTCCAAGCATGAGACGAACAGTTTAAACAGTCCCAGTGCAATGCCCGCCGACTGTCGTCCACGTCACGTGATAATGATCCAAGCACTAGTCCCAATAAGGCCATACACTAGCTAGCTGCAGCGGGATGAGTGAGATAACGTGATTTTGTGCGGGAACAACCACAGCGAGGTGGGCGTCGCTAGGCACCGTTGTCTCGCCCTAGATAGCTCTGGGTCTCGATTACCTGCCGCTTAACCCTATTTGCGCTAACATCTTCAGGTGTCCAAAGTTTGACAACGTCTCTCGTGTTCCCCCTCTCCACATCAACACCACCCTTCATTCCTACACCGGGGAGCTCTCATCTCCCGAGACTTCTCCAGTGTTCCTCCTCTCCACATCAACACCACCCTTCATTCCTACACGCTCGGTAACACCTCACAAAACGCCCACCAACTGAAACACGAACAACATGTCGAACGACCCTGAAACAAAACGAGCTTCAACCGGCAACAAGATGGTGGATAAAAAGCGCCCCGCTGTGGGAACACCGATGCCAACGACGGGAAAGAAGACTCGCTCGGGTGCTCCGGAGGCTACTGAATGGGATCTGACGCCGAATGAAATGCACCGGTTCATTCCATCTGAGATCCGAGACTATGTCGGGAATGCCAAGGTATGGGTTTTGTTGATCCCCGAAAAAGACGTCAAGGCTAACCAGCGAAGTCGAAGGATGACTTTTTCAATAGAATGCAGGTGGCGTTCTGCTGCCTATTCTACCGGTGTCACTACTACTCGGAGAAGATGATTCTGGCGGTCGTCAACGAGCTCGATCCACAGGTCTTTCAACTCTCGGAAGACGACAACAAGAAAATCGGGAAGCGTTTTGAGATCCTCCTTACCGAGATTGCATCGATCCATATGCGGCTCACAACCTACTTTGTCAAGGAAACTACCAGGGGCAAGACGCTTTCGAAGGAAGTCGCCAGGTGCCGTGCTGCGAAGGTCAAGCTACCGAAACTCGATCCCAAGGAGGTATTGGAGGCTTTGCAGTTAACTCCGAGGACAGTGCGTCTCCTGTGGATGCCGATCGTTCCCGTTGTGGCCGAGGAGGAGTGGGGACCTTCCGATGCAGGAGAGTACATGGTCTATTTCAGAACTTTGACCGGAATCTTCCTCGCGAGGATGGCCAGACTGTTTTCGGAGAGACGTGAACAGCTCACTACCCATGCTCAGATTTTGCTCTTTTCCGACAACTCGCATCCGAAGGCCGACCGGGAGTGGCCTACGTGGAACCTGGAGCGCTCGGGGCTCAAGCACTACGTGAATGGGGTGTTTCTGACGGAGGTGGACCGCAAGAAGATCGATTCATACTTTTCCCGGCAGGATAAACTCGTCGGTGCGAAGCGACCGCAAGATGCGGATTCTGAGGATGCAGTTGATGAGGTAGACAAGGGGTCACCCGTGGCCACGGCCACCGACCTTCTCGGAGGATCACAGAACGAGGTTACCGGCAGGCCTATCTATTTTGGATCAGAATTCCGAGAGACCGGCGGCGTCGGTATGTCAAAAGAAGTGATGGGCGAAGTTCTTTCGGCGGATCAGCCTCACAACAACAGCCTTACTGGTGTCCTCCGCGATACGATCCACCGTCTCGAGACCCCCGAAGTCGAAATTGCGGAGATCGCCGCGTTGGCTACGGTTGGAGTCCGGGGACTTACGAGGTACGCGATGGAGCGTATTCTCGCCGAGAGTCAGATCATCGTCGACGCCATCCATGCCGGCGAGGGCGTGCTGAAGGCCAACAAAGACAAACTCTGGGAGCTGCAGCTAGCGCTTGCCGAACAGGAGAAAAAGGCGGAATGGTTGCGTGAGCAGCAAGACAAACTCCGTCTCTCAGATGCCGAAGTCGAGGAAAAAAACCGAGAGCTCGAATTGATGATCAAGAATAGAATGCGCTGATCACAAATCAGGAGTCCTATTTCTTTGCTTTTTGACCTTGTCCGCCACGAGCGTACATCGAGCTGGTACTTGCGGGCCGACTCTCCCCTTTCCTATCGCGTATACTAACCTTTTACCTTTTTTCTAGCTAGTCTTAATGTCGTCGATGCCGGTTGTGGTCGGTGCTGGGACGAGGTTCGAAATGCATTCAAATAGAGGTCGTTGATTGATTGATTGATTGATTGATTTTGGTGTCTGAGTCTCCCGTTTTTTTGCGCACCAAACCTGTACTGTAGATGACAATAAAAAAGCGAGAATCCTGAGAACGAAAATTTGTCTTGTAACTAAACAATTGTTCTGAAGTACGAAATTATCATATTACTTAGCCAGCCTCGACCATACACTTGTCAACCAGATGCACCGCTCCCGGCCAGACCACCAGCCCAAGAAACTGCTTCAGCTACAGTTTCCACACCATCTTCGAATCCTCCACCAACAAGTACCCACCACTTCGGCTTATTCTTTGGCCCCAGTGCCCCAGTGGTTGCTTGGCTGTTCTCGACACTGAAGACGCTTTCTAAGTACCGCAAGCATTCCTAAGAACAAAAAACAATAGAAAAACAGTTCAACGTTGACCAGCCACATCGCGTCTGATCGAGAGCACGCTCAGAAAACGTCCATGTACCTCACCCCTGGGCCTCGGCCTTAGGCGTTACTTGCCGACCCACTTAAACCTCCCCCTTTTAACCCTCTCCCGAGTCCCCAATCTAGCCACGTCTCCACCACTGAGTCGGGGTACCCTCAACCACCTGGATATTCGCACCAAGTGGGTATCAATGCTGTGTATTGCAACACAGGGCTTTGCAACACACAGCTTGTCGCCTTACTACACCACGACAGAGCACCCACCAAGACAAAACGGGAGAGAAAGAGAGAGAGCAATACGTTGGCACAGTAACATTATTTGAATTTTGAGTACAAAACCGCTCATCAATAATCAATCTTCGAGCATACGTGATACATTATTTGTCTGCGCATCCCAGCGCAATCCATCATTCGGGCGCCACCCCACCGCCCCTCAAAGCTTCCTTCTCCTCTCATCGAGAAACCTCAACATCTCTGGATAGCAGTCAGCGCTGGAACCAACCGACGAGCCCGAGTAGTAGACTGGCGTTGCACATACTGATGTCTACAGGTACGCAAGGTAGCTCACTCCATCACTCGTCCACCGCGTCACAGTAGGTTCGTCCAGTAGTCTATCTGCGACAAAGCTCACGACCTCTGGATAGTAGTCAGCGCTGGACAAACATGAAGACCAAGAACATTAGACAGAGATTGCACATACGGTCCGTGAGGTGAACCACCAAGAAGTAATGGAGAAAGACCTTCCACAAATTCTCCCCGGTCTCTGTCGACCTCGGGAACGTGATTAGCAAAATATCTCGGGAGACAGGGCTAGCTTGGTTATGCCACATACTGCGGGCCCTGGGGATATCGATCATCGCCTGCTTAAGTTGCCTGTAAACGTTATCGAAGAAGTCGCGTTCGAGTTGCGTCCTCGCATTGACTAATATCCTGCAGTTAGCGAAGGGCTCTGCGCATTAGAACCACTGGGAATGCTGCAGCACGAACCTCGACGCTCCAACACATGAATGTAGCGAAGGACAGTTTTGGGGAGGCGTTCGATGACGGTAGGCAGAAGGAGCGGGTCGTTAGAATGCCGTAGGTACAGCGCCTCAAGTTCGGTGAGCGTCCCCTCCGAGATGTATAGGTTCTGTGGGTCGAGCATTGTATTAGCGTTGGGGGGTCTGAAGTCGAAAATTTGAAGAGAAAAAGATGAGGGAGGTGAGTGATAGATGCGGTCGGAATGGGGAACTGAGAAGAGCGGGGGAAAAGGCCGGGTTCTTATATGATCCATTCGTGCCCCCGGATTACGGTCATAATTAAGTTACAGCACAGCTGTCATCTGCAGAGGTACGAACAAGCTTTTTTGACACTGTTGAAGTCTAAATAGATTTATTTTTGGCACTGTTGAAGTCTACATAGAGTGTACATAGGTATCATCCACCAAAAATAAAATCACGATCCGCCCGGAGGTAACTCTAATCATATGGAAATCTTAATGAGCAGCAGATGTCACGATTCACGAAGCCTCTTTCCCGCAATCTATACCCGGGCTACAACGGTACTACGCAGAAACGCGAATATTTCTGGCGAGGCAAGCAACTTCCTCCGGCCACTGGAAGAATTGTTTGGGAGCATGGCAAGACTTGGCTTCCTTCAGAGTACGTTGCATGTGGCATGTCAGGCCTCAAGGTTCGAGGTCTCGACTTTGAACCTTACTCCTTATAAATGATACGTGTAAGCTATAGAATCTTCCAGATCCTGCGTAGCATGGAGTGCATTACGACGTCGAGTCATTTGTGCCACCGCCCTTCACAGACAGTTACGTTACGGCACAGGTACGAACAGGCTTTTTGACACTGTTGAAGTCTAAATAGAGTCTACTAAGACTCTATTGTCTACGGATAATTATCCGCGGAAAATCGAAAAATCAGATCCATCCGAACGAGACTCCCTGGCTCTAAGTTCTACCCACATGGAAATCTTCATGGCATGATGGGCAGCAGATATCACAACCCAGCAAACCTCTCACCGTCATATACCGGATATGTCACTGATGCGACGCAGTAATGCACTTGGATGATCATCGCGACGCTAAACACGTCCAGGCTACTATACGAATCGTTTGAGATCATGGCAAGACTTGCGGTCCCTGCGTTATGAAGAAGACTTAGTAAGTTGGTATCCTTCCGGTGGCGTTGCATGTGGCCGTTCAAGCGACAAGGTTCGATTTCACCGCCTTTCGCCTTACGCCGTACCCCTTGCAAACGATAGGTTGTAGCTCTAAGTTGTGTCAGATCCTGCATAACCGTGAGTTTCTGTCGACGTCGAGTCATTTGCAAATTCCGCCACCGGTCTCCACAGAATGTTCGAGATTTGTACGTACTCAACATCTTAAACGTGCTCAACGTTAGAGCGATGTGGTCGCGTCTGGCATAGCCGACGACCACCTCTGCTTGCCGTGTCCGCACAGTCCTAGCTTCGCCGCCGTCGGGCGCGACGCAGGAGGAAGTGGGCACGGGCGCGGACACGGGCACAGGTCTTGCCGAGCTATAGCCTATGGTCATCGTCACTGGAAGAGAAGAGATCCCGAACACTGCCAGAACTCGCATCGCCGCCACTAGAAACGCTGGCCACACGTGACCACTCGCTTTCCCTCTGCCCTCGTCTGTTACCTCTCGTGAAGGTCATCCATGGCTTCGAGAACTTCCTCTTGTTTTCCGAAGTCTAACTGCGTCGCTACGTCTGATGGAGCTCCCACTCAGACGCCTCACTTGCTGGATCTTACTCAAGGACCTCCTGCATCCGCATGCCATAGCAGTAACGGCGAGATTTATTGATTGATAATTAATATGTACAGCATGGATCCGAAGGTTATGGCCGGTATAGGTATCTACAATGTTGAATAATGAGGAAGATAGAAGAAGATAATGAATTAGGTATAACAACAATGTTGTGAGTAGCGAGCTCTCTCTACTCACACAGCCGGAAAATTTGCAGCCCCCCCCCTACTGGTCTACTCTACTCTACTTCACATTTACCACCTTCACCACTCTCATCACCCTCCCTGTTCTCTACCAACATCATTCCTTTTCACTCACATTCACACACTCCTTTTCTCTCCAACCATCTAGAACGCCCGTAACTTCTGACAGCCCCTCTCCTCCCAATTGGCCAGTTTAGCAGCAACTCTTTTTTGAACCACCTCCTCATACATTCAGCTCCGGCTCATTCCATTGCACATTCCCTCCGCATTTCCTCCCGCGCCAATCCAAACTTCCACCACCTTCATACTCTTTTTCCTCAACGCCTCTAGAAACTGCAGTGCCAAAGAAACCGTCCTCATGTCCCTCAACCGTATAGCCTGTGGGTTGGCTACATAGCTAGGATCATAAATTCCTACCACACCACCCTTCACATACACCACATATGTATGCCATTCCTGCACCCAATCCCCAAGTCTATCATTGAAACGCAGAACTTTCCATCCTCATATTTTCCAAATGGTGTCAGCCACGCAAAGCCATACTTGAAGTCGCCCTCGTCTTGATGCGGCTCTGTCAGTAGGTTGATCAACAACTCTCGTAAAGAAAACAGCTCCTTTTCGATTGTGGAGGCGGCTGGCTTGTCACCGGGACCCGAAGAGCAGGCCGCAAATGTTTGCTGATACACTGTGTGAAGCAACGTATCCACCCCTTGGAAACACATGGATACAGTCTGCGTTATATCGCCCAGCCACATCTGGAGATCGCGTTGTAAGTTGAGCAATCGTATGCGTGTTATTGGAGAAGAAGAACATGTATGTCATTCCTGCACCCCATTCGCAAGTCGGATTGGCATCAGCGGAAATCATGCTTGGTGCTCCTGAGTTCATAGGTGCATTGTCCTTGACAATCCATACTTCTTTGCCTGGATTTGCTTTTTCCACTCGGATAGCATAAGCAATGAGGCGGGGATAAAGGATTGATTCCCGGTAGCGGACCCAGTCGGCTTGATCGGAAGCACGAGGTTCGGCGAGGATCTGTCCGTATATATCTTGTATCGTGTGATATTTCGTCGTATCGGGAATGAGGGCGTTCCGTCGTGGTTCTGCAACCCGTGGTCCTCCGTGGACTGTCATTGTCGTTAGAATGGAATGCTGCAATTCAATGTTTGCTAAACACATATACGTACCGTAGGCTACCTCCTGGGCATCGGCTTCAGCTCCTAATAGCCGTGACGGTGTAACTGACGGTAACCAGCCGCGCGCCTTCACTGGAGAGAGAAGACCAGGTAGTAAGCTACTGCAGGGCATCCGGTAGGAGAGTCGAATGGATTGTGATTGTGGGTAAGTACTTACAAGGAACGAGTAATGCGGACATGAGGTGGGAAGCAAGCTGGCGTAATGCATCACCGGAGCCACAGCCGATAATGTCATTGAGTATGACCGTGAGGCCGTCAAGCAGAAGGAAACTGGCGAAAGCCCGAAAGATGTGAAGAGTTCAGTGTGAACGGAAGAAAATGTGGTGTAGGTATCGTCGTCGGTTGCGTCGCTTGTGCCGAAGGCAAGCTCTCGGGCTCGTCCGGTTCTTGAGGTATTGGATCTGGACGCGGTCTGTCAGGCACTTTTGTCAGGGCCTTCTCCTTCCGGACGTTCTCTCTGCGTCCCATAGTCGACGTTCGTGTCACGTGGCTGGTAAGCTGACCTCAGAGGGGTTGGGAATGGCATCCGACAAACCACCGTTCGATGACGTAATCACAGACGAAGGTAGTATCAGACTGAAAATCCTTCAAGAGGGTGTATCCGGATTTGGCGCACTAGATGAGGGAGCAGGGGCCGGAGGGGCCCACGGCCGACTTTGGTAAGAGGGCTCAGGTTGTAGTCAGGGGCGAAGAACGTGGATCACAAGTCACGGAAGAAAGAATTAGGTGAGAAGGTAAGAGCGAGTCAAGATACCCAATACTAAAAGAGGCGCAAGCGGTAAAGAAATCAAGTGATGAACGAACAGCCGCCTGAAGAAAAGTGATGATGGATGATGAGCGACACACACAGTGATGAAGGATGATGAACGACACTGGCGGTGAGAGAGAGAGACAGACAGACCCGCCAGTATAATACAACAGATCGGCAAACTTTGGCCGCCGCCACATCGTCGTACAACCGTCAAGAAGAACACGAGCGACCAAAACAAAACAGAATCGATGAGCAAAACAGAAACAGGCCCACCCCTGCAGCCCCAGGTACGACAGCCAGTCCCAACGTCGTAACAACAAATCCACCCAAGGTCCGCAGCCAAGGGTCGAAAAATGGTGCCAAGACGTCAGTTCCAGCTACGTCCCACAGTAGCAATCCAGTAAGCCTCCCACGGATGGGTGTGTAGTCTAATTGAGCCCGTCCAAAGTCAGGCCTTGAAAGAACAGTCCCGCTCACGTCAAATAGTTTTTTTGCCAAGGCTGATCAGGCCCTCATGCCCTCATGCCCCCGGAAGTTGGTCTCACCCAAGTCCCACTATTGTCCGGACTGGTCCCAGTCCTCCGGCGCTCTCCGGGCATGGGAAGCCACCTTACCTCTCCACGACGCTCAACAAGCGATGGCGGCGTAGCGAGTTTCAGTTAGGCTACGAGGGAAAGTACTCTACTAGTTACCCCCGAATTGTTTGCTGTCGCTTATCGTCTGAAAAGCGGTGCACCGGAGTAATCTCATGCTAGCGGGAAGAAAGCTTGGCAACATTATGCACCAGGTAGACACCCACCTCTGAATCCCGTGCAAGAACATCACGTGGGCAATTCCCTGCCCTAGCCCTAGCCCTGCATTACATACCCTAGCCTCACCGACCCCTACCGCTGCTACACCACGTTCGAAACCCCACGATGTTTGCTTCGATCCTTTCGACTATGTCTCCCACATCAATTTCTATTTCTCTACCACATTACGTTCAAAACCCCACCAAGTTTTGTTTCGACCCTTTCCACCATCTCTCCCACATCGAACACCAATTTTGCAGAACGGCAATTCCACCATGGTCGAGGTATGTCATACGATCATGCACATTGCATAACATTTGTAGGAAATGGGAAACTAATATTTGTTTGAAGAAACTGCTGGTAACCAAGCTGGGCCCACCCGGCGCAGCATCGGGCCGTGGTGGTAGAGCTTTCTCTCGACCCCGCGCAGCTGGTAGGAAAGGTTGGGAAGTTGGTGGTCGCCATAGTATAGTAAGGCTGCATGCAACCATGAATTGATGTTCTGTCTCTCTCACAAAGGAGCAGAATGTCTCCATCGTTGAGGAGCAGACTTATCGGTGATCCGGTTTAATGTCCTCGGGCACCAATAGACCGAGTTGGGGAATAACCTCGGTGGGAACGGACGGATATCTTGCAGAATGGATATGACGGGATTTCGTTTTTGCTTCTATATATCTCTTTAAATACTCTCTCTTTTGTCTGCTCTTTTGTTCTGTATCTAGCAATCACATCTCCATCTCTCTCTCACTTGTTCGCTCAAATCCGCTTGACACAAAGACTCGCAGTCTGGGACGCGGTGTGGGAAAACTTGTCCCACACATCTAGGTCCTTGTACCTGACTAGGGGCTAGATGGCGTCGGCGACAAGAAATTTGGGGGCACATTGTGCAAGCTGTACGAGGAGGTTGGTGTTTTTGATATCGCCAGGCAGGACAAGCTCCAGGTAGGACGTCGCACCTATGATCGCGCTCAGCGATGTCAATTCCGCAGCCCCTCGGCTTGACAAGCTCTGGGATGAACTGAAGGCCCGGCGGCCCGCGAGGGTGGCGAGGCGGCGCTGGACGCTCGCGGTCACAGATGGGGTCCAACCTCGATCCACCTCCTATTTTGCATGGATCAGAATGCATGCGGAAGTTTGCGTACGGGTTCATCGAAATTTATCGCAAAGACAAAATCAAACGCATCTGAACGCTGCGCATCTGAAGACTTAATCTTGGACCGCCGTCGCCTAACGTGAAAATCCACCGAACTCTAATACTTCTATTCAGAGACGCAACTCTTCTAATGAGTTGCCCCTGCAGCCTGAAGATCTACTTATGAGCGGAGCCAGACATTTAAAACGTCGTCAAGAACCTCTGAGCTCCCCGAGGCAGATATCGACGATCACGCCTACACGTGCGAAGCTTTTCGCCAAAGGATTCATCCCATCTCACTGAGATTTAGCGAAAGCGACATCAATCATTTTCTGACCTCAGAATCCAAACAGGACACCTATGGAGTAGATTAGATCTCCGTTTTAGGTGCTACTCATCGAGAGCTGACCAGATCATACCGACTGATCTCACACACCGCCACGTTAGGTGGAACCCCAGGTACGGCAGCACAGCCACTCGGGAGGGCGGTGGTCACAGGTGTTTATTAGCCATAGGTCTTGAATTCAGTAGACGTGGCGGACCCACTGGATAAAGCAGCTGGACTGCCTACGAAAGACTTACCAAGCAAGTCCCGAAACGCTTTTACTGCGTGCGGGAAGAAAATTACAAGGCGGTCTGCCTTCTGAATGTTGATACCCGGGAGCCCGGGACTCCTTCCGGAGACTACGACGAAGCCCACAGCAGGGATCGCGAAAGCCCCGCTCGCTCGGCTTTCGTATCCGCCAAAATTGGACTGCGGCGGCAGACGTGGGCAACCGCAGTCCCACCTTCGGACAGGCATCTAAAGGTGACGAATGACCGGACCACGGGTATGCCTGGCCTCTAGGTAACAAGTAGTAGCACGTGACAATCGATTTCTGCAACACCATCCTCCTCACAACCAAATTTCGGCGACGAATGCCATATCACGTTCTCGCTAATGCTTCGCTTCCTCACGAAAGCTGTCGAATAAGCGGGTATGTAGATCGGTAGAGTTGGCCACTAATGAGTGCAGGTGAGGTCTTTCACTAAAATTTGTTCTCTCGCCGATCGGAAGACTGAACGTAGATGGAAATACCATTCACCAAACGTTTAAACCGATGGTAAGTGGAAAACAAACAGACAGCAGGAGTGTCGGGTTGGACACCACCTAAAATTCAACCATACAAACCTGAAGATATCCCAAGGTGCTATGTGATTTGATGGTAGCAGGACATGAGGCCGGTGAGATGGCTGTAGTTATATTTTACTCTGTTGTAGACAACAGCTTACGCAGCTCACGCATTATTCTCCGACTGCATCAGACCATCAACAAAAGTAAAGGTGCGGAGGCTGAGTCCAGGGATGAAGCGAGGCCCACAACGAGATTGCCATCTAACCGAACGGTGGGTAGGGTATTGTGGGAGGCAGCCGGTCCCAACGTCTTGGCACCACTTTTCGACCCTTGGCTGCGGACATTGGGAGGATTTAGTGCCAAGACGTTGGGACCGGCTGTCGTACCTGGGGCTGCCGGGGGGACCTGTTTCTGTTTTACTCGTCGATTCTGGTTTGTTTTGGTTGCTTTTGTTCTTCTTGACGGTTGTGCGACGATGCGGCGTCGGCCAAAGTTTGCCGATCTGTTATATTTATACCGGCGGGTCTGTCTGTCTCTCTCTCACCGCCAGTGTCGTTCATCATCCTTCATCACCGTGTGTCGCTGATCATCCATCATCACTTTTCTTAAGGAATCTGCTGTTCGTTCGTGTGCTTTCCTGCTTGTCACTTTCTTGAACCTAGTTCCTCTTTACTCTCTCCAAGTGTGTGCTTCTTTTAGTACTGGGTCTCACGACTCGCCTCTTACTTTCTCAATTGATCTCTTTTCTGGTGGCCCATGATCGGCGTTGTCCACCCCCTAATCATCATACTCTCTAACTTCTTTCCGTTTTCCGGCCACAGCTTTCACTGTGACAATTGGTAGCAACAACCAGCGGGCTCAGCCCTACCATCGGTCGAGCTTCTTCCACCAAACCCTCTGAAAGAGACCAATTGAGTCCGTCGGCGGAGAGCCAAGCGGAACCGCTGCAGATCTCATCCCTATACTCGAGGACGACGAGATGATGGACATGGAAGTGGCTCGTCCAGACGAACCCTTTTCGATCGGATCTGCATCTGATATCCCCATGTTTCGTACAATCGTGGGAACCAGGCCAATCGATCACCCCATCCCTACGGCGATTATGAAGGACCTGGGCGCCATCGTGAGATATTACCAGGTTCCGGGGGTGCAGACTTTATTTCGACCGCTGTCTGCTAGCAGGGGCTTAGCTCGAAGACCGGGGGAACCTGTGACGGGAGACGGCACGTGACCCCCCTCTGTCAGGCTGTCAGCAAGAGGTACGGAGCCTCGTGTAAGGCAAGGGTACAGCCTCGGTTAGAAGGCTGGACGGCTTGGCGTCTTGGCAACCGTCCAAACCTCGAGCTCGGAGGAGAGCTCTTCCTTTCTTCTCTTGTTCACTACTATCATCACCATCTTCTTCTCTTCTTGTTTGTCGGAGAACTAGGTTGCATACAACCTTTCCCCTCACGTTTTCCTTTCTTTAAGCCTTCTCCACGTGCTTCTCTATCTCGCCCGTTCCCTTCTCATTATCCCGACGGTTCGTCATCATCATCTGTCTCACTCGGCAACTCCACGTGCCCTCAAGCCTGGGCTCGTGCCCCACGGGAGCCTCAGACTCCCCACACGGTATCCCTCAAGGTATGTTTTTTGAATATATTCATCGATCCAGATGAGTCGGGTTGATGTTCTACAAAGATGCACCTATGTGCATAACGATGCTTGAGACGATGCCATGTCAAACATGGCAACCCAGGGAAACGGCTACGACTCTGGTGAGTAGGTAGTATGAGTCCTGGGACAGTTTATGGTTGCTGATGAAAATAATAGAACATCTATCCCTGAAACCTTCGCCTCTCGCAGGCCCGACGCGATCGCTATTGCGATCGGTAACCGCAAAGTGGACGTTCATCGTGAGCAAGCTGAGCAACAGAATGGTTTCTGTCCAAGATGAGCGCACGGTCAACTCCGTGGGTGAGTGATTGCCTTAGACCTCTGCCTTCTGCTCAAATGATGTTTATTAATTAATGCGTAGACGGCGACGGTGGACGCGGGTGAGGCATACAGTGTCTACACCTCTTGTCTGCCATGCGGTGAGATGCAATAAGATGGATAAGATATGGGGAGATCAGATTGCAGATTAGATAATGCTTGGGGGAAAGTGCTACCCACTATCATCCTCCTCATTTTCTGTGTCACCGTCTACGTGATACGACCTGCGCTTCAACAACGAGCTACAAAAGAACGACACATCGCGTCTTGCCTCATTCAAACCCCGTAGCTTTGCTCCTTGGCTTTCCGACGGAGCCTAGAGAATGGAGTTCGCTGATAACTCCAAGTTGATCCGTAACCATGGCTGTGGTGGCGCTCGAGCACGTGACCTATTCGCGTCAACGCGCAGTTACATGCCTAGCGTTGCAAGGATCGTCACATACCAACGACATTTTTTCTCCGCTGCGGAACCATACCACACCCACGATGCCACCACGAATACCTTCTCCCATCTTCACCGCGGTCACCTTCTTTTGCCGACGATGTTCTGCCAACTCCACGCGCTCAATCTCCAAGGCCGAGCTACGGGTGAATCACTACCGCGAGAACCCCAAAACGCCCAGACCGAAGCAGCACAAGCGTAAGGCCGCCCCGCCGCCGCCGCCGCCTCCTAAAGTCGATATCTCCTCTCCACCAGTCTCCTCTCCACCAGAGCGTCCGTCCGTCCACCCCGAGACCCTCAGTATCTTCCGCACGCTGCGCCCACAGAACCGGGTGTTCACGCTCGCCACGAGCTCGCACGCGATCGACCGGTCCCCGGCAAGCATGCTCGCGCCCATCGCCGGCCCCACGCCGCAGTACAACCATCTCTATCGCGTTGGCAGGGTTACCGATGCCAGCAAGAGTGTCGCTCGCGCTGTCGATGAGTCCACCGTCATTGTGTTCTTTGGCGCACGCGGCGTGTGGTTCACGAGGTGTTCAAGGTGGAACCTCCTTTTTAAGACGGGCGCGCTGGGAGAGGTCAAGTGGTACCTTGAAGCGCTAGTCAAGGCGCTGCAGATTTGCCGAGAGAACGAGGAGACCAGGAACACAAATCTGGTGTTGGCTACGGATAGCGCTGGGGTTGTCAAGGGCATGACGATTCAGGTTTCGAAGTGGAAGAAGAAGGCGTGGAGGGGGGATAATCGGCAGGAGATACCACACAGAAGTCTGTGGGAGGAGGCGGAGCGGTTGGTTGAGGAGGTGGAGGCGGGGGGCAAGACGGTGAGGTTTTGGTTGTTGTCGGCGAAACAGAATGAAGTTATGAGGATGAAGGCTGTGGAGAAGGTGGATTGGAATGGCGGTAAAACGGGATCATAGAATGAGAATGGTATAGAAGCCTACGGGCAAATCATCGTTCGTGAGAAAATACGCGCATGTACAGTGAGCTGATGGATATCCACATCATGAAGAATACACGAAACAGCAAAAGGTATGAACATTAGTCGACCGGGAAAGCGATGGGTCCGGTCACATGTGGAGAAAGAAAATCCCGAAGCTCACTGGAAGGAGACATCACGTTGAAATGAAGAAGCAGAAACAACCACACACAGTTACAAGTGGTTCACACCTCCCCATGCCCCTCTCCAGCATCCTCTGAAAACCAATACGAGTCCTCGCTATCAAAATTTGCGGCTGTTTCGCAAGCTCTCCTTCATGGACGAGTGTAGTAGGGCTGTCACAGCTTAAGGTAGGAGTACGGCGGTTCCCAGGCGCCATAGCCGGAGATAGTTGCCCCACTGCGGGACCACAGAAGTAAAGATCTTATGATACTGTAGTAGATATATCACTGTTGGACTTGGTACATCAAGCACAGCACTTCGACGCGGGCAACCCACACGAAGAGCACTGTGCGTTGGATCATGAAATATGTGTAATCTTCAACTTTCTATCATCCCGGAGGTGTCGGACAAATGTCCTTTGGAGTTTGAGGGATTGCAGGTGAGAGAGAGAGAGATCTTCCTGTTTTATTGGGAATGCAGTTGTTTCTGGTAGGCGAAGAGTATCTTGAGGTAAGAGTGATTAATTAAGTATTATGTACCGCTGTATCTACGACGCAACCCTGCCCGGGCACCCCATTACCATCCCTGATCCTCAGGATGAGCCACCGACCCCTCTCTCTCCTTCCCCTTCCCCTTCCCCTTCCGCTTGCTGTCCACGTCCTTCCAATCCCCCTTCCTCATCTCAGCCTCGTCCTCAGCCCAGTACCCCTGTTCCCCGCCCCAGAAGTGTTGCCTCTGGTAGTACTCCCGCCCCCAGTACTCCTCCTCCTCCTTCGCCTCCATGTCGTCCTCCTCCTCATCATCCCAATCCCACTCCTGCCACTGCTCTCCCTTCGACCCCTTCAGCCGGACGACCTTGGGAAAATCCAGGAAGTGCACGTCGGCCGGGAACGTGATCGTCATCACAACCGCCCGGTCTGCGGTCCGGTTCTGCCAGCTGAGACGGCGGAAGCGGGCACCCTGCGAGGAAAGCACAGTGGTCGGGTCTAGTTGGTACACACAGGTGCGGGACTGGATATGTGTTAGGAGGCAACGTATTGATTGGCAGGGGGAAAGGGGAGCTTGCCTCGCCGGAGTCTTCCTTCGGGGATACCTGCGTGCCCTTGGTGGAGGCGGACTTGTTGTTTTTGGAGGAGGAGGCATGCGGAGACTGGCTCTGGCTCGTGGAGCCGTACACGGACCCGTTCGACATTGCTACGGTGCTACGATCGGGTTAGAGGCAACGAGTGGTAGGAACTGCCGGCTGTACTTACTTTGATCTGGAAAGCTCGTTCGTTCGTGCGGTTGTGGAGGGATATAATCCTATATATGGAGGATGTGGTGGCTAAAGGAGACGATATGTAGGTTGAAATTGCGTGCTGTTCTTCCTTTCCGTATCTACTTGAGTATGTTCTTTGCGTACTGATGCAAATCGTATCAGCGAAAGGCTGCATGATTCACCGCGGGTAGGGTACGTAAGCTCATCCTCCATCGAAGTAAAACATCGGCCTCGGCCGTTTTTTCTTCAAGCCCAAAAGTTCAACGACAATCCCTTTCATTTCCCAACCTCTGTGTAGTGAGTGAAGTCGTCGATGATGCTAGTGCAATCGTATTTTCGACTAGATCATGAGGTTTGTTGGGCACTTGCGAGGTGAGCTTAACAGTGAGAGCGCGTGACGCGGCGATGACCTGAGGTTGGTAGCGTAGCTTCTCAACGCAAATACAGCCCTTGGTGGAATGTGGTAGAAACGGTTTGAAGACGATGGTGCCGACTAAACGCGTTCCTTTCCTGTCAACAGAGCATCTTTGGAAGGCAATGACAGGACTTGTCAGAAACAATATTAGGTCTTGACGAGTAGTGCGATACTTGTCGTCAGCCTGGAGAACTCACCTCTTACGAGTTCAAACTTCAAAGTACGCAACTGTCGCGGGAGAGAGGTCACTTCTTCATCGCGACACCTGTGAGCACTGAGCACGGTTCGACGGACGCAGATGTCAACGTCGTCACTTGTCCCGCTGAGGGGAAGCTAGGAAGAGCTCCTTGACTTCTCGAGTTGACCCTTCTGGGCAACTGGCTTGACGGTGAAGAACCTTGTTGCGAGATAGTGGGTGTGCTCGAAGCACCCAGATGCTAATACGCTCAGGGTTCGGGCGGCTAGATGCACTTATTGGCTGGTAGGGCTTGAAGAAGGTTTATGTTCTTCCAGAAGGGAGGGGGAAGAAACTGCAGACACGGCGATGTTCTAAATATACCTAGCGCAGGGCCCTGACACGACGACCGCGGGACGAACCTCTCGGTTGATTGACACCGCATGGTGGTATTTACTCTGGATGGCGTAATGTACTAGTCTAGATATAGGTTGACATGAGGCCTTCGGTAGACTCGCACAACGCGCGTTGGGCCATTTCGAATTGGCTCGCCGTTGTATACGTTGCTCCGGTGACGTTTACCATCCCATGCCGGGAAACCTAGAACCGGTTCGCCCACGTATCCCTTTGGGGTTGAGGGACCGTCGTAGCAACAACCCCTCCGCTCTTCTGTCCCTTCACTCCTCGTCCTTCATAAATAGACGTCGCGTACACCAACATCTCCCCATCGCTGTGCCTCGATAGCTGGGGCCGGGTCTTCTTAGGAACCTGGCCCTGTCTCTTTCTTCCACCGAGTACACCCTTTTTTGTGTCTCTACGGCTGCAGCTTCACGGGTCGAGAGGTAGGTTTGTTTTACACCCCCCGCCTCCGGTCGAAGGGGCCATCACCACATGGACGCTCTGACCTCCATACAGACATCGTGGTCTCCAGTTTCCAAAAAATATCGACGTCAACTTTGACACTCGACGTCTCGACTCTCAATCATTCTCGAGGCACCAGTTGCTACCCCATCGGTCATGATCATGGCACCCGACGGCAATGGCTCTTCTGGCATTACCGTCTAGCCCTCCGCATGGGCCGAGCGTTGGCCGTGTTGGTGCCAGTTGCTGGACTCGTCAGGCCAAGAGCAACGTCAAACTTTGGACGCCCGGAGACGTTGGCACGAATAAAGATCTGCGACGGACGGTCGACTAAGTGCCGCCTGGGTTGAGTAACCTTCGGCGCCACCTGGGTCGAGGAACCTTTGGACTAAGAAGCCTGAAGTCGGTATATAAAGAGAGACCTCGCCGCCGATGATATTGCTGCTGCATCGAATTGATTATCTCTGTCCTTCTATACAAATACCTTTACAGTGAGTAGTGGATACGTTTGCAGGCGTAATGCGGATTTCTCTCGCTGACCCCACCGTCGTGTAGACCATCAATCGGCTGTGGCCGGAGGCCAACCGGCAGACATGCTTGAACGTCGACTTCGACTTCGACAAAGTAGCCAATCTGAAATATTTATAGTGATCCCCTGTTCTGGGATGGGTTGAGGGACTTGTGTTAGTTGCTAAGACTAGGTCGTACGCGGCGGTACAGATCAAGAGTGGCTACTACAGCATGCAGTCGAGCTGGATTTCGACTGCACAGAACAACATCGCCGACTTGTATGGTCTGAACGAGCATACAAGCTCTGCCGACCGTCTGACGGCGGTCAATGAATTGCATCGTGACGATGCATTCATATACCGGGATAGTGACCGCGGGTTGCCATTTGCGGTAAGTGCTCCACACCATTACCGGTGTTTCTTCGATATCCCTCAGATCGTCTAACGCATTTATAGCGGCGTGTCACCTCCTTTACCGCGGAAGATTATCAGCTGCAAAAGTGTTTCAAGATGGATGGCAGCCGACTGCAATTGTGCATGTCTGAACCATTGCAAATAAACCTGTTGTGCTAACCGCATCAAATCCCACGGTTCCTGCACCTCCACTTCTTCAATAAGTCCCGTATTCATAATCCCGGACTTCACGACTGGTTGATCGACGAGCAACCTCCCTCGCTGATCGTATACGTGGTGACAGTCCTGCATCACGCATTGCAGGAGTGGCGGACGAGTGGGGGAGAGCCTCCATCGAGGTCATTGAAGAGGGCCGGCAAGGGTACCGAAAGTCGCTCAGCAGGGTGGGGCTATTACTTCAATATGGAGCACGATGGCCGTAGGTAGGCTTTGATATTTCTAAGAGTATTGCTAACGGTTCCTCCAGCGGTATATAGCAAGTTCTTGTCGTTGTGGGAGGGTCTTGACTCTCGGTTGCAGGACAAGACTGTCAGGTCGATACGCATCGCCTTAAAGACTGAGATACATTCTTCGATCACTGCGGACATGATTTGCAGAGTTGTCACCTGTATGAGATCGTCCTTTCACTTGGTATACATCCAAAGGCCTTTCTGAGGAGATTATTAGCAGAGTCGTCGCCGGTATGTTCGTTGTCGCGGTCCTACGTTGCGCCCTGCTAATTCCCTCCCCTCTTCAGCGTCACGTATTATCGAGTGCTGCTGGGCTCTCATGGAGTTCTATTTCTATGCTCAGTACGAATCCCACGAGAACGGCAGAATGTAAGGTACGACGGGCGCCAAGCGGCAGATATTGCATAAGGAGTGGCAGACCCTGATCGACACCGAGATGGTTGAATATCACGAGGAGGGAAGTGATTTCTACTTTCCGAAGATCCACCAGCTGCTCCGTTTCGGGGAGCAGATACGCCGATATAGAACCCTCAAGCAATGGTCTACCGAGGCCGGTGAAATCTCCCACCGTACACGGCTGAAGGATCCGTACTACAAGTCGAATCGTATCGCTCTGGCAACATCTACAAACAGATGATCGAATACTACCAGAGGAGCGATGCTTTCACCATACGGAGGCTTAATAGCGCGGCCCGGAGGGTAAGGTTTACTTCCGATCAAACCTATGTCGGGCCGTCCAGGATCGACACCTTCGGTACTCTGCACATATCTCTACTTGACGAACACCTGCAGAATGAGCTGCTGAAAGATGGAAGGCGCACGACAACAGTAAAGTAAGTTTTGAACAAAGGCGCATCGAGGACACGTTACTAATACCAACGGCTATGCAGTCAACGTTCACAGAACAGAAGAGAAGAATACCAGGATTGGATACGGAAACCGTTACCCGCGCGAGGCTGCGGTCTCGCACGTGACGTCATGATGTATGGAGAACATGGTAAAACGCTCCGTACACTGCCATGCAACAGAATTCGATTGCCATAACCTGTCGATCTCTTCTATTCCAGCAATTTCACAACGGTTCCTTTCGTACTAAGTTGAACTACTACAAACGTCTACTATTCACTGCCTTCTATTTCCCTTTTTTCCCCGGTCGAAAGGCCACCTGGCCTCAAACGAAGCTGAACGCATCTTCAGTGGGTAAGCATGTTTCCCCTGATGCAAAGGCTCCCGTGAAACTGATATCTGCACAGAGGTCGTTACACTATCAGTGCTCGGCGAGCGTCGCTAGGCGATGATATCATCCAGGCAGTGGAGTGTCTGGAGTCGTGGTCCCATGCGGAGGTCGTTCATGGAAGTGGAAGTTGGAGATATATGCGTTACCACAGTCCGGCGAACCCAAGAGGCATGACGCGTAATATGAGACAAGGTATTATTGAGGTGGGTTCTGGCGACTCCGTAAGAGGCCGAGTGGTCGGCGGTGGAGCGCCGGGAGCGGCGGCGGATAGCAGAACCTAAATGCGAACTCGGCATCAAGATCCTAGTTTAGTCGGTATCTAAGTTTTCACTGTCTATATAACACTGTCCTTTCCATAGTATCAATCTATTCACATTCGCATCAGCAACATGCATAAACTTGCTGGAGGAGTTGGCTGGGGGAAGGGAGCTTTGATGTGGGGGTTTTGAGAAAGACTGACGCTTTTCTTTTCCGTTCCATTTTGTCATCTCATTGTTCTTCTTTCTTTCTGTCTTTCCTTTTTATGCGCGAATGGGCCGGGCGGAGAGCAATAGGGAACCCACATCGAGCTCGCGGCCGGCGGTCGGAGACAGTGGGGCGGAACTGGATGCGTGTACAGCCATGATCTGCTTAGGTCGAATGCTATGATGATTAAACAAAAACAAAACGACATGCCTAGCTGGAGGATGAAAGACAGATGTCGGGAACTGTATGGCACTGTATGGCACTGTATCTCCTGTTTTCTTCTATATAAACCGCCCATGTTGCCCGCTCGTTCATATCTCTATCAAGTAAGACAGTCAATACAGTCTCTTATTCTGCATCTCTCTTTCTAGAATCTACCGCATCCTCTGCCCCTACGATCCAAACTTCCGCACAGCCCAAACAACAGAAGTGAAAATTGTTCCTTACTCGTCTGCTTCGTCCTCTTCTTTCTCTCTCATCATCTACTACTGAATAAAAGCTCTCCTTGTGTAACATTCTCCTTCAGTCCAGTCTTGGTCATGTGCTCCTGCCTTACGCGTGGGCTCCTTAGCGCCGTTGCTGCGGCAGCCAGCTGCGCCACTGCGCCACTGCGCCACTGTCTTCAGTTACACAGTTTGAGCGCAACCATTCCCGGGCCCCAAAGAGGCTCCAATCCTCTTGTGGCTTGCCCGGAGCCCTGCAGTCCTTGATATTCCGGGCCCGACAAAGACTATTCCCAGGCCTGTGCTTCACCGATGCAATGCTGGCGATCACCCAAACATCGCAGCAGAGCCGGGGTGGCCGCTGGCGAGCGGGGGACCCGAAGATGTGGCCATGGGATCGAGGTATTTTCGCAGACGGTGGAGTCAGATATTGCTGCAAATAAAAGCGATGGTCAGCAATCGTTGAGTTTGTTGTACGTACACGATGAGCAAGCAACAAAGTTCTGACCACACCAACTCATTGTCTGCACCGGATGTCTCCATCCCGCACGATACGAATACGACTTGTGCGACAGGACATTCGGGGCTGTCAGCGTGGCGTGGCGCGTAGCCGTGAGACGATGACATGTGATAGAGGTGTACCCCTATTAGCACCGTTCAACCGTGCATAGGATCGTCGTATCGATACTAAGCTGCGCCACTACATTCGCTGTTCCCCTGATTCTCACGGAATGCGAGGACGAGTCGTATTCGCAGCAGTGGACTTCGCGTTTCCAACCTTTTGCCAACAACCCACACCTTCTCAACTTCTGATAAAAAAACTATGTACGATTTTCTTCCAACTCCGGTGGCGGATCGGAAGGGGTGGTGTCGCGTATTAATTGCCTGTGCTCTCAGCCGTCCGCCGGTATTGAGTCGGTTTGAAGACGGCAGCAAAGATGACTTCACTCCTCGACAACGTCACATCGAATACGCAGTATCGCCAAACCATTATCATTGTCCTGGCCTCCATCCTCGCTGTAGTCCTCCACTGGATTGATACACGGGTTCCCAACGAAAAGCGACGCGAAAAGCGACGCGAACACGTGTTCCCAAGCGTACCTCCCGGACGCGGCGGCTACAAGAAAGCCCAGGCGCGATACTCCCGGCATGCCGGAGAAATGATAGAAGAGGGGCTCCGGAAGGTCGACTCCCCCCATGTCACTCCATATTACGCGCGTATCATACATGCTGACATATACCAGGTCGGAGAATCCACCGCCTTCTGGGTGCCAACGATGATCGGGCCGACCATGGTTACGCCGCGGAAGTACCTGGCGGAAATCAAAAACCATCCCGATCTCAGCCTGTCGGAGTACGTCATGGATAAATTCGGGTGTCAGACGGGGTTCGGATCGGTCGTGGCATCACGAAACTTCCTCATGGTTGTCAGAAGGATTACACAGTCACTCGGCCATGTCACTGGTGCTATCTCCGATGAAGCGGTATTGGCGCTGGACGAGAAGATTCCCTTGACGGACGGTAAGTGGTTCCTTGTTTGATATATGAGATGTGTCCATCGAAGCTCACAGTATGTAGAATGGTCCTCGCACAAGCTGAATCCAGCTATCAGAGACGTTGTTGCGCGCGTTAGTCACCGTATTCTGCTTGGCGATTCTCTGTGCCGCAACGAGCGCTGGCTCGACATCACCCTAATATTCAATAAGGCCGCGATATCGGCCGGCATGGAGTTGCGGAGGTTCGGACATCTTCTCGCACCGATTGTCAAGGGGTGGCTATCCTCATACACATCTTTCCGGAAAGCAAGCGGCGATGCCAATAACCTGATAACGGACATCGTCAGAGAGCGACGACAACAGGCGAAGGAGCAGGGCGATGCCTACGTTCCACCGAATGATGCATTGCAGTGGGCGATGGACCTAGGAGAGCCGGACTGCAATCTGGCGAATTTTCAGCTGTTTTTGGCTTTCGTGGCGATTCATAACACCAGCTCGGCATTGATCCATCTGATATATGATCTGTGCATGTACCCGGAGTATATCGAGATGCTGCGAGAAGAGGTGCGGGAGGTAATCGGCGACGGCGACTTCACCGCCAGGAGTCAAGTGATGAAGTTGAAGAAGATGGACAGCGTCCTGAAAGAGAGCCAGCGGCTGCATCCAATCCAGAACGGTAAGAATCTCCATTCCGCACCCACCATTCCACCGACTCTAGCTAAAACCCCGTTCCGCAGCCACCATGCAGCGCAAAGCGACCAAAGACATCGAGTTATCCGACGGCTTCAAGATCTACGCCGGCGAGTACATACAAACCTCCACCTCCGTCCTCCGCGACCCGAGGATCTACAGTGAACCTGGCACCTTCGACGGCCTGCGATTCTACAAGATGCGACAGCAGATTGGCCAACAGCACGCCCACCAATTTGCCAGCACGAGCGAGAAGTTCTTCGGCTTCGGTCACGGGAAACACGCCTGCCCTGGACGGTATATACCCATACCCACCCCCGGCCCCTTCTTTTATCATCGCTCCTTACGCTAACGATATGTCAATAGATTCATCGCGGCAATGGAGATCAAGATCACCCTCGCGCATCTGCTGATGCGGTACGACTTCGAGTTTCCGGAGGGCCAGACAGAAAGGCCGAAGAACATCTTCTTTGAAGAAGCCATTGTTCCAAATATGGATCAGGAGGTGTTGTTCAGAAGGAGGCGGTGAGCAGCTGGAAGACCTACCTGTGTACTTGCGTGTTTGTTTTTTTGCTTTGGATTTGCTGGGAGAATGGCCGGGATAATTTTATATAGAGTACCGGATGTCCGATGACCGATGAATGGAACGGGGTGTGATCTGACAGTTTGACTGCCGTGAAAGTATGTCTCGATAGTGTGTTCTCTCAGGGTGGCCGGATAAGTGATGAACTCACCAGAATCACTGCTGTTGACCTGTGCGAGCTGCATGGCTTTCTGTGATAAATACTTCATGGGACGTTGTGTGGTTTGATGGTTTTTCTTTCGTTTAATCTTCAATTGCATGCGACCTATGTACGTAATACGCCCGCCTTTATCTATTCTTTTTGCCTGAGAGAGAGATGTTCCTGTTTTATTTCGCATGCAGCCTATCTAGACTATGGCGAAATGTTTTTGCCTGGATACTTCGGGAATGTCCTTAAATGCGAAGAACCGAGTGATAGACTGTGGACGGACAATATTAACATCGCCGTGAGTGATATCTGCCATCGTGTGACCGAGAATGGCGGAAGTCCATACGGAGGATGATAGTGATGTAAACCGCACTAAAAATCTCTCTCTGCAGTGTAAAATCCTTCTATTAATTACACACCATACTTGTAGAGCTTCGCTCCTAGAAATGCTGATTGGTTCCCGGTTAGCATTCCGAATATCTGCTTTCGCATTAGTTAGCGGCGGTAAGACATATCAGCTATGGAACAAGGTTCAGAATCACGTGCAAGATACGAGGGTTTGGTGCGTGGAACCCTTGGGGTTTGCCCTTGTTAGTGTCGGAGGTGTGCGTTCTATATCTCTGGGTTCCTTTGTAAACCAGACAGACACAAATACCACTCCACCATCGACAACCAGTCTTCCCCCAACAATATCATTATTCTCTATCGCTTCGACGAATACCTCCACCTTCCAATAGGAAGCCATCCGAACGTACACGGCCGAAATACGATCCTTTCAAAATCCTGGCTCCCCTTCACCCAGCCGAATCCCGTTGTTCCACCAAGGTTACCTCACATGGCTACTGCGACCCAGCGGGCCTGCGTTTTTCAGCAACGCAAAACGAAGCCGAAATCACCGAGTTCCGTTCGGAAATAGTGCGAATGTTCGCCGAGGAACCCCATGGTTCTTCTCAGCACATTAGGCCTCGGCCCCTGTTCGGGAATCGTACGCAAGTTCCTGGAGGAGCCACCTGGGGGGTGGTTCTTCCGACACATTGGGCCTAGGTCCCATGAGAAGGGCTCGCCTCTGCTGTCCCCAAAGAACAGAACCGAAATTTCCAAGTCACCTCTCTCGCCAGCGAGGGGTGTCGACTGCATTTCAAGATCGCCATCCCCAAGGGCACGCGTTTTCAGCAAGAGCGAGAGAGCCTATCTTACGCAAGTGGCAGAGGAGATGATTGATAGCGGACTGTTTACATGGGCGCCCACGGGGGCTCGTGTCATCTCCGGAGAGGGATCGGAGGCTTCACCTTTCCTTGTGAACGTCCCGCCATGGAGCTCAACGGGGGCGAAGATCCGGTCCGGCGATGGATCCGAAAATGCACCCTTCAGTATTGATGAGGAGAGCGATGTCGAAGATACGGACAAAGAGCGTACCGACGTTCGCGGTGCCGTCGGGGGGCTGACGACACCCTCGCCGTCGCGGAAGAAGAGTGACAGTAATGTGGCCGTCGTTGAAGACCTCCTATCTGATCTGATATCATCAACCAATCCGCTTTCCACAATCGAAAAGCTCCGGTATGTTCATGGATTGTCACCCAGCTTATCCGGATTTTCCAAGCTGACGACGGTGAAGTTACTTAAGATAACCGGCGCAGCATCGGGCCGTGGTGGTAGAGCTTTCTCTTGACCCTGCGGAGCTGGCATGAAAGGTTGGGAAGCTGGTGGTCGCCATAGTCTAGTAAGGCTGCATGCGACAATAAATTGATGTTCTCTCTCTCTCTCTCTCTCTCTCTCTCGTTACTTAAGATGCATAGTACAGATCATATCAACCAGCAAGCTGGCGCGATAGTCTCTGAGCCTTCATCTGACTGCCTCCCTATTGAAGAAAAGTACGTCGCCACAGCCTGGTAAACTGAAAAGCCAGGACGCGTAATGTGGGAAAAGTATGACACGCAATGGTCATGTGCAATCGACATTCGCAATGGGCATACGCCATAAGGGAAGAGAAAAGCTCGAGGATTGGAAGACAGGTGTCGTTCTACATAGCTCTGTATCTGTTTCTGATTCTATATATCAACCGCCCATGTTGTCCGCTCTTTTGTTTCCCAACCAAGTAGACAGTCGATTCAATCACTTGTTCTCCGCCTCTATCTCTCTCTACCAAACCTTCCGTCCGTACGATCGAACTTCCGCATCGTCCAAACCACACCTATGGCCGCTGGAGAGCACACCGGAAGCGAAACCAGTATGACGCATACTTCAGAATCTCATGACAGTAACGAGGTCATGGCCAAAGAGCCTCTAGCTGTATGTGTCAGTAATGTTGCCGTCGTTGAAGAGGACTGCGTCACTGCGATGACAATAGGATAATTTTCGACATCACCGCGAAACCGACAACGCCCGCAGACGTCCGCACCACGTTTGGAGACAGCTACAATGCTGTGGTGAACGGCATACCGTGCAAGATCCAATCTTGGCTCACGTTGTTCGACGACTTCGAGGTGGAGGTGTTGACCGTTGCCACTCCGAGCTGCCGGCGAGAGGAGGAGTACCCGCGAGAGGAGGGGCTGTCGGTTAGAGGAGGAGTGCCGGCAAGAGGGGGAGCTGCCGGCGAGAGGAGGAGTACCGGCCAGAGGAGGGCTGTCGGTAAGAGGAGTAGTACCGGCGAGAGGAAGGACTGTCGGCAAGACGAGGAGCACCAGCGAGAGAAGGGGCTGTCGGTAAGAGGAGGAGCTGTCCGCAAAGAGGAGAACGTGAAGGAGGATTCCTGGCGGCGGCGGGAGAAAACGAATGTGGTTAGTAGTGGGCATCAACGTTGGCAGCCATGGCGGGGTCGACCGAGTGGGTCCGGCAGGGTTTTCGTCTTCCTCTTCTTCTTCTTCTTCTTTCTCGATCATCATCTACAGTATAGACGACCAACCTCTAACTCCTCTTTCTTCTGTGTGTCATCTCATCTCGACCCGCCGTCGGCCTTGAGGCGTTTTAGCAAAGGAGCCGTCTACACAAACATCAGATGGTCCAGGTTACCTTCCAGGACAACACCCAGACCCAGTGATTTGAACGAGACCAGGAAAGGCAGTTGGGGTGGCACCTTGGACTGGCAATAGACTTACTGTAACGAATGGGCGAAGTAAAAAGGCTGATCAGAATGGCTTCTTAAAGAGTATCACATCAGGGAAGCGATGAAGGACCTATATAGAGAGCTTTTCCAGTCGTACAAAAACCTCAGTATCTTAAGTATTACCTTCATCTATCTACATCTCTCTTATTCCAACATATTGTTCCAGTTATCATCCTCTGTGTTGCTACTACCGGGCCGCCAAAGGTCTTAGTCCCGCATTCCAAACCAACGAATCATCATTCAGCACTCGATTTTATTTGCTGCTTGGACTTTTACTGCGCGGTGCTGAGCTCGTCGCGGTGGCCATAGTCTAGTAAGGTTGCATGCGATAATGAATTGATGTTCTCTCTTCTCTCTCCCTGGCCGAGCTCGTCGCATGGCTTACCCCCCCATAAAGGCACCATCACTCCCGGGTTAGTCGTGGGTGTGACGTACAGCAATCTCTTGCGGCGGTGCAACAGCACCTGGGGAACTGATTGGATTTTCAACGACCATCACGGGTCGAGTTTGGCACCGCACAGCATGAGCATCATCTCGAGTCTCGACGTTTCCCGTGCGGCGGAGCTTGACTGTCCCTAGCTCCTGTCAACACTAAAACACCATGCCGCCCCCAGTTGTGAAGATCTCTCGTGAACCGGAGGTAATGCTATTTTGGCATCCAGAATTGCCAACCTGGTCATTTGATTTATGAGCTTCTCGTCATGGATTGAAAAGTCCCTGTTCAGCCCAGGAGGTGCTCCTCCGTCCTGGGCAGTCTCCTGAGTCCTCCGATATCCAAGTAACACGTTCAGTGCCTACGGCGGCGTTTTCGGTGGGTTGGATCAGGTGAGTGATGTGTGGTGAGCGGAAGGAAGCGTGCGCATTGGACCGGGAATGAGAGGTGATACTGCACGCAACGATTTGTGGATTCTCTGAGCTACATTATACATTATGTACCCACAGACCGAACTCAGAGACCGTCGCGAGTAGCCGCAACTACCGGTGCACTTTCTCTCGCCGTTTCGGATTGCCTGACACCGGGTCGACAGTCTTGGGACTTTTTTTTGCTACAAGGTGTATGGATATGTCAACGCCGCCGTCTAAGCAGGAGTTGATCGTACGACTAAAACAGAATAGAGACAGACACTATGATAAGGTGCTTTTGAGGTTGTCTGGGGTCGATCACACGGTGCGGTACTCATAGGCACGACGGCTTTGGCAGTAGTAATCCGTGCGTGCCCTAAACCCTCCTATGGCCAGTGCTATCGTGAATATGACGGATTTAGGGCTAGCCATCTGTCTGAACTGCAGTGAGTCGATTGACCATCGTGGATGATGTTTTGCACTAGTGTTTTCCGACGACCGTTGACCGCTGAACGAGTATCAAAAGCTAGTGACTGGGAACGAATCCCGTGAAGCCACCTCCCAGTTTGAAAACTTCACCGCCCGCTCACACTCTCTCTCTTCCTCTTCACATCACATCGTCTTCACAACACATCCTGTTCGCAACACATCCTCTTCGCAAGAGATCCTTCTCACCACATATCCTCTCCGCAAGAGATCCTTCTCACCACACGTCCTCTTCGCAAGACATCCTTCTCACCACACATTTGTTCTTAAACATCAAGCTCCGGTATGTTCATAGATTGTCACCCAGCTTATCGGGATTTTTCAAGCTGACGACGGTGAAGTCACTCAAGATGAAGGGCATTACCACTGAGCCTCTGGCTGGACGTGACAGTAATGTGACCGCCGTTGATGATGACAGCGATGACGAGATCGTAATGTTCAACATGCCCGCGAAGCCTACAACGTCCGTAGACGTCCGCACCACGTTTGGAGACAGCTACAATGCTGTGGTAAACGGCACCCCATGCAGGATCCCATCCTCGCTCACTTTTGAGGAGTTCGAGGTCGAGGTGTTGGCCGTCGCCGGGCGCTCGACCCCGGATATGATGATTTGGTACCGCAGCTCCTTCGACAATCACGAGTTGCTAATCTACGACTCGGTATTCGAGAAATACCTATACAAGCTCGTTCACGGGTACATCAAGAAGCTCGACGGCGCAGTGGTACTGTCCGTATTGACCCCCACTGAATCATTTCAAGAACCAGGTTCTCCTCCCCCGTCTCCGAAGAAGAAAGGTTCGCCTCTGTCGTCCCCCAAGAAGAAGGGTTCGCCTCTGCCGTCCCCAACGAACAGAAACAGAATTTCGAAGGCGCCTCTTTCGCCAGCGAGGGGTGTCGACTGCATTTCAAGATCGCCATCCCCAAGGGCACGCGTTTTCAGCAAGAGCGAGAGAGCCTATCTTACGCAAGTGGCAGAGGAGATGATTGATAGCGGACTGTTTACATGGGCGCCCACGGGGGCTCGTGTCATCTCCGGAGAGGGATCGGAGGCTTCACCTTTCCTTGTGAACGTCCCGCCATGGAGCTCAACGGGGGCGAAGATCCGGTCCGGCGATGGATCCGAAAATGCACCCTTCAGTATTGATGAGGAGAGCGATGTCGAAGATACGGACAAAGAGCGTACCGACGTTCACGGTGCCGTCGGGGGCCTGACGACACCCTCGCCGTCGCCGAAGAAGAGGGGTTCTCCTACGCCATCCCCAGAGAAGAATGGCTCGCCTCCATTGTCCCCCAAGAAGAAGAGTTCGCCTCCCACGTCCCCGAAGAAGAAGGGTTCCCCTACGCCGTCCCCCAAGAAGAAGGGTTCACCTCCGCTATCCCCGAAGAACAGCAACAGAAGTTCCAAGTCATCTCTTCCGCCAGCGAGGGGTGTCGATTCCACCTCAAGATCCCCATCTCCGAGGGCACGCGTTTTCAGCAAGAGCGAGAAGGCCCACCTCGCGAATGTGGCCAAGAAGATGGATAACAGACCGTCCACACCAACGGGCGCGAAGATCCAGTCCGGTGACGGATCCGAGGCCGCTCCGTTCACTATTGACGAGTAAAGCGGTGCCGAAGATGGGGACGTGGCATAGTGGGGGAAAATATCTTTTTTTTTGCCTGTGCTGTATTTTTTTGTATCCTTACCATTCCTTAATTCCAATTCCCTTTTTGTTTTTTTTACCGCCAGACCTGGTGGCATTTGCACTTTTTTTATGAGACCATGAGAGACGGCCGGAGTCGATGAGCTTTGGGCAATAGCCAGCTCGAACTAGATGTACAAAGTACGAAGGGAATTGGCTTGCATGGAACCTAATCCCATCGGAGCACAGGCACTACACGAATGGGATCTACCCGACGAAGGCGGATCGGAACAAGATCGTGATATACCTATCCCGGCTCGCTGAATCCGCTGGTGGGGATCGAACGGACAATGACGATTCGGCGGACGAAGCCGAGACGGTAGACCCCAGGTCACCCACGGTCATGAGCTCCCGCATTACTGGAGGGCCCCTGGACGAGGTTGCCGGCAGGCCCGTCAATTTCCAATCGGAATACCGCGAAATTGGTGGCAATCATGGGGCCCCAAACACCATGATAGAAGAAGTTATTGCAGTGGATCGATCAGCCTCTCATCGAGGAATATACCGGCGTGCTTCGCGATACGGTCCACGCTCTCGAGAACCCGCAAATCGACATTGCTGAGATTGCCGCGTTGTCGCAAGAAAGAAAAACGCCCGAGGAACCAGGCTAGGCCGCTGAGAATGACCCAGTCATAAGGGGCGGCAACGCGGGTTCGGAATCGACAAAGCGAGGAAGACTCGCAGTACTCTGAGAGCGTCTTCAGTTCCGATGACAGTCAGGCTGCTACCGATATTCAGTAACCTTCACCTCCTGTCACCCTGACCCCTATAAAGTGCACGGGTTCCCGCTGACCGGCTGCCCTGGGCACCGGCTATGGACATGACACGAGGGTTGCATGAGCTATCAGTCGCTTGGCAACATATACAGTCACTCGTTCTGCTTCCACTTCCGTAGGTAGCTGAATAGTACATCTTCTTCTTCTTCATTCACTTCGTGTCCTTCTACGTGCCACCTCCGAGACATCGAGATCTCAACAAGCGCAAGGAAGCCCCGGTAGCCAAAACCCTGATACCAGCGCCCAAAGTTCCTAAGCGCAAGAGAGGAAGGCCATTGGGGTCAAAGAACAAACCGAAATAGTGGGTATTATTATAATTATCTTTTTCCGAGCTTCCCGTTCGCCTTTTACTGTATTCTATAGAGCCTCCGATATGCAATTCTAGGTCGGAGTATGCGTCCGAGCTCTGCCGTTGTCAGGGGTTTTGCTTTGTTTCTTGTCTTGGGCTCTGATTCTCATTGTGGTGGCTGTAGTGGTGGCTGGGGATTTTACTTGTATTCGTAGGATCGTAGACGGCAGTAGTCGCGGAATGTATTGAACTTTTATAGGAGAGCTGTAGTAAGCTTCCCGAGGGTTTAGAAATCACACGCGTCGATTGCGTTCTTGAATAAAATAGAAGGAAGGTAATCCTTATTGGTAGCTTACGCCTTACGAGTGAGAGATTTCTGTTCGAATACGGAGTCCGGAAATGATATCTTGATTATTGCAGTAGCCAGCATTACAGGTCCTTCATGTCCGATGCCGCACAGTACTCTATCCGAAGTACCGCAGCAATCGCAGTATACTAGTGAAGTAGTAGGTTTGTACAATTCGATGAGCTTCAATCCAAACTTCTCCAAGTACTGATAAATGGTCTGGCGTAGCCAGCCTCTAAGCAATTTATTCCGGCCATCTCGTGGTGAAGAGTCACAATCACAGAACATGACTCGCTATCTATTCGCGGATTGACTCTCAGTCAATCCAGCCGAGTGACTACAGTCATTCCTCAATGACTTTCATGAATGATTCCAATCATTCAAATCTAGTCCGTTTCTAACAACCTAAAGAAAGCACATCTCTTCCATCACGCACCAACAAGTTCTGCCAATGCCCCTAGCGTAATGGAAATCTAACTACCTATTCCATCCTCTCACCACGACTGCTAACGGCGCAAGTAAAAAACAAAACATTATTAGCAAATGTCAACTCCATTACCTCATGCGATCTGCAGAAAGCTCATTTAGTACTAAAAGGTGCGGTTTTCCTAGTCATCGTCGGTAGTCTTCGAGTCCTGAACTTTAGTAGCCACGGTGGCGCCCAATTGGGTGGCGATACATTATGGCAGAGGGCTGCTCGTCGATTGCGACTGGGGGCTGATCGTCGGCCGTGAGCTGCGGGGCGGAGGGCTGCTCGGCGATTGTGACGGAGGGCTGCTCGCCGATCGTGACTGAAGGTCTCTCGTCAACCATAAGCTCCAGAACGGAGATCTGCTCGTCGGCATGAGAGTCTGCACCATCAATAACTGGGGCGGAGGGGCTGGCCGTTATGATGCTCGGGCTCCGCCACTCTATAATTAAGCCCGTTTCGGCGATCAAAGTAACCGCAGGGACATCCTTTAACCGCCACCAAAGTCTGAACGGAACGCTTACGGCAATGATGAAGCCTAAATTCGACTGCCATGCGAACAGCACTGTGACGGGAAAACGATAGAGATCTCGGTCGAGTGTCTTCATTCATTCCACGAATATGCGGACTTCTGGTGCTTCGGCTGAGAGATGAAATTCTGCCAGTACCTTGATTGAGGCCCCGACAATATTGCTAGGGCCGACTGGACTGGACGTGATTGCCTTGACGAATTCGCTGCCAATAGTGAACACAACCGGACCTTCCCCCAAGTTACCGAAGACGGGCTCCTCATCGAATGACTGCTTGAGAATGCATCTGTACGTCTCGAAGAAATCCAAGACGTTAGCACCCGACTTCAGTTGGTTCCAGCACTGGCCCACGACGCGTTCGGTGAAGGATATCGAGCGTCCTCGTACTTCCGCATTCGCATCGTCTGCTGCACAGGCAGTCAACATGTTGATTGCTCGTATAGTATTAGTGAACGGATTCCTCCTGATGGCGGTACCGCTGTAGCAGCAGTCGAGAACGCACAAAAGATCCATCTTCTTAAATATTCGTTTCTCGAATCCTCCCTTGCAGTCAATCATGAATTCGTGGGCATCTTCCCACATGACGTGAGCGGAGCCATCCCGGAGGCTACAGCGCAGCATCAAGTCCCCGGTGGGACTCAGTGACCCATTTCCCGCGTAGTGGATGATCGCAAGGGACGTTTCGACACTCGCCAGATCCCCAAGACAAGCCAATAGGCCCTGGCGCAGTGCGATATCAGGCGACTTCTCGGTGAGCTGGATGATGGAGTGGCCTACGCCGATCATCCTCATCAATTTTGCAAACGTGTTGACATCCTTTTCAGCATTCGTATCATCGTCCTCCCAATGAATGCTGATAGCGTGGGAGCTATGGTGGAAAGTGTTGCCCTCTACTACCGCCTTCCAGATCATCTCCTTGAGTTCGGGAATGGCAATATCTGCGTGCTATCTCCGAAAGAAAAATAAATCAGCAAGAGCTCTTGGAACTAGTACAGGAGGCGGAGAGACTCACCAGAGTACGAGAGGGCTTACTTCTATTGGCCTGCAAGCCTCCGGGGGAAACGGTGGGGTTTTGCTCCTCCGTGGAATTGATTGGGGAGTTATCCTGGCTGTGGCGTTAGCAGCAGCAACGGTGACATTAAGGCAGAATAACAGGTCTAGGAGCAGATTTACTTACATGGGATGAAGCATGATCGGTCTTTGCGTCATCTTCTTTCGCGCAAGTTGCCTTGGAGCCGTCCTATTCGTAGTGTCAGCAACAGCAATAGCGACAGTAACCGGGAACACAAGTATACAGATGAACTCACCGGGAGAGAGGCAAGGCCACTTCCACTGCTGCCTTCGTTGGCGCACGGGCAGTTTTGATGGTCGACCTTTGCAGAAGTGAATGGCTGGTCGCCTGTTTCCAAGATAAGGATGGCCACGCCGTCCTCATTCGAAGAAGAAATCATAGTGCCGTCCATCGAGCTGTTTGAATGATTGGAGGTGTTGATTGAATGTAGGGGCTATTAGAAGACAGATATTGACTGAGAACGATGGAGGGAAGCAGGCGGGAGTGTCGATGTATGTGGTAGGAAAGAGAAGGGTTCGGGAGAAGAAATGCCCATGTAGCCTGGGCAGATGGACGTAGGTCTCAGAGGCTTACGTACGGTTTCGGGGAAGCAAGGTTGCAAAGGCATGCAGCCAAAGCCATGCAGCCAAAGCCGTATGCGTCAATCCACCACAGCCCGAGGTTTCGCTACACTACCTAGCAGTACGGCAACAGCCACATCTCCGAAGCTGGAATCTAACGAGACATCACCAATGCTCGCCATGGTCCGTCCGGTCCGTCTTTGGGGAAGAACCAGATTACACTACAGCTGCCGGTCCATTTCGTGTCTACAATCAAGAGTGGCAGACTTTGCAGAGAATTTGACTGGACAGACTACGGTTAACCGTACTCGACTGCCAGAGGAAGGCGTGTCAAGGTCTTATTTCTAGCCACTTCGGCAGTCAGTGTAGGCTCTATATAGAACTATCTTTAGTAAAGGCATATAGCTAAAAGAGCGGAAAGACATCTATATATCTATATCCTATAGTATAGATACATTTGATTCTGTTCAAACTTCAGTGAAGCTGCCGCAACTCAGACGTGAGTCCATATTGAGAACAAACACGGAAGGTTTTTGTAGCAGCGTCGAGAAAAGAGGATCTATATGTTCAATCAAGTGTATTAAAGAAGTCTAAATGACGGCATACAGTAAAAGCGGGCAACAGATGGGGTTTACATAGAGAAGAAAGCATTTAGTTTCGTCAACGCCTTCCGAGCTTGGGTCATTGCGCATCACTCTGTCACGTGAGTCCGTCACACTCGGTATGAATTCACTTACGTCATTGATATCATGAACATATGTACCTATGTACACATCTCTCGGTGCTTGACATTCGAGGCCATTTTTAGCTGAGATTGCTGGTTGGTGGGGGAGTTCGCGATGGTGGATGAACTCGGAGCCTGGAGGGACAGCTGAGTGTGCGTTTCTAATGTTGCGCTAACTATGTAGTTAATGGGCAGGGATAAATGATGCGGCGTAAAAAAAAACTTTGACTCTCAAAACCTACAACCGTCGACAACCCCGCACGACCGATCCTACGCATACGATCCTCCCATCGCGAGCGACCAGCCATCTACTTCGACGATGCATACCTACCAGCCGTGCGCACAGCTCGCTCGACCATCATCGGCGAAACAACTCCGTCCCCGCGCGTCCGTTGGTCAGCTCGGGCTGAGGTGCTCCTTCAAGCTTCACGTTCGAATCGACCGGGAACCTCCTGGTGGTTTCTTCATACCGATCTCATGGGTTCCTTCGGATTCTTAATCGCGCACGAAGTCATGGGTTCTTTCAAATTCTTAATCGCGCACGATGCGTTGCTGGTCTGGATCGTGGAGCGCTGGAGTTTGGTGCTACATTTGCGGCGCCGCGTTCATTCGAGATACGGATGGGAAGCTTGGAAACGTCGCCATCATATCAGGGGAGTTGAGGAACTGGGAACCTCTCGGGATTGGGTTATTTCAGAATATCGGACGTCCGGGGATGACGAGGAACGCGGGGGGTTTTCGAGCGCTGGGGATCGCTCTTAGGACTTACTTTCCGAAGGGATCGATGCCCAAATAGATTCCTGGTTCGTGAAGCTTGTATATGGAGAGATCTCGCTGCTCACGATATTGTTGCTGTATGTATCGAATTGATTAGCTTGTTCTATCCACCACATTATTCAACCGTTTTACCATCCATGACCTCTCGGGAATGGGATACTGTTGAGTAATGTGGAGGATAGAAGAAGGTAATTAATTCGGTCCAGCAATAATATTTTGGGCAGCGAGGTCTCTCTACTAGGTACCTATATAGTCTAGAATCTAGATAGGCTGCATGCAATTGAACAAACAAGAAATACTATTGCCCTATTTGAATACTTCCACAGAGCTGTTCACACTCAGATTCTGAACTCGGGCTCATAGCCTGGCGGAGTAAGAAGGCAGTCCATTGCCTTTTTTTCTTGGTTCCATCACCAATCGATATGTCAATTCGCACTCATCGCAATACTTTCAGCAGTCCTAGTAACAGGCTCGGTGCAACTACCTCGCTCCCATTACCTCTCACCAGCTACTTTATTAGATATGACATAGTGCGCATATAATCTTAATGTAATCCGTGTTCACTGGCATTCATAGCTCCAATCGCCTAGAAATTAACTTGTAAAATCATACGATCATGTCATCACACTCGGCTCAAATCAAGGGTTGCATTTCATCCGGTATGATAAGAGCTGTTCCGGGAATTGGAACTGCAGGTACTATGAGTCAAAGCTTGCCACTATTCATTTGGGCCCACAGCTCATTCTACCAAGGAACCAGGCTGTAAACGCCTTGGATCACAATAACGCACTCAGCTCGAATACCAGAGTACATTTCATAGCCGGTGTGAAGAGAGCTATTTCAAGTATCGCCACCATTCAGATAGGTAGCCCTAGCCAAGCAGTATTATGATAGATCCACAGACCAGAATACTAAGAATTCAGCGTGTAAAGGCGGTGGATCACGATGACGCACTCGGCGCGAATCTTACATTACATTTGGTAGCCGGTGTAAACAGGGATATTCCAAGACTCAGCACCACAGATACTTAGAGCATAGTTATGATACTATCGGTTCGAGCTCACAGCTCATTCTACCAAAAAACCAGGCTGTAAAGCCTGTAATCACACACTCGCACTCGAACTGCTTCACGGGTGTCCCTTCATTGGACTACATGAAGCCAGCTTTTCTTATATCTAGCACAGCCATCAAACAACAGAGAATTCAGCGACTCCTCGCACACCCTCACAGCCTAAAACACCCAGAACCCCAGTTTGCACGATCCATCACCCGAGCATCGCACTCGCTCGCCGCTGTCTCGTTACCGGAATAAGAAAGAGAGATGGCTCTTACCCACGTACTATACGTTTAATATGCGTATTTACACTACGCTCAACTGGGATTTCTCGAATCCACCGTGTAAAGATTCCAATCAGGTTCGCTCACTCATCGAGCTTTTATACGTGCATGTGATCCAGTGAGTGCTTGCCCATAAAATCCTTATCCGGTAGGCGAAAACAAATGCGACAATGGCCGAATGAAGTTAGCGTGAGTATTTACCCAAGCCATTCCGTACAAGGGAAAGCGCGGTCAGCCGCCAAGAATTCCCTTCGGGAAACCTGAGTGCTTTCGCATGATCTCACGTTGAGGTTAGATTGAATGATTATCGATGACTCTCCATAAAGAGGAAAGTGGAGGCTGCAGCCAAGAGCTTGCTTTGGGAAAAACGAGTGCTTGCTGAAGACTTCCCGACACGGAAGATCCGAGTGCGCACCCGTGAATGGCTTTGCGAGTGTCCGATATTGCGCCTATCGGGCTACCGTCGAAATTCGGGGATAAAGACCTCAAGGTACGAGTATTTAGTAGCGCAGGTCGTAGTCCGGTTGTCGATCACGCGGCTGCTCTTGGACATTAAATATCACTCATGCATCCGGGTGAGTGAGAGTGGGTGATTATTTGCTCTTTTGACGATTTAGATAGTTAAAATACGCTCGGCGGGGCTTTATAACTATGATGGTGTAAAGGAAATCACTTCAAAGCACTCCCTTCGAGTACGATGAGGTGCGACGCATCATAGGTATCACTCGCACGACGCTCCCAAGATCGCGAGTCAATTGGGTCTGCTTTTCTTTTTCCAGTTCTTCTTCTCGTATAACCAGACGATAATGGCATCAAGGAAATCACTTCGAACCACTCCGTTCGGGTACGATGAGGTGCGGCGTGTAGTAATGGGTATCATTGCCGGCAGAAGCCACTGCAAACCCCAGATTCATCTATGTACGCTGTAAAAACACCATGAAGCACCACCAACAGCAAAGGGTATAAAGCAATCAAGCAACCAAGAACATGACAGAATGGCCAGAAGCTGAACCACGGCCCACGTTACGGCCGTATCTTGTACCCATAACTCAGCAACAGCTTCGTGATATGTCCTTCGAGCACCTCTATGTCCGTATCATCCGTATCTTCATCCTCATCCCCTTTCTCCTCTTCCTTCGCCTTCTCCTCCTCCACCTTGTCGTCACCCTCCTCCTCCTCATCCAATCCATCATCAGGCAGTGGCACATCTTCAGGAGCAATCGGGTCCGTAGGCGATGCAGCCTGCTCCTCGAGCCATCTATATGCGCACAACCACCCATCTTCCCTGTTCCTTTCGACTCGTAAGGTATCTGGTGATTCGTGGCCGGAACGAGAGTATGAGGTGGATACGGACGGTGATGCAGCGGCTTCAGCTGACTGGTCGCTGTCAGGGAGTAGAGGAAGTTCTAGATTTAGAGGTAGGGGGAATGAGTGGCGCGGTGTGGGTGTACGTCGTGCACTGGGCGCAGGCCGTGGACTGGGTGTAAACTGCGGTGTGGGGGATGGACGTGGGGTGGTGGATGTGCCTTTTTGGCGTGGGGTGGTTGATGTGCCTCTCTGGCGTGGGATGGTGGAAGTCTCTTGTCGTCGCGGCGAGAAGTATCCCGTCGGCTTCAGCGCGAGATATCTTCGCCGCGGTCCCTGGAAGGAGCCATCGTCCGATGAGCTACTGGCATACCGGTGCTCGCCGATTCCCAAGCCCAAACCCGTTCGCTTTTGCGATACCAGTGGAACGGCCGTCCCCAGCGAACTCCCAGGTCTACCCCTCACAGCCGCAGGCGTTTCGTAACGAGACTGCGCTCGCTTGTCCAGACCGTAGTTGCTCGCTGTAGTATCATCGTACTTCGACGATCGTAACGACGGCCGGACCATCCCCCCCAAAATCGAGCTGATATCCATGGAAACCTCTCCACCCTCACCCATGTCCTCCCGGCCCCCAATCACCTCGCCTCGCTCCATGATCCTCCCCATGACCTCCACTAACCCCTTCACCACCCTCCTCACACATTCACCCTTTTTCGCACAGAACCCCGTCAGATCCAGCCCCACCAATCTCTTCCACATCCTTTCATCAAGCCCCAGCGACTCATCGTGAACGATCGTCCCGATGAGCAGCTTCATGTTCTGCATCCTCGTCGGCAGATCCGCGCCCTCCCCCGTCCGGACGACATAGGGAATGCGCCTGTGTCGCTTGTACGCACCGGCGGGTGTGAGGGCGGGCGGCAGCGTCTCGTAGAGAGTTATCAGCAGCAGAGGCGTGCAGTCGAGGATGTTGTGGAGGGTCGGGAGGCGCACGGAGGAGAGGTGCGTGTTGAGCGTGTGCAGGAGGACTAGATCTTGCATGGTGTCAGCGGGAGTCGCTACCCGGTGCGGCGGGACGGACCTTCGACGGGTTGGTGTAGGAAGCTCGCTACCGTGTCATCGATAGCGGCGGTGGAATCATGCTCGTGCTCGGTGGCGCTGGGGTATAGGAGCTTCGTGGTATCGTCGAGCTCGCCGGGGCCGGTGGGTGGGAGACCGTATGTTTCGTCGTCGAGTTCGCCGGGATCTCTGGGTGGGAGGCCGTAGGTGTCGTCGTCGGTCTCGCTGGCGCCGGCGGGCGGGAGGTCATAGGTGCCGTCAAGCTCGTTGGGATTGCCGTAGGAGGAGTTGTCGCCGAAGTTTGGCTCGTCGTCTGAAGCCGAAGAGGAGGACCGAGATCGGTGGAATTGGGCCATGGTCTCTCGCTGTTGCGAACGCCCGCGGAACAGAGATAGTGTAGCTGTGCAGAGTAGAATGGAACAGCGAGAAGCCGCGTGCTGTACGGACAGACTGGTGGCGGAGCGGGTGCTGAAAAGTATTGGAGAGAAGAATGACGTGAACGTGAACGCGAAGAATCCCGGTCACGGCAACTTCCGCACACATAAGGACGCGACTGACACAAGCTCGGGTTTGGGTCTGAAAGATTCGCACAGCGGCTGGTCTTTTAGACCCACACATTTGCATCGCTGCCAAACTACGATTGATGTTCTCTCTTAAACAGTACACTGTCTGTGACTACCGCTGTAAGCGCGCTGATTGTGAAACACCCCGGTTTTACAAATAGCGAGAATAGCTAGCGAGAATAGTGAGTGAGAATCGTGAGCGAGAGAGAGAGAATATGGAGCGAGAACAGCGAGCGAGAATCGTGAGTGAGAATCGTGAGTGAGAATGTGAGCGGGAATATTGAGTGAGGATAATGAGCGAGATTAGTGAGTGAGGGTGGCGAGGCAGAGAGCGAGAGAGAATGGAGAGAGAGAGTAGGAGAGGGGAAAGAAACCTTCCGGGAGGAACCTCACGCGGTGCTTCTAACTGAATCGCCGTTGAGAGTCGTCATTGAGGCTTGTCGCTGCCTTCTAGACATATGGTGTCACTCGCCGGACGAGTGATACCTGTGAAGCGCCGCCTGAGATCCACAGAGCAGCGGGCAGTGACAGTTTGTATTCCATAAATAGGCTCCAGTATGTACGGAGACCCCAACATTATCATTGCTCAAACGGCCCGCTTACTCCCGCGGAACGAATTCACTCGTACTTGGACTCGCATTGGTGACTAGAGACCGCCTCCCAAAACCTCCGATTGAGCCCTCATCCTCCCGTCCTCCTCCTCCTCTTCCAGGGTAGAATCAAACCTAACTGGTTCTCCCCGACACACCCGCATCAAAGCATTCGACCTTAGTAGACCCTCACTGAGTGCATACATAGCCATTTCCTACCCACCACCGCCACCGCAGGCGCCCGGCTCATGGTGAGTCCTCTTTACTCTCCATCCTAACCCTCACGTTGTACCAAGGCACCTACATGGGTAGAAAGTAAATAAGCTACGGCCATCCTCCTTCAAGGAGCCCAGCTCATTTCCAAGATAGTAAAGCGGATCTGTCGAGTACGATCTCATGCTACAAAACAACGGCACAGCCACGTGAGCGCCACACCTAGCGAGCCGAGCCACATCGGTCCCGTGAAGGAATGACTGATAGCGCGGCCCTGGAGCGGCTTGGCTGCCGACACGCTCCCGAGTCCCAGCTGCCGGTCGGCGAGTGAGCGCCACTGACGACCGCGTTGGCGGATATCGCAACCGTTCCGGCGATCATCGTTCCCGAGGAGTTGACAGAATGCCCCTTCATATCCGAACATGGAAATGCCAACCCCGCCACGGGTGGCGCCACAGGCTCATGGCACGTACGGACAGGCGGGCGGGCCGGGTATGTACTAGCACTCGGTTACTAAGCTCAGTTACTAAGCTCGGCTACTAAGCTGCAGCGTCCCGGCGCCGCCATCGCCCCCAAGATTTGTGGCTCGACTCCAAGCCCAGCCCCAAGCCCAGCCGCGAGTCTTACAGCGCCAAAGCCGGGTGACGGGCGATCGTTTGCCTGTTGGCCTTTTCGGTTCTCTGAGATCGAGCCGGCAACCCGGAGGCGGGTTTTCGGACAGCTGGGTCTCTCACTCGTACTTTATGATAGGGAGCCAGTGGAGCACCAGCGACACCGACGTCTTCTAAGTTGCATGTCGCTCCTACGGGTGTCTACATACAGCGCAAGGACTCAAGCGGCTGTGGCTGTAGCTACCGCCGTTGGACCATGGCTCTGCGAGAATTCTCGGCAAGGTCCTCTCTGAAGAACCAACACAGTCATAGCATAAGATTATGCACTTGTATGTACTTTTGATGTCACGGAGGCCAGCGGCGGCGTGTTCGCGTCACCACCTAGCTATCGACAAGATGTAACGAGCTAAGCGATTAGCGTACGGAAACGTCTTCTCCTTGACAAGTTGGCACTTGTTTTCAGCACGGGAAAAGAAAAGCGGGGTGCGTGGGTGGGTGCACAGAGGGATGGAAGACCGGAGAACAGGCGGGGTAGATAGAGCAGATGGAGTGTTGCTTACTTACATAAGGGATGGATGGATGGAATGTGGCACGCACGCACCCACATAGCAACATATAACGGTCACTGTCACTGCGAAAACCCCGTGAGCGCGAGCGCAGTTTCACGGTTGGCCACCGCGCAGGGCAATTGGAGGCCCCAATCAAGCGCGCGCTGGATTCCTGCCTGCCTGCGGGTGGTGGTGGTGGGAAACAATCGGAAGCAAGCAAGAGATATCATTCGAACTGTGGCCGCCGACGAACGTACAAGTACAGGCAAGCAATTCCAACAAGCGGTCAGAGCAGCAGAGCAAGGGACGAACGCCTCGCCAATCAAACGCACGCCAAACCAATTGAAAACCCCGAAGAGAAAAAAAACCTCAACCGAAAGATACAGCGTCGAAGCACGACAGGTCTCCACAGAAAGAAAAAAAAACCATTTCCCCCTTCCTTCCTTGCTCCTCACACAAGAACTCGATCGATCGACCGATTCCTGTCATCATGCAACGTATTATGAAGCAAGACGCACGAGGAGAAAGGGATGTCCAAGATGCTGAAGTCAGTATCACCACCCGCAGAAATTACAACAGAGTGAGAAAAAAAAAACCACAAATACATATCGGCTGCCCTGCAAATCGTCCCTCGCCGCCGGAACAAACAATAACAAACCTGAGGCCGAAACTCCCATCCGATCCCCCCAATCCTCCACCGCTTCCATCTCCCATCCATCCATCCATCCCTCCGTCCATCCGTCCGTCCATCCATCCAGTTCGTAAGCACCTGTAAGTCAGAAAAAAGTCATTCCTTCCAAAGAACCATCCCATATTCAACCCATCCAACCCATCCAACCAGTCCGATCTCCCCTCTCATAGCAAGCATAGTAGAAGTAGCCGCAAAAATCGTAGCGGAGCGAAGTAAAAGAAAAAGAGGAAAACAAAACAAAAAGCAGACACCATATTCCCGCCCCCATCCTCCCAAACAAACAAACAAACAAACAAACAGCAGTATAATCAACAATAGGGAAAAATAGAAAAGGTCCGTCGAAAACCTCTCCCGGACAGCCGAATGGATCCGTCGGGGAAACAAGATATCCGAGGCACCAACTTTTGTTCGCGCACGCTGCCAAACAGTCCACCAATATTGCGCCTGACAGAAATAGCAAAGCAAACAGTTAAAAATATTCGTTCGAACTAAAGTTGACATGACAATCATTGGATGAAGTTCCAAGATATATCCGTAGGTCCAAGGCGCTCGATGTCCTTACACCTTCTTCTTCTTGTTCTTGAATCCGTTTGATTTCTTGTCGATGATGGCCTTCTTGGCTGCTGTAGCCACTTGACGTCCGCGCCTGGTGCCCACTTCGTCTTCCGAGATGCACTGATCCGCCGGTATTCCGGCATCCTTGCAGCGCTGGCACGGTCGTTGGCGATCGCAGCCCTTCTTTGATTTCCTGCAGCGTTGGCATCTCGGCCTGGGCTCGTCGGCCGGTTCGGTGGGTTCGCCGACCGCAAGCGATTCTGGTTGGTCTGGGGATAGCGGCGTGTTGAGACCAGGGTTCACGGTGCCGTTAGGCCGCGCATTGTTGGCCTTTCCACTCGAAACGGACGAAGACACCGATGGTTTTCGACTTGCTGGAGGCGATGCTGGAGAGATAGGGTAGTGAGGTTCCTGCTTCACGACAGGCGGCTGTGGCCGGGCTTGAAGTGGTGCAGGCTGTTTTCGTCGGATAATGATCTTAGCGATTCCCCTGGGCAGTTGCTGCGTTGGCTTTGAGTGCAAGACGCGCACAGTCATGGGCGTAGATATGGACGGGAAAACGGTCTGAAGAGCGCTGGTAGCGGCGGTTACCTTACTCTCCCGGCGCATCTTCAGGGGCATGTCCTCGAGATCATCTTCGTAATCGGGATCTTCATCTTCTTCCTTGGCGACGTAAGTTTCATCTCCCTCGTCGTCACATGTGTCTGCATCTTCGTCGTATGCCTGGACTGCGCGAGGGGCACGGATCACCGATTCTTGGCACGGCTTCGGTGGCCGAGACACGAATGGGTGGTCGGGAGGCTGATTCTCCGAGTCGTCGTCGTCGCTGGGTTCGGTGGTATCGAAGGAGGGAAGAATCTCGTCCAAGCTCTTGAATTTGCGGTCCCTCGGGTATAGGATCGGGCTGAGCGGAAGCCCCGAGACAGGGAGAGGGTCCGGAAGTTCGGTTGTATCGCTACGACCATCGTAGTCGCCAAAGTCCCCACAATCGGAAGAGAATCCGTCACGCATCTCGTCTGTCGTCGACATTGTGGTGGCGGTACTGGTATTGACGGTACCAAGACGCATCAGCTGGATGGCAACATCCTCATCCGATATGCAGGACGTCACAGTCGGCGCCGGGGTCGGAACAACACCGGAGCCGTTGTAATGAGCCTGTGAACCGCTGGAACGGTAGACGCGCTGCCCTCCTGTGTTGGATGGAGACATGGGATGGCAGAAGCTGAAATGGCGGTTGGAATATGGAGTAGCGAGCTGAGGGACGCGGTGCGCAGGACTGGACGAGAGGGAGTCATCCTGCTTGGGGAGCGTGATGGGAGGGAAAAGCGGCAATTCCTGTGCAACTTGGTGTTAGACTCATTTCTGTAATAAAAAAACGGCAGTGTGTGAACGCACGTCTGACGAGAACTTGGGCCGTTTCCTTCTCGACCCTTCAACAATATTCTCAACGCTGATATCAGCGCTTGCGACGGAGGCTGCCTTCGTTCGTGGCTCTTCTTCATCTTCGGGCAGCAACGACTGGTGTGGCAACCGGTACCATAATCCGTCTTGTTGAATCATTTCTTGCTCTGCGTCCGAGTCGAGGTGCAGCGCCGAGCGCTTCAGCGACCTTCCGCGGCCACCGTATAGCTGCATCACCGTGGCACTGGTGCTGCGCCTTCCGTTACTCTGTGGCGAAACGCTGCGGCTCGTGGGGAATGCCGACGACCTATTGGACATGCCTTGCGATTGCCTCAAGTTGTACGGATGTCGATACACAAGGTTACTCCGCAGGCTGTCCTCGATGCGCACGTATACCGGCATTCCATCGAGGAAATTCTCGTAGCTCGGGATGAACGAGAGGCCATCGGCATCCTCCAACGATATGCCAAGGTCGTACTGCCGTGACATGCCGAATAGGTGCTTGACGGTGTCCATGATCGAATCCGTCGTATCGTGCGGTCGGATGTAGAATGTTTTGGGCTCGCAATGCGAGTCGCGCAGCCTGAAGGAGACGGCTTTGCAGTCGCCGTTCGGCGAAAGGGACTTGGGCGTTGTCGCGGGACCGCTGGCGTGAGGGGTAGTGGCTCCGGGCGGCGGTGGTGGGTGGAAGGGCTTGACCTGCGCCGACGCGAGCATATCGTTCGACGTGAGGAGCGATGACAAGTCCATGGTGATGTACGGCTACGCTGAGGGATATCGGTCGCAGTCGTCGATGGCGATGTATGTAGCGGAAGGCGCTGTGAGGGGTGCTTGTTGGTCAACAAGCCCAGCCGAAAATGCCGCACAAGGATCCGGCGATGGCTTCGGACCGTCGCAGAACCGATAGGGTGGAATGGGCGCTCGAAGTGATGACCTGAATTCGGGTCACGTTTAGCCAGCCGATCTCCAACGTATTGTGCTTCACCGAATTCGGTCTCAAATAATGGATGGTGAGGGGCAGGCATTCGCGTAATGGGGAGAAGCATGCGACGCTACAGCATTCGACGGGCTGTCTTCTGCGTCGTCGCCGTCGCCGCCGCCGACATCATTGCGAGGGTGGCCTGCGATAAGCAGACCAGTCACATTACATTGTAAAGATGATGCAGGCAAAGCCAACAAACGTGTATAGGAGCGAGCGCGTGCCATGCGGAACTCTCGTTGCGTTCAAAAAGGGAGACAACTGACAGACAGACCTTCAAGCGAGCAAGAGCACACCAGTCAGGCAGTGACGAGTCGTGTGGATGGCGAATCGAGAGGAGATGTAACTACCGAGCGACCAGTAGGGGACACGGGAGGGCTGGACCGTAGGATCGCGGATCGCAGGATCGCAGGCGACGAAGTACGAGACGTAGGAATCGGCAGCAGCGATGGATAGCAGAGGCGCGCGCGGCCGGGGAAGAGCTTGGAGAACAGTGGTATCGACTACGAGTTTTAAACGAGAGAGGAGATGATGGAACGAGGACGGGCTGTGTCTCGGGAAGCAGTGGGTGCAGGGAGGCGCTGAAGATGCGGTGCGGGCCGAGGGCTGCGGATGTGATGATGAAGAGGGGCAAAGTCTCGAGGTGGTAAGGACGGGAAGGAAGTAGCGTATGTAGCAGTAGGTAGAGGGGGGGGATGTTTAGGAAGAGGAGAGAGCGGTGCAAGGGGCGGGGGGGAGGATTGGCGAACCCGGGGTATCGTGGCAGATGTGGTGGTAGTGGTGGTGGTGGTGGTGGTGGTGAGCGCGGGCGGAGAAGGAGGTGGTAGAGGAAGAGGTGGTTGAATGATTAATAGTTAGCGGTGTGGGCTGCGCCGGTGGTGGTGTATGAAGTGATGGAGGTGGAGGTGGTGGGTGGTGGTGGTGCGGTGGTAGTGGCAGTGGTACTGGAGATAGCGAGCTGGAGAGACCGCCAGCAAAGAAGGTGGACGATCGACCACGGACGGACGGACACACACAAAAACTTCGAAACCGATCAAGGGAATTATCAGGACGAACGGTTGCCAGAAGACCGCAGATTATTCAGTCTATCGGCCATTCAGAAGGGCCCTGTGGCCATGCCCTGGGGCGCCATGGCACTGCCAGCCGTGGCCGCCTGTTATGTACGAGACACCGTGCCTACTTATCCCGTCCCCGTCCGGCAGCGCACGGCCTTCAAATTCCTCATGTTGGTTGGCACCACACGCACGCACAGCAGCAATCACAACATCGCAAAAGCTGGGCGAAGCGGAAGCCGACGCGGAGTCGGTGGCTACAATGGAGTGGTGATATCAGCGCCGCAAGGAAAGGCATAGGTAGCTACCAGCGCTGCAGAACAGCTGCGCTTCCTGTTCCCGCGCATCCAGGCAAAGATACGGTGGCTCCATAACACGAGCGATATCAACGCGGTTTAGGCTTCTCTGGAAACTCGGTGGCCACCTGCCGCCGCGCTTCCTCTGCGGTCCGGTCAATACGCCCATAGTCCGGGTGGCGAAGCAGCTCGTTGTACGCACGTTGGGAGTCGATTCATTCATCCGTTTTCACGTACGGAAAGCCGATCGTGAGGCATGTCATATCGGCGGGGAGAAGTCACATCGGTGGGGAGAAGCCATCCATTCCTTCCCCACCGCAACATCGTATTCCTGCGCGAAGCCGACCGCTTCCCGCCTCCAACGCACAAGTTAACGGTAACTTACGGGCTCTCCGAGCAAACCGTTCATCGCATCATCCTCTTGTTCTGTCCCGCCCACAGCTTCCGTCCACGCCTATAACCCCTCCTCTTCATCCTGCTCCTCCTTCTCCACTTCCTCCGCGCCCAACGACTTCAGCACCGCTTCCCTGATGTGACCTGTCCTTACATTCTCTGGTTGCTTGCAGCGACGGGCCCAAATTCTGAATAAAGATGGTACACCCGCGCAGTCATGCCAGTGGACGCTGCGTATCGAGAGCCCGCATGCGACCTGGTGATTGGCTGGCAGTACCACACAATCCGCATCCTTCCTTCTCGCTAGGACATCCGGCGGACAACAAATCGCGGATTTCTGGGGTTAGCACGGTTTACTAGGATTTCCAGTTTGCGAGTCCTATCGATCGGACCGACGAGAAAGAATCGACCAAAATCTGGAGAAGAAAATGTCCCGGAGAACTGCAGCGCCGCGGGTTTGCCGAACAATCGCTGCAGAGAGCACGGAAAATGGCTTCTGCCTGTCTGCAGCCTGAGTGCGGAACAGCGCGATGATTTCCGACAAAGAAAAGAGAAGGAGGCGCTCTGGAAGTATGCGGCGAAGCAGTGGGTAGATGTCGTGCATTCCAGGCAAGCATCAGGGGAGCTATGGATGTATCATGCGTCGCATACAGAGAGGAGTTGGACGGTGAGGGTGGAGTCAACGGCGGTTGCAGAGCAGGAGAGAACCGATTCTACAGGGCCGTGTATACCTAACTTGTGAGGTTCCGTTATGTGTGCAGCATCGTCGATTCCGAAAATTTGGCGAGCGAGGGAAATGGAACAGTCTCCACGGTAGGGAGCAGATATCCACGGCGACGGGAGCAGGTCGCGGCAGCTGATAAGTCCCCAGTGAGGATCTGCGTGCTGTTTGTTTTGATTTTGCCCATGCGGCGAGAGTTGTGGGTGTTGTGTACGTGTGGAACCGCTGCAAGTAGAAACGGCGTCAGGATTCAGGATTCATCCGCAAGCGTTTCAGGATGCGGAGAGTGCCGACCGGGCCCTCAGCTCAGGCGTCGCTGAGGAGCGGGACATGTAAATGTAAGCAGCGATGGACGTAGGACTGCAGAGCGCCCGGGTCCATATGGCCGCGTGGAGGATGATGATGGACCTCTGGACGGAGGAAAAGTGGGGAGAGTGACGTTTTGCCGGAGCACGTGACAGCGCGCGAAACGCGCCTCAAACACAACGTGACGCGCCACGAGTGCCACACGGTCGATAGAGCGCCAAAGGACATCGACAAACGCGGCGATCAGTGAGGCGATTTTGGTCGTGCGCGTCATGAAACTTCTGTTTTTCGGGCGTGGCTGGGAATGGTCGCTCACTCGGTTTCTGCTTGTCGTGGGAGACGTGACGCAAGATCCGAGATCGACCGTCTCAGACTTTTGCCGTCACTCAATCCTGTTGTCAAGGCAACCACCCCCAACACCGAGGTCCCTAGTAAACAAAAACGACTCTTCCCCATCCAACCCTCCTCTCTTCCTCCCCCAACCCACTCCGTACAACAATAACACTTCCTCTCTCCGGACGGTGTGCACTAAACACCACCACTCTCCTCCCGGCGTTCTACTCAAGCAATCACTCCCTCCGTTGCTCCTCTTTTCTATCGCTCTCTAACCCCCTCACATCCGCCTACTCTCCACTCCGTCCTCGCTTCTCTCCCCGTTCCTGCTTTCTACTCGCTGTCCTCGCTTCTCAGTACATCAACAACCACAACATCCTCAACAACCACAACAAAGCCTCCCCCCACGCCCACAGCACTGTCGTCCGTTCACCAACCCAGATTTATATCCCCTCATCGTAACCTCAATTCCTCAGCACCCCCAGCTTGATCCAGCCGTATCGCTAGAAAGATACACACCGATCGTCGCTATGGATGCCAAGGTATGTTTGTGTTGTGCTGTGCTTGTTGATGTTCTGCTGCTGTTGTCCTCTTCTCCCATCCCCCTGGTCGCTACAATCCCCACGTGTTACCCGTTGTGCAAAAACCCTTCTGTGAACTCTTCCAATCATGTTTGGTCCTTTTGGATATCTACATCACGTTATGCATAACGATGCCGTTATACGTGTTGCATCTCAGTACTGATGTGTTCCGTGGCCAGCCTGTCCGTCCTATTCGCGCCACGCGTGCTCGCACCGACGAAAATGCCCCCATCCTGGCGGCGAAACAGAACTTGATCAAGTCTAAAAAGTCCGCTGTCGGAACTGGGCCAAAGGCTGTCGAAGGCGATGTCAAGGCTATCGAAGGCGGTCTTAAGGCTGCCGCTCGTCGTTCGGTCTTCACTGATGCGCGCAACAAGACTGCCAACAACGTCCCTGGCAAGGAGAATGGCAAGATCTTTATCGGCGAGAAGGAGTACCAGAAAATCACTGCCGTTACGAGGCCTGCTCAGCGCAACGTCTCGATCAACCAGGCGGCCCCTCTTCAGCAGGCTGGACCTCGGAGGGTCGCCCCTCGTAAGACGCAGGTGTATGAGGACAAGAAGCCGAGCCCGAAGAACAACCGCATCCCCAAGATGTTCCGCGACGCCGTCACTAAGAGGGACGACCAGTCACAGGTGGCGCCTCGTGCTAGCAACATGCGCAATCAAGTTCCCGTCCGGCCTGTTTCTCGTGTCAAGCACCAGGAAATCAGGGATGAGCCAGTCTACTCGGACGAGCAGCCTCATCAGTTCGACGGTGACTACGAGGATGATACCGTCGCCGAAGATGAAGAAAACGGTTCTGATGCCGAGGGTCAGGTTGTCGACACCAAGGCTCGCTTCAACGCCGACGTTGAGGTTATTTCGGAGGATGACGGAAGCGCCGATGAGGAGGACAACACCGCGGAGTACAGTGTTTCGCACTCCCGCGGTGCCGAAGACTTCACTCGTGCCACCGAGGACGTGACTGGAGTGACTGCCCAGATCATCATGCCGAAGTGGAATATGAAGGCGAGAAAGGAGATCGCCGAGCTCAATGCTGAGTTTGGAACAATGATTGACGAAGACGAACTCGGTGATATCTCGATGGTCGCTGAATACGGTGATGAGATTTTCGAATACATGCGTGAGCTGGAGGTGACAACTGCCCTTCTTCTTCTTCCTTGTGGCTGCCCGCTAATCCTTGCTGTAGAAAAAATTGGCTCCCAATGCCAACTACATGGACTTCCAGTCCGAGATCCAGTGGTCGATGCGCGCCATCCTCATGGATTGGCTCGTTCAGGTCCACTCCCGTTTCAACCTCCTTCCCGAGACGCTGTTCCTCTGCGCCAACTACGTCGACCGCTTCCTGTCGGCCAAGGTTGTTTCGCTTGGAAAGCTCCAGTTGGTAGGTGCTACCGCGCTGTTCGTTGCGGCCAAGTACGAAGAAATCAACTGCCCATCGGTTCACGAGGTTGTGTACATGGTCGACAAGGGATACACAGCCGAGGAAATCTTGAAGGCCGAGAGGTTCATGCTTTCGATGCTGAACTTCGAGCTCGGATGGCCGGGACCCATGAGCTTCCTCAGGAGGGTTAGCAAGGCGGACGACTACGATCTTGAAACTCGTACGCTCGCAAAGTACTTCCTCGAGATCACCGTCATGGACGAGCGTTTTGTCGCTACTCCACCCAGCTTCCTGGCTGCGGGTGCCCACTGTTTGGCGAGACGCATGTTGAAGAAGGGTGCATGGGTAAGTCCCTCAATCGTGCTTCCGGATTAGATCATTGCTGACGTTCGTCTCCAGACTGCTGCCCATACTTTCTACTCCGGTTACACTGGTGACCAGTTGCAGCCTTTGATCTTCACTTTGCTCGAATGCTGCGAGGACCCGAAAACCCACCACGCCTCCATCTACAAGAAGTACTCTGACCGCCGCTACAAACGCGCCAGCTTGTTCGTTTCGCAGTGGATGGCTGGCCCCGACGGTCCAGGCGCCAACTTTTAGACGAGCCCGAGACTGGTCACTAAAAAAAAGCACTGACGCGGTCCACTTACAATTACAGTACTACTTTCATTCGTTACCGGGGTTTAATTTTTTTCTCCCCGTTTGTTTTCCTTGCATGGCGTTAATTCCATGGGCTTCTGCTTTTGGGTTTCCTTGAGTTTTTTCATATGGTTCCCTACCACTCCCTTTGATTTTGCAATACCTTTTTCTTTTGTCGAGCCCCTCCTTCACCAAGTTCACTTTACGGTTTCAGGCGAGGAAGGAAAGGCTTGAAGTTGTTGTTCTGCTGTCGATTTCGGAGAGAAAGAGGGCCTTGCACACCCCCGACTATCTGACGAAACTAAAGCAACATCGGCGGAGGCAAACGATAGGAATTGAGAGGAAGTGAGGAAGGGATATCTAATGCTTTGCGACCACGAGAAAGAGGGATTGCTCGGTTACTTTTTTTCTCCATCGTCATGTTCTCAGGAGCTGGTAATCAAAGATATCAGGAGAACTGGGTTGGGTTTCCGGATGAGCGGGAGGAGTTTCCTTGTTTCTTTTTTTTGCTTCTAATGACTGTTTATCCTCTTCATTTCTTTTATTGCTTTTTTTTTCTCCCCCTTCAATGTGATAGGTACGTGGCCAGGGGCCAGGAGGGTCCGTGGATGGCGGATGAATCACATTCCCCCTAACTTCTCTACTGGTTTGTTGTGTATCTTGTTTCGAGGGCCATTTTCTTTTGTATGATTGTGTAGATGGGGGGATAGGGTGGGAACCTGTACGGGTGTGTGGGCTTTTCTTTTGGTGTATACTTACGACGACTACGAATACAAAGATACCTTTTACTTTCCTTGACCCGATCGTTGAGTGGGATACCTTTGATATATGAACCGGCTCGGAGCTCGAACCGGGGCTTGAAGCTCCCATTCATTTTGGAAACTTTCATATGCAGTGCTGGTTCGCTACTGCATCCGCTACGTTGGAAGGAAAGTAAAGGTTGGTATTGTAGTTCCGCGTAATTACAATGGTGGGTGAATATTGCTATTCAGTGTGCTGGATGGATACTTTCTACGCTGAACAATGCCATTGAATAGATATCGGTGGGACTTCCAATTATCGCTTGCCTCTCACTGGGCAGTGGGCACCATGTGCAGGCGGAATAGGTGCTGGCTGGAGTCAGGGCTGGCTGAATGGGTACTTCTGGGGTTCATTCCTTCTGCTACTGTCACTCGCTTCCGCCGGTGCTGAGCGAGACTGGCTGTGGATGCTCTTGGATGATAACGACATTCACCGGTGTGAATGGACTCAGCCAGTTGTTGAAAGGAGTGACGAAGCCCACCCTTAAAACCAGCACTATTGGAACGTAGATCGTTCATGGAGGTGGAGAGTATATAGATTGCCGACGCTCTCACTGGTAGAATAGCAATAGAAGAATTGAATCCTTCGTCCCGACTCCCGTGAATCTCAACACCAGTCTCGATTGAGTGGGGTGTGCCCCGTTAGGTACTGTTGGTCGGTTCGTGAGCATGAATTAGAATTGTCCGTGCCGAACGAGAATTGGCTCTGAGCGTCCATTCATTTCCCCACGAGTAAGGTGCGAGTGAGCCAGACGTCCATCGTAGCCACTAGCTGCTCAACAAGCACATGGTGGTTCTGGGGGATTCTCGGCTTTTGCGGTACAGTAGTGTCACCGCTGCGGCCACCTGCCGCGAGGTTCCGGATCACGAGGGGATCACGGTCCGGACGCCGGCCCCAGGACGCGCGTCTGTCTTCGCGGCTGATCTCGCTCGCTCGGCGACGGCACGGGATGTTAAAAGCCGAGCCGAACGGGGAACACAGAGGCCGTCGTAGAGTAAAGTGAGCAACAGTAGGTTGTGCACACTACTATACACTGCGCTGCGAGGAAGACAAGCTCATCGGTACATAGAGTAGAGCAATTTATACATGTACTCCGGCAGCCACTGCAACGCGCAAATCGCACTTTGCGCGTGTAAATACGCACCTACCTGGTAGCTCCACTCACCCTCCACGCAGTGCACCCACCTCACGCACGCCGTCGTGTCCACCCCCATCAACATCAACATCCGCACCCTCGCACCTCCCCCCTCCCCCAATTCTCCACGATCAATCACCATGTCCAACGCCAAAAAACTCGCCTACGGTACCTACCTTCCACCCCTCATCCCCCTCGTCCCCCCACCCCCGTCCCCGGTCCTGGCCCTACTCCCCACCACTAACCGCCCCCCCACGTAGAAATGCGCGAGCCAGCATTCATCTCGCGCATGCGACGTGCAGCAGCAGGCGCAGGCCAGCAGGAGCGCTACATCGCGCCGCGGAACAAGAAGCGCGTTGCTGTCGAGGGCGACGACGACGATGCGCCCGCGTACGTGATGGAGGACGGCAGCGCGCTTTCGAGGGAGGAGTTTGAGCGTTTAGCTGGTAGGGGAGAGGGGGAGGGGGAGGAGGAGGATGGGGATGGGGAAGGGGAGAAGGAGGCGGGGGAGGGAGGGGAGAAGGAGGCGGTGGTGGGCGAGGACCATAAGACCGACAGCGATACAGCGCCGGCGCCAGAACCAGCGCCGCCTGCGGCTGCAGCTGCGGCGACGAGTCGGGTCGCTGAGGCTGGTGCCAAGAAGAGGCGGAAGGTGGGCAAGGTTGTTGGCGCGGACGACGAGGAGGAGGATGCTACACCGGTGGAAAAGAGTAAACCAAAAGCCAAAGGAAAGCCCAAGCGGAAGGTTAAGCTCTCGTTTGGAGATGATTTATAGTTGGCCTGGCGAATTGGCAGCCAGCCTCTGGATCTGCTTGGTCTGTATTCTCAGTATCTAGCCGTGGAAGCTTGGACGGCCGGCAATGAAGCTTAAATAGCAGCCAAAACACATATATAGCGCTGGGTAATGATGGAAGGAGAGCAGGATGATATCGTGGATAGCTAGTGGATGAGCGGTTCGACCTTCGTGTCTGCTATATACCGCCCACGTTTCTTGCCCCGGCAATCGAGATACAATTCCAATTAGGCTATGCTTACATCGTAGTGTATATCTCCAGACCAAAGCCCTGATCAGAAACCCCCAAGCCAACATAATTCTGTTAAAACGCCCATCATTACGTACGCATATGCATGTATCTTTTACGCCCCCCCCACAAACATCAAGATCATCCACAGAAGCAGATCAGCAAGTAGAAAACAATGAGCAGAAAAGTAAAGATGTAATTCTGGCTGCAAACCGCAGACCCCAAAGCACAACAAAAAAAAGAAAAAAAAGGAACGGACGCAAGAGTGATGCGGTGAGAGAACCTACACGGTCTCGACCGAAAGAGCCATCTCTTCGCCTTCCTCCGTCTCCCTCTCCCTCTCGCGCTCCGCCTCTCCTGCGCCCCCGTCGACGTCGACCATCTCCTCGTCCTCATCCCCCCCAGCGTTGCTCTCGGGCCCTTCGATGGTCATGCCCCTGGAAATCATGATTTCCGCGATGATATCGTCGATGCCCCCGTGGGCATCCAACAACTCATCGATCTTGACCATGATCTCATCGTAGGCGCCCTCTGCAGCAGCCTTCTCCTCGATCTTCGCGGCGGCCCTGGATCGGTCTCTAACCCTCAGGGATCCATCACGATCGAGCTCGGCGATGGTGATCTGCTGCAGCTTCTCGAGCAACGCCTTCCCCTCGGGAAGTTCGTCAATCTTCTTCAGCATGGCTTCGCGAACGAGGTCAAAATAACCTCGTTTCTTGAAGTCTTGCTGAATCAGCTTGACTTGTTCCCGCTTCTCGGCGTTCTCCTTCTCGATCGCCGCCTCCTCCTCCTTCTCACGGGCCTCTTCGAGGTCCCGCTCTCTACGGCGCTCGCCACGCTGCCGCTTCTGCTCGCGCTCGGCATCTTCCCGGCGTTCGCGCTCCTTTTCCCGCTCACCCGCTTCGTCGCGCTGTCTGTCGACAGCCGACCGGAGGTCGTCTTTCTCCATTGGAGATTGACGATCCTCCGCGCTGGGCCCATCGCCCATCCTCTCGGTCATGTCGGAGGTGGGCTTGATGGTGGGAGTAAGCTCTGGCTTCTCCTCTTTCTCCGCGAGAATTTCCGCCGGAGGACTGACAGGACGCCCGGAACCCATTCCCTTGCCCGTTGGCTCCATCTGTTCGGGCACAGACTTCATGGCCGGCGTGAGCTTATCGGCCGAAGGCTCCTTGCCCTTCTCTTTGTCGTCGGGTGCCCGACCGCCAACCCGATTTCGGTGCTTCTCCACCGGCTTCTCCTTGGAGCCTTCCACCGGCTTCTCCTTGGCGCTCTCCGACTTCTTGGCTTCGGGTTCCTTCCGGACCCATTCCTTGTCTTTGGTGCGTTCCCTCGAGCGAGTGCGGGAGCGGGAGCGATCTCGGGCACGGACACGATCTCGGTCCCGGTACCTGTCCCTGTCCCTATTGACGGGATGAGAGTAATCGCGAGTGCGATCTCTCCGGGATCTGGAGTCGAAACGATCTCCACGGGACCGAGACCTTGACCTCCGCGAACGCGACCTCGAGCGATCCCGGGCATCCCACCTATCCCAACCGGCTACTCCTCCCCTATCGCGCGAGCGGTCTCGGTCACGATCACGGTCTCGGTCGCGGTCCCTGTGCTCTTTCGTCACGGGTTTCCGGTCCTTGGACTCCTTCGACGAATCGTTCGACGACTCCTTCACCATCTCTTTCGTGGCAGGCTCTTTCACCGCCTCTTTCGTGGCTTCATCCGCCTCGCCACTGCCCCGGCCCTTTCCGTCCCTCGAGCAGTCACGCGCACGATCCCTCCGTCCAGCAGAACGAGAGCGATCGCGCCGTACGGGCCTGGAGCGCTCCCTCTCCCGTCTCACAGACCGCGAGCGGTCTCTATCCCGTCTCACAGATCTGGAGCGGTCTTTCCTCCTCGACCTCGAGCGGTCCCTGCGGTCCCAGTCTCGGGCATTGCGTCTGCCCCCTCGGCGAGAACGAGATCTCGAATAGTCACGCTTAGAGCGGACATGTCTCGATCTGCTGCGACTGCGAGACGAGCTCGGCGAGCGCTTGCGGCGTGGGGGTGGAGACGATGATCTGGCGCGGGATCTGGCACGGCCGTAGGATGGGCGGTAGGATTCTGACATCCCGTCGCTCTTGCTCTCTTCTCCGGGTATCCCAGAATGCTGGGGAGCTTGTCCTTCTTCAAGTTCTGCGGAACGATCAAACTTGTGATCGAACGCTTCGGAGTATCCGTGCTTGTCTTGGGCGTTGGGAACCTCTGCCTGTCGGAGGGTTGAATTTGTGTCGGATCTGCCGCGATCGGACTTCTGGAAATATCGATTGCTCTCGTGAGAGACTTCGTCGCGATGACCGCCGCTGTGCTCGTACTGCTGGGGAAATTGATGCTGCGTGTGATTGATCTCGTCGTCGTGGTTCTGGCTGTAGTGTTTCTCGCCTGGGAATTGATACTTTTCGGGACGGGGTTTCGGTTCGCGAAAGGTTCTACTGCCTTTCTCGGTGTAGTGTCCGACACTGGCTAAGGGTTCTTTGAGGCGGCGCCGTTCGTCTTCAAGACGCTTACGCGTGTAATTGCGAGTGCCGCGCGACTCGCTACCGGGGGATTGAGAACGGTGGCGGTGGGAGTGGTCGTAGTCACGGCGACGATCGCGGCTGTTATCGAATTTCTTGTGGTGGTGAGACTTGCTAGTCAACTCGGCGCGGTGATGAGAACTGAGGTCACGATGATCCGAGTAGCGGTAGTCCTTGTCGACGCTAATGCGGCTGCGGTCATCAGCATGGTGACGTGCAGGCATTTTCTCGGCTCTGGCGTAGCCTTCAGCACGGGATGAGTTATCAGCACGCACACCATCTGGTTACGTCATCCATCAGCTGTGTTAAACTAGGAGTGAGAAGTGGAGGATGACTAACCCTTGTCCCCACGGGAACGACGTCCATCATGACGATCACGATTATGGCCTCGACTTCGGTAACGATAACTCTTGATGTCTATCTGTTCTTCCGAAGCCTTCTCATTGCCCAAAGCCTCGTCGTCTTTCGAAATCTTCTCATCTCCTGAAACCTGCTGCTCAACTGTAGGCATCGATGGTTAGTAAATAGTAAGTCTCACGAGATTGAACAAGAAAACTCACGATGCTTCTTCTGACTCTCCTGTAGGGTGCGCATCTCCTTCGGCTTTTTATTCTTTTGCCGTTGTCGCCGTTCCTGTCTTTCCAATTTGTATCTCTCCCTACGGCTTAAATGTTTGGACTTCAAATTGTTGTCCGCCTCTCCTTTTTTCTCGTCGATTCTCCTTCTGGCACCAAAGTGGGACTCCAACCTGCCATCACGATGACGGTGGGACCTTGTCTTCGACTTTTCGTCGGTCTTGTTAACAGTCTTCTCTGTCTGCTCCCGATCATCGCCGGATCTCTTCTTGATATTCTTCTCCTGACCATCGCCTGCGATCATCGATCCTGCCTTAGCAGTAGACGTGTATTCAACTCGCTGCTGCAAGCCGACCTCTGCAGCTTTCCTCTTCTTGCTCGACTGTCTATCGCCTTCGCCAGTCTGCCTCGAGGACGGACCAACGGGAGCAGCGAGGCCAGCATTCATGGCGGCAGGAATGTGAGCAGCGGAATTAGCAGCCATGTTGCGAGGTGGCAGCGTGAATGGTTGGTAGAAACTGGGGACGGGGCGGTTGGCTGCCATGATAGCGAAGCTTGAAGGTAGGGAAGCGGGGTGGGAAAATGTGGGGTGTGGATGTGGGGTGAGGGAAGCTTGGGGGTGAGGAAGTGGTGGGGAAAGATGTGTGGTTCTGTGGGTGGAGAGAACTCGAAGGCGAGGAAGTGGTGTGGAAGGATGTGTGGTTTGGATGTCGGAAGAACTTGAAGGTGAGGAATTGGTGTGGAAAGCTCTGTGGCTCTGTGAGTGGAGAGAACTTGAAGGTCAGGAAGCGATGTGGGTTCGATCTGTGGTTTCGATGTGGGTAGGAGAGGAAGAGGAGTGGGAAGAGGATTGGCTTTATAGGTTGGGGGGTACTTGAAGGTGGGGAGGTAGTGTAGGAAGATTTGTGGTTTGTTTGTGGGCGGGGAGAGAGCAGAAGGGGCTACGAGGGGTCGAACAAACGACCCGCTTCACCGGTTTGGTGGAGTTCAACGTTTAGTGAAGGTCGAGTGATGGCGCGCGTCCACTACGAGCACCGTCTTGGCAATCAAACGATCCGATCCACAGGTTATTTTCACAGGTTTGATGCAGTTCTACACTTGGGAGGATCGAGTGATGCAGTGCATCCACCACGGAAAACAGTCTTGGCACCAGCCGAGCACATCTGAATATGGAAAGTTCAAACATGGAAAGCTCGCCTTCTCTCGAGTGCATACCACTAATTTTTACCGGAGTAGCCCCTCGGGCTTTGACATTGAATTTAAGAAATCTTCTACCGCCGGTTCTGCCGAAACAGCGAGATTTGCGTCCCGTGGCTGTAGATAGAGCATAGGTACTAGGCTGTCGTCATGGTTGGTGTGCTTCCCGTATTCCAACCGGACAGGATAGCAGTGCAATAGCAATGGTAATCGGCTCGCTTTCTCACCGATAGACCAGCGCACATCTGGAATTGTACATATCGAGCAGAGTGCCATGCGGAAAAAAAGCCCATTGCAAGGCGAATGATATATTGTGCCTCATGTATAGATCCCCGGTGTCGGATCGCCTCCCAATCCAGTCAGCCTCGGAGGGAGAACACGACCGCCGGCTATCCGCTGATATATATTGTGTAAAGTAGAAGGGCAGCTCTTATTTACTCCCCCGGATAGCAAAGTCTTCTCGAAGGCCCCAGTGTTGCCGACCATATGTACCTCTAAGTACCTCCAAGTACTTATACTACACGTCCAGCGTATGAAACTGGTGACCCCGGTGGCTCCAGTGGTTTGAGACAAGTCCCTTTTACGATCCGTATACGACTGATAGGACAACTGCGCTTGATTCTCCAAAACGAGTGATTGATAGTGAGCGACATCGCACGGATACTCATCTGCGGTTCTAACTACACGAGGCGACTTAACCGAGCCCACCGAGTCTACCGTTGAATATGGCAAGATATATTTCCATCAGCCAGCTCGTGGAGCTATCGGTATGGATATGTGTGTCGAGCCACCGTTTAGTACATAATGCTACAGACGGGATGGGCGTAGTTCGAGATACAGAGCAGGGCCTATGAACATCGCTCGACACGTTTACACTGTGGCACATAGATTCTCAAGACACTCGGCCGACTGGTAGGTATTAAATTCCACAGCTACCACATCACCCACCTTCCTTCCTACCATCTACCGCTTCAAATTCTTCTGCTTATTAGCGCCAACAACCAGGCGCTTCTGGACAAACAGGCCCTTGCGCTTCCTAATAGTATCCATATAGCGCTTCGCGACATTCTCCTTATCAGCGACATCTCCCAGATCCTCAAGCTGTTCTTCAGTGAACGGCGTCCAGAACGGGTCCATATCGAGGATCTCGAAGCCGCTAAAGATCAGCTGTGGCGAGGCTTCGCCATGTGTGTTCTTGCGGATCTCGTTGGCGAAGCCGAAAGACTCTGCGACTGGGATCAACGCCCGGATCGTCCAGAACGGCGTGCCCTCTTCTTGGTCTTCGGCCGTCGTGCGTCCGCCGCGCATCGCGATCGTGTCGTGCACTCGGCCTAGTGCTTCCACTGTGTGGGGTTAACATTCAGAACGAGTGACCGCGGTAGGGGGGAGGGGGCACTTACTGGAGGTTTGGACATCGCAGGAGTACATAGCCAGCATCAACCGGGGCGACCAATCGAGGAAGCCCTGACGGATGGCTGCCTGGACGGCGCTGATGACCTGGAAGTTCTCGGTTCTCGCAACCTGCAGATCCTCCTCCTTCGAGGCAACGATAACGGTTTCCTCGACAAAGACGGCGATACCCTGGACTTGCTCGTTGCAGAGCGGTCCCTGGTAGGTTGCGAGCTGGAAGGCATGCGAGATCTTGTCTTCGAAATCCCGCGCGGAAAGCGCCTCCGAGCGTTCGTTATCCACAACCGGATTGTCCGACAGCCTTTTGAGCTCCCGTTAACATGACGTCCGTATCCTCGGCACGGAACCAACTCACAGTTTACGGAACCCACGCTCCAGCGTTGCATCGATCAGAACATTCGGACCGATCCTCCGCGGCCCGAACGCGATAATTCTATCCAAGACGCCGGCCCAAGTGTCCCTCTCCTTCGACGGCGCACTATCAAACGCCTTCTGCAAGCCCTGTCTGATCTCCTCGACGCCCAACAGCTTCAGCTTCGCCTGTGCGCTGTTTTCACCCTCCTTCGATTGCCCGGCAGCCGCCTCGTCCTCTTCGCCCGCCCGCTCTTCCTTTCCCCGTTTCACCGCGTACAGCAGTGTGATGGATGCGTTGTTGTCGAGCAGAAACTTCGTTACGGCGGGGGGTAGGGGTCTCGTCCGCACGCGGACCGTGATCTGCTTTGATGGAGTGACGGCATTGACGGTGCCGCGGGGAAGGTTCGGGTCTTTCGGAGGAGCCATCTCGGAAGCGACCACGATAGTCTCACGGAAAGGTACGATAGGAGACGAGGACTGGATATCGATCTTTGCGAACCGTTCCTTGAGATCTTTTAAGCATCGCTAGATACAGGAGCCGTCAGTGATGATGATGCAACATGACTCGCGAGGGTAGTAGGATACGGTACCTCCAGGTGCAGCTCGCCGGCTGTCAAGATGACATGCTCTCCGTTGTCCTGCACCATGTACTCGGCACAAGGATCTGCCTGCTCCAGCAACTTCAAGCCCTCAATCAACTTGCCCATCTCACTGGGATTCCTGGGCTCAAGAGCAACTCTGACGATGGGTGCAGCACCGAGGTTGACACCCGCAAGATTGAGACCGCCGTTCTCAACGCTGATCAGAGTTCCACTCTTGAGGATCTTGCCCTCCAGTCCCGCGATACCAAACACGTTTCCGGCGGGCACTTCGTCGAGGGCTTCCAAATCCTTGCCCATCATGTAGTACAAATCCGCAACCTTGACCTTCTGAATGTGCTGGTTGGGGAACATGGGATTGTACTTCGGTCCGAGGACATAGAGTTCCTGTCCGATCTTGACGGTTCCGGAGTAGACACGGGCGAATCCGATCAGCTGCTCCCGCTCGTCTTCCTCCTCTTGCGGCTTCTCCTTTTCTGCCGGTCCTCCATCATCCTCAACAACGTCCTCAACAACGTCCACAACGTCGCTCCCATACTCTTCCCGCACTGCATCAGCAGCCGCAGCCGCAGCAGCAGCAGCATCACTAGCCCTCCCCTGGGCAGCAAGTTGCCTCGCCAGCTCAATAGTTTTCCTACGACCGAGTTCCCTCATCTCCGCCGCCGAGAGCGTCACGCGCCGGATCTTCTTCAGTTCGTTCGCAGGAACCGACACCATTTTGCTGACATAGGCAACGACCGGAGCGTCCGGACTCACATCGAAGTTGAAGATTGCGTTCTTGACCTCCTCGGACACGGCCTCGCTTCCGGGCGCGGACGCAAGGACGTGCGGCATCCTCTCCTTCTGGGCTTGTGGGGGCGCCGGAATCTGCTCGACCACGGACACCAGCAGCGCGGTGGATAGTGGCAGCCACTGCATCATGACCGTCTGCAGCAGTTGCCGCTCGTCCTTGGTCCGCATCTCACGGGGAAGCACCCGGAGGTTCAGGGATTTGATGATCTTCTCCACCTTTTGTAGGTCCTGGCCGCCTCTACGGGACACGAGTTTTCATGAGCCTCAGTTCGAATGGAATGTATTTGGCAGAACAAGCTAAACAACGCAGAAAACAGAAAACAGAAAAAGCAACACGGAGAAGGATGTGCCACGTACTGCTGCGGCACGGTTCCGGCGGACTGATAGACAGCCCAGATGGTTTCCAGCACTAACGAGACAAACATGGGCTTCAATTTCCGCCCCTTCAGATGCTTCTCCTGGAGAACACGCTTCGTCTTGGGATCCAGGTAATATTTGCCCCACAGGACCTTCTCCAGCACCGACTTCTTGATGCCCAGCTTCTTTTCGTAAATGTTAGCGAACTGACGGATCGTGAAGGCCCATCCATCGATGGCGCTGGCAAAGATGACGTTGTGCTTTTCCGGCGCAAAGTAGATTTCCTCGTCGTCCTTCTCCTCGAACTCAGCTGGCGTGTTATCATCGGAGGTCTCAGGATTCTCCGGGAGTCCCTTATCCGACTGTTCCTTTGCGGCGGCCAGCCTTGCTTCCAGCACCTCGCGCCACCTAAGGTCCTCCTCCATGCGCTCGCCAGCAAAGAAGCTGCCCATGACCGCATTGACCTGTTCCACCGTCTTCGACATGCGATCGAACGCCTCCTCGGGGCTGAGCTGGAGCTCCGTGATCAGGCGATCAATCTTGTTGATGACCAAGATGGGCTTGATATGTTCGATCCAAGCCTGTCGCAGCACGGTGACCGTTTGCGAGCACACGCCCTCGACCGCATCCACCAGCACGACCGCACCATCGCACAGTCGTGATGCAGTCGACACCTCCGACGAGAAGTCGATGTGTCCCGGCGAATCGATCAGGTTCACCAGATACTCCTCCGCCTGCGGCTCGACTTCTGCGCCGTCTGCCGGCGGCAGGCGCCGCAGCATCCGGAAGTACAGCGAGATCGCGGACGACTCCATCGTGATTCCCCGCAGCTGCTCGTCCGGCCGTGAGTCTAGGTACCGCACTCGCCCCGCGAGCTTCGCGGACACGATGCCATTCGTCGAGAGGAGGCAGTCGCTCAGTGATGTTTTTCCGTGGTCCTGGACGGCACGAGGGAGGGTTAAGATCGTGGTCTATCCCGAAAGGAGGAGGAGGAGGAGAGGTAGCGTACAACGTGTGCCAAAATACAAATCTGCAGGCACGGCCGGGCAAGTCAGTATCTATCTATCGGTGGATTCGTACGAGTGCGGAAGAAGCATAGTAGTGTGACATGGCAGCCAGAAGACTTGGATCGCTATGGTAGAGCTGCTGGCTAGAAGCATTCCGACTCACGTTTCGGATGTTTGCGCTGTTCTTCTGCAGGGCCACAACCTGGGCCGGGGTGATGGGCGGCATATCGGACGTGCTTCTGATACGGCAATCGACTCGGGGCTATAGGTTATGCAACGGCGGGTGCAAGTGATACAGTGTGTGAGTGAGTGAAAGAGCGTTCGATACAATTCAGACTGTGGAGAGTGTCCTGTTGGTTTGCGCGGTTGTGGTGGTGTTGAAACACTGGTGAGGGGAAAGCGAAGAACAAGTTAGATAAGTGAATTGAATTGGTGATTCTTTCGATTGCGGGGATGGGTTTTCTCTAGTTATGGCCCCAACCAGCGCGCGACTCATGATGCATCCATGATGAGCAACCCCCCGGCGCTCGGGGGACACAGGTGTCTAGGGGTGTCCTTGCACTGCCGTTGCGTTACAGAGTTAGATGGCGCGATGCCCGTGAGGGAAAGTGGTTGCTTACCCGCCTGTGGACCTGCCCCGCACCCGTCTGGCTGACCGTTGTGTCGGGCTGTCCTGCCACCAAGGATGTGGTCGAGAGACGGATTGGATTGTTGGAGCTGTTGATCTCTTCTACGTATCGGACCACCCAAGAAGATAGTCGAGTCCAACCTCACCGTTCACGAACTACCCGTGCATTCGCTACAATCTTCCCGTCCGTATCCACCGTCGTATCAACACGCTGCGATGAGATCCACTGCTGTTCTTTCCCCTGAGGATTAGGCCGACGCTCGTCAGAATCTGGAGCTTCCGACACTATGAAGCTATTATACGCTCTGCAGATGTTCACGAAAGTCGCACGAAGACCCCGGCCGTTATCAAACACGACGTACTGCAGGCAATGCAGCTACAGAGGCAGGAACTCAAGACCGTCCGTCAGCTTCCGTTCATCCCCGTGCGGAGCCGTGAGATCAATGGCAGTTAGTGGACTCTTGAAGACCGCCGGGGCAAGTTCTTAACGATCAGAACGACTACGGCACCAGCACCGGCTGGATGAACTCAACAGTCCAGCGCAGAAACTGGTATCAGTATTCCATCTCACCATCTTACATAGTTTTGGCTGTTCTGACGCTCAATTGCAAGTCACGATACCGCTGTAGTACATTTTCCGTGCACGAATCGGCATCACACCCGCGGCATTCGAGGAGCCTGAGACATGTGCACGACCGGCCGGTCGCCTCGCCTCGGCGTCGATCCCAGCTGCCGAAGACGACTGTTTCACATCCACACTCCCACGAGGAACGCATCGTTGGACTCGCGGCGACGTCGATGCATAATGCATTCGCTGTTCGATTTGCGAGAGCAGCCCCGGCTCCAACAGGCACGAGCTAGAGTATTCCTTACACGCACGCTGGATGTGGCCACAAGACACGGCGCAGGTTCACACGTTCGCCGGGGGATACCGGTATGTACATAGACCTGCGCCGACTACTTGCGGGTCCTGGAGGGGAGCAGTTATGTACAATACATACGCCAAGCTTCGGCCGAATAATGCTCGCCTACCTATATGCATACAACATGCACTACTGGTTCCGGGAAGTTTGTTTCGCAAGGGTGGAGGAGATGGCGCTCAAGGGCGTGGCAGGAGGGACCATGCTCCACGGGGGCCGAAGATACGCAGTCAACATGGAATTCCGGTCCGCGGAAGTATCGCTTGCACGGTCGGTTCTTGTCTTGCCTTTGTGATTTGCGACGCCCAGAAGAGAAGAGAAGGAACGGGGAAGGCGTCTTGGATCGGTTGTTGGGGGTCGTCCATACTGTCGGAGAGGAGCCGAAGCTGCGCCGACTATATACCGGGAGCAGAGCAGTTCCCGCACGCCGAGAAGATCCGTAGGGTTCGTTGGGTGTGCGACTGGGGATCTTAGGGGTTCAATTGATCTTTATTTTCTGTTTCGGTGATCGCATTATGTGTATTGATTGTATTGATAACTCACCACCGGGAACCCATGGTGAGCTTATATCATTGTGAAACTAGGGGGTAACCTTCGAGAGACAACGAAGTTACGGTTCGGCGAGTATGCATACTCTACATACATATGGTTATGGCCGTGGTGACTTTATGCGAGCGAAGGCGTCCGTCCTTGGTCGAATACTCTACGAGTGCAGTGCGTCTGCAAACGGACCGGGTGAGATGTGCGGTATGTACATAGGAAACGCAAACCGCTTCATCTTCTCCTCCTCCTCCACAACCACCGGAAATGGACTGTTCGCGCTGGACCGGCCGGGAACGGCTGCCACAGAACGTCGGGGGGAAATAGGCTCGCGGTAGCAGAATCTGGCAGAATCTGGCCGAGAACGGGGCAGCCACGCGAGTGAGTTTGCTGGCGAAAACCCCTTGAGCTACACGCAGCCGTGAAGGTTCGGTGCACCCGTCGGCGCCCAAACCGGTATCCGGGCTGGTCTCTGTACTCTATTCGCCATCCCATCCGGCGGCGACAACGGTTATTGTGCGAAGACAATGTCTGTCTGACTGGCCCGTGCTCGCGTGAGATCTGCCGGTTCGCCAGAAAAAGAAACGGATGTGCGCCGTGGACGCGGACTCGCTGGGTTTGAGTTCGGAATCACTGCGGACGCTCGTGTGCAACGCCGGGACGTTGGTGAGTACATACGGTAGTAGCGTACGAGAAGAAGACCGGAGACGACACCATGCGGGTCTCTCTGCGCCTCTCTCCCGTTGGATGCCCAGTCATGTTGCCCTCGCCCTCTGACGACTCGATCGCGATATCCACCTATCCAGTCCGTCTTCAACTCGCGGCTTCTTCATCCTTCATGACTGTGCTAGCCTCTACGGGCGGCCTCTAATTGTGTCGGTGGCCCATAGCGTCGCTTCTAATAATACCTCTTCAAACTCCCTCGCTCCCTCTCTCCTGAATAACCCAAAACAAACCGTCTGCGCTGTGCGCACCGTTCCGTCCGTTCTCCTCGCCCGCCCGCCTCTCCTTTGGAACGTCACACCTAAACCGCACGCACGCGCTCGCTCTACCGTTCGGAAACACTCACCTCCCACCGGAATCGAATCTCTTGAATGCCACCGCCTTCTTCTAATCTGCTCTCGAGTCGGAAATGCCATCGTCCTGACCATCCTCTGCCATCATCTCCATCGCCAGCCGTTCTGCCTTCTACTAATCCCGCGCCTGCGCCCGTCTATAACTGCAACTGCTGTGCGCCCGTCAAACACCATCACCGCTACAGCCCCCTGTTCTCACTCTAATTCCCATCCCCCCCCCCATCTCCCGTCGAATCAAAATCTCCCGGGCGCTCTCGCATACCACCAGAACTTGACCTGCATACTGCAACATCTCCACTTCCGCACTCCTCCCACTCCTCCGCGTCGTCATAGCCTGACGAATCGACAACCCCCTTCGAAATACACACACATACCAAGCCTAGCCTTAGTTACCAACAAGTAGTCGGACATGTCGAACACTCAGATGGAGCCTCCTGCCGTCTCGGCGACCGCGACGACGACGACGCAGCCACAGACGCAGCCACAGACGCCCGCGCCACAGTCCTTGTCCTCGCAACTCGCAACTCTCAAGATCAACACGGGACCGCCGGTGGATCAGGACGGCGCCTTCCTTCAGGACAGAGTGCTCAAAAGCGGCTGGCTCCACAAACGCACGAGAAAGACAAAGGTACCGATCCTCGCCGCTGTTCTCGCCCTTCCCCCCCCCCCCCCCCCCCGCAGTGGACTGATGCTTTTGCTTGCGTAGGGCTGGAAACGTCGATGGTTCGTGCTGCGAGCAGACCGTCTCTCGTGCTACAAGGACCAGAAGGAGTACAAAATCCATCGCCAGATCTACCTGTCCGATGTCACCGCCGTGACGGTCCTCAAGGACCCCAAGCAGAAGCATCCCCCGTTCGCGTTCGGCGTGTTCACGAATTCCAAGAACTTCCATTTCCGCTCCGAGTCGGAGGAGGAGACCAAGGACTGGACCGAGAAGATCTGGGCAGCGGTCGCGCAGGAGGTGCCGGGGGACATGATGCTGAGCTCGCCGATCGCGGCAGCGGGGATCGCGAGTCCGCCGCTGCAGGGACATGCCCCGGGTATGAGTGTGAGTGCAAGCAAACGCGCAAAGGTGTTTGGAGCGGGAGTTGGTAACGGTGGGCGGGTGTCGTCGCAGACTCTGGACTACTCCGGGCCCGATGTCGGATCCGTTTCGTCGCTGTCGGATGCGGCGCGGGTGTCGCAGCTGTCGCTCGCGCAACACCACGATGCTGGCTTTCTCTCCGGTGGTGAGACTACCGATAGCAAGACCACGAGCGTGGATCCGCCCAGAATCGCACGGAACGGGTCGGGTTACTCGTCGACTGAGCAGTTACCGAGAGTCATCTGGCATGGTTATCTTTACTGTTTGAAGTCGAAAGGAGGCGTGAAGCAGTGGAAGAGGTACTGGATAGTCGTGCGCAACATCAACATTGGTTTCTACAAGAACGAGGAGGTCAGTTTGATCCGTGTCGCCCACTGCCCAGCCAATATTGACTGACGTCTGCCCAGGAATACCGAGCAATCAAGATCCTACCACTCGACAGCGTCGTCGATGCGGTCGAGATCGATCCTCTGTCGCGATCGAGGCGACACTGCCTACAGATCATCTCGGAGTCGAAAGCGTACAGGTTCTCGGCGCCGGATGAGGAGGTTCTCGTCAAGGTCCTGGGAGCTCTCAAGAGCACGCTGGCCAAGAGCAAAGCTCCCTTGCCGCCAACACCACCGCCAACCCAGGCACCATCCGTCCCTGCGCCGGCAGCAGCAGCAGCAGCAGCAGCACCAACACCAGCGCCAGCACCAACAGCGGTACACTAATATCTCGGCACCCACAAAGTCCACCCGATTCTCCTTGCTGGCGATTCTGGCACCGGTAGATGCATCTTTTCCCTTTTTCATTGAGCGATCCTTCGTCTGCACTGTTCATTCTCCGCTTGGACCTCCGGGGTTTGACCAAATTTCGGCAACGGCAATGGCAATAGCGAAACACACAGGCACACACGCGTCATACATACAGAGTCACAACACATTTGCGTTTTTCATTTGAACTTGAACTTGAACCCTTGCTTCACCTGACCCATCAGTCCCTCTTTGTATTCGTAGCCTGTCTTCTCCGTCTGTCTCTCTGTCTCTCTGTCTTCTCTGTCTCTCTCATTTCCTACATATTCCCCCTCCCACTGCTGCTAGTTATCACTCTTTTTTCTTTTCCTTAACATAAGTTTGCACTCGGCGTTTCGATTTTTTTTTACTTTTTTTACTTTTTTTTACTTTTTTTACTTTTTTTATCTTCTATCTTCTATCTTCGGCCTCCCTCCCGTGTTGATACGATGATAATTTTGAGGCCTCCCTTCCCCACCATCCCATACCGTTCTGTTTCATTGTATAAAGTATACGAGTTTTTTGTCCTTTTCTGTTCTGTAATAGGCATTGTACGGTGTACCCCCCCCTCCCCCTCCCCTCTCTCACACCCCCCAACTCCGTTCCTTTCATCTTGTCCTTCGTCTGTATGTACAAATGGGAGGAAGGAAAACTTGTCTGACCGTCTGTCTGTCTGATCGATGCGGTGCGGTGGGTGGATTGAACTGGATTGAACTTGATTCGGTCGATAGGATAGCGATAGCGATGGATTCCGCTGGCTGGTTTGGTTGGCTTCGACATCAAATATTATTCACGGTTTACTATCACTCACTATCACTATCGTATCATATGTACATGGCAATGGCACGCCGCACAAACCACCCACCGTGTCTTTTGTCTCGTCCCGTCTCGTCTAGAATTTCTTGGTAGTGTAAGCCCGATACGCCCGCCACGGCAGCGTCCACTGCCGCCGCATCAGCGCCGGCGCGAACGGGTTGAAATCCGCCTTTTCCAGGCGCTCGAGGTAGAGTGTTGTCGGGACCTATCCGCTTCGTCAGCCTGCCTACCTCCCTTCTTAAAGAGTGAGTGCCATACCGCGGGCAAAAACGACGCGAACGCTGCGCCGCTCGCCGCCTCCCCCGCGTCATCCAGCATCTTCCGCGCAGTGATGAGATGATCATTCGCCAGCGTCGCGACTTTAAAAACCGCGTCCTTCAGCCCCGGCGCGTCCCCGCCGCGGCGGAGTACATCCTCCTGCCTGAGCCCAAACTCCGCACACACGTCCAGGGGCAGGACGACCGCCCCTTGCCCCCCACCCCCACTTCCCCCCGCCCCACCCCCTCCCGCCCCGCTCGCAGCAAGCAACGGCACCCCCCTCAACACCGCGACCACGCCCTCCGCTTTGCCAACATGACTGCCAACATGATCCAGCGCGGTGTTCCTTTGCTTACACGCCTCGAGGTTGAGGTACTGCAGCGAGCCGTACGTATTCTCCGCGTACGCCTCGAGATCACCCAGCGTCGCGAACGGCGCCGCGCCCAGATATGCCTCCCGCGCCGCGATGACCCGGTGCAGGAACGATTTGCTCAGCTTTGCGCCGTCGGTGTGGAGGGAGTTGTAAAGGAGGGCTGTGACGGGTTCCGCCGGCACCACACCCCGCGCGGAGGAGATGGGGGAAAGGACGGCGGAAATGGACTCCCGCCAGAATTGTAGGCGTAACCGCCCGACTGCGACATTGGAGGTTACGCTGTCGACGGAGGATAATTCCAGGTTGAAGGCCCGCAGCGCGATGAAGGCGTCCCGGGCGGACGGGGGCTGGAAGGTAGAGAGGATGTAGGCTGAGTGGTCGCTGTGTCGCAGGAGAGAGAGGCAGTGCGTTCGCGCGGAGGCGGTGGTTAGTTTTGGTGGGGAAGGGGAGGTTCTGGTGCTGGTGGAGGCGAGGCGGCGTGGGGCGGAACGGAGGAGGGAGGGCGCTCGTGAGAGGAGGCGGGCGGGCGGCATTGTGGATGGAGAGGGCGGTGGTGCGGAAAGGGCGGGGTGGAAAGGGCGCGAAATGCGAACGAGAATGGTGATGTGCCGTGACGTAATCGGTGCGGTCGGTCGGCGAAGGGTTGACAGCCAATCGGGTGGCTATGAATTATAGTTGGTACATCTCGTCCCGTCTCATCGCACCGCCGAACCGAGTCACCGACGGGACGCCGACTCTGTACGCTAGAGCTGTCAGCCGTCGGTTGTGACCGAAAAACAAAATTCGGCGGTCATCGGGTTTGGTAAGTGTGGCTGGTGGCGGTGGCTGCGGATGTGGCTAGATTTCACTCTCTGCATGTGTTTATTCTCACTTTGAAGACTCAATTTGTAGTTGAAATAGAATACGGAAAATACTTCACAGGCATCTCGCTGCAGAAACGCATTTGCGCCTGTCGCGCAGGCTCGCTTAACATCAATAGAGTATCCGCAGTCACGTGAGATGTACACGACAGCCAAGACTTTACCCTCAGCCTTAAAGCTTGACGGAGTCTTGGCACAAATTGCACCCCACACACGAGAGCTACAAAAGCTCCAACAAAGCTCCGTCTCCTCCTCCTCTTCTTCTTCCTACAACATCCTCTTCTTTCTACAACACCCTCTTCTTTCTACAACATCCTCTTCTTTCTACAACATCCTCTTCTTTCTACAACATCCTCTTCTTTCTACAACATCCTCTTCTTTCCATAAAACTCCACTTCCACATTTCCATTTCAACCCTCGAAGACATTTACTGTCAACATCCAAAGCCAACTTCCTAGGTAAAGGAACTTCTATGGGAATTAATGTTATACCAATCCAACACCTACCGAGAACCTTCGGGGGGTTTTGAAGATCGATAATCGATCGATCAGTGGGCTGACTGGATCGATGGGTTCTCAGATGGAATCAGTTCCCATTATTTACGTGTGCGCTTTCGAAGCGCGAGATTCACGGCGCTGCATCATCCTCGCGGGAATAGCATAACCCGGAGGAACTACCTCCCCCGGAAATCCACCAGAACGAACAATACAATTGTTGGGTTCTGGTGGATTCCGCCTTGATTTACTAAAACTACATCCACACGGAATCGCTCCTCCCACGATCAACGAGCTTCTCGAAGACACTTGTGCGGTGGGCCTTGCAACCCACAAGTCTTGTCTACCATAGTACTACTTTGGGTGGTAGCCACGTTCTTCCTATCAGAATGGGAAGAGAGGTATGTTACAGTAGCCAGCTTACTATGTGTGTTCGCCCATACTAACGGAAGGGATGATGGGTGCGTCGATGTTCTAGGCGCGTATATTCGTCTGAACTCGGAAGTTCTCCTCTCCACCTACATCACCTGCTTGGCGGCGATTCCATCATAGCAACTGATGAAGGTCTATGATTCTGGCATCTCACTGCTGGCGGCGTTGTGTTCTGTCTGTTACCATTTTTGCGAGGAAGGTCTTCTGGTGGATGTTTTTGGTTGTATATTTGCTATTTCATTATTGCTATTTCATTGTTGCTATACATTTCTGTTTTACATTTCTGTTTTACATTTTCTGTGTTAAGATCTCTACATTTTCTTGAGCTTCCTGTTGATAGGCCGTTTTTCTACAATTGATTGAAATCTATTTCCATACCCACCCCCCCCCCCTCCCCCCCTCCCACCTAAGGCCTCGCAATGTAAATCTTGAAATATGGCTTGAATCAATTCTTCCGATCTGCCTAGCATTGTTTTTTTGTTTGTTTTGTGCAGGCGCCCCGTGGGCAGACTACGGTCTAGTAAGCTTGTAGAGATATCCAAATCGATGCGGGATATATGTAGGCGTAGATGCTTGCGGCATTACCACGGCATCAACATCGTACCCACACCGCCGCACCGAATTACAAGCAGCCGGAGCACTCAGTAGAGCACGCGGCGATGCGGTGATAGGTAGGGATAGCGGCGGCGGCCTGTAGAATACGCCACCACCAGCCCTCCATGACAGAATAACGAGTGATATGCGCCCTGACCCGTCGCAGTGCGCAGGGTCTTGTCCGCCCACCTCCCCAGGATTTGGTGGCTATAAAAGTTATGTCTTTGGTGCGGGCCAGGCTGCAGGTCTTTTACTCGTGTGCTCTACATTTACACATGTTCTAAGCCCTGCGGACCTGGGTCATAGTGGAGGGGCTAAGTATATTATACTACCATATACCGTACACTGGCCGTGCTGGAGGAGATCTAGAGCTAGTTACACCATGGATCACGGCGGCGATGAAACCACAGCCAGCCAGATGATAATACGTCTAATTACTAGTATAGGTACAACATATTACGCAGTGTATAGAGAAGAACAAAAAGCAAACATGAACAGAAACAAAAAACACAAGTTATTAAAAAAAATCCGCATCCTCCAAATTACACCCCTCGCGTATTCGCGGGTCCACCACCACCATCACCATCGAAGCAAAGAAGAAGAAAAGAGCCCCTCTCTTGGGTCCTCGTATGAACAACCCCGTCTAGTCCAGGATCCTGTGCATCACTGCCCGGTTCGCTCCCAGAAACCGGAGGTACAGCATCTTCTTCTCGACCAAGAACATGGTGGGCACGAACGGGATGTCGTACACGTCCAGGATGTGGTCGATCACCTTATCTATTGGATTGGTGGGAGAGGTTTAGTATCACCGTCTGTGTGTGGGGGGTAGTACTGGGACATTATGGGGCACGTACGGGAAGCCTCGCGCAACACTTCGCCGGTGGACGGGATGTCGGTAGGATAGTCGCCGGTTAGGCGCGGCAGGATGCGGAACGGCTCGTCGAGCTCGGTGACATGGGCGCTGTTCCAGTTGCGGTGCTGGAGGCGCATGCTACAGCCGCGCAAGACACACGGTTAGTTGATCTATCGCCCGACTAGACTGGACATGGGCAGGTGGGGAAGGCGTACTCCTCGATCGTGGCTGCGATTCGGCCCTCCGCTTGCCCGGTGGGCTCAATCCGTTTGAATCCCAGGTTGATGAAATCCTTCATCTCGGCAATCTCGGTCTCGAGCCGCTCCAGGTAGTTCATCACGCCGAGAACAAGCGTGGTCTGGTCCTGGTGCGCGGTGTACCGGTAGGTGTCGATGGGTCTGTGGTCTTGCTGCTGCTGCTGCTGCTGCTGCGCAGAGTTCAGGTGGTTGAAGGGTGAACTCATGTCGCCGATGGCTGAAGGCTGGAGGTGCTGGCGGTGGACGGTCGACGTCTGGAAACTTGCTATGGATTGGGATAGGGACACGGGAAGAGTGAGATGCTGAGGCGGGTTGGTGTTCATGATATCCAGAGTCCGTCGCGAGTGGGCCGCTTATATGTACTCTCCTTTCGAAGCTCGGGGAAGGGTCGTCTTCGTGAGTAGCGAGGCCGTAGAGGTGAAACACCAAGATCCGCCGGTTCGGAGTAAATTATGTGGAATATTCCTCGCGGGGGTTGGATTATGGCTGACTGGAGCCCGGAAATCTGAAAGAAAAGGGAAAAGAGTGTCTGAAGGAATGTGAATGGCTGTACCAACCGAACCAACAAACGAAAGAAAAGAGGAAGCTATTTCACCGTTACCGCTCGTGCACGTCTGAAGCAACCACAAATCGCCGAGCAGGTACCAAGTTCGCGTCAAAGGAATGTGATGATGAAGGATGGCCGTGTTGTGAGCTGTCCAGGGGAACTTCGGGATATAAAACAGGTTCAACCGGCAGCTTGCAGCGTCCGTATCTCCCGGCGCAGCGGAGATCCAGGGTTTCATGATGGCATCGATCGCGCTTCCTTGTCCTTCGGAAGAAGAATTCGCGCTTCCTTCTGTTTGCTCCGCCCTTGCCTCCTGGAGCTGCGGTATTGTCCGAGGAGTAGACCACGGCGGAGGCGTTTGAGGTATGTTCGGGCTCGACAGGCCGGCCATGGGTGCCCTGTTTCGAATCTCAGGGACAGACGATCGCGAGCCGGATCAACTGCTGGGTTACCTACCAAGGTTAACTACCGGAATACGCAATAATAGCGAAGGAGAGATGTCAATGCGGAATATACTTCTTGGTGCTGCTGCGGTGATGATATCTCGATACCGGCTAAGTAGAACGCCTCCGAAACGCCAATAGCATGTACATACGGTGAAGGCCAGCCAAGGGATGCAGGATGTAGCAACTCCGCCCCCAGCCGCGCTTGTCCGTGCGCAAGGAACAGAAGCGGAACACTTCTAGAGCTTCGCTAACGGGAGCCGACCCGAGAGATAATCTGGTGCGGGTGCTGGGATAAGGCGAGACATCTAACTGCGTGGTTTTCACATAACGTCCGACTCCTGCAATTGGCCGCAGCCTCAAGGTGAGATGAATACATTCGGATGGAGAAAAAATAGAGTACATATCAATCTGATGGTAAGTGCCAGATTCTGTGGTGTCGAGAGGAGTTCTGGGAACGAGCCACAACAGGACGTGTTTGAGCTACTATACAAGGGGTTCGCTTCCGGAGACACTGATTGGTATGTACCTCCCTGGAAATACTTCCCCCTCCCCCCCACCTCCGATCTGCAGTTCTCCCCGCCATCCTCCGTCCGGCCAATACCTCTCTTTACAGTGGGCAAGCTTGCCGCGTTCGAACCGTCAGGTGAGATATTTGTCAATTGCTGACGGCAGCCGAACCGACAGTTGCAGTGCCGAGCGATCGTCACCGGCGGCGGCGGAGACACCGACATGCGCAATCATCCCCTACTTCAGGCGCCATCAATATCATGCGAGGTCGGAAACCATGGAGTCAGGAATCATCATCATCATCATAGCCTACGGCCACGCATGCCTGTTTCCCGAGCCGCACCAATCTCCGCCTCTCGATGATTGCAGGAACGCGACTTGCAATGCCCTCGCACAATCCCGACATCATGGACACTCGACAGGATCCTGAGCCTTCACTGAGGTTTCTCGATCCCAGAACCTGCGACATGGAGGGGTTCGTTGCGCGACGTTACAGCTTGTCACACGATCATCCGGGTGCCATATGCCTGCCACGCAGACCCACCAGATGCGTAGACGCACCGCTCGGCGTCTCAAGCAACAGGAGCTCTGTCCCTGAACTTGGGCTCGTTCGGCGCTTGGTACTATCATCTCCGGGGGCCGTGATCAGGATGAAGCTCGATACCTAGTCACTCGATTTCGAGACTTCTGCCTGGCATCTTGCCGTGGTGGCTACGTCAGCACACCATGCTCGGAGATCCCACTCCGCTGCCCCTTTTCGATAACGGCCCCTCCGGTTCTCTTTCGTGCTATTGACCGTCCGGTGGGACCGAGTGATAAGTGGGGAAATCGGATCGAGCCGCGCTATGGTGCGTCTATTCTATTCCACCTCTCCGCTTTGATCTGATACCGATAGCCGCCTTTGCCTTAGGCACTGCACGGTCTATTATCAGGGGGCCACGGCAAATGTCGCCTGTCTGCCGAAGGCCATCGTCATTGTTTACTATCTTAGCTCAAAGGCGTTTGTTGGCTGAAAAACCCCTACTGAGAATCCCATTATGTGCATGGTCGAGACCAAACCAAACCAAACCAACCAAAGGTCGATTCTCCTCTACGTGGACGATGAATGGGAAACGAAAAGAAAAAAGAAAAAAGAAAACTACAAGCGGCACCAATGATTCTATACTCACGCTACGGAGTACAAACAGCCTTACGGAAGGGTCCAGTCCAGCCCTTTCGGTTGATACAGCTCCGTGCGCGAGCGATGATGTGACGGATATACGGGCTTACTAGGACGTTTGCATTATGGCGGTGATGGAGGACGACAAAGATGATGTAGCCAGCACGACCACCGGGAACCACTATCGAGGACATGGCACTCTCTCCGGAACCTTCACGTACGCAGGACAGAGGATGACAGTTTGGATGGGCCCGGGGCGTCCACCTTAATTCGATACCAGAGTCGAAGGGTATGGTAAAGTAAATGTCTGTAGATAATTGCTCACTTTGTTTTCCTGTCCCATGATGCTAATCAACGTAGAGCACAGTACGCTTGCATATCCTCGCACTCTATGAGTCTATGGATAGATTACTCGACATGTACCGGAATATTTTCAGCATCGGACCGGGGTCGTCGAGCTCGCCAGACCTGTCAAATTTATTGCTGCCAACTCTACCGGGTTACGCTGGCCCCCGGAAACACGTCATATCTAGGTATCCCTAACTCTTTCGTGGGGAAATCGTCGGATATGGCTTTCATTGATCGGGTTGGGTGGTCGTCGAAGGTCTTGGATCGTGGGATTCCATCTCTTTTCCTACTTTGCCAGTAGGCAACGAGGGGAAAAAATAATCTGACCGGAAGCAAGATAGAACTAGCCCGCCTCATCGTTCCGTGCGATGGCCATGGCTGGACCCTCGACGTGGCCCCAGGACACAAAAAACCAGTCGGTTACACCGCCGCCCGGCTGAATGTTCAGATAAGTCGAGTTCGCAGGTATTGGCCGAACCCTGAGTCTGGCGAGCCACCTACCTACAGGAAGGACCGGCGTTGGGAATGGCACGGACGATAGACGTTGGACGGTGGATGGTGGACGGTGAATGGTGAATGTGGGTGGATCGATAGTTATGCCCTACGGTGGCAGGATCTCCCCCCACCTCAGCCAACCTGCGGAAAGAGATGATGTGGGGGGCTCCAACATATGCAAACCGTTTGGCATCACAAACAGCACGACCTGAGTAGTGCATCTTCGAATTTTATCCGTTGTGTACATATTATCGCCCTGCCTATAATCTACGCGCAACGTTGTCTTAGGCATAATTCCGTCTTGCATCCAGGTCGGGGAAGCGATTTAGTGGGGCAAGAAGAAGGTATTTAATTCTTCTAGCCGCGTGCTGTGGGCGGAGGGCATGGCATGGCATGGCGGGAGAACCACCGAGTGGCTTCTCGGTCTTTCTCTCCGTGCGTGTGTTTACAACACATGGGACGAGAAGAAGCTGAATCAATGTTGTTGTGTGCCTCCCGCCAGCAGCGAGCGTTAAAAGCCTCCGGATCCGGCGTCCGCCGCTGCACGGTCTGGTGTTGGATTTTCTGACAGGCAAAGACGGAGACGGTAAGATGTGAGACTCTTGACGGTTGGACGAGCATGGGTACCGAGAGTGGGGGCGGAAACTCGAGCTCCGGAAGGAGAGGTTGCCCGTGGATATAAATCACGAGTTCCTGCCCGTAGATCTTGAGCTGATCACCACAACTCGAGCTGCCATCTTCACCGCTACAAACTCCACATCCACCGCAGTCGTTCATAACCCCCACCACCCACCCATTCACCGGCTCTCTTCCTCTGCAACAGCTCCGTGAGCACTAACGTCGCCCGTCTACCGGTACGCTGCCTTACTCCTTCTTCCGTAACTGATTGCTGAGCTTCTAGGCAGTCACCCGTCACCCGTTACCCAGACCTCGTCCCATCTTAAGCAGCCCATCCGTCTCGCCCGATGTGCGACCTCATCACGTACTACTACTGCCACCGCAACTGCAAACTTCCCGAACGACACGGGTATACGGTGCCCGATATTGGGAAGGGAAGGATACCGCCGTGCAGTAATAGCCCCCATACATTCTACAGATACGAGCCGGGGGAATGCGAGCTGTGTAAACCTGTGTAGGCTCGGGGAGGGACCTACATACATGCAGGGAGAGGGTTGTGTGTTCGCCTTGCGAATATTATGTATTCTATGTATCTGGTTTCGGTGCGTCCTCTCTTGAGTCGTTCTATTTGTCTGTCAGTCCGTCCGTCTATTTGTCTGTCTGTTCGTCCGTCGCCCGCCATCTGTCTGTCTGTACCGTCATATCTCTTTCCTGGCCGATCGTTGGAGGTAGCTTTGTGTTTAGCGAAAGAGCCGGTCCCGTATTCCTATACTGGGCCTGATTTCCAGCAGAATTTCTCCACACATCTTGAACAGTGCTCAGCCTCCGTAGCAAGCATTATCCCTCGAAGCTTCATCTATTGATCCGCGAGAAAGCGAAACCCCGCGAGTGACAGGGCATGCGGGGGAAATCCGCTTATCTTATCGTCTTGGCCACTACATGGTTATGGTCCCTATATAACAACGCAGATGAGCAATCAATCGCTTCATCCAGTGCAGTCCAGTCTCCCCACCCCGTCTCCCCACCCCACCCCGTCCGGTCATCCCTACATACAATCTCCGCTTATTCCTTCCTGCCCCGCAACGGCGCAACTGACTTGACTGACTTGAACTGGCCGGCCGGAAATAACGGCTCCAAGAATTGAAGAATCCTAGAATCCCCTCACCGCACCGCCCGACACGAGTCCAGAAACGTCTCTCCTTCTCAATTGAGCCTTGACTCCGCCGCCCTTTCCGACCGGTTCTATACCTCCAAAGAACGGCCGTTAGGCCGTTCGGCGCGCCTACCTACCTATGTACCAACACCACCGGCATTCACCGCCCCACCACTCCGGCGGCTCCAGCGGGGAAGACCGTTGCAGCGCAGTGCTGTGCACGTCACTGATGCTGATGCTGATGCTGATGCTGTCTGATCCGCAGGTTGTAGCAGCGTGTCCACTCTTCCACTACCGTGTTCCGCCTCCGGGTCTACCGCCTGACGCCCGACGAGCTCGGACTGCTTCCACGCACCGTCTAACAGCTACAGCGCCGCCTGACAGCCACCGCGCCGCGATACTGCTTCGGCGCCTACGTCCGACCACTCCGTCTCGTCTTCTACGCCAACATGCTAACGGCGGTGGACTATGGCTGGGGATCGAGTGCCGGCTGGTGGTAGTTAGGGCCGGCTGGAAGTGAGACACTGGACTTGGTGGAGGCGCCCCGCTTGGATGGTGGGGTTGGTTTTACGTTGGAGTGGGGAAGTGATCTCGACTCGAGCGGGAAGCTGATAGCTAAGTGCTAGAGGGTCTATATCGCCCGCTGCCATACCGTCAGAGACGTCGGAGACGAGGAAGATCTCGTGTTGGTATCACATGCGGTGGCGAAATACCTGAGCAATCGCAGGTGGTCGGAACGATGGAGGGATTACCGGTCGACGGGGGCAACATTAGCAATCCTCTCCGAACGCGGCACGCCATCGTCGACGGTTTTGCTGTCCATCTGGCTGAGATGCAGTAAATTCGGTCACTAAATTATGCAGAAAGAACGCCTATATACACCACAATATACATTACATAGTTCCAGCTAGATAGAGGGAAGTAAACTAAAATCATTTGTGCGCCATACGCCCTCGCCCAAAAAGGAAACAATAGGAAACAAAAAAACGCTTAAAAGTCGAATAGCTCATCAAAGCGGTTGATGTCAACCATCTCTTCGTCTTCCTCCCCTTCTCCCCCCGTGTTCTCGCCCACACGTGCCTCGCCGTTGATTTGCTGCGGTTCGCTGCTACCGTTGATGCCCACCGGTCCTTGCCCTGGCCCGAACTGCAGCTGCGGCGCCATTTGCCCTTGCCCGAACAGCTGCTGCTGCGGCACCGCCACTTGCCCTTGTCCGAACTGCAGCTGCGGCGCCCCCGGCATTCCAGCCCTAAAATTCGGGAATCCAAGCGCCGGCTGTTGTTGCAGTTGTTGTTGTTGCTGTAGCAGCAGCTGTTGTTGTTGATGCTGTTGCTGCTGCTGCTGCTGTTGATGCTGTTGTCGCTGCTGTTGTTGTCGTTGTAGTAGCAGCTGCTGTTGCTGTAGCTGCTGTTGTTGCTGCTGCTGTTGAAGCTGTTGCTGTTGTAGTTGCATCTGTATCTGATGCTGTTGTTGTTGTTGTAATTGCTGCTGGATGTGTAGTTGCTGTTGAACCGCACTTCCACCCGCTGCCGCAGCCTCAACCTCCCTGTCGGCCTTCTCCTTCTCCGCTTTCTCCCTCAGCTTCCTCTCCGCCTTCTCCTTGTTGGCCCTCTCCCAGTCTAGCTTGTCCTGCAGCGCCTTGTCCTTCTCCACCTTCTCCTGTTGCCCTTTCTCGGCCTGCTCCCTCGCAGCCTGTTCCCTTAGAGCCTGCTCCCTTAGAGCCTGCTCCCTTGCGCCTTGCTCCCTCTCAGCTTGCTCCCTCGCAACCTGCTCCAGCTCAGCCTTCTCACGCTCCGCCTTCTCCGCCTCCTCGCTCTCCTTATTCCCATCCTCCAGCCTTCCGGCCTCCACCGCCTCTGCTTCCGCTTCTGCCTCCGCCTTCTCCCTTTCTGCAACCCGCCGCCTGTAGTCCCGATGAATCACCATCTTCGCGCCCATAATATCGGCTTCTAGCACATCCAACGCGTAATGAAAGCGATCCTGCAGCGCCGGCACCGACGTGCCCAGCTGCGCGTTCGTGTAGATTATCGAGCGACCGTGGTGGCGCGCCGGGCTGTTGAAGACGTCTGCGGTTTGGCATAGCTAAGTATTTACCCTCATCCGTCAGCTACCCACTCGCTGGACGAAAGAGGGGGGAGGGAGGGAGGGAGGGAGAGCCTACAACGGCGTGGAACATGGAAGGTATTATCGGCAGGATGTTCGCGAACTGACTCTGCTGCTGCTGCTGCGAGGCAGGAGCTTGCCGTGAGTCGGAGTGCGCGCGTTGCGGTTGCGGCGAGAGCCCGGGCCCGAGCCCGAGCCCGAGTTTGCTGGGCGGCATCGCATGCGGTTGTAACGACATCGTCGCGGTCGCGGGTCGCGATCACGGTAGTGGTGGCGATATCGGCGGTGGTGGGAGGTGGGAGGTTGGCGATGGGGGGTTGCTCTGCTCTGCTCTGCTCGAGGCGGGTGTTTTCGTTCCCGTCGCGCTGCTGCTGCTGCTGGGTATGACCGGGCACCGGTGAGGCTTTGGGATGCGTGCGTTGCGTTGCGTTGCAGGATGCAAGCGAATCGATGGGATGGGCGTGCGGGCGTTCAGTTGCAGCTAGTAGCGAGGATGTCGACTCGGCAGGTGCAGGGGATACCGGTATGTATGGGTGCTGCGACGGATGGTGCTCATATGATCGAGAGATGAGGTTTTGAAGACCTGTGAATTACAGACGTGATGGGAGGGATGGAAACAGCTCTCTGCTGTGGATATGTGGAGCTGTATGTGTGGTTATAACTACCTGTGGCACAGCCAGCTGCGCGAAATATGGAGGCGAGTGATGCATAATGACCAACATGACGCATTTGTTTCCTGAGGGAAAACGTGCATGTTTACCGGGAAAGTGCCCATTGGTATAATTCTCCACAGCTCAAGATATCAGATCCTGACATCTACCACGCATCGGAAAGAAGTGAGTTTTAGTGGATATCACTCGAGAGGAAGAGGAGAGGAAGAGATGAAGAGCTAGAACGAGAGATCCATTCGATGGAGCCCGGAAGTATGTAGCCGATACGTCAATTCACTGCTTGGAAAATGGAACAGGTTTGAAAATGAGCTATAGCGTGTGAAGTGGGTGACGAAAGTTGTTCCGGAGCACCGTCTGCTGGGGTATAAACTTCAGAAGCTTTAGACACCGGTAACCTTTCACATCGTACGAGTGGATGAGGAGAGGGGAGCATACGGACGAGGGGATGACCCAGCAGCCATACCTGTCACCCATGCTGGACTTGCCGTGCCTCCGGCTTCATCGAAAGTCGAGTAGACGATACATACTACTTCTCTACGGGGCCATGTTAACATGCAAAGAGGCTCATTCTCGTTATCAGGCCATGTTTGATCTGGGATACGGTGTTGGGTGAGATGAAGTTTGGAGACCGATTGTAGGTTTTTTTTTGTTGATCTCGAAGAGAAGCCGGGCTCAGATATGGGGGTTCGCATTGGGCTCACTCGGTCATTTATGATACGGCATAAATACAGCACGGCGAGCTACCCGCGCGGCACATCAAGACAAATATAGGGGCAAAAAAAATGGTATATTCTAATAGTATCACAAGTAGAAGCTCTGCAACACCAGCTCGGGATCCTGCACCATCTCGCCCTCGGGCATGTTGCAGATGCGTCCGAGGAGGAGATCCATCCACTTGTTCTTGAGCTAGAGCTCTTGCTCGAGCTCTCGCTTCTTCTCCTTGAGCTAATGGGTGACACATCAGTAGCTATCCGACTCATCCGCTATGTTGAATTGTATCCCGCACCTTCTTTATCTTCTCGTTCCTGGCCGCCTTTCCGGCCGACTTCTTGGCTTTCTTGGCCTTCTTGTCCTTCTTCTTCTCCCCCCACGTCACGGTGGTCGGGGGGTCGTGGAGGGGGACCCAGTCTACTAGCTCCGCGGTATGGTGTTCCTATGCGCACCGATATCAGTTTGGTTCGTCGTCAGACCAGATGGGAACGACTTACAGTGATGGTATCCCCCGCTCCCGATTGAATTTCTGCACGTTTTCGCCAGTGAGCATGTAGTAAATCAACTCTTGAGACGACATTGTCGATGGTTGGTTGAGATAGTGTGTGCTTTATGTGAGGTTTGAGGTGTGAGATGTTTGGCGATCGAAAGGGTTTAGGAGAGGTGATGAAGGTCTGTGAAGGTTGGTGAAGGTAGGAGAGAAGAGGTGGGAGGGGAGTTGGTGAAGATTGTTGAAGATATGAGAAAACATGATGAATGAGGGTGAATGGGGACTACATTCAGTCTTCTCACGAAGTTGCGAGCTCTAATTACCTAGTCTGGCATTGCCATTGACGCTTGAGTTTCCCCACAAAAGCACACCACTCTAACCGTTTGCCTAATTCTCTCGCGCAAACCGCAGGTCATCGATGTTACACGACGATCGAAGTTCCAGCTGGACACAGAGTACGAAGACGACGCCTGCGAACACAGACAGCGTTATCCTCAGGAGCAACCAACTCGCGATGAGGCCCGTCGTTGTGTTTCTTTCTTGTTTAATCGTCATTGCCTTCGATCCATGTGAGCGCCTCCCCACGCAAGTCGTCCAACAATCGACGGTGACGAAATCCGAGACGATCCGAGACGAGCGAGATTCTGTGAGGGGCTGAACACAGCATTCCGAGATTTCCGGTGTGGTGATGGGGATTTGGGCTCGCCGTTCGACGCCAGCATTAACACATATGGCGAGGTGGGAGAGACAGTGGCAACCCGGAGTCGCAATGCGAAGTCTTTTCTGGACTTCTCCACCCGCACAGAGGTAGTAGGGAGGACAGAAACAGCCCGGGCCCATGGCTATCTTCTTCGCGGTCGTGATGCGGTCAAACTTCCACAAAGCTCCGGGAGGTGTATCGGACGGGAATACGCATTACCGATCAAACACGGGCAACCAGATCTTTTGCCTCTTCTTCTTCGTGTTCTTCTGCGGCATCGACAAACAACCACCTCCATACTCGACGCCTACATACAGTCAGCGCAACTCGGATCTCGACAGCTTACGTTTACGCGGCGCTTTGCACCCCCTCCTCTTACATCCGACTCTACTCCTCTCCACAAAGTCACGGCACCCCTACCGACTACACTCCATCGCCCAAGCTTCGGTCTGCCAGTCCCGTGCTCGAGCACCCGTAATAAGGACTCTTGGCCATGAGCACTCCCGAATCCCGATCTGGATTGCAAGCTGACGATGTGAGTAGGAGGAAGAAGAGCAGAAGTCAAATCCCAAACTTCAAGGGGCGACGCTCGCCGGGCGCTTCGGGCACGAGAAGCGTATCGACGATATCGGTGAGTAGTTTGCCTCCCTGTTTTCCCGCAAGGCCGCTGCGTTGGCTACACAACCAAGTCGGCACTGCCTCTTTAGCACCCGAGACAGTAACAGAGCCATCGAGGCGGCGTTATGGGTCCACGGCGAGTGCCGAGATCCTCATGGACTCCCTCACACGCGAGGCTCAAGATTTCACTTCGTGCCGATGAAGTGACGGTGGAGGGCTATTAACGAGTGGCGGGCGTATGAGCCTGGAATACCATCATTAGAAGGGGCTAGAACGAGACAACTCATCATCGGTATTTATCGCAACCGCAAAAACCGCTTCTGGATGAAGAACATGCCACCCGCCGGCGGGGACTGATATTGATGTGTGTAGATGGAATGGTTACCACGTAGGCCCTCCTCCACCATCTGGGTCTGCCCTCCAACAAAACAAATACCGATGCCACCCATCCCCGTTTACTCTATACAAAACGCGTGTTTGCTCCATGAATAACCGCCATGAGTGCGGTCTCCCGGATATAAGATAGGAATCGTCAAACCACCCAGCCAAAAACCGTTCGTCTTTACCATACCACCTAATCCATCGTCATAGTCCTAGCCCTACTGCTTGTTCTTGAACCCACCGTAATCCCGCTCAGATCACCCATCGGCAACGTCACGGGCAGATTCACCACCTTGAACAGACTTTCCGCCAAAGCGTACCATCCGCACAGCGAGACGATAAAGCACGAGGCACCCGCCGTAATCTCGAGGGCCTCCACCACCAAATCGTTGTGAACGGCGCGCTGCCAGTCCGCCACGGCCAGGACGGTGAATGCAACAGTGTAGGCGGCAAAGAGGATGACGAGGACGATATTGATCCGGGTGCTGCAGATTAAAAACAGCAGGCTCAGCACACCGATGAAGACATGGAAGAACCCGAAAGAGTTGTAGAAGTCGGCGTTCAAGTGCCCGTTCTCCATGAGGTAGGGTGGCGTGGCGTTGAAGACCGGCATCATCGTCGCTCCGAGCGCGAAGAAGAACCCGCCGTACGAGCAGAACACTACGAACGAGAATGTGTTGCCGATGAAAAACTCGAGCAGCCCACCGATCAGCAGGAGGAGTCCGCCGCAGAAGACGTGCGCACCGTTGTTGGCATGCCCGCTGGGGTCCGCACTTGCCCATCCTATGAGCTGACAAGCCAGAGGCGTCAAACACATGACGAGTCCGGCCAGCGCTCTGCGAGTGATAGATCAGTTATAGCCAACATTTCATCATTCCATCGAGGCAGCAATAGAATAGGAATCAAGCTTACACCGGAGCCGGGTTGCCAAACGTTTTGACTGGATTGTAGCGGGTGACATCCAACTTGTCGAGAAGATCGAGTGGAACTATGATGGTGCCAGCCGGCGATCGAAAGCCAGCGGAAGGGGCCGAATGACCGGCAAGTGGAGCCGTGCTGTCAACCGCAGAGCCAGCTCTGCTGCTGCTCCCAGGATGGCTCCCAGGATGGCTCCCGATACTTTGAATCGTCGACATAGGTATCGATGGAAGATGATAACAGACTTGGGGGGCAGCGATGGTGGGATCGAAGCAGGCGGATCAGGTAAACAGAAGGGCTATGCGTGGTGGCAGGTCAAGTGTACAATATGGTAGGAGAAACGAAGATGATGACTCGGTGCTGAAAGGTTTGGGGAATAAACAAGCCGGAGGACTTGAATGAGAACATATGGGAAGGAGGAGAGGGAAGAAGGAGAGGGAAGGAGGAGAGGAGGGAGGAGAGGGATCCCATCACTGCAGCCCTAATGCAGATGCCAAGAACCTATTCTAGACCTCGCGGAACTTCAACGAGCTTGTAAAACATTGTATCGGACTTGGAAGATCACCAGAAGAAACAACGTGCTCGTTCGTTGACTTTTACTAACTGAAGAGAATATCTACCGGAATAATAAACCTGCGAACCCAATTCTACATTGTACCTAAGCACCATCCCATAGAGCATCGTAGAGGAGTCACGGGATGATAAGTAAGGTAGAATCTCGATTCGGTAGTGAACTACCACAGAATCACGGATTGTCACTCGTATGTGTCGATCTCATGCTCGCAAATATGGCGAAAGATCCTCAATGATATGTTTAAGTGCAAGCCTCAGTCTAAGTACAAAGTGAAGATAACATAGTAAAGGCGGCGGCCGTCGATCTCGAAGAAGCTGAAATTTGCGATGCGTAGTAGATTTCGTTTCCGGGAGGGATGAGCAGAGGGCATTTCCCCCTGTGCCGCTCGAATCGCCGCGCCGAGCCGTAGTAGCTGAGACAAAACTCGCAGATGAAGACAACGTCTTCCTCTGTGTACTCCCGCCGGGTAGGGCGAGAAGTACCATGGCTCCAGCTCAAACCTCCCCATTTGTATCTTGGAGAGGTTGCGTACCCGCGAGATCTCGTGCGCTCTGCGTCATGGATCCACTTGTGCGATAGTTCTCGATCTCTTCCTCCTGGGGACATCTCGTCCCCTACCACCACCATCACCTCCCCGGGGACATCTCGTCCCCCACCATCACCTCCTCCCGAGGACATCTCAGTGTGGAGAAGCCAAGAGAATAGGCACTTCGTAAGGGATTCGTGGACGTAAACGGAGGGTCTAAAACACCCAGAAAACCATCACCTCCCGGGGACATCTCGTCCCCCACCATTCTTGCCTTCCTTCTCCTCCTCGTCGAACTGCCGGTCTTCGTAAATCTTCATGGCTCGACAAATTCTCACTCTAGAAGACTCATCCATACGGGCGAAGTTCGCTAGGGCGACATCGGAGACATCGCATGGTTCTGCCCTGCCAGCGACAAGAACGACAGGCAAACCGCTGTGGACTCAGTCAGTTTGATACTTAGGTGTCGATACCAGTGTAGAACTTACTTAGGAGTTGGGCATGTCGACACGGCAGGGCAGCCGGTGGTGCAACCGGTGCTGCACGACAGCAGCCATTCGTGCAAACCGTGCTGCACGAGGTGCCGTAGCTGTCGTTAAAGGTTGAGGTTGCAAAGTTGTGTATGGTATGTTTTAAACAATCGAGGCTGTCATTGTCATTGAATGCGTGTATAGCGAAGTTGTGTGGAGTATGTTGTGAGTAACTCGTGTTATCGTTGTCGCTGAGAGTTGAGGTATGTAGTGAAGTTGGATGGAGGTGAAGTATATAGCGAAGCTGTGTGGGGTGCATACAGCTTTACAGTCTACTAACTACTTAGGGTTAGATTGCGTCACTCACGATGCACGGACCACATCGATTCCGTGACTATATACTGTGGTTACTCATTCGTACTGACAGGTATTCTGCCGGCATCCGGGTCGGTGAATCCTTCTTCACGTCTACTAGGTTAAGAACCAACGCATCTTTGAGGTCGATTCGAGCTCAGTACTCAGTAAGTAGAGTACTGACAGAATACATGGAACTTATCATGGTCCCGAACGGACGCAAGTTACCGACGATATGGACCGCATTACGTCCGGCATGGAGATTTTCAGCGAGTTGATTTTACTTTGTGTATTTACCGCTCCCCCACCTCTACATTCCCTCTATATGCGCCGGTTCTGTCCAGGCTTCCAGGACAACCAAATGAGTCTGAAGCCTGTCTCGTGTAAGTTCTCCCGCACCACTTGTTGTCCCGTTGGAAAGCATTACCTGGCTACGGTACTCCCCCGGCCCATTCGCCCAGGATCGCCAAAAGAAAAACATGGTTACTACGGCAAAGTCTGATATGGGCCTACTCCTCTATAATAGCTGTTTAACCTCTCCTCTGAACTCTTCGCCTAGTTTACGGGTTTTACGGTCGAATGTACCTTCTCGCTTCATTGGTGATGTTCACGTACGTACGCAGACCCCGTGAACTCGTCAATCCTCACATCCACCGCATCCACCATGGCCTGCAATTGCAGCCTGAGAATTGTCTAAGCAACTTTCTTTATGATATGTAGTGACATAAATTGCTGGCGGGCCTCGTACCCCAAATATGACTGACGCCTACTATGGCATTGTGGGAGCAACAAATACTCCGGGCATGAAAGGAGGGGCTGGTGGGAGTGCATGGGCACGATGGGCGAGGTAAAAAGTATCGGCGGATTTGGTAGGAAACAGTATGGCCATGGGCGGCAGCGATGAAGATAATCTAAAAGATGGCGCTAGATTGCAGTGTTAATCGAGATGGGAAATTGTGGATGGGAGATGGTCGAGCAAGACGGAGAGAGAGAGCCTGATGCTCAACACCAAGACTTATTCCACTCTCTTCACATCAGGGATACGGTGATAGCATATCACGACTATTTCACGACTCATTCCTACAAACCACAGTGAACCTACCCGTACCGAAACACTCTCTCACTAAAATCCAGTCCTAGATGCACACGAGAAAAGAGAAAAAACATAGCACAACATCTAGGTAGTATCATCGCCGTTCCAGTTCCATTGGTTTATTTCGTCTAGTTTTGTTTCGAAACAGGCTCTTCCGCGGGTGCAGCTGGGGCAGAGGTGGACTCTGCATCAGCTGCGGTAGACGCACCTGTGGGTTGTTCCTTCCCGTTGAGCTCTCCAGCGCCAGACAGTGCGTGGAAAGACGGAGAAGCACTGGACTCACGGGCTGGGGAGGGAACCGAGTCACTGGCAACGACCTTGACCGAGTTCTCCCACACGCTCTTCTCCTCCTCCGCCATTTTCCTCAGTTCCTCGACGACCTCGGCACCTGGCACCTCCCAGCCCGGGGTTTCGTGTCCCAGATCCAGCTTGGCCAGCTCCTTGATCCATTCCTTGTGCGCAGCACCATACTCCTTCCCCATCATGATCGGGATGAGATTGTTGAGCATCTCCTCGTCCTCACCCTCCCCCTCGCCTCCATTTCCAGCGGCTTTCGCATCGAGCTCGTAGGCGCGCGCAAAGTACTCGAATATCTTCTTCTCGATGATGGGGACGATCTCCGCACTGGATTTGTAGGTGGTCGTACCACAGGAGTAGCAGTTCACCGCCTGCTGGAAGTTCGCCTCGACGTAGGACCCCAGTGCCTCGGTGTGGAGAATGTAGTTTCTGCAGCGCTTACGGACGAACTCACGGAGCTCGTGGTCCTTGAAGTCCTCGATCGAGTGCGCGGATTCAGCCAGGATGCCAGCGTGCGCGTGTAGCTTCCACGCCGCGAAGTCGTTCGAGAGGCCCTGCAGCAGAGCAAACGAGGTGTATCCCGTAGCGACGAAATCCACCTGCGCCTCCGGCCGCAGGTGCTCCTTGACGTACTCGAGGACGCGCGCGATGTGGTTCTCGGGATTCTCGTGGCCGGGGATGCGCTGACTGTCCGGATCCAACACGGCGCCGGAAACCGGCTGCACGACCTTGAGCTCGCGGGCCTTCCACGTCTGGTTGGTAATCGCCGAGCGCGAGAGGTGATCCCAGTAGATTCCCGCCGGATTAGCAATCACGATGCCGTCGTAGCCCGACGCCTGCGCGTGCTCGACGATCGACTGCATGCACCCCTCGCGCACGGTTTCGCTCGTCGAGTGCCGGTACGAGTGGATGCCCAAGTCGCTGCTGTCCGAGTCTGGCGCGATGAAGAGGATGCGCGTGGCCGCGGAGAGCCCGGAGGACGCGAGGATGCGGACGTGCTTGATGCCGGAGGGGTCGCTGACGGCTTCGCGGGGGAGGCGCACCACGTTGACGTTGAGCTTGGCCAGTCGCTCGAGGGCGATGTGGCGCACGCATTCTAGCAACAAGAAGCACGGCAATCAGCACAGCACTCCTCACTACTTCCGCCGAGCTTCCTACAAGCTCGAGGACAGCTATGTAGGCGAGGAAGGAAGATTACCGTTTAGCGCCTCTCCGCGACGCCGATTCATGCGCTCACTGTACTTGTGCATGTCCATTGTGGCATGCTTGCCGTGGACATGGAATTCCCATGGCTCGTCCGGCTTCTCGATCTGTCGGATCTGGTCGGCGTCGTTGACGAAGACTCTGCACGTGTGGCGAATTCCGCATGTTAGCGGTAGGTATCCTAGCCCGGGAACCCCACGACACCACCACGACACCACCACCACCTCCCCTCCAGCTATGCATGTCTCGCCTTGCCACTCGATCCTTTTCCCCGCATATCCCCGAGATCCCCCCCTCCAATTCGGGCTTCGGGCTCGCCATCCTGGGATCCGAGCCCTAACGGTTTAGAGGGATTTTCTCGGGATCGGTTAAGGCATAGACGCTGAGCTGGCTGTGGCTGTGGCTATGACGATGGCGATTCCCAGCACCCCCCAAAGCTCTACCACAGCTCAACCCAGAGCTGGAAACCACCCGCCGTAGGTAGATGCGAATGCGACCGACAAAACCCAAACCACCAGGAAAGGAAAAGTACATACCCCAATTCCGTGAGGTCTGGAGCGAATTCCTTGACGGCGAGTTTCTCCTTCTTCAATCTGAGGCGGAACATTGTGTGAGTGGTTGAGTTTCGCGCGAGTCAGGGACGGCGCTTTTTCGTGTAGGGTGGGTTTGGAGAACGACTGGTGCGGGGCGAAAGAGGGGAGTTGCAACGAGAGAAGAAAGAAAGTGATTGGGTCGTTTGTTTGATTTTTTTTTGGCTGGGTGCAAGAAAGTGGCTGCGCCGGACCGGCGACGATCAAAGTCACAGATGGAAAGTGCCAAACAATGGAAGATTGCATGTTACGCACGGTGGTAGGTTCATCACAGGCAACCACCACCCATCGGCGTTGTAAATACACGGAGTAAACGCCCAAACACTACTTTATTCTGCCCGACAACTTCCTAGAAAACGATGCACCTAACGCCGACCCCTAGAGGAAACGAAAAGAAAAGAAAAGAAAAGTAAAGAAAAGAAACAAAAGAAACGAAATCAAGTCTCCTGGCAAAAGAAAGCCACAGAGACAGACGGATCAGAACATAAAACTGCACGACCAAGCGAAACCGCCAAAAGAAACAGAGACTCCAAGGAACCTTTTGTCCAAACATCAAATCTATACGGCAATCTCGGCGGTGGAGGGACTAGAACTCTGCTCAAGCTCGACTTGCTTGAGTGCCTCGGTCAGAGCTTGCTCCTGCTTCTGCATGTCCAACTGGCGCAGGTACTCGGCGTACTTGGATCGCTTGTTGTGGATTCCGCACTCGGTCTTGGCCTGACCCTTCCATCGACCAGCTCGCTCATCTTCACCTTCCTTGACGGGCCTGGGGAGTTCAATCAGCAAACGTCGTCATGCATCGGCTGGGGACAAGAACATACTGTGTGCTGTGCCAGTCACCGACACTCTTGTATCCCCGGTCGAGCAGGACATTGTAAGGCACCTTGTGCTTGTCGATGTACTCCTTGACCTGCTTGAACGACCAGTTGGCGAGGGGGTTGATCTTAATCAATCCCGCATCGTCAACCTCAACAATATCCAAGTCTCCCCGCTTTCCACCCTGGCTGCGGCGACGACCCGTCAGGACAGCCTTGACCTCCAACTCGCGGTACGCCCGCTCGGCCGGCTCGACCTTGGCGAGGTAGTCGTAGTAGTTGTCGCTGGTCTCCCACAGCCGCTCTCCGTGCAGGCTCTCAAACTCCTCGGCGGTCTCGCAGTCCTTGGGCTTGAAGACGTGGATGTCGACATTGGTGTAGCGCTTCTTGACCCGGTCCACGAGCTCGAGGGTCTCCTTGAAGTGGTAGAGGGTGTCCAGGAAGATCAGGTCGATGGGCTTGTTTGGTGAGATCTTGGAGAGGATGTCGACGGTGACGAGTCCGCTCAGGCCGAATGCTGTGGTCTGGTAAAGGTTGGGGAGGGTCATGAGACACCATTGCAGGATGGCTGGATATAAACGTTAGCACATGAATCCCTCAACATATATGCTGCACTGCAAAAAAAATACCTTCGGGTTCGAGCTCCGCAAGCTGTGCATTGATGTATTTCAGATGAGGAGGCGTGAAGTAGATGGTCTGTAAGCTGGCCACGGAGGCGGAACCCGCGGAATCGTAACCGGACTCGGCACCATCGTGGTCCTGAGACATGGAGTGTCTGAGTTCAGTAGACATGTTGATATGTTGTTGTTTGCGGTAAGTGTGTTTGCGTGTGTTGAACAACTCCTTGAATCTCGCTGTGCTGGGCGTCTAGATGTACTGGATGATATGCCGTAAAACTAGATGACGTAGATGATTGGGATGGTGTATGAGGAGATCGAAGTGGGCTGGCAATAAAAGCAAGAGGGCGTTCGAGGGTATATGAGTGGGACTCGGACGGTTGTGGGTGGGGTGGCGGGGGAAAAGGGAGATATGGCTTGCAACACGGGGGAAAGGGAGATATGACATTCAATACGGATATGTAAGCACGACAAAACGGGGAGTTCGGCCATCGGGAAGATGAGGCAGACCCTCTGGGTAGCGCTGCATCCGATTTCGCCATCTTTCGTGGTGTTTTGGGTGTTTTGGCCCTGGAAGTATATTGCACACGTACAAGGGCGTATGGTAGCATTTCGACCTTCGATTGCGTGCTCATCTCGCTAAACCGCTTCAGGAGATCTGCAGCCTGAATTTTTCTGTCACTATCTTCCTGACAAAATCGCATTCCCCTCTCCTCCTAAGAGAAGACATCAAAGCACGACGGACTGGTGAAGGAATACAGCGGAATAAAGTAGAAGAACCCGTTGTTATCCACGAGTGATATCCTCGTGATGCAACACGAGAAGGCAGTCACACGAATTCTGCACACAGCACGACGAAAAAACGCCGTGAACACTGACTGAAGGCTGAAGAGGAGAGAAAAGAAAAGAAAGGAGGGCGGCTATGGCGCTCTGAAGGTTCATACGTACCCTCAACCGACCCCTCACTTAGAGTAAACCCAAGGCCCCCACGCACTGTTTTCCGATCGCCTGGAGTTTCTCACGGTCATCGGGGGTCATCGCGACTCCCCCGATAACTGCCACCTTGGCCCTCTTGATTATTTCGAGCTGAGGGCCGCTCAGCAACCCCACACTGAAGGCTTCATGTATGAGCTTGGGGACATGCTGGCTGTGTATATGAATATGCGGATTAGCGCCTGGTGAAAACGAGGAAACGAGGGTGCCTACCCCGTCACTTTCAATATACCGGTAGACCTGGTCGCGTGCAGCAGGGTGAGCGTCGATAGCAGCGCCAGGGAAGGCACTTTGAAGCTCTGAACGTCCCCATAGATCCCCACCAGCATCGCCTTCCTTCTGCTCGAAACGATGTCTTCCATGCCGTCAGGTTCCAACCTCCGGAGGGCAAGCGATATCTCCGCCAGTAAATCCTGCGGCCGGGCAATGTCCGTCCTCCGAAGTACGGTGCGGAGCATCTGTAGGTCCTCGCTAGGATCCTTGGTGGCTGCTTCAACCTTTTCCAGCGACTTGCCGCCGTTCAACCTCGCCCACTGTAGCAGGTGGAGAGTGAGTTCTTTTTTGAGGACGGACTTCTCCAAACCATCCACACCTGTGCGGTAGATGTGGAACCTCGTGAGGAATTTGTCAAGGAATGTAGCCATCTCCGCATCCACATTGAGTTTCTGTCGCTCCTCGAGCATCGCTTGGTACTCGGCATGACAGGAAGAGGCAAGCCGCTTTGCGAACGCGGACCGCAATGTGGGGTGGAGGGAAGCCTTGTCGCTGAAATATTGGAAGAGCTGTCATAATTTGAGGTCAAATTGATAGCACAAATATAACTGCGGGGTGTGAATACCTACCGCTCTCGCGATCCCGATCATGTCCGACTTGACCTCTCGTCGCCAGTCCGTTTCCGCCTGCAACAATGCCACCGCTCGGCTCATCTGCAGCAGTTCGGCATCTAGGCTTTTGGCGACCACGAAGCCCTCCGCCGCAACGAGATCTGGCAGCGAGTCCAGCAACCTTGGCCACAAAACATTCGTGTCTTTAGCTGTCAACCGTCCCTTGGGATCCTGCGGGTTCGGATTAGTGATGTGTTCTGTAATCCATCCTCGGGGGTACACGAAACAAACCTTGATCTCCGACACCTGCAACCACCCGACCTTCTTCTGTATAGTGTTTCGAATGTTTTCAATCATCCACGGACTCACAAAGTGGTCGCTAAGCAGTTGCACCTCTGGGACCAACGCTTCGAACCACTTGTGAGGGTCAACTATGTGTCCTTCCCGCAATGTGCTTATGGCTGTTGGTAGTTGTGTAGTCAGCCAAAGACCGTTCCAAGAGGATGGTATTCTCGTTGGTTCAACTCACCTACAACCCCCTCCGAATGCAGCTCGTCCCTAGCAGACGTCTGCAGCCGTTCGAGGAAAAGCCCAGTCATGAACCTGTCCCCTTCAATGCAGCCATCTGCCCTGCCGGTATCCAGAAGATCCCGGATGACACCCTTGGTGAAGGAGATCGGAGCAGTACTCAATGTGGAGAGCTGAATGCAGCTTGAAGATTAACAGTGTCAGCGAAGCAGCTCGTTTTGATCCGTGGTCCAGTGTGCCCAGTGACGAGATAACTACTAACCTCTTAAGATCACGATTCAGTTGGGCAGCGATTGAATCTTTGAGATCCTCCCGGTACCTCTCACTGTACACTTTGGTCTGCTCCGCATCGAGCCAGGTCCAACTTTCATCCTTCGTCGACGGCAAAAGTTTAAAGAACAGTTCGTTGTCGATCTCATTCTTCTGGACGAACTCGCGCACCGTCACAATGCCTTGCGTCAATTCTTGCTGCAACAGACGCTTCAGGCGGCCGAACTCGGTTGGTCCGATCAACACCGATTCGCCGAGCCTGCACCACTTGCCGCCAAACTGGACGTCAGGCGGAAGCAGCCTTATCGCGTCACGAACCTCGACCGACAGTTCTTTCGCAATCGCAAAGGTGGTTGTGCGTTTCGGGCAGCCGTCCAGGAGGCCTGCTATTTCCGAACGCACTCGGTCCTCGCTGGCCAGCCCACGACCATTAGCGGTTTCTATGCACGAAGCCGGGCGGACTCCCGCCGCGAGCTGGAACAGCCGTTTCGCGTCAGACTCCGACAACATGGCGCGGAGGTAAGACGGAAGAGGGGGAAAAAAGGAAGGTCCGTGTGGCAGGTAGAGCGGCCGCCGAATTGGAGAGCGCGCGGGGTATAGGCGTGTGTGGGGTGTGGTGGGCTGGCGGAAGGGCCGGCCTCGCTTGATAGTGCCTGGGGTCCGAAGAACGGGAGCTTGGTAGAGATGCGAACCGTCGGACGCGCTTCCCTGATTCCAGCTATCAACTCACGAGACCACCGATCTTGCCTATCGGTATCGTCCTGCAGACGATAGCAAAAGCGTCAGTACGGTTGAGTTTCCGACGAACGCACGCCACTCCGTCAATTCTAACGATAAATACCTAGTTCACAACATTTGTACCTCCGATCACGAATGATTATCGCATCGGTTGATGGTCTGTGTACCCGAGTACGGTATTTGTGGAGAAATCGAGCGAAGCCTTCCGGATCTCATGAATTCAAGACTCGGTTAAGCTGGCGATGAGTGCCTCGAATCTGTGGTTCAATAGAAATCGAGACAAGAACGTAGATCAGGTAAGCTGAGCCGCCAAATGCCGTCGTCAGCCGCACGTGCCCGCAGCGGCCGGGTTATCGTCTGCAGTCTGCCCTAGCGGCGAAGAAAAATTTCGCCGACGCAGAGCCGCACTCCAACTTTTATAAAAGAGGCCCTCCCTCCTTCCTTCGAACCTCATGCGATTTTACTTCATAGTGAGTTAACCCCCTACTTCCACCTTCCGGGTCGAGATCTATCTGTCGAACACATCTAACACACTTTCTCAGGGATCATTTCTATAGTAAATCGTCTCATCTGAACTCTTTACAAGAGCCACAGAATCTCCAACCTGGACGATGATCGATATCCTCGTTGCCCTAGAGTGAAGCCTGTTTTGCCGGTCCTTCGGGATGGGTGGGTGATGATCTCGACCCGAGTTTCTGTATACCGCTCGCATGAGCAGTGGGAATGAGGGTGGGCGACGATGGAGGTCTGACAGGCTGCTGGTCTTTTTTTTCATTTACTGCTAGGCCGTATGGCGTGGCGTAGAGGAAATTTAAATTCGACCCGCATCTTCTCCGTGTTTGTGAAACTCCAGCTGTGCAACTGCGTGAAACCTGGCTGCAGCTACGTGGGTCGAAAATCCAGTGAGAATCTCGAAAACTGGGCCCAATCGTTACCTTCGTGTGCACGCCGTCTCAGTGGACCTTACCTCACCTCCATCATCGTTTGCCCTGACTCCAAGATGATGTGTAATTCACCATTTCGCGCTATCTAGACGGCAAAGTCCGCGCAGACATTCGGAAAATTAGACAGCCCTGCATGGTACTAGTACTTCCATCTACAACGGTAAGCATGACGTCTCTGCAGGCCGGCGAGTTTCAAGCGGTACTCCACATGGCGACGAAGGGTTTGCAGCATCATGGAAACAAACGAGCTGATAGACTAATCGTACCCACGAAATTCAACCTTAAGAAGAGTTGGGTAGAGAGGAAAGAGTGCACGGCGATTGGTGAGGTTTCATCCATGATCTAAGCTAAAAAAGAGCATGGCTAAATATTGGACAGGTTTCATCCGTGAAAACTCGACAAGTACCTACGAGACTTTCGATTGATTCTCGTGCCGTAGATGGTCGTCGCGAAGGGAACCGGTGACGACCGGATGTGTTTGGAAATGAGATCCTGGCCGAGTGGTCAAGGTTACCGCGCCGTGCGTACAGAACGCTCAACGCACCATGGAAACCTTGCCCTCTACCGTGCTCTGCACCAAATTCTAGTGCAGGGTGTTTCCAACCCCGAGGTCTTTAAGATCGATCCCGGAGATTCAGGTCGGTCTTCGGACAGGGACGGTAGAGATTGGTCAGTCACGCCGCATGATATCACGAAAAGTGCGATTCGAGGTGGATGTTGTGGAGCGTGGCTGACATTCCACCCACCAGGGCAAAATTAATCTTCACTTACCGCTCGCTTACAAGTTACAAGTGAAGAACAGCCGTTCAACTCTGTCGCAAGGATAATACGTGTTTGACTCGGCGGATAAGCTTGTTTACACCCCTTGACAGCCCCAAACCACCTGTGAAGAGGTGTGTATTAAATTTCACTTGCTGGGCGAACTCTCCGCATGCAGCTTGTCCAGAATACGATAGTTATGCCTGTCAGGCGTCACGTCATTCCAAAGGGGACCGTATGCGATGTATTCGAGTGAGAATAAATGATGGACGATCGAGTGACACAGAGTGATCACTATTGGCGGGCTCGATCAACTGTTACGCACTTATCACGTGCTAGCAATTCCACTGTGTTGGCGCCACAGACAGTGCTTCGCTTCCCGCGCATGTGAGATCCTACAATCCACAATGTTTACCCTGCGGCTTATTCCGACAAACTCAGCCTTTCTTGTAGTTATTGAGTCAAACTCTTACGGAGTGCTTGCGTCAAGCTCTGAACGATTAAAGCCAACTGAACGCTGAGGAACATTGATCGAAGCCGCACAAATGCTCGAGCAATGACGACAGCGCGCTTGCCACTCGGTCTGGCCAGCCCAAATGCCGGGACCAGGGGGGCCCTTTTTTAGCTGAAGATCTGAAGTCAAGTTAATGGATGCTTCCACCGTCTCTGGAGATACGTCCTGGAATCCATTTGAACGGGCAAAGACAAGCATCCACCGCCTCCAGACATACGTCCAGAAATCCGTTCGCTCGCGTGTCGACAAGCATCCACTGCCCTTCGCAGATACGTCCAGGAATCCTCATCGCGAAACGACAAGCATCTGGTTACCACCTCCGCAGATAGGTACGTCCGGGGATCACTCCATTGCCCAACGACAAGCATCCACATCTATCCTTGTCTCCCGCGCCGCGAACGCACAGACCGAGACGGACACACACCTTCATCCGCCGGCCACTGCTGAACGCTTATACCCGGATTCGCAGCACCCTGGATATAGAATATACATGCTAACCGCATACATGTACGCGTAGACTGCTGCATTCCCGCGATTCTCACGTCTTCACAATCTCTCTCACGTTTACATAATCCTCTCGACGTCCGCGCGCATCGTCCATCTCGTCGATCCTCGGGTTTTCCCTCGCCCGCGCGCCGTCAAGCTACCTGCACCATTTCACGGCGCCACTTCACTGTCCTCGGATGCTGGCAGCCGCGTCGGTAATGGAACACACCGACGGCGGTTCCGCGGGACTCTCCCAGACCGCCGATCCCGCGCCCAACGCGATCGTCTTCCCCGGCTTCACCGCGAGCACCCAAGACCTCCACACCAAAGATCCGCACTCGTCCGGCCTGCGCACCCTCACCCCCGACCTCTACACGCACGGCCTCAACTCGCGCGGCCGGTTTCTGAACGGCCTCGACCCGAGCGGCTTCAACTCGCGCGGCCCGTACACTCCCAATCCACCAGCGCAAGATCCACCGACGCCCTGTGTTCTCCGACCCGGCGGATTCTTTCCGTCCTCCGGGCTGTCGCCCATCAACTCGAGGCGGAAGACGAAGCGCTTCGTGACTATTCCTCCGCTGTCGGATGAGGCGGAGCCGACTTACGAGTACGTACAGCCGTCGAGAGTGCAGTACACCAACAGTTACCCCGGAACACCGGCCTACTCGAGGCGAACCAACCGGCGCACACTCATCAACGCGCAATCGCCGAAGACGGAGGTCACCCGTAACGGCGCCTCTCGGAGGGAAAGGCTGAGACCGTACACGTTGGAGCCACCGCCCCACGCGCAGCGCTTCCCGAAGTCCGTGGTCTGCTCGCCGGCACATGCCGTCGGATACTCGGCGCGCGCGAGACTGTTGGGGTCGACGTCGGAGTGCTGCGACTTCTTCCCCTGGAAAGGAAACCACAAGGAGGACCGGGTGACCGACATCCAGGCACGGAATGGACTGTACGACAAACTTTTAGTAGGCAAGCACAATGTACAGTTTGCCGGTTTGCCGCCCTCTCAATCCGAGTTGGTGCTTACAGCTCTGCAGACTGAGCAAGCTTCCGCCCGAGCGTCACTGGCGCCGTACTTCCGGCAGCGGACAGGTCTGCAAACACTGTCGGCCCTGTACCTGACCATCATGACCAAACGTCAGGTGTACAGCACGGTGGTCATACCGTCAACATTCAAGCCTCCGCCCCGAGTAACGCTACCGGAGAACAAGCGGCAGGCATGGCTGCGCGATCTCGCGAATCCCGCCATACCTCTGCGGAAGCTATCTCGGACCATACCTCACGGTTTGAAGGGCCCTTCGCTGCTCGATCAATGTGCCTCCAAGAAGATCCCCACTTCTCGGGCGGTATGGTTTGTCCGGTGTGTCGGAGCCAACGAACTCCGAGGATTGAGGCGGAGGGGCGTGGGGTCGCTGGCGGTGGGGGGTGAGGCGAAATGGATCCGGGAATGGACCGTCCAAGTAACACAGTTCCTGGAGAAGACGATCGGGGCGTGCGATGTTATCGACGATAACCTTTGGCGGCCTCGGATGGTATACTCGTATGATCCTATCCTCGAGAATTTTCTGCTTCGGAGCCGCCGACTGACCGAATCCGCAGCATACGTCTGGTCGTTCATCTTTACGCGGAACTCTTGCTTGACCGGGCACTCTTTCTGGAGTGGTTCCTTTCGTTTTTTGCTTCCTGCTCGCTGGACGTACTACCTCTAGCTTTCCCTATAGCTACTGCGTTCTGGGATGACCTCATGAAACTGAGACGGTTTGCGAAACGATTTGCTGAAATCTTGCTTGTTAAGGCCGAGGAGGTATGTGATACAACCTCCGTGCACGGATCCGGACGCGACACAGCTAAACAGATGGGGTACAGGCTGAAGCCCGGCGTTTCGACGAATCGTACATGATACCGCTGCTACGGCGACTTTCCGTTATGGCTTCTGTAAGCTCGAGTACCTCCGGTGAATGTGTATACCGGAAATTCGGCTAACGTGATAGAACATCCTCCTTTCCCACCGGGAATCGATCATAGGATTCAATCGGCTCCGGGGAGTCCCGGCTTTGGTGGATTGCAGCATCAGCGGCATCGATGAATGCTTGCGGAATGTGACCCTACGCAACAGATACTTCGATGGGTTGGAGAAGCTCCCAGCCACGGCATCCGGTCGACAGAAGGCAGTGGTGTTCTTGGACAACATCAAGACGCCGTTCGACACTCACGCGATATACACACATCTTGTTGCTCTGTTATCGAGCACCGAGCTTGTTCCCTTCATACTCGAATGGGCTGTCACACCACTCAGAACTGGGACTCACAGGGTGCACATAGCGGCCAATTTGCTGCGATTCGCGTCGACGGACGGAGTGCAAATACAAATCGCGATCCAGGAATTCCTACTCAAGTTGGATGTCCACACAAAGGTCAAGAAGTATGATGTTTACCTTCTAGTTGCGGAACTGGTACGGACAGGCTACTTCTCGGTCGCCTTTTACATGCGATGGCTCATCGCCAAAGGGGGCCTTTCCAAGGTGGCAGTGTTGGACGAGGTAGGAGCCACTCGATCGCTATCTCGCATTGGCCGGACCAAAGCTGACACATATCGCAGAGCTGCCCGTGCTACCTGCGGCTGTTGGCTGAGATTCCCGTACATCTGACCGCACCGCCGCTGAGGAACTTGCGCAGGATCTTGCTGAGCGAACGCTCGTTCGACTGTCAGGAAGAGGACGATGCGGCGGCAGAGGTCATGGAGATAATTTCTAGTCGCGGAGTGTTTCAGATGTCGGGTCTCCTACAGAATGGCCATAGGGGTTCCCGCTACATGACGTTGAAACCGAACGAGCTCAAGAAGATCCGCGGCCTGACGCGGGCTTCTAAATCCGTGGTGGGGATGTGGATCAAATCAAACCTTCTGATGCTTGTGACGGAGCAGCAGCGGTATGTTATTTACTCCAGCACTGCGGCAATCCCCCATGCTGATGGTACATGATTGCAGATATGCTCGAGACAGCTGGCGTGGCAAAGTTTCTGCCATTGAGCCGAGTGTGAACGTGTTGTCGACGGCGCAGGTGGCTTTCATTCGACAGGTCTTGGAGGAAATCGGCGATATCGCGGTTTTGGTCGAGGTAAGTGTGTCCGGGTTGAAAGCGTGTTTTTGTGGTACAGGGTTTTGACGAGCGATGCAGGTAATCCACATCTTGGTCGGCTCTGACAACGCAGCCATCCTTGCCATGACTGCCGAGACCATCAATTTCAATCTCGAGGCAATTTCTGCGCTCCACCCAGTTGAGGATTTGGAGCGGAAATTGTTCCAGGGGGTAAGTGCTCGCACGAGGAAACCGTTTGACCATCCAGCTGATTTTCCGGACGTGAAGTTCAAGAAGCTGCAGTCGCGAAGAGCGCCTACCAACAGACATTTCCTGGCTTCCTTTCTGGAGCTGCTATCCGTCACTGGGACCGAAGGTGGTATGCGGTTCGACTTGCAACATGCGCTCGCTTCGTATGACGTGCAACATCCTCGAGCTACGGTTGAACAGTCTCTAGAGTCCGGATTCATGGACATCGGCATGGCCGACGACGAAGAGATTGATCGGCTGTGGAAGAGTCGTGCGGTCATTGACAAGCCGAACATGTCTCGGATCTTTGAAACCACCGTTTTCTCGCTGGAGGCCTCGTTCAGTGATCCGGAGAAACAGCAGCTGCACATCTGCTCTGCGACCAGGGGCTTGTTGAAGCTGAGATCTTTCGACGCGAGCTTCTTCGATGAGCTTTTGCGGCGCTGGATAACCCGCATGAAAACATGCCACAACCGGATACCGCTGTTTCGAGCTCTCTCGAGCATGGTTGCTGGATCCTGTCTCAGGATTGAGATGTTGGTCGGCATCGCGTTGACGATGCTCTTGCAGAAACGCGACGAGGTATGTTTTCATTCTCTATCCGACTTTTCGCCACAGCTTATGGTCGAGTTCCAGTCGGTAAATGCTTTCGACGCCGGTATGTTTCTCGCCATGGTTCTCGAACTGATCGTCCACGAAAATCCCTTTGCAACCCTGCTTTCCGCCCAGGTAGGAGATTGCCCAATTGCCCTCCTTCACCTGATGTTCGTATGCTAATCGAGGCGCAGGACATGTACACCCTCAAACGCCGGCGCAAATCGTTCATTGCGACTTCCGCACACCTCTTGTTGGCGATGTTCCGCGATGTCATCGTTCTCTGCACAACGTCGCAATCCGAGGAGTTGCACCGATACACACTCCGTCTGCTGTCTTCGGTTTCTTCCCTCGAGGTTCTGAGGAAGCTGGTGGTACAGAAACCGGATCTCCTGAGGACACAGCTCGTTGAGCCTCTCTTACAACCTACACATCTATGGTGGCTACAGCTACTTTTAGATAACCTCTTAGACGACAACGATTGCAATGGTTTGAACAACGCTCCCACCGCACCCACGATTCCTCTCCGTTACTCACACGATAAAATCACAGACGATAATGCGGAGGTCGATGCCCACGTACAAGTGGGCCGACTCCTCGATCTGGCAAATGATTTCTCCATAGGACTCTGCAAACTGAAGCTGCGGATCATACTGAAAGCGGAGCTCATCGATTCCACGTCCTTCGGCGGCCCCGATCTGAAATCTGGGGCACGCGTCTCGAATACGATCGCCAGGCCATTTATTAGGGGTATAGCCTCGGCATCCAGCTCCAGACGCAGGACTTGTACCGAACTCGTGACGGTGCTCGACAAAGACAGGGCTGCTCAGGTATGAGGTCGTCCCAGTCACATCCGATCCTCGCTAACCTGGTCCGCGACATTCTAGATTCGGGCCGACGTCGAAGAGTTATTCCTGGATTGGAGAACCTTTTTTTGCACGCCCAGGCTGGTAGAAACACTCGACTTGCCTCTTGCCCACACCCACGCCACGGGCGAGTCGCTCGCGCATGCTTTCCTCTCGATCGTGCAATCTACGGTCTCCTGTAAGGCGGTCGAGCGCGAATACATGTCGTCTCTGCTCATCGAGCGGATGTACAAGCTGCTGCTCATCCTATCGTCAACGCGCGACGAAGATACGCTCGGAGTGTCGTGGTGGAATCACGAATCCTACGGAGAATTCCGTTGCTGGTGAGCTTTGCTTTTTTGCTCGTTGCTCGTTGCTCCATGTGTCAAATACTGATGTCGGCGACGGATTCGGATAGGTTTGTGCTCTTCATGACGTTCTTGACGATACATCGGGTCTCCTTCGTCCCGGGAAAGGTAACTTCGTCGACGGACCAAGCGCGCATGCTCAGGAAATTGTGTATCCTACTCAAGGTTTGTGGTGTCATCTATCCCGGTCTTCCGTCCCGTCGTTAATCAATGTGTGGCCAAAAGCATGAGGTTATACGAAAGGACGAAGCATATTTCGAGCTGGTGCTTTCACTTGCTGAGAGCTTTTGCGATGGTACGTAGCTCCACCTATTCCGGTTCAGGCATCTGGTATCCGGGCAAGCTGTGTTGGAGTGAGAGAGCATGCCCGCAATCGGCTGAGCTCGCTGCGAGTTTCCACGTCCATTCACTAACCACACCCCTATAGGACTTCCGGAAGAAACCCGGCTACAGCTCAAGCGCGAGAACAAGGGAAAGCGTGTGCCGATGTCGTCGTTCCTGACCGGAGCTGACGAGGGCGCAGAAACCCTCAAGGCGCTGCAGAGAGGGCGACTGACCGAGTTCTCGGTCAAGCCGTGGGAGCGTCTGGCTGAACCCACGCCAAACATCGGCGAGAACGATGTCAGCATCAGTTTGGTGTTGTTCAGGACTAGGAGGTTTTAGATTCAATAGGGTGGGTGGGTTGGTCGGTGGGCTGTCGGTTGGTCGGTTGAGGAGGATACTCAGTTTTTTCTTTGATTCGTTTCTTTTTTCTCATAGGGATGGTTGGATATATACCCGGCATGATGTGTATGTACTTTTATGCGTGTATTCATAGAAAGTAGAGCGTTGGTTGGGTTGTAGAATGATGGTTGTTCCGGTTTGTCGAACACAATGGCCGCATTGGCTGGATCATCGAAAGTGATGACTGGTTTGTAGAAACCTATGGCTGGTCTGTCCAGAAGATGGGCAGCAGGAGCGACTTTACTGGTGGACATCAACTGTGTCTGGGTTAGACCATCATTGGGTGTGCACGCTGGGAAGGGTTTCTGCTGGTAACTTCTCGCTGTCTTTGAAGATATTCGGATTGTTACGATCTCACCATATTGCTTCTACCTACTCGAGCGAAACCTAACAAGAACCCTATCTCGGAACTTTCGGGGATAAAGTAAAAAGACAGCGTGCGCTCCATAGGTACTTCGTAGTGCAGTAAACTCCCCGCGATAGGGTTAGGTGTGCAACTCTCCGGAGTCACGGCCAGCCAACTTGAAAGGCGACCTGGGTCCAGGAACGCCACAGAGCATCCCAGAGCGACGTGAGGCTAGAAACCCGCGCCACAGTGCATCCCAGTTCTCGGCCTGCAGCTTCTCGTTCTTCACGTTTGGTGACGTTTCTGCGTTTTCTCATTTCATCCACACACACGGATTACCCGAAACGTGAAGTGAAGGTGAACGACTCTCCGCCACACAACCCCAACCCTTGTCCCATCCGCGGCGGCACCCAGCTCTCTCTTTCCACCCTCCAAAAATACATCCCCACATACACCCACACTCCCACACACCCGCCCGCCGATACCGTGCTCGGACGACACGCCCCAGCGCGATGTTGGATACTCCGACCCAGATCACGTCACACCTCCTGGCCGCTCTCAATCTCCCGCCGCTCGAGAACGCCTCCCCCTACCCGCTTCGCAACCGCCCCCTCCCGCTCGAGCCCGCCGCGTCCTCGCCGCAGCGGGATGCTTACACCTCCGTCAGGAGGCCCGTACAGCAGCAACAGCAGAACAACCAGCAGCACCACCAGCAACAGCAGCAGCACCAGCAGCACCACCAACAGCTTCACCACCAACAGCACCACCAGCTGCAGAATGACCAGACAGACGACCACCACCAGATTTCGACCGGCGATACTCAATCCTCTCCCGTTCCGCTAGCGTACCCGCCCATCATCACGCCGCCGAAAGCTGCCGAACCCCCGCTGCAGCACGGTTACCACCCTTCGCTTCAGACACAGCTACAGCAGGCTGGGGCGTCGCAGCCGCCGCAACAGTCGTCGCCGCTGCAGCAGTCCTCGCCTGTTACTAGACGTTCTCAGCGCCAGCAGGAGCAGCAGCAGCAAGAGCAGCAACAACAGCAACATGAGTACCAACAGCAGCAGCAACAGGATCAGCAGCAGGATCAGCAGCAAGGGCAACAGAAGAAGAAGCAGGGAAAGAGACGACGCATGCGACGGAAGTGGACCGAGCAGGAAACCAACGATCTCATCATCGGATGTCGCGAGCACGGCGTGGGAAATTGGAAGAAGGTCCTGGATGACCCCAAGTACAAGTTTGACGACCGGTCAGCTGTGGACTTGAAGGACCGGTATGCGTTGATCCCCCAGCCACGTGTTATCCCTCACCTATGACAGCTAGCTGATGTGACCACAGTTTTCGCACATGTTTCCCGAAGGAGTACCGGAAAGACGCCATGCTCGCCGAACAGCAGGTCAAGCTCGAAGCCACCCAGGAGGGGATGGAAGCATTGGTGGAAGTCGGTCACATGCACACTATGCTCGGGCCGGCGCCGACCCAACAGCCGGAACGCGGTCGGCGGAAGGTTACAAAGACGGAATTGCACCACGCCGAAGTCCTGAAGGGGCTCGGCATCAGCGACCGTTTCCCCAAGGTGGCACGCAGGGAGCGACGCGAGTTTACGGCAGAGGAGGACCATCGCCTCTTGCAGGGATTCCAGATCGTATGTGTCCGACCGCATCGGATCGCGTCCGTGGGGAATACAGCTAACTCATTGGCTTACCCAGTACGGTCCGTCCTGGAGCAGAATCCAGGGCGATCCTGCGCTACATCTCGCTCATCGACGAAGCACGGATCTGCGCGATCGGTATGGTTTCTCAGTTCATTCGTTCGTTCGGGTACTCTATGGTAGTCCGATTTACCTAATCGGTGACGTGGGTTAGGTTTCGTAACGCTTTCCCGGACCGATACGAGTCTGCCGGTTTCAAGGCGCGCCCACGACAGGTCAAGTCCGAGTCCGTTACGGCGGAAGAAGAGTCGTACGGGGAAGAGGACGTGGATGAGGACCACTACTCCGATAAACAGCTGTCAATGGTGGATCCGGCGATGGCCATGGCTATGCAGGAGCCACCACCACAGCCTACTAAAGCCGACTCTACCGCGTTCATCGTAAACAATCTGATGAACGAGCATCTTGCCGCAAACTGGATCGAGCCTCTTACTCCCTCGGAGCAGGTTGGATGCATCGAGACCCCTGTGAGTGATGGGATTCCCGGCTCGGCCGACCAGTCGCCGGTATCTGGGATCTTACCGTTGGACCCGGCACTCGATACAGGTTTCGGGCCCGTGACGCTGGAGCAGCTTACTAGCGACATTCTCGGGACGACCAGGCGACCCAGGGGCTCTCAAGCTCCGGTCAACACCAACGGTGATGGGCTCAACTGGGATGACATGTCCAGCCACTCCATGTTTGCCGATGTCGAGTCGGCCTTCGCGATGGATTCCAAACCTATGGCCAACATGAACGGTAGTTGTAACGAGGTCAAATCCCCCGTCACTATCAATACCACCATTACTACCAAGCCCGCTTCCAAACCGAACGCGGCCAGTGCTCCCAGAAAGAGAAGGCCTTCGGGTTCGGTGTTGAAAAAACCCACGGAGAAGAAGAGCCGCGTCAATACCAAGGCTTGATGTGAGGTGATACCGCGGATACTGCGGATACGGTTAGATTGCGCGAAAGTGTAAAACATGGCTTGGGCTGGGTTCTCTGTCACTTGTTTTTTTCCCCATCTTTTCCTTTTTTCCTTTTTCCCTTTTTTTTCCCTTTTTTTTTCCATTTTTTCCAATATTTTTCCTTTGGGGTCGGGCGAACGGATTTGCATTTTTTTGTATCGTATCGAATTTTTTTGTGCTCGTCTTTTTGCACGTCTTTTGCAACGAAATGTATCCTGGTTACTACCTGTGTCGAGTACCTCTGCTGCGGCTACGCGGGGCTGGGAGGGGGTGTCCGCGGAACGACTGGGAGAATGAAATCTTCTACTAGTATGGACACACGATGATACGATGTGATGTGATGGAAACCGGACGGGTGTTCTAAAAACTCGAAGGATTCGAGGGGACTCGAGGGCATGATTTGTTGTACTTTTGTGATGGATAATCTTGACGGATTTTTGTGGCTCATATTCCATCTATCGGTGCCTTCAATAGACGTACAGGGAGAAAATCATGCCCACAGTCTAAACCAACTTTCGTTAAGTGGCCCGACGTGTACTATAGCTTCCCTTGCTCTCCGCCCTGGCCTTTCCCGAAGACACCGTATGGTACGGTAGGTACATATTTATGTCAATCCGGCCAACGAACCCCGCGGAGGTTCTCTTTTCATTCAGGTCAGGTCGGGCGTCCAGCTGTTTGGGCTGTCCGTTGGTCCGCTGGTTGGTTGGTCCGTTGGTTGGTCCGTTGGTCGTTTGGTCCGTTTACTTGTATTTTATGTACATTAGAAAATTCACGCACGAGGGAGGGTTCTGTCTGTCTGTTTCTGTCTGTCTGTTTTCACACATCTCTCATTCTCACTCATTCGGGTCGGATCGAGTACCTAAGGAAAGTTGCGGAAAAAAACAGTAAATTGGTATCAAGTGATTTACTCCCCATCTATCATAGTAAAGTGCGCTTCTATTGCCATCATGCCCTCCTGCCCTCCTGCCCTTGCTGCCCTCCAATCTAATCAAGCACGCCTACCAGCACCCAACCCCGCATCTCTCCCCGCCTGCTTCGGCGACGGAATAGGCGGCGGCAAATTCTTGCGCTCATCCTGATCGCGCTCGATCTGTCTGTATATCTTAACCGCGTCGTCGCGGAGCGCACGGTTCTCGAGGAAATTGTGTATGCGTATCTTCTTGCTGATGGTCGATTTCTGGCCGGGAACGTCTTGCATGTGCGAGTACTCTATTCTTCATCAGCCCTTCCCGCTGGGGGTCGTGGGGGTGTGGGGGAAGAGGGGGGCTACCCAGGAAAGCGCGATCCAAATACCCCAGCGCCTTATTGAGACACTGTTCTCTCCAGGTACTACTGTTACTCGTGCCAGCGCGGCCGACCTGGCCGTCAGCGAGAACGCCGAACGCAACCGCAGTCAGGAATGAGTCCTCGCACTCCAGGATCTGCGGCATGATCCCGTCCAGCATTTGGTACGCCGCCTCGTACTCCTCCAGGTGCACGAAGATCCCCGCGATCACCGTGAACGCCTGGTACAGCATTGGCATGAACCGTGCGCGCCAGGCGGTGGATCCTGCGTGGATCGCGATCGAGAGGCCACGAGAGTGCCGGCCCATTTTCTACGGGGGGGTTAATAGGCTACCGAGTGAGAGCTAAGCAAGCAGGAGGTACGAACCACAAAGATCTCCGCTTTCATGATTATCAGCCGTACGCGGTTATAGGCGTCCGAGTCGTTTCGCACAAGGTCGTCGTACACCTGCTCGCAGTTCGCTAGGGCCTATGTATCACAAGTATCACTCGTCAGAATTGCTGTATGCATGTCATGACAAGAAGCAGCACGTACCGACGTGAAATTCCCCAGCCTCATCAGAAACTCGATGCGAGTCACCGATATCTCGAGGCGACAATCCTGCTCCATCTGCTCCGCCGCCGTGAGCTGTTGCAGCAACAACTCGGCACCCGCGACTTCGTCTCTAAGGTTAGATTGTAGTCAGCATCTTCTCCCCGCCATACGAAATGGTAGGTATACCTGTGCACAGCGCGTCTTAGCTTAATGAGCGCCGAGTACGCGGTCCAGTACTGGTTAATCTTGAGTGACCTCAGAGACTCAGGCGAGATCTGATCGAGGCGATCAAACGCCTCCTCGAAGCGGCCGCGCATTGAGAGTATATACGCGCTCTTGCATAGGGCGACGGCGAGATCCTCGGCGGGCGAGCAACCACGGTACTTCGCCAGGAACGCCTCGCAGCTAATCCACGCGCACTGGGTGACGCCGAGACGACTCCACAGCGTGGACTGCAGCAAGATTTGGGAGCCGGTGGCGTTGCGGATCTGCCGCGTGGTGTTGATGTGCGAGCTCCGCAGGAGGCTCTCGAACGCTGACGGGATCGATTCGCCGCATAGCAGGATCTGCCGCGTCTCCGAGAGGTACGCCATCGATAAAAGGTGGTCCATTCCCCACTCTTTCGCTTTTAGCTTCAGCAAGGAGAGCGATTCTCGCTCCATACGCGCCGCTATCACCTCTGGACAGTCTTGTGGATGCGCCCGGTGGAAGTGGTACAGCCAGGAGAGCGCGAAGTTGAGGCACGCCATGTCTTTCGTTTCGCGCGCGGCATTGATGGTCTCCTGCATTGCCAGCACCGACTCCCGGTGGCAACCGAAGTCGGCCTGTAGGATGGCGAGGTTCAAAAGGGCGTATTGGTAGTATGTTCGGTCTCGCGTGTGCATGGTGTAGTCGAAGTACCGGTGCAGGCTGTCGAACGCACCGGGGTAGTCGCCGGATCGCCAGGAGTTCAGGAAGTTGACGTAGTGCCGGAGATGCGAGGCGGGAACGCACGTCGAGATCATGTCGCGCAATCGCTGCTGCGTGTCATCCGATACTCGCGATCCCAGTTCTAGTTGAGAGGTCAGCAGGTGGGCAAGCAGGCGGGAGGGACTCGTCGGCATACTCTGCATCAACTCAACCTGGAACTCCAGAAGTCTCTCGATCTCCTCCGTAGACACAGTATCTAACCCGCATTCAGCAAACCAACGCCATGCGATCCGGAGACAAACAGCTTACACTTAGTCCCCTTCTCATGCCCCATATACACATTCCTCACGAGCGGATCATCCAGCGCGGTCCCCCTCAGGTTGACGTCCGCGCTGATCCCACCACCATGCGGGCGCAGCTTCCACAGGGGAAAGGTAGGTTCGCGGAACCTCGCAAAGGCGTACCACAGCGAGTTGATCTCGTGAAACTGCAGCTTCTCGAACTCGAGCAGGGACCTTCTCAGGAACATTCCGAGCGGGGAGGCATCAGCAATCAGCCTGCGTTTGACGTCGATGCCAGGCGGCGCACCCACAGGCCGCTGATGGTACATCCGTAGTTCTTGGAAGAACGTGTTGAGCGCGTCGAGACAGTTGATGTTCCACAGATCGATCACGAGGAGGTCCAGCACCGTGCGGCCGACGACGGAGCTCTGGTAGTTTACGGTCGCTGCGATCAGGTCCTCCGGCGTCAGGTTGAACGTTGACGCATCCGTCGGCCGGTTCAGGTGCTTCAGCACGAAGCCGAGCACCGGCATGATCGCCGGGTTCGGGAACTTGTGGTCGGCATATTCTCGGACCAGCGCGATAAGCGCGATCTTTCCCGGTGCTGTGGTGCGTAGTCATGTCAGTCTTGGTGGTGGTGGTGGTGCCGCCGCGCACATCGGTAAGCGCGAACTCACTGAGATATCGCGACATGGTGGGGGATGACGTAGAGGGGAGACGCGCGCGAGGGAGCACGTGAGGGATAAACGCGATGTGTCGTGAGGAAACGCGTGTGTGGGGGGAAGCGCGAGGAGACGTGAAGGACTGGCTGTGGAGGGGTGGGCGGAACTAACGGATCGGACTAGTGGCGGGGAGCTTTTCTCTCGGCAGATCCAGCAGGCGGGATGGCCGGCCGGCGATGGATGCTAGTTAGCCAATGTGCGGGTGTGCGGGGTAGTGATGTGGCGGCCAATGTAGCAGCGGCGGAGTTGCATACGAGTAAACCGTACCGACCTGTCCAACCCAGCGGCCTCAGTACCTTGCCAATCCCGACAGCAGCGTGGCGGCAGAACTGGCGCTCTCGCAAGCAGTTGGGTTCGCACTGTAAAGCAGGTACCAGCTGCCGACCCTGCATGTAGAGCACCGAAGTATGTATGCGACACCATTGCTAAAATGCAGTAGAGCGGGCGGGGTGCGACCACCTGCCTCTGCAGTGTTGACATCCATTCAATACGATGTCCTCCCACCAACAGCCGGCACTCAACCAGTCGTCTCAGCAGTCACCATCCAATGGTACTTACCGGGCCCTCGTCTGCAGCTAAATATCCGAGAAATATCTATTGCCACTGCAGTGGCAGCTCTTCTCGTCGCTTCAGTGAACAATGGGAAGTTCATCCGTACGAAAGACCTGTAGGCTGTTCGCAAGAACCATACGAACAATGTCTCATTAATTAGCATAGAAGTAGATGAATATCTATCTGAGTAGGAGCAAGTATCCAAACCACGCCTATCTACCTATTGCACTGCCATCCTCGCCGTAACAATCACCAACACCTCACACCTCAAGCTACTAGTTATTCTCATCGTCACCCTCGCAGCTATCCGGGTCGTCACAGCACTGTCTACGATTGTATCCCACAAGCACTCACACGCAGCGCGGTCATTCCGCATAGCCTTCTCCCGCCTGCGCGGCTCCAGCGCATCGACAAGCACAGTGCGCGAAATCCACCATCACCACTTGCTGCCTGTTGGTCTGCGCTGAAGCGTCCGAAGCGGCCGAAACCGGGCTGTACGGGTAAAGGGATGAGTCCGAGCACGGGCCACAGGCCCTCAGCGAGTCTGCGGCTTCGTTCCGAAGGATTGGTCTGGCTGTACTAGCTGTAGACACCGATGCAGGTTGGGACGCCCACGCCGTGGCCCTGTAGGGGAGCAGGCGGTTGTATGATATCATACGCCCGGAGTTCGGCTTCGAGGCTTCAGGGCTGCGGAGGTCAAGCGAGGGTACTGTTTTAGAACGATCGAGAGGTGATGGGGTGGGGAGGAGGATGTGGTCACGGCGCAGGCGGAATATACTCCGGCTTTGTAGGTGTGGTTGATGGTGAGTAGGAGGTGAATGGGCGGTGGATTGCCGCTGGTGGGAAGATAGGTGGGTGGATTGGGCTCCGGCGAAGGAGGGGCATTATGGGCATAATGGGCGTCATCTCCAAGGTGTCTGCCCTGTGAGCTCATGGGCTTGGGCGGCAACAGCACCAACGTCTTTGAACCTCGGCTGAAGGCCCACGGCACAGAAGGGGCCGGATAGTCCCTAGAAGTCAACTGTATATATCTCCTGTACGAGCCTCATGCCGATAACTACTGGAATGCGTACCGAGCCTCGACCAAAGGCCTCTCCTCCCGGTGTGCGGTCGTGGAGGCGAGGCGTGTGCACCTGGGGGTGCAACGTGGACATGGACATATCCATCACGGAACGAAGCTAGCTCTCGCGGAGGCGGGGCTGCCGTAGTGAATAAGGCTTATCTACCGGTAATGTCGAACCCACCTCTCGTCCCCGTCTGCCGTTGTCATGCCGGGTTGTCCACATGTACCGGTACTGCCTATCATCCAGCAGCATCGCGAGGATTACCGGCCACACCGGCAGCAGGATTGATGTGTGGATGTATGCACGGACATCGGCCGCAGTACCTACTCAAGCAAGAGTGATACCATATTACGGTGGACTGGCGTCCGGAGGGGAGGAGTGGGTGGTGACACGGCTGAGATGTCGACATGAGTCGATAGAGACAAGATGTACTGCCGGAACCATCTGGCGAGTTGGCGGGGGAGCGGTATGGGGTTGAGTCGTTGAGTCGTTTGGCTGAATCCTGGCCCCGGTTTCCCGAGTATGGAGTCCGTGGAGCTCTGGTGGGCGGGCCGTGGCCGCGCGGGGTTAGTGTCGTGGGGGAGTGCGGAGGGATCGAATGAGAGGATTTGCGCCGCTGGCAGGTGGCGGGCGTGAGGCATGGTGGCGTACAGTACTTGCTGCCGATGTTGGATTGGCTTCTGGAATGTTGGCTGGTGGTTCGGTGGATTGGGATGTTTACTCTATGGGTGGCTTACAGCACATGACTGAACTGTCCGTGCAGCGTGGCGGTACAATTGCTTTGGTGCTGGATTTAGGTTCAGGCATGTGCTTACGATGTTCTTTACATCGGCCAGACTCCAGACCTCTCGCTCTCTTTGTCTTGAGAATCAAGTTTCTCTTTCCCAAACAGGCCGACGATCGATCTTGAAACTCTCGCTCAACCCCCGCTCGATTGGGCTTAGCACTCCATGTTCCGGAGTTCGGCTGTCCTTACCGCCTGCCCAATCCAAACATCTTCGCTTAACCTACTAATCGGCAGCCATTTCGGGCGGCGTGTCGCACAGTAGCATGGCAGCCAAGACTTTGTAACTTTACCTCAGACTTTACGGTAATCTAGCATCGCTAGTTAGCAGAGAACGTCGCTTATTGTCGCCTACGGCGTGCGGCCTTGGAGATCGGCGGAGCGGCATTCGGCGGAGCGCGTGCAAGTGCATTTGCTCGCTCGGCAGCGGACTGCGTCGCGGCGTGCTGCCGCTGCCTCGCGCGACGCTGGCGCCGAGTTGAGTCTGCTACGGATGATCGACTCACGGGTGAAGGCGGCGGTGTCTGCCGAGCGGCGGGCGTACGAGAAGGCGCGGAGGTAGAGGGAGGCGGAGGAGATCTTCGAGAACGTGGAGGTCCAGGCGCAGGTCAAGATAAAGGTGCTGCGGGAAATGGAGGAGCGCGTGAGCGTCGCCATCGCCGCTGCGTATGCGGCCGACGAGCGGCTGCGAGCGGTTGTCGCCGCGAACGTCGTGCAGAGAAGCGCCAAGCTGTCGGGAGACCAGCGGCCGGGGGCGAGGCTGCTGATCAACCGCCGGTTGTACTGCAGCATGTCGCACCTCCCGTCGAGCAGGAGGACTCGGACGAGGTGTACGCCATAACCCGCGAAGAATACGAGTGGCGAACCCGCATGCACCGATGGTGGCGCGAAGACGCTGCTCTGCGGTTTGACGCTGCAGTTGATGAGCACAGCGCGGCCGGAAGGGACCTCGATCCGAACTCAACAGCGGGAGTGCACCACTGAGGGGCGGCTGGTAGCGAGTAGTTTTAGTGGAAGGAGCTGGTGAAAGGCAGAATTTGGTCGGAGGGGTCGCGATTTCTTTGGGTTTGGGTGGTGGTACAGGTTCCTTTTCTGTTTTTGGTATTGGGTGTTTTGCTTCTGTTGTCTGGTAGTGGTACCGGTTCGTTTGTTTTATTCTCTGGTTGCGGCACGGGTTCATTGTCTGTTTTGTTCGCAGGTCGTGGTACGAATTCCCTTTCTGTTGCTTTCAGGTCGCGGTACGGGTCCACGGTCTGTTTTTGCTTTGCATTGATTTAATAGGAATCAGGAGTCAGGACGGGTATAAAAATCTATTCTAACATAAGTACATGGAGGACCAGGCATTAGGCATTTAGGATGACTGCAAGTCTGCAAGTGTGTATTTCACGCGGATTCGGGCTCCCCAGCCATCGGTGGTAGATAATATAATTCCGCCGGGGTGACGGCCCTACGCCGTACGGGGGGTCGCATTTCTTCAAATGCGGTCTATATCTGGACGTACATAATACACACTACACAACCGTTTCGTCACTAGACAGTTATGCACATACAATAGCCGCAAGCACAGGTCTGACTTAAAGAGAAAGGCTTCTAGAATCTTCAAGTATTCACCATATATTCAAGGAAGCAGTCGATCGGAATGAGCGAAAGAGCCGGTAACCCAACCAGGATAGACAGTGGACTCCTCGCCGCATGCAGCCCCGCCTCTGGGGTCTGGGGGCTTGCGATAATGGACATACTCTATTCCACTTGCACGTGAAGAATACTGGGATTGATTGAGACTCTGCCCCTTATGTAAGGTGCCATGGGCCGAGTCATAGTAGGTGAGCCGGCGGTGACCTTCGCGAGCTGGTGTTTGTCCCCCGTTATTCCGTGTTAGAGGATGGAGTACCCGATATAGTGCCTGGAATCAAGAGACCATCACCAGGTAGAAGTACCCAAGTAAAGTGGCAGCCGGACACGTCTCACCGGGAGACAAGATTCCATTCAATTCCATTATGTGCGCCCAGCCGACCGATGGACAATCTACACCCGGCAGCGGAATACCAAAAATCGGGATTGTTGATTCGATCGATGGGATTGGCCCCAAGATCTATGTAGGGAGGGGATGGCTCCTCTGGGCCAGGCCGGGCCAGGCGTCGCCATCAAACCACCGAGGCATGTATGATACCTACCGGTAGGTATTACAGTGCACCGCTTCCGCGTCTGTATCTGGGACCGTTACCCAGAGTGTGGTAAGGTTCTTATGGTCGAGACTCGAGATACAGCGGATAGTAGGTAGCTTGGTCCCTTCATGCTTGGCCCTGTCTGGTCGGCGTCTCAGGCCACCAATAGAGTCTGGCACTGAGGCACTACGGGCGTCTCGGCTCGCAACGACTACTACGGGAGGCGTTTTATTGCGCTCCGCTGGAAGTCAGCTCGGAGCAGGAGTGGTGATCAGGGATGTTAGTTGGCTGCCGGTTTGGGTGTGGTGGGGAATCTCTGGGACGAGGGTATAATACGGTAGTACTCCGTAGATGGTGATTCCCCAAGGCAATAGTCGTAGTTAAGGGGGTGCTCGAAATTACACTGCCGTTCCGGATTGAGGATGGACGAGACTTGGTGGTTATTTGTACCCCGTTCCTTTCGCATCGGTGAGGAACGTGAAGAACCGTCTAAATGCCGAATGTCTGCGCCGACAACCCTGCGTCTTTCCTCAATTCTCGTGATCTTGATCTTCTCGGCCTGCTGGGGTCACCAAAGCTGTCGACGGTAGTCTCTTCTGCCGTTACCGAGCAGTGAGGTTGCAGGCTGTGATAGCTCACTCCCTCTCCCTTCAACAGTCGATCGATATCCGCGCTTCTTCTCCATCGCCCGGCCGCCAACTTGTTCGGAGACCCAGCGCGCCTACTGACTTCTTTGCCGCGCCGTGAGATGAGTCGGAAAAGTTTCGACGTCTACCTGCTTCCTTCCTGTCCTCGAGCACGGTAGCTGGGCTAGACATATATCCTTTAGGTAGTACGTGGACACCAAAACTCTGATCTATATCTAAATCCGATGTGTTCCGGCTGGAGTCCCGCGATGTTCGTCCTCTGGCCGCATGCGAGAAGAATTTAGAGTTTAAAGGCGATAGTCTGGTACTCGGTGAAGGAAGACCGATTGGGGGGAATCGGAGGTGGTTTTCAGTCCCGATGCTCAGAATTACCCAATATTCTAGAGTATATTGGGAAAGTCAGCAAAAGGGCTGAATACGGTGCCAAGCGCCTGTTCGAGCACTTGTCGCTCCCCATGCGGCAATGAACTTGCCCGACCAAGCAGTTGTCTCCAAGTATAGATTTGGGTTACGTGCCTTCTGCATCCCGGCACAACTTGGCTGCCTGGCGACCCTACGCTTGAGAGCAGAGTAGTACTTCCCCATACACACAAGCTCCGTCGTACCCCATCGCAGCCCCCACGCACGCATGCTTGCTTCCCGTCACCGGCTGGCTGTGCACTGCTTTCTCACTTGCTCATTTACTCCCTCCATTCTGCCATAGTGCCCCCCCATCGTCCTCCTTCGCATCCTTCGCAGTCACGCCCGTACGAAGAAGAGACTCCTTCAGCACCCTACACATGATCGCGAACCGTCGCTTTGCGCCATGTCGAGATCCTACCAAACGAGCTTCGATTCGGGTCGCTCTCCAATGTACGCCGAAGAACACCAACCACCCACCCACCACAACCTCCCCAAGCGCTCCCTTTGTGCTGAAGTTCGTGGGACTGTAACTAACGCGTGGGACTTTGTCTTAGAAACGATTCCCCATCATCCGCTTCATCGGCGCTCTCTCCCGACGCTTTCAAGACAAACATCAACCGAGCCAAGTCCAAGCGATGGGTGGAAGCTGCGAAGGTCAACTATGACGATCTGTGGGGCGACGAGGAGGAGGACGGCTACGGCTACGGCTACGGCTACGACGACGATGACCAACACGGCGCTCCTTTGCCAGCCGAACCCGCGCCTGCGCCGTACGCAGCACAAGGTGCCAGACCGTCTGCTACAGCAGCGTCGACTTCGAGCCGGTTTCCTCAGAGGCAGGCCTCGCTGCAGCAGCATGGCCCCCGCTATGCGCCGGCAGAACACGACTCGTTTCCGGAGGGCATGAAACTACCACCACCCCCTTCGGAGATCGATGAGACGTTCGCGCCGCCGCCGCCCGGCGTGAAACTTCCGCCACCGCCGTCGCAGATGGACATGATGCTCCCGCCGACACCGTCCGAGATCGACGAACGCGAGAGTATGAGGCCGGCCCATTCGCCAATCCATGTCGACCACACTTCTGCACTTTCCCTGCCGCCACAGGGCATGCAGTCGCCGTCACCACAACCAACGAGCTACCGGGACGTGCCGACTGTTCATGCGCCGTCGTTCTCGATTGACCCCGCGCATCCACAGCAACCACAGGAAGGGCTACACAAACGGCTCTCGGTTCGCAAACCTGTGCCTACGAGACCCAGCCCATCCACGTCACCTGTTCCTCAGACCTCGTCGCCGCAGCCACAGCCGCTGGCAGCGTACACTCCAAACGTACCGTCGTTGCCTGATCTGCCCGGCGGACAACATTTCACGGGGGATCAACGACAGTACGAGCAACTGCCTAACCTTCCGAATGTCTACAACCAAGTGCTTCCACAGTCACTACCGGAGGCAGCCAATCTGGGCACCATCTCGGAATACGGTCGTGTAGGCTCCGGTCCTTCTTCCCAAGCGAGACCCGTCGCAGCTCCGACCAAGTCATGGGCCAGGTCGCCCACCTATGACGATTATGAGCAGGATTACCATGTGGGCCCGAGTTTCCCCATGCCACAGAGCACCCCAGACTACGAACAGTACGGATCTCCATCTTCACTCTACTATCAACCTAAATCCACCGAGAGAGTACCGTCTCCAGCGTCCCTACCGCCCTTAATTCCACCAATTACCCAGCAGCCTTCGAGCTTTTCGGCTTCGCCCGTGCCTACTTCACCTACCTCGCCTGGAAAGCCAAAGATTATCAGACCATCGGACATCTACAGACGGCATCAGGAAGAGCAGGAACGGCGGCCTATTGTGGATCCCAACATCAGTAGTGTTGCCTCGCCTACGCCGGCATCTCACGACGAACAGAGGCCTCCGACTAGAGGGGAGTCTGTACGTAGCCGTGTGCCTTCGGATGCTGCCTTTGCGCCGCCTCACCCACACGCTTTGCAAGAGGATGTTCTCCGCCGCCCATCCTCTCGACAGCAGAAAGAGCAAGGTAGCAGTCCGACGTCGACATCATCGTCATTATCATCATCGCCAGCGAGGCCACGCTCCAGGTCAGGAGCTTCTCACCCTCCGAGTCCGTTCCAGCCGCCCGCGATCCCATTGCCAAGTGTTCCTCTGCAGTGGGTCTCAGGCAGCGGTGGATCATCGCCATCGAGCCCACTCGCAAGATCTGAATCGATCCATTCCCCTAGCCCCCATCCGCCCCCTGCGGTTCCCTTGCCCGGCGTGCCTACACCGACAACACCGAGTCTTCAGACAACGTCTTGGTCGAGGCCGCAGTCAAGGTCGCAGTCAAGGTCGCAGTCAAGGTCGCAGTCAAGGTCGCAGTCAAGGTCGCAGTCAAGGTCCGGGTCCGTAGCGAGGGGTGAGCATGCGCCGAGTCCATACCTGCCGCCTGCAATCTCTTTGCCCATTCCACCCTCGCAGGGAAACCTGGACACACCAGAGGTGGAGAAAGCAATGGATTCATTGCCAGGGGCTTTCCCATCAGGACATTCCATCGGAGCTGACCCCAAACTGCCAACGGACGGCAGCGACTACGAGGATGAGCCGCGAGAGGAAGAAAAGGGCAAGGATACGGCGTCCAAAGCTGCTCCGTCGGTGGATCACATCAATACCGACCCCGCGCCTGTGAAGGTCAGCGGTGACCACTCAGACAAAATGGAAGAGGAACGGGCCAATGTTACGGCTTGGCACGATTCTCCAGTGGAATCTCCAATGGCTTCTCCAGTGATGGGTGACTTTAATACTGTTTTCGAGACGCCAGCGGAGACCAACGACCACCAGGGCTATTTCACTCCTCCCACTGGGCAGTCACGACTTTCCTCGACTACTGCCATTCCTCTGGCGCATGGAAGCGACGATCCCAATCGTGGTGGCTTTCAAACGCTTGAGAATCACGAGTTCATACGTCCGGAGTCCGGAGTCCTCACGCCTTACAGTGAAACCCCTCCTGCGGACATGTCGCCAACCTTTCCCCAACCGCCAGTATCACTGCAGGATGACAGTGATGATGACTTGCCCCGTTCCACTACCACGCCTACTCCCGCTATCCCTGTAGAGAGCGGTATCCGAAGCTTTGCTGAAAAAGATGTGGTCCCAGTGGATAGACTTTCCATTCACGTTCGAACCCCTTCCACCGACAGCTCGCATGAGGGTGCTAAGAGGCTATCCATCGTGCCCCCTTCGTTCCAAACGGAAGCCGTTTCTGGTGATCCGACCGAAGTTGCACCCGTATCTAGAACTAGCTCAATGGAAGATACGCCACGCTCTGAGAAATCAGATGAACTGGACCACTTCCTCGGCGAACTGGAGAGAGCGCAGACCCCTGTCACACGGTCCCCAAGTCTCACGCCTACCCCATCCGAGCATGCCATGACATATCCACATGGGCAAGACCGGAACCGTTTGAGCGTCTCCTCGCGTTCTCCGAGTATCAACCCGGTTTTGTCGAACGAGCTAGTGGAACGCCCGCGGTCTTCCGGGCAGAACCAGACCTTTTTGAGCGTCTCACGTTCCCCAAGCATCAAGCCAACTTTGCTGGATGAGCCAGAAGAACGTCCGCACTCCTCTGGGATGGGCCAGGAAGATCTGGACGCCTTGCATCCCACGATCATCGCCCCAAACCTTCCGGTTCCGGGGGAAACGGAGAAACATTCAGACTCTTCTGTCCAGATCCAGGACTATCTGGGTACCCCACCTTCCCCAAGTGAGACGGCGACACACGCGCATTCTTCCACACCGGTCTACGACTATCTGGGTGACTCGATACCCACTGATTCCGATAATGCAAGGGGGAGCATGGGCGTCTTATCGTCGTACGAGTCGTATTGGCAAGATGGAAACGATGATTCCGCTGGTGGGACCCCTTTGCCTGTTCCGCCTAAATCGCCATTGCGTGCTGTTGCGGCTGAAGGACACCTACCGAGAGTCCCCTCACCTCAGGCTGCTGTTACCCCTCGGCCTGAATCCGAAGCTCCCAAGAGGTCGTCGCCACCACCGCCTGTGATAATTCCACCACCACACGACACCAGCTCGGCAATGCCAGCAGAACCTCAGACTCCTGCGAGCATCGTTGATCAGGATCTTCTCGAATTGGTTTCCACCGGCAAACGGTTCTTGGATAGACGGGACACTGTCATTATTCCTAGAGAGGCCACGCGCCAAGATGATGGCAAGACGCCTCAGAGGTCACCCGTTCTTCCGGAGTCCGAAGGCATGGAGGCAATCCCTCCCACGAAGCATCTCGGCCCCGAATCCGAAGGAATCGAGGCTATCGGAGGGCCCATCGTCGAGAAGAGGCCAAAGACTGCCGATGAGCTGAACTCGCCCGCCGAAAACGATTACACGAAAGAGCTGCTCAGCCAGTTCAGCAGGCCGCAGACGTTGATGCTGAAGCAGACGATGCCATCTGGAATCGTAATGATGCCACCCATGCCTCCGGCGCCCGGCGGGAAATCCCCGGCTGAGGAATCCGCTCCCGAGGTTGTCAATTTCGACAAGGATTATGGCGAGGGCATCGAAGTCCTGGACGACGCACATCGAAACCGTCCTCCCAGCGACAGGACGGTCACGCCGATGCAACCAACAGCGGTAATCCGGGACACGAGAGTCATCGCTGCGCTTGAGAGCCCAGAGGAACGTATAAGAGCGTACGATGCCCTGCGCGAACATATCCGCGAGTCTCCCAGCCCGCTTTCCGACTGGATCACATACCAGATGGAGCACAATAACGGCGAGCAGTTGCTCAATTCCGAGATCATTTCGATCAAGACGGGTCTGGTCCCGCGCAAGAGCAAGAGCCGGATGGGAGGTCTGGGGCATTTCCCCAGTCGCTCGGGGGATGGCGGTTCGCGCCACGACGAAGGCACGGCTCATCGTGCGGAAGAGAAGTTGGAGAAGATGGGAAGAGGAGCTATGAGGCTGGGAGAAATGGCTGGTGGAAGGGTAGGAGGTTGGGTCAAGCGGGTTGGGAAGAAGGTATAATTTAGAGTGATTTCTTGCTGCCAGATGAGATGTATTAGCAATGAGTGTATATACTGATGCTCGATCGTGAACGCAGGGAAATTCCAACAAAGAGGGTACTTCGGAAAATGCAGATCATCAGACCAGGGGTGGAGATTCTATAGAGTTGGATAGGCCCGTCGGAAACCGTACTAGAAATGCCAGTATCATATCGCATGCTTCGACAGCGGTACGGGAAAGAAATGCCTCCATCGGATCGATGTCGCAGCATACCACACCACTCCCGGCCGCCTCGCCGCCTCCCATGGGCCATCCCCCGCCACTTCCGCACATCCAGACTCAGTTCCAAGCGAGAGTTGGCACTACCGCTGCCACTGCTGCTCAGACGCCGCAGGCGGGATCCTCGCCGCATTCGCTGGAAGGCCCAAGGCAGTCCTCGCCGAGCGTCCATCACCAACCGCTGGCCGGTGGGTTTGGGTCTAAATCGGCATCTCCGCATTCCGCCAAGCCGCCGCCACCACCTGCTGCTGTTGCTGCTGCTCCTGCTGCTCCGTCATATTCACCGTTCCCGGCAAGAAAGGATAGTCTATCCTCGCAGAATCAAAATCAGAGTGGATCGTCGTCCGCGATCACAGCGAGAGGTGTTCCGTTGCCGTCTTCCGCAGAACATAGTCCGTCGATTCCCGAAACCCCGCATCCTCCACCCCTTTCAGCCGTTACGGCAACCGTGCACGAACCAATGGAAGGTGAGGACAGTGACGATGATCTTTACTCGACGCCGAAACGCCGGGAGGCTGAGGTACAGGAACAGATGCCGGTGCCACCGGTCATTCTGGCGGCAGCGGAGGTTCCGGAGACCAGGAAGCTGGGAGAGGTGGCGGCCAGTGCCGATGAAGATCTGTACTCGACACCGAAACAATCATCGCTGCGGACCGAAACGCCGGTGGCGGAGGTCCGGCAGCTAATGCCGCCGATTCCTCATTCAATGACACCGTCTCCTACTCTTCAGTTGCAGGGCCAAAGGCCGGAGAATATCGCACCACCGCCGTTACTGCAACAGGATGTCTCTCGGAGCCTTTCCGGCATGGCACCTCAGCACCCGCGCCCACAGCCGAGCGAGCAAGGGCCTCCGGCTGTCGAACATGTACGGCAGGCATCGTCGGCGGGACATCCGCAAGGCCATCCTCCGCGATTGAGCCCACAGGCGTTCGGCCATAGCGACCAGCGGCACCTCTTGCAAGATCCGCATGCGGCCAGTTCTCAGCAATTCCCTGGATCATTGCCATCTCCACACCCGCAAATGCAGCAACAGCAGCAACAGTTCCAGCAGCCACCCTTCGCGGGCCAGAATCTTGCCCACCCCCAGACACCTCATGGCCATCCGGCACTACCGCCGAGTCGCGGTTCCACCCTTGCGCAGACAATTTCCAACAGCAGTGGACACCCGCCCGGCTCGTCGTCTTCGAATTCGGAGAAGAAAGGGAAACGGACAAGTCTCCTCGGAGGCCTGGGGAATAAGCTGGATGGTATGGGTCGTAGCTTGTCAGCTGTGTCGCAGCAGCTGCCTCACCATCAGCAGCCACCACAACAGCAGCAACAACCACAACAGCAGCAACAGCAACAACAGCCCCATCCTCAGGCACCTCCGCAGGGTTATCCTCAGGCCCAACCTCAGGGTCCTCCACAAGGTCATCCTCAGGCTGCTTACTCACCGCCGGTCGTCGATGCACCTCCTCAGAAAATGACGAAACGCGGGAGTTTCCTAACAAAACTAGGAGGAGGCGGCAAGTCGAAAAAGCCCGAGGAAAACGGCAAGCTGAAGGGGCACAAGAAGATGTTTTCCGACATATTCTCGCGCACCTCATCGCCACCCAATGCCTCCGGCGGCGGCGGCGGCCAGTCTCCCACCAAATTCGGAAGGCTGGCGAAAGCGGGGCTGGGCGGTGGAGGTAGTGGAGGTGCCCAGGCACTCGTCCAGCCCAGTAGCAGCGAACCGAAGATTTATGACCCGAAGACAGGACAGTACATGAGCTTTGACCAGGCGCTGCCGAGAAGCGGAAGTGTCAATAGCTATGGCGCCCCACAACAGGCCCCCGGTCCGTATGTCCCGCCGCCCCAGGAGTACCCGCAGTCCAGGCCGTCTATTGGCGGTTACTCCCAGCACAGCGGGTACAAACCGCAATCCGCGACTTACCCACCGGGGGTCCCGGAACAGCAACCTGGGTCGCAGCTGCAACCTGGGCCGCAACAGATACCATCGCCCCACAGTCCGGCGGGGAGTGTCCACGGCCGGCACACCCCGCTCGTGCCGAGACAGAGTATATCATATCCGCCTCCCCCATCGCCTGGGCAGCAACCGTCGCAGACAATCCCGCAGAACATGGCCTACCCGCCACCAGCTGGGCAGAACCAGGGCATGCCGCCGCCACCGTCACCGGGCAATTATCACCACCAGCCCCAAGGGCAGCCTTCAGCACATCCGCAGGACTACCCTGACCATCCCCAGCATGGCGCCCGGGCCAACGTCTCCAGCCAACAACAGCAGCAGCAGTATCGCGAGTCGCCATACAGCCAACCCCCCTACGCTGCCTCTCCAACCCATCCGCTCCCCGGCTACCAGCAACAGCCCAGCTACCAGCAACAATACCAGCCATCGTCAGGAGCCCCACAGCTTCCTCCACTGCCGTCCGGACTGGTCAGACAGTCGACGCAGAGCAGCTTGTACAATGCTGTCCTGGCACATCGGGGCTCCATCGCGGGGGCAAGAGGCGGGAACACGCCACCACCGCCGCCGCCGCCGCCACCATCGCAGCAGCAGCAGCAGCAGCAGCAGCAGCAGTATTCTCCTGCCCAGTTGCAACAGTCGGCCTATTCGCATTCGCGAGAGGCAAGCCCGCGGCTGAGCAGGGCGGGAACGGCTGTCAGTGATTATTCCGTCAATGAAGCAACGTACCCTCCGCCTCCTCAGCAACAGGCATGCCCTCCGCCTCCTCAGCAACAGGCATATCCCCCGCCTCCCCAACAGCAGGAATATCCCCCACCTCCCCAACAACAGGCATACCCTCCGCCGCCCCAGCAGCAATCATACCCTCCGCCTCCCCAACAGCAATCATATCCCCTGCCTCCTCAACAGCAAACATACCCTCCGCCTCCCCAACAGCAAATATACCCTCCGCCTCCTCAGCAACAAATATACCCTCCGCCTCCTCAGCAACAAATATACCCTCCGCCTCCTCAGCAACAAGTATACCCTCCGCCTCCCCAGCAACATCAGGAACAGCAGCAGCAGCATCACGTCTACACGCCGCAACCGCCGAGCGGGAACCGCGAATTCGGAGGGTATGCAGGCTACACCTCTCCAGTAGTTCCACCGTCGCCCGCATCCGCCGCCGGATCGTACCACACGCCGTCGCAGCAGGAGCAGCTCCAGCGCGCACAATCCGTCGTCTCTAACGCAACAAGTGCCAGCGGCTACGCCGCACCGCCGCTTCCGCAGCAGCCATTAACGTCCGCACACGCATCGTCCGCGCCCCAGCGCACCCACTCGGTCGTATCGAACTCCACGAGCGTCAGCGGCCTCAGCAGCAGCGGACCTGGCATCTCCCGGCAAGGCACGCACCACTCTTCGCTGGCGGCGCACGGCGAAGCTAGTTTGCCGTCGTCGGCGCATGGAGGGATCACTGTCAACCCTGACAACACGCCCGCAAGTAGTAATGGTGCGAACACACCGACCCTTGCTGCTGCTCCTGCTGCTGCTCCTGCTCCTTCTCTACCGACTGTGTTTGCTTCTGTGCCGACTTCTGTTTCTCCTCCTCCCCCGAATGCGCTGGTGCTGGGGCCACCCGCTAACAGCGTGGTTTGCGAGCCTGCGCAGACGTTCGGCCATGGTTCGATGCACAATAGCGACCGCCCTGCGGAAGTAGAGACGGTGGCTACTGTGGATACTGAGGTGGTGGTGGCGGCGGTGGCGCAGGAAGAGATGAATGGTAAGGTGGAGGAGATGGAGAAGGCGGTGGCGGTGGCAGTGGCGGTTGAGGCGAGGAAGCGGGAAGAGGATGTGGATGTGGATGTGGAAGAAGAGGCAGTCGAGGCGGTCGAGGAGGCGAAGAGTGTAAAGGGAGTGCTGGAACAGGTGAAGGAGCCGGCGGAGAATGTGCACAGCGTGAAGATACGGGATGTACAGGATCACGGGAAGGATGACGAGAAGGATGGCAAGAAGTATATGCACGCTAAGCACGATGTTCAGGGCGGGCAGGATGCACAGGATGGGCGGGATGGACAGGTAACGAGGGCCGAGGATGTTTCCATGGCAGTGGGAGTGGTGAACAAGGAGCTGGTGCAAGAGACAGCTCAGGAGCAGCCTGTCTCGGAGCCAGCGCCGACGACGACGGCGACGGGCAAGCAACTCCCTGCAGCAGCAGCGGCAGCAGCAGCAGCCGAACGATCCTCTCCAGAGCAGCCCGCCGAGCCGAAAGCGGTAATGATCGAAGAAAAGATCGCGGTGCACTACGAAGGCGACGACGGCAAGGAAGTTGTCAGCAACGGGCACTCACGGGGCCAGTCCGGGGCCGGCCTGAGCGACGATGGCGAAGGATACGCAATGAGTAGTACTGCGTACCCGGGCTCTTGGGAGCCGGCTTATTATGGTTGGAGCTGAGGGGTTGCAGCTTGGTTACTTCTAAAGTTTTACATTCTCTTGCTTCTGTTTTTTTTTTGGTGCGTTCCGCTCTGCGTCACTTTTGCCAATTCCCTTCTCTTTTGTCTTGCTTGCTTGCTTGTTTGTTTGCTTTGTTTGTTTTGTTGAGCGTGGCGATTGTACGTGCGTGGCGATTGTATGCGGGAGGATATACGTTTTGGGTCCTTATCTAGCGGTGCTAACAACTGTGCTTAATTGGTGTGATTTTTCTTTTTGTCGGTCGAATACTTTGTACACTACATATCGGAAGAAAGTTCTTGGATACCCTACCTATGATTATTTTTTGGCAATGTGAGCTGTGCGAGACTGTGAGACTGTGTGAGAACCGGTGGACGGAAATGGTGAGCGGAAATGGAAAATGGAACGGCTGAATGGGCTTCATGACTGAGAAAGTGAAATGCAGAGCCGCAAAGCTGCAACGACTGGGATTGACGGTTTGGCCTGGTTGAGTGGGTGATGTTGTTCTCGTCAACACAGGAAATAACCCCACGGAAGAACGGTAAAGTCTGGTAGGCTTTTCTCACGAGACCACCAAAATGATACAGGAGTTGCTGCGGCCTTGAACACCTAAGAATAACACTGAGTCGCTGGTTGCCGTGTCAAGGCCACACGGCAACGGATCCTCCCTCTTTCAGTGTGTAGAGTACTTTCGAATCCATTCCATTCCTCAGAAGACAAGAGAAAGCCGAGCTACTGGGGTGGGGGGTCGACCGAGAGATATACTGCTGAGACCGAATGGAATATTCATTTGTGAACACTCGTGCTGGGGGAGTGAGAGTGAGAGTGAATGGGACATTGCAGACCATTGGTAGTAGAGTAGAGAAGAGTGGAGTATTCTCAAACACCGTGAACACGCGCAACTCTGTACCATAGTAGAATCGACAAAACAGCCACGCATCCGAAAGAAGCAAAAACTAGGTATCCCATAGTACGATCACCCTTCCCGCTCACGGTACCGGTAGTTATATATATGATCCATCAGCCCCATGCCGGCGCAAGTTATTTTCTGCCGTCCAGCGGCAAGCCCGCTACTAACCAATACTAGTAGCTCGCGAAGAACAGCGGGGTAGCGCACGCCAATAAACTCGATTCTCACATGAGCCCTCAGGCCTGTTGGCGGGAGTTCACTAGATATATACCGTTTAGCGCGTTAATAGTTACTCCATTAGGTCCTAGTATGGTAGTTATCCGCGCCCGTCTGGGGAACCCCGGGGTGCGAGATGGGGGACTGGCCGCTGGGACACAGCATAGACGAGCTTGATTTTGGGTTTGGATTTGGTCTGTGGCATGGTGGGAGTTGGAGGGCTGCGTGGGTGGGGAATGGGAGGGAAGCGCACGTTACTGCGATAGCTGCGGAGTAAATCACTTGATACCTATTTACTGTTTTTTCTTCTTTTTGCCGTAACTTTGCTTCCTTGATCCGGATGAGTGGGAATGAGGGATGTATGAAACAGACAGACAGACAGAACCCTCGTGCGTGAATTTTCTAATGTACAATACAAGTAAACCAACCAACCGACCAATCGACCAACCAACAAAGCCAACGGACAGACCAACCAACCAACCAACGAACAGCCAAACAGCTGGACGCCCCGAATGAAAAGAGAACCTCCTCCGCCGCCGCCGAAAAAACGTACCCCCCCACGAACTCTCCTCTTCCCTCTCCCTCTAATTTTGTTTTCCAACCCAGAAAGAATAAAATGCTAACCGTCGTTAAAAGGATGATGATGGCGATATTGATGTTGATGATGTTGTACAGGTAGGGGCATAGGCATAGGCGTAGGCATGAGATGAGTTGAAGTTGAATTATGTGCGTGATCGATGATGAAAGAGGGAGAAATGACGACACTGAGTAAAAAAAAAAACCAGCCCGGAGATATTCGTTTTGTTATCTTTCTACGACTTACGACTTGACTTATGACTTCTCGCCCAGCAGGTGCAGGATCGCCTCGTACATGCCGAACATGATTGCCGCCGAGGGGACGACGCGGAGCTGGTGGGTGTAGTGTCAGTGGGTGCTGTGGATTTGGGGAGAGGATGGGGAGTAAGGGGGTATACCAAGTGCGGGCTCAAGCCGCCGTACATCGAGACGATTCCCTCCTCCTTCCAGATAGTGCGGAAGCACTGTAGGAGGCCGGTGTACTTCGGTCTCTCGCCGTTCATGGGTCTCTGTCGCATGCGGGTGCGAACGACCTCATGGGGGTAAGTGAGGCAGGCAGCAAACAACTTCGCGGTTCCAGCGGCACCGAGCTTTCCTCCGGTGTCCACGAACTCGTCCCAAGCGGTCATGGGTTTCCCGGCGTCGAGGATGTCGGCCTTGCGGCGGGCCAGGTACGTCTTCATGCGTTCGTAGAGGACCCATTGCAGCGTGCTCTCGGTGACGCCAAGGTAGCTCGCGGACAGCCCGCGGTACAGGCCCTTGACGCCTTCCTGCCGCACCACCTGCTTCACGCAGTCGAAGCTGTTCTTGTACTGGCGGCCGGCGCCGTGCGCGCCCCGCGCCGTCGCCTTGTCCAGCTGCAGCCGCGTCTTGACGAGCCAGATGGGGTTTGTGGCGGTGCCGGTGACGAGCCCGGCGCACGCGGCTGCGCACAGGTGCACCAGAGGGGTCTCCTTCCCGCCGTTGAACCGCTCCGCGATCAGCCGCTTGCCGTTTCCGTACGTGTAGAAGTTGATTGCGCGCGCGGGGACCACGCCGCTCAGGTTCGGCCCGAGCCCTTTGAACAGCCCGCGCCAGCCTTCTATCCTGTGCACGTCGCTACATGGGAAGAGGTCAGAAGACTGTGGGGGGAGCCGGGGGAGATGTGGGGCCGTACCCGAGGATCTGGAAGGTTTCCCGGAAGTGTTGCAGGCCCTGCTTCATGACGCCGACGGGCGCCGAGGAGCCAGTGCCTCGTCGGACGTCCAGCTGGTGCTTGTAGAAATCGCTCTGCAACCTAGTCTTGACGACGTCCAGCGGCGACGTCAGGAATGTTGAGGTCATACCTCCCGCACTAACACGAAATCATAATTAGCGAAGCGGACATGGCGGCGGCGGTGGTGGTGGTAGCAGCAGCCCGCTCCGTTCTCGCCGCATGGAATAGAGAACTTACGCTCCGGCGACGAAGTGGGCCCATGGTTTTGACTCTCCGGGGCGCAACTGGTGCGGCGGTTCGACCACGCCTGTCTCGCGGGATATTGGGATGTGGTCGGCGGCGGAAGGGGTCAATTCTGGCGGCGGCTTCTGCGCGGGGCCTGCTCGCACGGCCGTCATCGGAATTGTCTTGTGTGGGTGTTTTCTAGATCGCCGAGGATGGGGGATCCGGAATCGATGCGGGGTGCGGGGGGATACTGCTGCGGTGGTGGGGGTCGTGCGTGTGCGTGAAGTTCGTTTGGTGGGGTAGTTGGGTTGTGTTGGAGAGCTTGCGATAAAAAAAAATGTCGCCTGCGGAATTGTTTCTTTTCTTGTGTGACAGACGCTAAGCGCCACCGACTAGTAGACGGGGGCGCTTTCTGCGGAGCATCGACTAGGAACATGGAATATTTGCAAGCGGAAAACATGGCACGAGAAGCCTGATTGAGAGAGCAATCACTGGACAAAAAGAAAGACCAAGTGTAGAAATTGGAGAAGTAGCAAACTTTCCAGTGTGAGGTCTTGTCTCGTTCCGAATTTCTTGTACTTCTCTCTCTGCTGCTATATGGAGGAGCGGAGGCGAAGTTCAAGGAGATGGTCTGTGCGGAACCGTCAGCCACCATGTGAAATGCAGAAAAGCTTAAGCCACTGCCTTCACGGCGGATCACTCAGTGGATCATGTATGATCACGCTGGATCAATGAAGATGCTTCCGTAGACGTTCAGGAATGACGCAAAATAGCCTCGTAAGGCTGTATGTAACAATAGGATTTCCTGCAAAGAAAACGGGAGAGAGTGAAGAGAGAAACATGGCATCAAACGATCTATTTGTATCGAGCGGGAAAGTCTCACTGATTGCCATCTCATCACTCGCACAGCGTGGGTTCCCTACTCACAGGACCCCACGGCTCTCCGCAGCTGTGAGCGGCTTGGCTGCCCTCCGCTGTGCTCCCATCTGATATTCCCCGAGCAGACTCTAACGTCATGTCAAACTGCAGTCACTAGACAACTCAAAAGAGCGGCGCGCATTCGGTCACACACACTCGACTTCGACCCTTCCTTTCCTTCCCATTTCACACAACACAACCCCACAAACCCCACAAACCACCTTCACCACCTTCACCCACCTTCACCCACCTTCATCCACCTCCACCCATCTCCCTCGTCGTCAGTCTCTCTCTTACTGTTGACCTCTTCACCCATTTCCCTACCTCCACCCCCATACCTGTCGCAATGGACACCTCGTCCGGCGCTTCAATTGCCCCTTCCATTACCGCCATGGAATCCCTTTCCATCAATAGCTCTCTCAGCAAGATTGACATCAATGACAGTCCCATGGTCAAACAAGAGACTGTCAAAGAAGGGACTCTCGGAAAACAGACAGAAGGAGAACAGACCACTCCTGTCCGCGCTCCCATTCCCGCCACGGAATCCCCCTCCATCGCTAACACTCCCGTCGATGACACCAATGGAGCTGAGACCGTCGGACAATGGGCTCATCGTGAGGCGTTCGACTATCCGTCTCTCACAGCCACTCGTGATGCTGAGCTTCCCCGCTCGCAGCCTTACGGTGACTGGCTCGCCTCCGCAGAACGATATGAGTGGAAGGACGACTATGGCGACGTTGCTCCTCGCAACGAGGCGCTTGAGAGGATGCTTTTCGGTCTCGACGATGATGAGCCTTGCGGAGCTGGTATCGACTTTTCGAGGTATGTTTGTCCCGTTCTTGCTCTACTATCTAGCCATCGCCTCCAGTAATCGCCATCTGGATCGAACATGAGTATTGACTTTGATTGCGCTTAGGTTGTTCATTCTCAAGGTTCAAATCGATGGAACCACCAAGCCAAACCCCATCTTGGAGGTAAATCTCTCGTTCTGGTTGTTGTCCGTCGCTATTTACTGATGTCGTCTGTTTTACATAGTTCGCTGAAGCGGGTCTGCACCCCGTCATGCTTGAGAACATCGCGCTCTCCAAGTATACGAGGCCGACCCCCATCCAGCGCTACTGCATTCCTGCCATCCTCTCCGGATACGATCTGTTGTCATGTGCGCAGACTGGTAGGCATCCACACCTTCTCTCTCATTTGGTCTGTCTGTTTTAATGCTTCCCATCACAGGATCCGGCAAGACTGCGGCTTTCTTGATCCCTATCTTGTCCAAGTTGATGGGCAAGGCCAAGAAATTCGCCGCTCCCCGTCCCAAGCGCGGTGAGAATGTGAGCTACATTGCTGAGCCTCTCGTTCTGGTGATTTCCCCGACCAGAGAGCTGGCTACTCAGATCTTCGATGAATGTCGTCGCTTCTGCTACCGCTCCATGCTGCGTCCATGCGTCATCTACGGTGGTGCCGATAGCATGACTCAGCGCATCGAGCTCGGGAAGGGCTGTGACGTTCTGGTTGGGACTCCTGGCCGCACCATCGACTTCCTTGAGAAGGGTTCCGTCCTTTCCCTCAAGCGCCTCAAGTACATCGTGGTCGATGAGGCCGACGAGATGCTTGACATGGGTTTCGAACCTCAGATCCGCAAGCTCCTCCAGGCGAGCGACTGCAACCAGGATGATGACAAGCAGGTCATGATGTTCTCCGCCACTTTCCAGAAGCCCATCCGCCAGCTGGCTGCCCAGTTCTTGTCGGATGACTACATCCAGATCAAGGTTGGTCGTATCGGCTCCACCCCCGACAACATCACCCAGCACGTCATCTGGGTCGACGAGGACAAGAAGAAGCAGGCTCTCTTCGATCTCCTGTGCACTGCTCCTCCGGCTCGTACGATGATCTTCGTCAACCACAAGCGCACCGCCGACTCGATCGACGACTACTTGTACAACCATAAGTTGCCATGCACTTCGATCCACGGTGACAGGACTCAGCGTGAACGCGAGGATGCCCTGATCGCTTTTCGTTCGGGCAAGTGTCCGATCCTGATCGCGACCGGCATTGCGGCTCGCGGCCTCGATATCAAGAATGTGATGCATATCGTGAACTACGATATGGTTGCCAACATCGACGAGTACATCCACCGTATTGGTAAGTTCGACCATCCGTTGACAGCTGTTGTCTCGCAGAACTGATTGATGACCGCCGTGATAGGACGCACCGCTCGTATTGGAAACCATGGTCTCGCCACCAGCTTCTATAACGACAGGAACTCGAGTATTGCTCCGGACCTGGTCAAGATTTTGATGGAGAACAATCAGGACGTCCCCGATTTCCTCGAGGAATACAAGCCGACCGGCGAGTTGAATTTCGACGAAAATGATGACTCCGAAGAGTTGCCTTTCACGGCTGGAGCTGCCGCTGATGGTGGCGCTTGGGGCACGGAGGGCGCTGGTCAGGATCAGGATCTGAGCTGGTAAATTTACGGATGAAAATGTCTCCTTTGGGAGGCCGGAGGGGGGGGGATAGTTCTTGATTTGTGGCTTTCTTGGGCGGGTCATGTATGGCTTGGTTGAGTAGGTCTACGATTTCACGGAAGATTAAAGTTGTTGTGGCGATTGTTCGGTTTTCTTTTGTTTTCTTTCAGCTGGGTCTGGTAATGGTAGACGGTAGCCCCGTAAGTTGTGATCACTCATTGCGATTTGTGGTTGCTGTCCATATGTACTTGGATGGCTTAAGCGCGGCGACTGCACTAGGCACTAGTAATCTAGTAAAGTTCCTACATACCACACAGGCGAGATGAAAGTGCAAAGATGAAGCCAAAACATGCGGCGAGTGAAGAGTGAAAACTCTGCTGTAAACTCTGTTGTAAACGCTGTTGTAAAGATCGCTAACGGGTGACGGGCCGGCGGGGGAGGCGAATGATTCACTCCAGACTCGACTCGGGCCGAAGCCTAGGTCCAGACTCGACCTTTCCTTCTCCCGCGCAGCCACTTCTCCCGCGGGTGTACCAACCCACATATACAGCGCAGCAGACAGATGCTACCTCCCAACGGGATCGAATCGCTCTCAGGGACGTCCTCTGCTGCTAGGTCTGTGGCGGGGTTGAAGTAGAGCTGTGGTTCGGTTGTAGGTGGGAGGAAAGAAGGAGGAAAGCCGGAGCCAGCGGGATGGCAGTGTCTTATATACTCATTGGCAAGAGAGCTTGACTAGTCCAGCACATCAGTAATCAGTTAGACTTTCCTCTACCACGTAGAAAACGAGGCTAATATCGTCTTGAATGCACTATTCGCCGCGCGGAAACTTCCAGATCTTGTTGGCCCACGGGGTTGACTCTGTCTGCCTGGGGAGGTAGGGTTTACCTTTCACTCTAGATGTGTTTAATAACCCCACTGGATATCCGCTAGGAAGTAGATTGTAGAAATTGAGTTTCTGGACTTTTTTCGGCGACTGCAACCACTTGCTTTGCCTCATAGAAAAGAGAAAAAAGAGATTTGATTGTACCCTCCCCTAAAGTAAGAGTTAAAATACCGTCTTTCATGTTGGCTACATAACCCCTCACCTGAAATTTGGTAGCATTAGCCGACGAAGTGGATGATAAATAAGAGAGGTTAAGCAAGCATCGACCCTCGAGATGTCTGACCCATCAACCACACAAAATCTCCTATGCTCCCTCCTTCTCAGCCTTTGATTCCCACCTACCCACAGGACTCCACATTTGGGCATAAAGAGACCAGCGAAGGGCAAAAGACCGGCGGAAAAAATAATAATCAAAAATCAAAGCGAATATCACTCGAGAACGCCCACCACGAACCCACATTTGGCATTTGGCTTCCTCGTCGCCTCCAGAAGAGCCAGATACCCGTCGAGTTTCACCCAATTGAACGTTTCAACATATCGAGGCTCTTTCTAACTCTACTATAGGAACTTGATCTTTCCCCGTTGGTTCAATGCATGAGTCAGACCCGGTTCGAACAGATCAAGAGATTCTTTTACCACGTATCGCCACCTGGAATCGCCACCGTTCAATCCAATTCTGGAACAGCTTCACTGGTTTCGATTCCACGTGGCGATACGTGAAAGAATCTCTTGATTTGCTCGAACCGAGTCTGACTCATATATTGAACGTACGGGGAAAGGTCCAGTTCCTATGTACTTACGTTTGAACGACGAGGTCTTTGAGCCATTACTACGAGCATAGTGAGGTCAACTGACGGAGAAAGAAAGGTTAAGCTTTCATGCTGTACCGCTCGCGGCCTGCGATTCTTTACGCTGAATAAATTTCTGTGATGACCGAAACCTCGAGTGGTTGTACATGACGCACATTCGGATGCGCTCGTCGCAGTGGTGAGGTTACCACACCAGGGGCGCCGCAACTGGCGATACGGGCAGTCACAGTTGTATCTGAAATAGTTATGTTGAATGAGTGTAGGCTGGCGGTGGCTTTGGAACACTATTTCGCGGCGGACGCGATGGACAAAAGAAGCGAGAAGTTACCACAGTATGGGATCATGGTTTCCATGGCTCAGTGGTTGCCGCCACTGGCCAGTATCTTCTACTACATATCAGTGCCCGGCCCTCACCCACAGATCGTTACGGTAGTTTCACAAGCGATCACTCATCCTGCTTCGTGAATACGGAAGAGCAAGGGGAGGCATCCGGATCAAGCAAGCAAGCAAATGCTATCGCATCTGCTCCTGCGCTGTGCACATCCACTGTAAAGCTGACCCGGCGGGAGTGACCCGACGGAGACAGGCCTCCTTGAACCATTTTTGGCCGTTACAGCAGCTCATTTCAGCAGGCTACGACCCGGTCTCCTCGATATCTGCTTTGGCTCTCAATCGCGGCGAAGATGAAACCACCGACGTCCTGCCACGCACTTTCACTACGTCTGCGTATAAAAGAACGTAAGCTGCCGTAGGGATCACGATAGAAGGCCAAATGCATGGGCAGGTATGAACGCACTCATGAGGTTGCAGGCAGACCGGCGTGAATGCTCGTCGGAGTCACGGCCTATAATGCCATCCTCGATTTCCTTGGGGCCGTCTCAAGGAGGACATCGGAGGAAGACAAGGAGGGTATCGACGGTACCGTCGTTCCTGCCTGCCGCCATATCTTGCCTCAGCTTTTCGTCGACAGGTTGGAAGCTTGTTGTGATGAGGTACAATACCAGTCGGCCAGGCACAGGCGAGCTCGATTTTGCGGCGTTGGTAGACGACATCACACTCTGATAGATGTGAAGAGGGAGATGGTGAAGCTGGGTGAGGATAGTTGTGTGGAGCTACCTACTCTACTCTACACGCCGTCGGCATCGAAAAGCTACCGTAAGACAATCCGCATCGTACACCGATCATGCAGTGCCACAATACCAGTAGTAACACAGTGCAGAGTCCAAACAAACGTGCCTCTGTTTTTGAGATTTGCCGGGAACAGATTACTCGTAGCCTCGTAGTCTTTGTGGTCGCTACCTGATCCTTATCGATGCCCGCCGCTACGTCATCTAATTGATATCGATGGTAGATGTCGCAGTATGGTCCGTGCACCAGAGACGCAATCAACTCCCTCTTCGAACAAACACAAAATAGGATGACCGAGTGGGCAGCGGCACCGCCACCACCAGCCATCATCAGCCGCCGATGTTATCGCCAATAGATAAAATTGTTAGAAAACCGCACAGACGTTCTACTTCCACATTGTAATTTCATATTCTGGAACCCTCAGAACAATAACACATGGTGGGTGGTTGCTGCCGGGTAGGGTATAGAGATCACGTGTGGACACTCTACGGGTAGGGTATAACTCGAGATCACATGCGGGAACACTAACTTTATAGGGACACAGTAGCGCTATTTTGACACGTTAGCGCCATTTCAATGCGCTTGGAATGTTTACGACTCCACATAAATATCCATCGGTTCACACACCTCTACTTCTCTTCTTCTTTACTTCTCTACATCTCTACATCTCTACATCTCCCAAACACACAACATCCATCATCATCACTTCAGCCATCCGTGGCATACCTATTTCCTCACCTACCCGCGACTCCGATCCGATCGTCATTCATCGCAATGACGCAGCGATCCAGAGGTTGGTGAACCTTCCATCAATGCGGTCCGGCGGTCTTACACACACCGATACCATCACAGAATTTGTGTTGGTGTTGGCCTGGCGGTTTACACCGCCTTCCCTCCCTCCTTCCCCCTTCCCGACAAGTCGGGATCAACATAAGGACACCCCTTATGCCCACGATGGGCGATGGCGGTGTCCTTGTGGGGATTGTGGGTGGTGGATCTCAAAAGCAGACATCAATCCACCAAAAGGTACGAAGATTATCACATCCGATACACGAGAGGCAGAGGCAGGGGCTGACGGATTGACTGGTGTTCGGCAGAGGTCAGAGGATCGGCGCAGCCACGGAGGATGGTCGCGGCCGCAGATCATGGGCAGTAGCTACTACATGTGGTGGCTGCTGCTCAACATCTGCGACCACTACATGTGGTGGCTGCTGCTCAACATCTGCGACCACTACATGTGGTGGCTGCTGCTCAACATCTGCGACCACTATGTATGGTGGCTGCTGCAGCAAATGATTACATGCGACCATTATATATGGTGGTTGCTTTATATGATGCTACGTAGCCACTACATGTGGTGGCTAGCGCAGATGATCGAGATTATTCTCAGGATGCAGCAGCTTTGTGATCACGGGGCGCTGTGCGGAGAGAGGCTTGAGAGTCTCATGAAGCTTTCAAGTATCGACCGGGTGGAACTGACTCCATGCTGGAGATGGTGGGTTTGCATTCACCTGCTGGTTGTGGAATAGGTTGACTGACGGGATTAATAGGCTGTCGAAGCAGAGGAGGATTGCAGCATCGGTCTGCAGAGGGTGGCGGCAGCCACATGGATGATGTCGGCTGCGAAATCTGTCTGCAGAGGGCGGTGATTTATTGGGGAATGGAGGAGGACTGGAGATGGGCAGAGGTGGAAGTGGAGGAGGATTGGAGATGGGTAGATTTTGTTCTTTTGTTCATTCATTGATTGCATGCGACCTATCTAGATCATGGCAATATGGCAGGGGAGATGGGCAGAAGTGGAAAGCGGAGGAGAACTGGAGATGGTTCGAATGATTGCGGATGATTATAAGTACTTGAGGCGATTCGCTGCCGTTGATGACGAATGCCATTACAAGTGCTTGAGGCGATGCACCGCCATTAATGATGAATGCCATTTTGACTTGTCACCGACCGTTCGGAAAGGATTGAGACACAAGAGTGGCGTAACGGGGTGGAATATAAATTCAATCAATGATTAAACCAAGAAAGGTGGAATATAAATTCAATCAATGATTAAACCAAGAAAGGTGGAATATAAATTCAATCAATGATTAAACCAAGAAAGGTGGAATATAAATTGAATCAACGATTAAACCAAAAGTGGTCGAATATAAATTCAATCAATGATTAAACTAAAAAACGGTCGAATGTAAATGAGCGCAACGAGTTTAGCCAATCACAAGCTTTTTTTACCGACGACCCATGTGAACCCACAGCGAAAAACGTGCATATTGCCTTTCGATGGGGGTTGTGGATTGTGGATTGTGGGTTGTCGGCGTTATCGCCGCCGCCGCATGAGCATGAGAAGGAACGGGCAGCGCGAGCGTGAGAACGAATGGCGGCGCAAACATGAGAACGAACGCCGCATGAGCCGCAGGAGAACGGACGACAGCGCTCGACGTCGAACGGCGCGGGGTGCGGAAAGCGGGGCACGGAGTATGTTTGTACTCTGCAAGGCGAGCGGAACGCCAGGTTTGTTTTCTTCGTTTCTTCGTTTCTTCTTTTCTGCGTCATCGCGATTCTAGACTTCTGATTTTTTCCCCTCCGTCACAGGCAAGGCTGCCAAGCCGGGGCGGTGGAATCCGTGGGTGTGATTGGCCGACAGCCGCTGTGCTGGTCGTGAACTCGAACCGCTGCCGTTCATCGCATTCGCTTTCCGAAACCATCCACCCGAAAGCCCCTCCTCCTCCTTCTCCTCCTCTTCTTTCTCTCCCCCCCTCCCATCGATCCTCGCTCTCGCTGCGTCAGCAAATCCTTCCGCCCCGAAGTCTTGTCGTGGTTTGCCTCCGCTTTGTGCTTCTGTACGTCGATAACTCCGCTCTTTCAACTTATCGCTTGTCCCTCCTAAAAAAAGCCCCGTCCGCCCCTCAGCCTAGAAACTCACCCCTCATCTTACCAGATAAACCCTCCCTCCCACCACAACCACCAACAACAACACTTAACACACCCCACCTTGCTCTCTCCACCTCCATCCCACCACCCCGACCCCCCACGAAAAGGACTCCCTCCGATCACTACTACCGTACATATCATTGCCCGATTCCTTCGCTTTGAAGCAACAACCCTCAACCATGGCTGAACGATACATCCCCGAGCACAGGCGCAACTTCAAGGCCAAGCAGTCCTTTAAGCCCGATGAGTTGAGACGCCGCCGCGAAGAAGCCCAGGTCGAAATTAGGAAGGCAAAGAGGGAGGAGAGTCTTGCGAAGCGTAGAAACTTGGCCACCAACAGCCCCGCCCCCGGTGCCGTTGATAGCGATGATGACACCGCCACGGAGTCTCAGGTATGCTATACTCTCCCATCTCGATTGCTCGGCAGTTGTATCGGACACCACGGAGGCTGCCAGAATACCATGTCTCCGCGTTTGCGATGATGGAACATTAAGCCCTGTGTTCTGCTTCTCGCCATCGCTTCGATTCTTAGGCTAACAGTGTTATCCGCACAGTTGAACGAAGATCTCCCAACGATGTGCAAGGGCGTCTTTTCGGATTCGATCGACCAGCAGATCCAGGCAACCACAAAGTTCCGCAAGCTGCTCTCCAAGGAGCGCAACCCTCCCATCGAGAAGGTCATCGAGTGTGGCGTCGTGTCGCGTTTCGTCCAATTCCTCAACTCCCCCCACACCCTCGTCCAGTTCGAGGCTGCCTGGGCCCTGACCAACATCGCTTCCGGATCCGCCACCCAGACTCAGGTCGTGATCGAGGCCGGTGCCGTGCCCATCTTCGTGCAGCTGCTGTCGAGCCACGAGCCCGATGTGAGGGAGCAGGCCGTTTGGGCGTTGGGCAACATCGCCGGTGACTCCCCGCAATGCAGGGACTTCGTGCTGGGCGCTGGTGCCCTTCCTCCTCTGTTGAACTTGCTCGGCGATAGCCGCAAGCTCAGCATGCTTAGAAACGCCACTTGGACTCTTAGCAACTTCTGCCGTGGAAAGACTCCTCAGCCCGATTGGCAAACCGTAAGTTTGGAATCGGACCCATCTCCTCTCCGCCGGTCCGGTCTTGCTGCAGGTACTGATTCCGTTCTATCTTTAGATCCTCCCTGCCCTGCCCGTCCTCGCCAAGCTCGTCTACTCCCTTGACGACGAGGTCCTTATCGATGCCTGCTGGGCCATTTCCTACCTCTCGGACGGCTCCAACGACAAGATTCAGGCGGTCATCGAGGCTGGCATTCCCCGCCGTCTCGTGGAGCTCCTGATGCACTCGTCCACTTCCGTTCAGACCCCCGCCCTTCGGTCGGTCGGCAACATTGTCACTGGAGATGACGTTCAGACCCAGGTGATCATTAACTGCGGAGCTCTCCCTGCGTTGCTGTCCCTTTTGGCATCCCCTAAGGACGGTATCCGCAAGGAGGCATGCTGGACCATTTCCAACATCACGGCCGGCAACTCGACCCAGATCCAGGCCGTGATCGATGCCAACATCATCCCTCCCCTAATCAACCTCCTCTCGCACGGTGACTTTAAGACCCGTAAGGAGGCTTGCTGGGCCATCTCGAACGCCACCTCGGGAGGACTTCAGAAGCCCGAGCAGATCCGCTACCTCGTCAACCAGGGCTGCATTAGGCCTCTGTGCGACTTGCTCGGCTGCTTGGACAACAAGATCATTCAGGTTGCTCTCGATGGACTCGAGAACATCCTCAAGGTGGGTGACATGGACAAGAACAATGAGGCGGACAACCTCAACCGCTACGCCGTCTACATCGAGGAGGCCGGTGGAATGGAGAAGATCCACAACTGCCAGAACAACGCGAACGAGGAGATTTACATGAAGGCGTACAACATCATCGAGAAGTACTTCTCGGACGACGACGAGGAAGGTGCCGAGATTGAGGGACTCGCTCCTACCCAGGACCAGTCCGGTACGTTCAGCTTCGGTGCCCAGCAGCCGCAAGAAGGTGGTTTCAGCTTCGCCAACCCCACCAACCCCAACGGCGACTCGATGGACATGTAAGCCGTCCGGTCAAGTACGCATATGGGTCGGAAAATCGAAAGAGGAGACAATCTCGGACCGGGTGATAATGGCTTTCGATTTTTCTCTTTTAGTATTACGGTCGATTTGTTTTTCTAGGTCTTGGTTTTCCCTGTTTACTTGAATGTCATTTTCGGCCTCTGTTCTCGGATAAACTCATTCCTGTTGTGTGTTATCCATCTTGTAACGCTTACTCCCCATCCCCACCCATCGCCCACTAGAAATCCCCCCTCAGACTCGTACCACCACAATTCGAATCCGCCCCTGTCTGCTACAGAACTTCCCCACTACCCCCCATCACCATTTCACTTCTCCAATTGTAATTTTTTTACGAATGGACGAAACTCAAAAGCATGTATTTTCCTGGTCAATTCTCCTTTTGTTTTCATCCTTTTTTCCCCCCATGGTTTGGCGTAATTGTTGTTCTATTGCTCTCCTCTGTTTTTTCTAGTTCGGTTCGGAATGGTGGGCTGTTGCGGATTGTTTGTCTGTTTTTTTTTCTTTCGCTCGTGCGTTTTCTTTCCGCCATCGGATCAATAAATGGATGTGTTGTCTGGTGAATCGTGATTTCCCGTGATGGGAAGGTGATGGCTGAAGATGGCTGGTGAGGGGAAGGTGTTGCCTAGGAGGGGAATGAGTGTTCTGCTGTGCTGTGCGAAGGGAACTGGATCTGGATCTGCGCGCGCGCGGGAGGTGAATGTATTACCAACCTCTATCTATTGCTAACCTATTGATGTGATGGTGACGATGGCGATGGCGATGGTGGCCATGGTGATACCTACGGACGAGTGTTGTGACCTGTGATTTATGGCTTGTGATTCTCGCTCGTTAGTTCGGCTTGATCGGCGCCTTTTGTCCTAGTATATACTATGTAGGAGTGATCCCTCGGCTCCAACGGCGGTGGTCCAGTATGAAGAAAGCTGTTTCGGCCGGAAGTGCGCTTGCTAGCGAAGCCGCGGGATAAGCTTACGAGCTTGCGAGTATGGTACGGGGGGAGAGTTTCAGTGGGTGTTGTAGGACATCACTCGCTCGACGAGGGTGCCACTGAATGGTTTGCCGCTAAATGTATGCCGTTGAATGGATGTCGCTGAGTGGTGGGTAGTGTCGACGAGTGATTCACTCTTCAGCCTGGTGTCTCATCCGCACTGCATCTTGATCACCCGTTCAGTGGAGGAGCAGTGATTCCGCACCACCCTCGTAGTATCACTCGCTGGACGAGGGCATGCCGCTGAACGGCAGGATAATCTCGACGAATGATCGCCAGCGCGGCTGTAGCGCAGTGTAGTCTAGTCTATATGTACACGAAGGATGCAATCCCACTCCATAGCAGCTTTCCAGTCTGCACTGCTTACCACATTGCCGCGCGAAGTCTTCGTTAGCTCTACACAATACATAGTTCACAACGTTATCCCGCGAATCGGTATTCTCGCAAACCCCATCGTCTTCACAATACCGTATAACAGTGACGGATCGTTTCCGAAGGCTGACGCAATACGGCACCGTCTACAGTACCTAGCCTGCCTAGAAATGCAGCATTTAGGGAGGCTATGAGCTCCGTGCTTGCTATTCACACTCGCAAATCCTCGAACCTCCGGAGTCCGAACCACGCCTGATGAATGGGAACGAAAGACGCGAGCGAGGTAACGTGAATATATAGGTAGCCCACTCACTCGTTGCTTCTTCCTGCTCTGGCCACGTCCGTAGAAATCGGTTTAGCCACTCTGTGCGGCCGGTGAGAAGTTATGAACATTGAAGGCCAGCCTCTGCGGGACAGTATTATATTAGCTCGTGTGCTTGCAAGTTGCCATTCACAGCCGCAAATCTTCGAACCTCCTCACCACACCTGTGACCTGACGAATGGCAACGAAGACTCGAGCGAGGCAACGTGAATATATAGCCCACTCACCCACTCACTCGTCGCTTCCTCTACCCACCTATTCCCATTCGCGCCCTGAACTTCTCACGCCATCCACGTAATCGCACTATGTATTGTAGGTACTGTACTACCTATGGCGCCGGTTGATCATCAACTCGCTGCCCTGCCCAGTGCCCACACGGTTGAATGCACCAGATATCACTCGCACAAACTTTCACCGATGGGAGAACTATTTTTGAACCACGGAAGCTCTGGATGACTCTCTAGTGGCCAGACACCCCGTCATTGGTATGCAGACGGGACTCGAGAGCTAGAGGTGATAGTTATGTACTAACTCGCTCTATAGTACTGTGGCCATTGTCACGTGCGGTTGAGGCTGCATGCTCCAAGCCTCAGTGGCGCTGTGTGGTGCGTGCGGTGGCTGCTAGTTAGCATGTGACCAAGGCTAGTCATGTATATAGTAGCAGTGGAGGCATCAACATAGCAGAATAGCAATTGGCAGAACGAGCAAGAGCTAGAATGGAGGATGCAGCAGTATGTAGGAAGAGAAGGATGAATAGCAATGGTGAGACTAAACGAAGACCGAGAAGGAGTACGATGCAGAAACGACGGAAGCCCGGGCCTCGGGGAGGGGGAGGGCGGGGGGTTTATACTAAAACATTCCAAGCTATTCTGCACATCGACAAACAGAGACTTCCCGTCTTCTCGACTTGATCTGCTCCTGCCTCCCTCCCTTCCTACGTAGTACCGTCGTGCGGGGGATGGAGTACTTGACCGAATGACGAGAAACGACAGAGAAGCCTATGAAAATCTCCGGTTATCATTGACGTTGCTCAGAGGCCGCTCTCGAACCATTCACTCCCTCTCCCTCAACCCTCGAATCAAATATGTAGGTATGATATAAAGATTCTTCCTATGTATCAACGCACAGGAAATCCACAAACCCCACAAACCCCACAAACCCCACAAACCCCACAAACCCCACAGAACCCACAAACCTCGCCGTCCACAGCACAAAGCACTCTCCATTCTCCATATACCAATGTGCTCTTGCCGCGATGTGGATCCCAACAAATGCCTGAACCCCCCGAGAGCCAAAGAATAAACACCCCTCCGACGTCCGTGGCGGACCTATACAAGACGATACAAGACGATACAAGACGATGCTCATCCAACGCAGGCAGCGAAATAATAAAAAGTCGTAATTTCATGACTACTCCCAAGTCCCAAGTCCCAAGTCGCGAGTCCCAGAGCTACACAAGTTACCCGTGACAGAAAAAGAAAAGAAAGAAAAAAAGTAATGCACCAGATAGGCTGTGTAAGATTTTTGTGCGTATGATAGTTAATGTCATCACAACCGAAGTAGAAAGAAGTAGAACCACCCAAAAAAAAAAAAAGACAAGCGGCGCCACGAGATAATAGGAAATTAATAAAAAGAAAAAAAAGAAAAAAAGAGAAACAAAGCTCAGAGTTTACTCCTGATGCCCTCTAGCCGGAATTTGACATCCTTCAGAGTCTTTGACGTTGGCTTCCAGTTCTCAAACTGATCGAGCAGCTCTGCGCACTCGCCCGATAGCCGGGTTCGCACGACTGTCTCCTCCAACATGCCTCTCAGGCTCCACGGAAGGAAGTAGGGATTGCTGTTTGCTGCCAGTTCGAAGGGCGACACCCTAAGCGGCACGTCGGGAGTGCAGTCTGTCGTCTCCAAAGCATGGCGGACACCGAGACTGCCGGAATTCATTAGCCGCGGAACCGTGCACAGTGCACGAAGATAACTTACTCGTATACTGCGTGCTCATCGTAGACCGACGAGTGGCCTTGTCCTCCGTACAGACTGCCAGCCAGCGATGAGCTCAATTCCCGAATCAACCCGTGATCTGGAACGCCGAGATTCCTCAACTTCATGGCGAAGCCGACTAGGTGGCTCAGGAAATCCGGTGCATGCACTCTGCCGTCGACGAATACCGCCCGGTATATGTACGGATGCGAGATGTTCGTGATGGTGGATGACTCCAACGGAACCAACTGATCGTCGATACTGCCAACGTACAGGATCCGGATGTGGTGTGCCAGCACGGTTCGTAGGGCCCGAATATACTCCTGCGAGACTTTGCTGTCCTGCTTCTGGAATTCGAAGAGCTCCCGAGCGGACCCGGTCAGGAGGGTCGTAGGTAGGTGCCCAAAGGGCCCCAGGTTGATCCCCGCCATCGCCGTGAACCCTATCCGCGCGTTGTCCACACACCCTTCCTCCACCATCCTGGCGAGCAGTTGCATGCCGACGATCACTCCCTGCGAATGAGCCGCCACCATGATGAAATCCGCATTCCGGACGTGGTCCATCCAGTTCTGCAGCAACCCCCAGAGCATTTCGACCCGGTCGGCCACCTTTCCTTCTCCTTCGAGGGCGATCTTCTCGACCTCCACCTCGATGCCGTTCTGTTCCGCCCACCGTTTGATCGATGCGGCTGCGTGACTAGCGAAGCGGACCGATGTTCCCGTCGGCTCCCCCAAAACGGTGCGCACCAGTCTCATGGGAAAGAAACCATGAACACCGATGGCCACTGCCTTCTTCACCCGCCGAGGCTTCGCGATGAAAAGGTGATCTTTCGACGGCTCTTGCTTGGGCTTCAAGATTTTGGTGAATCGCTTCAATATCGAGGCCGGTGGGTCGGGATGCGTGTAACAGCTGTCGAATGTAGGCAATACGTGGTTCTCCGGGAGCATTTTCTGCACATTCTTCCGGGCGGCACTGGTCTCGGCGATGGCCACTTCGCTGGCGGATAGAACCTTTGGTTCGCTCGACAGCTCCGACTCGATCTCCTCTCGGCGCAATGTTGAAGTTGATGTCTTCTTCTGAGGTGTCGGAGGAGCGGCAAGCTGCTTTACCACCTTGGCTTTCTGAGGGTTGGTCTCGGAGTCGGTCCCGGCAATGGCAAGCTCTCCTTCAGCCGCTGGGATCGCATCCTCCGTGCTCGCATCCGTGGCCGTGGCCGAAGACCAGAAACCCCAGCCATAGCCATAACCGTAACCGGAGCTACTGGGAACTGCAGCTGTTGCACCAACCTGCTGGGCCACTTCCCTAGCGGTCACCGGTTCCGGTTCAGCCACGGTAACGAGTGTGGGCACCAACTGTTCCCGTGTTGCCGGCATTTCGACTGGCGAATCCTCAATGGCTTGCTCGCCGCTTACCGTCGGCGTCGGTGGTACAGGGGTATAGCCGCTACCCCACAAGCTGAACCATGATCGAGGTTGCGCCGGTGTTGCCGTGTCGGCGATTAGTGCATCTTCCGGTTTCGGCGCAGGATCTTCCTGCTGTGTAGTGGTGGCTTTTTGCTCGTCCTCCTCTGTCACCTGCACCTCCGGTGCCATTGTTGCCTTCAGGGCTTCCTCTGCGGACTCGGCGGCCTTGCAGCTATCGGGCTCCGTGGCGGGAGGTTGTTCGGCTGGTGCTGGCGGCGCTGGCTGGCCGTACCACCATCCTATCCACCCCGACGAAGCAGCGGGCTGGGCATTCCCGGTCGCATCGCCGGAAGCTTCCTCCGGCGGCGCCGGCTGTGTTGGTGCCGTTTCCACCACCGGCTGTGGTTCCGGTGTCGGTTCACGGGCGGGTGCCTCCTCTGGCAGACTAACTGCGGGAGGTTGGGTGTAAAGCGGCGGGGGTTTCGTAGCGAGCGAGGTTGTCGACGCGTTCCGGCTTCTCATCTCTTCGGTCAACCGTGGGTGAGATTTCTTACCAGCGATGGACGGGGCTCGACCGGGCGAGAGTACCAGGGTACCGGTAGCTGTGTCCTCCAGCTCGGCAACACCTGCCGACGAAGCGTTTGAAGATTCCGCGGAAACGTAGTCGCAAACCGGTGTAGGCTTCCGTGGCGCCGTCCGCCACGTGCTCTTCCTGGCGAACCAATACGACCGTGCGGCGGGCGTATCTGCTCCAGCATGCTAGAGAAAGAAAAGAAACCCGATCAGCTTGTACTCTTTCACCCTAACCGAACGGGGGTAGGTGACATACATCAGCAGGATCGGGCTCTTTGGAAGGAACCTCTGGGTGGGAGGTGGTGGAAGTAGCAGTCGTGGCAGCTGTCGTGGCGGTAGTCGAAGAGCGTGCTGCAGTGGATCTCAAGGACGAGGTGCTCGATTTGCGGATCGGTCCGGACGAGAGAGTAAAGTCTTCTGGAAAGGACGACTCGCCGGCAGCATAAACCTTCGAGACCGAGCTGGCGGGCGAAGGAGATCTAACGGGCGTAGGAACGCCACTGGATAGCCGCGAAGGAGCGCTGTCGCGTCCGTTCTTCTTCTTCTTTGACGATTCCATAGTGCTTCACTGGACGACGGTGGCGGTGGTGGTGGGCGTCGGTGATTGTGGGAAGCTGGCCACAAGCTCTGGGCGAGGGGCGGCTCTGGGGGCAGCTGACGCAACCGAAGTACTGGTACTCTGGAGTGGAGAGGAAGATGACGACGATAGATGGCGGTCTGCGAAGCGAACGAAGGAAGGTTGTTGGACGTCGGGCGGTCGTGTTTATGATCGGAGTGCAGAGGTCAAGAAAGAGGTTGGAGACGTCTTTCTTTACGTTCGCTGGCAGTACAGGGGGAAAAGTTCGGGTCGTGATGTGATGCGATCGTAACAGGTATTGGGGGCCGAGGATGGCTGGCGGTGGGACGGTGTTGGCCGGGATGGCTGTTGGGCGCAGAGAAAGAGTGCGTACAACCATCAACCAACAGGGAGCCAGAGCATGCGCCATGGCCGGCCAAAGGTTATCAGCTACTCAACTCTGGATCTACATCTACATCGTGGCTATCCGTACTACATACAGGCATCGACGGGGCGGCGTAATTGTCCGGTACTATGGTAGGTGACCTTCCACGGGAGAAGGTTCCTTCGTATGTAACGGATACTAGCTGAGCTTCTGACAGATAACGTGGCCATAGTTACCGTGAGCGCTGATATATAGCTCTCCGTGATTTGCTCCGCACCACGGGCATCGCTTGGTCGGTTCGTGTCCTCAGGTACTAGTACTGGTACTAGTATAAATAGTACACACACGATGGCACGTTGGTCGGGTCGGGTTTGTACAGAAATCCAGCAACTTTCCCGAAGCGGCGAAGGCCATGGGATTTCTGGATTCACGGTGAAGAACTCTGCGCACGTCGGCTAGACTGTTCTACAGACGGCCCAATACTCCTCCTCAGACGTCGATGTTCTCTCTGCTGTCCCTTCGTATCGACGCTGTGGAAGCCGTCGATCGCAGAGGCAGCGCTGAGGTGGCACTTTAGAGGACCGACGCGGACAACACCACGGGAAATCTGCAGGCCAGTTCGCGATCACCGCCCGCCACCATCGCAGTTGGTTAGTGGGCCACGCGCCTGATATCCGCGGCGAGCACCAGTGCCTCTCGCCTGATCGGCGAGTCTAGCAGACACAGCCGACGCGTTTGCGCCTGCGCTATTGAAACCAGCGGGGGATCCTCGTCGGGCGATGTCACGGTTGAGACAGCGGGGGTAACTAGAAGTCGGGAGTTGGGTACACACGTGAGCCGGCCAATACGACGTCTCCGTTTGCCTTCCTAGTACCAGGTATGCACTCTGGCGAAAGGATGGGAAACAATTGCCGCATCCATCGGGTCGTTTCGCCGGCCACTTGCATGGCTTGTTGTCCGAACTGTGTAGGGGTGCGCATTGAATCCCTTATCACACACTTTTTTTCTTTTACATATACGGTGTGGTATTCACTGGTCGGAAAGTGTATACGCAAAAGCAGTTTGGACAGCTAGGTAGTATCCAGAGGAGATGTCTTACAGTCCTGCAGACTTCACCCTCGGATTTAGAAGCTGGTAGGCGAATCTGTTCACCACGGCCAACCAGCTGCTGGGGCCGAAATCGCAGAGACCCCGGCGGGCATCCCGCCATATGTCTCAGTTGTTCTCTGGGGCTTGCATGCCCAGCAAAACTCTGCACCCAGAGTGTAGCCAGTGATAGCCTATACGAAGCCCGATCCCCACCGCCAAAGCTCCCAGAAGCAGTCTGCTTGCGGAGCAGTCTAGTTGCGGGCTTGTCACCGGCTCCGACCGAACCCAGGTCGGCAGGGCACCACCATCATCAAGGCTGAGCCCACCCGCTGCCGAAGAGACAGCGGGTATGTAAGTACAATCTCGGAGCTGCCAGATCGATGGGATAAACTCTCCGAAATTGTGACGAACAAACACCCATGCATGTCCGATCGATCGACCTAGTGCTCGCCGTTCGCGCGAGGTTGCTCAGCATCCTGCAAGCAACTACCGGTACATAAACTACTAGGTATGGACATACAGTGGGGCCAATGCTTCCCCATCCCCCCACGCGCTCTAGAGACAAGAACAACTACAGTTTCGTCACAAAAACCACCGACCGAGTTTGGTAGGCGGTCTATTTCACCACTTGAGGCTTCAAAAGCAAAAGCTTCCAAAGATCGGAATACGTGGCCGCCTGAGAACGATGAACTGAAACGCCACTTCTGCGCGGGCGCCAATGCGGGCTGCACTGCAGCACGCTCGCACGCTTGCATGCCGGTACCGGAATGATCACTGTCTCTATTATCCTTTGTTGTCGAACCTGGCGGACCTGGCGGGTGAAAGCGGTTGAACCTGGAGAATGGAGGTTGGAGGTTGGCCCGAGATGTGGAGTCCAGGGTGCCAATCATACATTGTCACCCGCGAAGATCTGCCGCGGCAAAGTGCTGAGTGGGGAATCGTCGAGAGCAAATGCGAGAGTACAGCGCCGCCCGGTGCGGGAGAGAACTGGGATCCCATAGAGAACAGGTGGTGTCCGGCCCATAGGGGCGTCCCCGGAAACGAAAAGGCCGACGAATGGGACAAACTGGCAGCCGGAAACCGGTATGTCCGACCAACCAAACTGTGCGCTCCAGCGACTACAATTCCAACTGCCTGTGTACACTCATAGTGAAGAATATTGCGGGTCCGGGCACTGTCTAACCGGCCACTACCTCCAGTGGGCAAAGAGCCGCACCGACGCTCGGTCTCCGAGTGGGAGCTCAGGGAGCTGGGGGAGAGACAGGCGGAGAGGAGGAGGAGGAGGCGAGAGGAGGAGGAGGGCGCTGAGGCCGAGAAGCCGGGGCAACTCTCACTGTTCCTCCTGGAGCCCTCCTTCATGGCATCTCCTGGTGAAGAGGCAGGGAGCGAGGCGGTGTGAGGAGCGGACATGGAAACGGAGTGTGTATATTGGCATGATCGTCGCATGCAATCCATGATTAAACAAAAGAAAAGGAATCATCTCCATCACCTCAAGTACCAATTATGCCCATCACATTCGCCTGTAGATAGCTCTGTTTTCCGTCTGTGTATTCCGATACGCTAGTGCCGAGACCTACGGCAAACCACATCAGGCGTCTCAACGGAAGTAAGCGCGCGTTGAGTTGAGATGCGCATCGGTGTGACCCTTGTCCTCTTTACGCGTCTTCCCATCCAAACCCGTCTTCCCACATGCACCACCACCCTACCGAGCCCACAAACCGCGACGCGCCATGTCCCAGCCTTCACAGTCATCACCGCCTCCACAGCGCACTCTAATCTCCCTCAAAACCGCGTTACTCAAGGCGTCCGGTACATTCGTCGATGTCGTGGGCGTGGTGGTCGACTTCCTGCCACCGACGACGACGCGGAATGCAGGTACCACTCTCTCACCAGTGCGCGTCCTCACAAACGCCCGCCTCATCGCTGACTCGCGCGCGCAACAGACTACATGATGACCTTCACCGTGCGGGACCAATCTCTACCTAGCGACTCTCTCGGCGTCAAGGCGCGCCTATTCTGCAGCAGCGAATCGCAGCTGCCCGCCATCACCTCCCCGGGCGACATACTGCTGCTCCACAACATGAAGACGTCCATGTTCCGCGGCGAAGCCCTTCTCGTCAACGACAAGGCCACGTTCGCGTGCGTGCTGGCACGCCGCCCCCCTTCCGCAAATATTGGGCTGCCGCCGATACACTACCCTCCGTCGGCGAAGTTCCCCATCGCGCCGGAGCACGGTAAGGTGATGGCGAGGCTCCGTACCTGGTGGTCGAAGGAGGGTCCGAGCGACGGTGCTGCGGTCGGCAGCGAGCAGGTGACGCAGGTCGTGGCTGCGTCGGTGTATAAGCCCCGGGACAGGTTCAAGCTCGTCAAAGATATGATGGCGCCGCGAGCGCTGCGGAACGGACGGCCGATCGGGAATTACTTTGACATGGTCGGCAAGGTGGTCAAGACGTTCAACGGCAGCTATGCGTTCGAGCTGTACATCACCGACTACACGGAGAACGAGTATCTGTACAACTACGAGCGCGACCCGGACGACGACGGGCAGCGGCTCGCAAAGTGGAGGGGCCCGTGGGGGAGGTATACGCTGCAGATCTCGCTGTGGGATATCAACAAGAACATGGCGCCGGATCTGATACGGGAGGGCGGGTATTTGTTCGTCAGGAACTTATGTCTCAAGTTCGACGTCCCGATGAAACGCTTCGAGGCCTCGTTGAACCAGGATATGCAGTACCCGGACCGACCGGATTTCGTGGTCATCACTAATATGGATGATCCACGGGTCCGGGCAATCCAGCAGAGGGAAAAGGAGTATCTGCGGCGCCATGATATCGAAGAGGAGCGGCGGGCGGAAAGCACGCAGCGAGAAGCGGCGGAAAAACGCAAGGTGGAGGAAGAGGCCACACAGAAGGAACTAGAGCGACTGAAGGAACATCAGCGGGCGAAAGGGGATAACGAAAACGTGCAGATCGTGAGATCTGAGTGGCCAGTTACGCTGATCGGCGACATTTTGGAGATGGACCTAGGCGACCGCTTCTACATGAACCTGAAATACCACATCGTGTGCAAGGTTATCGAGTTCAAGCCAGACAACCTAGCGGACTTCACCAAATTCGAGGTTCCGGAGGGGTTTTCGAAGAAACGGTGGAGGTGGCGGTTCGCGTTGCTGGTGGAGGGGAGAGACGGCAACGTCATGAGACTCATCGTCATGGACGAAGATGCCGAGTACCTCTTGAAAATGGAGCCAACCAAGTACGAATGCCCCACCCCCCGCTTCGCTGGTTCCGACTCTGAGTCCGAGTCCGGTGGCTAACAAACAATACTAGTCTGCGGACGTATCCCGAAAAGCTGGATGAGCTTCGCGAGAGGCTGACATATCTCTGGGGCAATCTCGAGAAAAGACAGGCCGGCGAGCTGATAGAGCCTGCGCCGGCAGTGCCGCCTGCCGCCCCCACACCGGATATCGAGGAGGAGGAGGAGCAGCAGCAGAACAGAAAGAAGAGGAAGAGGAGCAAAAAGAAGAAGAAGGCGGCGGCCATTGTCGAGTCGAACAAGAGGACAAAGACGGAGCACGACAGCGCGGAACCGCAGATGCCGCAGCTGCGTCCGGAAGACGAGGAAGCAAAGTTCTTTGACGCCTGCGCCAAGGAATACGGACACGAGGCGGCAGATGGCACGAAGCACAGGATGTGGAGGATCTTTGAGACTGCTATCAGGACTGAAAGGGACAGTGAGTGAGTGATGAGGCTGTTCGTCTCAGTCGTTTTGGTGTTGGCGTTTGCTTTATCCCCCGGGGGCGTTCGTTCATCATGGGTTTTACATAGCTCGTGTAGAGTTTGTCTGGCGTCTCCTTCGTATGCAGATATCTTGTGATTGAGTCTTCAGAGGAGTACTCTCCAAGCCTAATGCCGCAAGCCTAATATCAGTCGTAAAATGCAATTGAGCTGCTGTACTGGCCTGTACGTACATCTTTGTGCCGTGGCCGCAGTTCCGAACCTAGGTTGACCTTGATGGTATGACAGCGTAGAGTGCGGTACCGGAGTCTCTGCGTCGCCACACACCGTACCGGCCGCTACATACAACCACGTCCACCAGCGGGTCTATGTACACGGCCGGGATTTATCCTGGTAGTTCCGCAGTGTTCGAGCGTGCATCATGCGGCATGACTCGGCTCCACGTGGGCAGCGACTACCTAGATGATCAACCAGTGCCATACAGTATGTACATATTACAAGTGCTTGGATGGCTGGAGAAGTGTAGAGTTCAATGGAACTACATAAGCAAAAGAAGCGATGAGTGAGCGTGCTATTCGCGTTGCGTCGTTCGAGTTTTTTCATTCTCACTCATCAGGTGTGGTTCGGACTCTGAGGGTTTCACGATTTGCGACTGTGAATGGCACGCACAAGAGCTACTAAGCTAGCGATACCTCACTCTCATAGTCACAGAGGCGGGTCTTCATGACTTCTCGCAGGGTGGCTAAACCGTCTCTACGGACGTGGCCCGGGCAAGGAGAAGATACGACTCAGACGAGTGAGCGGGCTATTCACGTCGTCTCGCTCGAGTCCTCATTCCCATTCACCAGGCGTAGTTCCGAGATTCCAAGATTTGCGACTGTGAACAGCAGGTAGAAGAGCTAATACTGCCTCGCAGAGGCTGGCATTCATCACTTCTCACCGGCCACATGATGTGGTTGAAACGGCTTGACGAGTGAGCGTGCTATTCATCTTGCGTCGCTCGAGTCTTCATTCCCATTAACCAGGTGTGGTTCGGACTCCCAACGTTCCAGGATTTATGACTGTGTATAGCTAGCACAAGAGCTCATACTGTCTCCCACATGCTGACCTTCACTGTTCATAACTTCTCACCGACCCCACATCGTGGCTGAAACAGTATCTACAGCCGTATCTAAGGATAGGGTAGGTCGCTACCAGGACAGGCAAACTCCAAGTGCAAAGCCTTGAAACCTCTAACCGTAGCACCCAGAGTCCCAGACGCCTTCCGCCGTATAGTCGCAGTACCCCACTACCCCTCTGTCGCAAGGCAGGGCGGGGCGGGGGCGTCACTTGAATAACTTCATATTCTCCATTGGCCAAAGTTTCAACCCGAAGAAACAGCCGGAGGAGTGGAAGTGTGGAGGAGCGGAGGTGGGGGGAAGCCGCCGGGAAGACGAGCGCCCCTGTAGGATGTCACTCTGTGACTGTGAGCTATATCTGTTGTCGGTCCTTGCTTACTATACTATCCATCAGCATCTATTTTCTCGCGGGGCAGACACCCTGGCCGGCTACGGAGTGCTTGTGGTCGTCGGCGAAGACTGGCCGAGACGATGAGCAGGACCCAGCAGATTGCCCGTAGCTGCCATACGGTAGTCGGAACGGGTCGCACGCGGTAATGGAGAGAACAGCAGAAAACTCCTCGGGTGCTGTCAGCCATCCCGAACGATTGGAGGCTTCCCCTCGCTTACAAAAGGCGGTTCCGATCCCCGGAGACGTGGTCGGGGAATGAATGTAGTCCCGAAGGCTGGAAAGGGTTCTACTCAAGCTATGTAGCTTCTGACACCTCGACGATCGCGCAAGCTAGACGACTAGTTGAGACGTTGGGCATGGGATTCCATCACGGGAGGAGGCGGAGCTCAACCCATCACCGTCCGAGTTTCCTCACTGCTCTCCGCCGTCTCCCACACAGCACTGCAACCGCGTCAAGTAAACAAGTAGTTCACACAGGTAAAGTAAGTTCGTTGAGATCTGTGAGAGCATCGTAACAAAACGTAAACCCCCCCTAACAACTAAATCCCACACGCCGGTCCCCGCGTTGTCCCGTCCCGACCCGTCTATAACAGAGAAAGAAAAAGAAAGATTGAACCGAAAAAAAGAATCGAACCACACACACCTAAACCCCAGAAAAAAACAACCCACATAAACCCCAGACTGGAAACCCAAACGCAAGACCGACCGGCCTAGAAACAAAGGAACAAAGGGAAAAGAAAGACATAGCAAGAAAATCCGGGGCTCGAGTTGGTCATGTGTGAAAGCACGAGTAAATGTACCATCAATCATCGTAGAAGCGAACTATGGAAGGGTGCTCATTTAAAAGGCGTTGCACAAAGGAAATCGTAACGTCGGCGGTGGAAAATGCCACACGAGCGCATTACCCGATCATTCGAGTGTCAACACATTCGCCCTGAAGATAACTAGTTAATGCTCTGCTACATCGTAATTGGCGATAAGCGAGTTGCGTTCGAGCACATACCTTCGGAGCACCAGCTCCAGACTGTCGGTGCTGAGGTTGCGTCCAGGGGGGATCTCGTCGACGATGCGGATAATGTTGGCGAAGAGCTCTCCGGCTTTGTACGCTAAAACCGCAGGAACAACCGACGCCTCCATCTCGGCCTCGACATGGTGCAGCTTCACGAACCGGGTTGTAGGGTAGCGTCGGCACAGGGTATTTAGGCAATCCTCAACGAATCTGGATTCATCCGACTAAACAAGCAGGCATCAGTCAGTAACAGGTTGGTTTAATAACGACGGGGAAGCGGCATCGGCTTCCACGCGACGGATATGAGTGAGAGAGCGGAAGAGGGGGAAATGAGGGGGCAAGTACCTCGTCATTGAAGATGGTAACCACCACCACCGTTTCTGGCGAAACCTTCTCGATAGCGTCCAGGTATCCCACGGCATCCACCGTCACAACGCGTCCGTACTTTCGCTTGCTGGGCGATTGTTTCCTCTGGGTAGCGATTCCGGTCCTCAACTCGGCCATGCGGTGCTTGCGCCACGACCGGATGAAGCCCTCGTCGTCGCCGCTCTCGGGGTCGCTGGCCTGGTTGAGGGGTGTTCGCGCATCCATCTCGGAGGGGGAGATGTAGCCGGCAAAGGTGTAGTCTGCCGACTTCTGCTTCTGTTGTCTCCGCGTCTGGCGGCGTGCAGTCTCGAACGAGGTCGCATCGGCAATGACACCTTTCACACCCTGGAGACGAATGCGCGTTAGCGGGGGAAGGAGCGAATAAGGTGTGAATAGGAGAGCGATGGATTGAATTTGGAGGGGCGGATGATCGGAGGAAGCACAAAGCTTCGTGCGGAACGGCGAGGGATAACTCACGGTCTGGTGCGAGCCAGAAAGCTTCGAGGAAGGCTTGAAGAGAGGCATGTCTTTAGGTCCGGTTCCGGGAATCACAAAGTCTTCGTTGTCGTGAGCGTCGTTTTCGAAGTCGATGCTTGCGTTGCTGTCGATTTCACTCTCAATATCCGAGTCCACTAGATCCTCAGGATGGCGACGAGAGGCCTCATCTTTAACTGGGGCGAAAGCGTCCATGCTTTGGTCGGTGGGGAGGGGTGTGGAGCTGGGGGGTTGTGGGTGTGAAGGTGTGGAGGGTGTGGAAGGAGGGTGTGTGTGGTGGTTTGTGTTGGAAGAGGGAAGGAATGGGGCACAGGGAAGCGACTGTGACTGAAGTGGATGTTGCCGGGGTCAGCCATTAGTGTTTGCGACGATGGGAATAGAGAACGTGGCTCTAAAATGAGGGCACTGGCAGGGGATTCGGCTCGCAAGGCTAGACTGTAGCAGTGAGAGATGAACGCTTTTAGAAGATTGGCTGAACGGTGATGGGTGGCCCGTGTTTCGTCCGAAACGTGTCGAGACGGAGGGTGTAGAGGCAGCGGTGGTGATTCGGCGGTGGCGGAGGGTAATCCAGCCGAATGGCGGGCATTGGACTCCGACCTGTGGACAATTCCCTGCGCAGCGACTGAACGACAACGGTCCGGCTGCAAAGCCTTTCCTGGACGACTTCCGAGCCGCATACGGGCCGAGAGCCGCCAGTAGCACGATATCCTCCAGACGGATCCGAGATAACGACTGACCGACGGATTGGGGACATGTCCGAGCCTTGCGGTACCTCAAGCGACTACGGTACTACCTATAAACTTCTCGGTTCTCGGTTCTCAGCACAGAGACTTGCTGCGGACTCCACGAGAGGAACATTCAGCACTCTATAGACAAGCCCATCCGTCGATTCGGCTCTTGGGCGACGTGGTAAGCCAGCGAGTCAGATCCAAGCAAGGAGTTGTCAATTATAGAACAGAGAAGGCCTCAGAGTCAGCCGGATTGATTGGGGTGTTCTGTTTATGCAACTGAGCCATAGATACTCGATACACCACTCGATACCTCCAGCCTCCAACCACACCACGACGCACCAACCTCCGACAAAAGGAATCCTGAAAAATACCAGTTATGATAGTTGTTGACCGCTCGTGTCGTCGCGCACCAACCCATTGAAATGGTGGCGTTCCGAGGCTACCCCAAAGCGGGGGCGACTTGGAAACTACTTCACGGCAACTCCCTACATACACCCTCCAGTGCCACTTGGCGGACTGGATCAGCATGATGAGAACGGGGACTACATTTTGAGGGGAACGGTGGGGCAGGATGCTGAGCAGTGAGAAGGCAGACTACCCCGAGCGTGAAAACACCGCACAAAGAACCGATCCCACAGGGCGCTGGATACGGTACCTAGCTCGACAACAAAGAGTTCCCGACATCGGAGAAAACAGTGGTTTCACCATGGGCTTCCCTTTGGCGGTGGAGAAGTGAAGGCGAATCTAAGCACGGTCGTCAGCGATGGGGACCTTGCGGAGGAAACACAGAATTGACTCCACTCTAAGTTGCAACCGCGCCGCTGCCCACCGGATTTGTTTGCTGATCACCTGCTAATAGTCACCGTAGCTATCATACCAACACAACGAGAGGCCGTTATGACGAGGCGGCGCATAGAGGGGTATGTTGTACGGTATTCCCGCGGGACTGAGACATACGCATAGAATGGCAGGTCTCAGATTCCTCAGGTCAGCCAGGGATGAGGGCACCAGCCATTCACGCAGCAGTAACGAGCATGACAGGCCTGACCGGAGAATATCGAGAATATCCATCCATAGCATGATGGAGGGCCAATCGCGGGGCGCTAGACTGCAAACGAGCGCTAGCTAAACGTTTCAGCGCCGGACACGACTCACAAGCCATGCGGCCACGGACAACATTCGCATTCCAGGAGACATCGCGTCTTTGCATAACGATCTCTGGGTTATCATGTCAGTTGCGTTCCACAGATGGCTGCGCGCACTCGTCCGAGAGGTGCCGCTCCATAAATGACGGCATCCATTTGCAGGTTCCGCCCCCGTGGCCGCCGATTTCCTGCAGACCGGTCATGAGCACTCTATTTATGGGATTCACGAGATGTGGGATGTTTATTGTGCACCAACTCCGGGACCTTCAAAATTCACCACCCCCAACGTCGGCGGCGGCGGCGGCAAGAACCGAGTTCCATTATGAATCCTAACTACTGACGGTCCGGGCTCTGGACGCTGGCGTCGGCCGCGGGCCTCGTCTTGGGAGTCTCGCGAACTCGAAGCTCTCCCCCGCCCCGCCCACAGACCGCAACGGCGGGAAATACTTTCATTTTCCACGGCGAGGCCACGCGCTGGCCTCGTGCTGGCCTCGTGGCGGGCCGCGGGACGCCGTTTGCAGCATCCCGCTGGCCCAAGAGACGGTCCATGGGTCGGGCGTCGGACGCACGACCATCTCCAAGCTCTTTTTTTGGTGGTCTTTTGCTTCTTCGCTTGAGCTGTCACCCATTATTCCCGTTGCAGCCTTGCAGCTGCATACGCCTGGGAAATTAAAGACTATAATATAGTTGCCCGACCGATTGGCGGAGACGAGGCGCAAGTAATATAGGTGGGTGCACGTAGGTTGGTTCATCCGTAGTACCTACACACGTAACAGCTGTAGATATCCGTTCCTCCCGCCTCGGTTTGCGTTCGAGACTTCTGTTCTCACCGCTAGATATGCACCCCCAGGTTGAAAAGAGTGAGATTCACACCATGGATCCTTCCCGCGCGCGTCGAACGCTTCATCATCGAATCGAAGGGAACCCGTCATAGAACCGAACTGCCTTGTATCCACCGAATAGGTAGCCCCATCTATCTATCGGGTGGAACTGGAACCTCGCCTCTGTGTGTTGCACTCCAATAACCAGTCTAACTTCCGTGAAACTCCGAAGAGACCTACCTAAAGCTTGGACTTCACCTTCTCCACCCCCCTTGTCATATTCGTCCGGACTGCCCACCACCATCTCATCCTTCTATGTATGCTGTGTACTGAGTAGGTACTCTAGGCCGGCACATAGGTAGGTAGGCAACCGACGAGATGCGCCGTGGAAAGTTCCTTTATCATCTTACTCAGATACTCTACCTATCACGGGATGTTGCCCGTATTCGTCTCCGAATCCAATAGGTACGATATATAGTTACCTACTCCCTTTCAAGCTCATCCGAGGTCGGGATCTTCACCACATCCATCCCGACCTTCCCCTCCGATAGATACAGCCGTTACAGAGTACGTACATACCCAGCTAATTAGATCTGACGGCGCGGAGATCAACAGCTTCGAACTTCGAGAAGGAGGTAAAAGATCAGGAAGGAAGAACGGAATATGGGGGGAATATGTAACCATCCCTAGGGCAAAGCGATGCACCCTGTGGCGCAGGTGTAGGCTAATGGGCTGGGGGTAGTTAAGGGGAAGGGTTCGCCCCCAGTCCAGTCCGGCGCGATGGTTTCAGGATGGCATGGAAGCTCTCGTTCGCACGGGAAAACTCGATTAGCCCCGGATTGCGGGCTAGTTAGTTCCTTGCGTGGTAGATTCATCATACATTTTGGTGTACCTGTAACTACAGGTAGGCAGTGCTGGAGCACGTAGTCATCCTACGTACCATACATTCACGGCCCATGTGACGCATGTCCATCCATACTGTACCTATTAACTGATGAGATGGGACCCAGGATGATCCAGGAGTCGACGATGCGATTCGAAACGTCAGGAATTACCTGCTCTTACATACATATATACTCTCGAACTATGCCTACATACATACCCACAGCGGCAGGTACATCGCCTGTTTTTTCCTCGGTCCCTTGCTCTCTCTCACTCTCCCTCTCCCTCTGTCGCGATCTCCTACTTTGCAGGTACCGGATTGTCTCACCGTTGAAGTATGTATGTATGGGGTGGAATCTTGAAGAAAAACTCACAATCAAGTCGCTTTCGCCTTCGTTTAGAGTACCGTGCCCTTCACCGACCTCAACCTTGATCGCGTCAGCACACACACACCGGGGTGCATATATATTAGATGAGGGGGAGGACACCCGAACCCCCCAGTGCGGCGCAAGACGGCACCAGTAGCAAAAGTACCATACATAGAAGCCTAGATCCAGAGAGGAACCTGCAGCCGGTGGAAACACTGGCGAGGTCGGTCCAGGAGTGATGTGGCATGACGCTGCGTAGTGCACACGTCTCTTGGATCTGCCGGCTCTGCACGGCACGGCACACCGTTGCGAGATAGAAGCACACGTGTCTTCCGTACTCTACATAGGCGTGCCGGAGCCCGCATGCGCCCTACGCCTTAGAGCGGGTACCTGGGTAGCGATTTGTCCTATGGTCCCCATGCCATCCCCGCCCATCGTGCTTCGCATCGCCTTGTAACTCTCGCATAGTAGATACCTCCAGACGTTAGAGTGGAAGCTCATCCGACTAGGTACTCTAGTTATCCCCACACCGGAGAAGTATGTGCCTACTCGACCATCAGTAAAGTAGGTCGGTAGATAGGTAGCCATGTCACTTCGCGTAATGCCACCCTATCACACCCCATCACTCGCCGCGCAGTACGGTAGCCAATTTTGCATCGTCGACGCGGAGATGGCCCGTTATTCCTGATCTACAATAGGTATGCAGCGATGGATAGTCACGAGGGATGCCAGGTAGGTACTACTTCAAATCACCCACACAGTCGAATACAGTCTCGGACCTTGATATGGAGATTCCGGCTCTGTCATAAGTGATCACTCTGTCGCATCGAATTCCGATGTGCGGCGCAAATTGATTAGGTATGGTAGTTGCTATCCTGTGTCTTCGCTTTATCTCCGCCGACGCATACACAAGGGTCCGGCTTGAAGTTTGCTCCTGGAGCTCTACTTGCGGCTTGCTTCTCCCTGGGGCATCCGCGATAAGGAATCGCCAACAATAACCTCCGCTCGATCAGTGAGCCGGGATGTCCGGACTGTAGGGACGGGAGTTCGTATTATCAACGGTTACGGGAACGATATGGGGAAATATATGGAACGCGGGGTAAATTTTGCCGCCGATCCGCAGCGGCTGGAACCGTGTCTTTGTGGACTGCACGGAATATTCTGCTCCATTACTGTTTTCAGATCTATCATCTATGTGCTGCACACCAACTCCCTACCCATCCCCCACGTCCATCCTCCCAGCACTACCAGCATAGCCGCCAAACCCACACCGATACTCCAGACGGCATACCAATACGCCCGCTGCACACTCAACCCCCTCAGCTCGACGACAAACGTACTGACCGTGGTCAAACACCCACAGAACCCTGAAGCGACGCCCTTCAGCACTCCACACGCATCTGCATCCCCACTCCTCCCCATCCCAATACTCATCCCCGCCATCACCAGCGTACCTCCGATATTGCACGTAAATGTCCCCACCGGGAAGCTGCGGAACGTAGGATTGAGCGTCCTCGAGATCCAGAAGCGGGCATACGCCCCCAACGGCGAGAACACACAGGCCCAAAGGGCATCAGCCCTCCACCGCGGGATCTCGACGGTCATGACCGCCGCCGCAACCCAGCACGCTATGGCCAGCGGCACGACGATCCAGTCGAGCACACGCACCTCCCTCTCGGGCAGCGGGCGGACAACTTTCCGCAGGGCATGTGAAACGTGCGCGCCGAATTGCAGGCCGCCCAGGGCCAGAGCCATGGTGGCAATGACGTATGCGGCTGCGGCCATGAAGTCGTTTCCGCCGGGCCCCCTACCCACCAAGAACCGGAACGTGTCGAGTTCGAAACTGCTGAAGCTCGTGAAACTGCCGCAGAAGCCCGTGGTCAGGCCCGTGTACAGCGGCATGGTGGCACGGTTGGGCCCAAAAAGCCGCGCGTCCTCCATGAAGAAGCCCATTGCCGCGGTGCCGGCGAGGTTCGACCAGATCACCGTGCCGGCGCCGAGAGGCGCGCCGTTGTACGAGGTTAGCGCTGTGAGGCCAAGTCGTGCGAGCGTGCCGAAGATGGACAGGATCGTTAGGTATGCGTGGATCTGGAGGTGTTTCGCGAGTTTCGGGCTGGACGGCGCGGATACTGGCTCGACATTCTCGATGTTTGGCAGGAGGTCCGGACTGTTTTCCGGAACGGAGAGCTCGCGCTCCAGACGCTGGAGGGCAGCGCCATTCTCGACGTTCGGTGGAGGTGGGGGGTTGGGGCTGTGGGGAGCGGGGAGCTCATCGGCACCTGGCATCGCGTCACTGTAGCGGTCGCGTACGATGGGACGGTGTTGATATCATCGGGAACGAACGAAGCCGGCAGACTGGGTCCGAGATCGGAGAGTGGGTAAGGGCTATGGCAGTGGAGAATAAAGGCAGCTGGAGCTCATTAATCGATTACATACTCGCCTTCACTCGCTCCGACCATCGTCACGTGCGCGAGTTTTCCTCAGGTGGAGACACTCCGGGGTAACTACCGGCGGCTAAAGTCCGAACACCATATGTGAATGGGGCTTGCCAGACGAGACAAACGCTCCACATGCGACGCACCCAGTGAGAAACGCCTACTCCAGACGCAAGACGCCTACTAGGTAGTAGTGAAACATTTCGCAGCGTGACAACCAGCTGAAACGGCCTCCGTAGCCGGTATACCACGCTTCCGAGATATCCATAAGATCACGGATACGTTTGCATTGTGCTACCTATTTGTGGCAAACGTATCCGAGTGATGAAACTCGATATAATTATCCCCGGTTTTGAGGCGCCATTACTGTTTGCCCTGGTTGATATCCATAGAACCAGGACGTATGTATATTCCAATAACTGTCTACCAGAGATGTGTATGGGCTGCCGGCTGCGTGCGAAAATCGGAATAATTCTCACTCTCCGTGGCCAATATTTGGCGCGAGGCAGTGACGCAGTCGTATTCATCAGCGAAATATCATTCCATTGCTTTCTAGGCACTCATGGTTTCCCATCGCCTGTAAGATCTGTCTCTCGCATATCAATCTACCCCACATGGGTAGCTATCATTTACTCTCACATGATATTCTATCCTACAATTGCTTCGCTTCAACTCTTTACCCTATGCTTTTCTCACTCGCATTAGTACAACGTGTTTATGATAACTGTTCTCTTGAGTCGTTTAGTCGATTGATAGAGTCTGTCCAGTCTCTAGTGTACTGGTATGACTTGCCAACTGTATCCAACAAAGTTTCTGAGCATATATCTCGAACCTTTTCGAGTTGATCTATAGATAACTCCATTAATAATGACCCAAGCAGATGGCACTGTCATCGCCAGAACTCTTCCCAGATACATCCAATCACTAACCACCCTACTGCCCAAGTGGTCGACTAGGTTTAAGGTTTTGTGGTTGAAGTCAGGAAAGAGTTTGGTTGGGTTCACGATTTAGAAACGGGAGTCAGGGGGGAAGTTATTCGGATTTTAGAGTTTGAAGCAGAAGTTAAGAGACAGTTTACGCAACATGAAAAGCGGTTCGATCAATTGCAATGAGATATACAATGCTATTTTGACGAAATGAGAAAAGAATTCCGTCTCCGTTTTGATCAGCTATCCGGCCGTTTTGGTTGATGTCCGCACACAAAGCATAATCCGAGACTCACATCCTGAGCGCTGCAATGTCAGAAGCTTGCAGTCGCACCTGGGCTCCCAGCGTTGCTCCCGAAAGTTACAGTTGCGGATCGTCGTCAGCAAATGGTATCCTACCTTGGAGTCTCTGTTTATTGCAATACCTTTGGACCGAGTTAAAATACCCGCACCAAAATTAGGGCGGGTTGACGTTATGGATTCGGCAGCGACTCGGTGTGGGCCACCTCTTTTTAACGGAGAGATCTGCCGGCTGAGTGCACTTTGCTTCGATTGCGGCTTTCTTTTGACGGCGTCTTTGGGATTCCTTCTCTCCTCTAGCGGATCGTTTTTCGTACGTCAGTCGCAATGAGAAGATTCACCGACGATATTATCCGGCGGGAGAGACAGCCTTCAGCCTGGGTTGTATACTTCCACTACCGTCGTTGTACATCGCCTGGTGTCCGCGCACCGAATAGCGCAGGGACGGTCAGTGATCACGCGACATGGGACGTTCAGAAAGATCTTGGCGTTCAATCGGTGCCGGAGATATCTGCTTCTATGTAACGGGAAACGTGTGAAAGGGTATCACCGCATGAGCGGGCAAGTCGCAGCGGAGCACGCCACGGAACCACAAGTTTGTCAGTCTTCACAGCGTCGTAGTAGCAACAAGCAGCAGATAATTCAGGCCCCGCTCTCTCAGTATGTAGTATCAAGCAAGCGAGATTCAGTGGTGAATTGCAAATAAAGACGACTCTACCGTCAAGTGTGAGGGGGCGTTGCTGGCGGGGCACACTATCCACACCATGTCACTTCAGCCTCACGGGCCACACAATGGCACTTCAGCCTCACGAGTCACACCATGTCCATTGAGCCACACTCTGCGCGATGTGCGCGATCGCCGGGTAACGGATGCCAAGCCCACACAATCCATCTCCCAAGTTCTTACTTTTCGCGTCTTCAATTAGTAGGTCGAGCTCTCCCTCCCCACCAAACTTAACTCGTAACAGCGACAAGTCACCAATTCCTCCTCCACAACACTTCACACGTACCCCGATTAGAACCGCTCGACACCTCTCCCCCCCCCCCGACTATAAAGATCCTGTGAGCGCCCACTTTTATTGCAACTGCTCCATCTCCCGTTCTCTTCACACCCGCGAAACCCAGCAACAACCACAACACCCGCCACCCATCGTAAGCACCCACCAACCACCATCGCCATGGACTTCATCATACGCGAAGCTTCGATGGAAACTGGAGATGAAGAAGAAGAAGAGTATGACGAGGAGCTAGGAGAGGCGAAACCGAAACCAAAGAAGGCGGCGAGGGTCACCACCGACTTCGATGACAGTAGCGAGGAGGAGAGTGATGACGACGATGAGGAGGCAGCCAGAGTTCGCGAAGGCTTCATTGTCGAAGACGGCGAGGAGGATGAGGACGAGGAGTTAGAGGATGGAACTGTGGTGAAGGGCCAGCGGAAAAGAAAGCGCAGGAGGAGCCACAAGGATGATGAGGAGGATGAAGTGCTCGACAAGGAAGATTTCGATCTGATGATGGAGAATACCGGAGAGGGCTCCAGGGATACCAAGGTGCGTACACGTCACTCGTCGTAGTCGCCAGCTTCTCATGCTCCTGCTTGCCCACAGTAGCAGCACACCAGCAACAGCTCTTACACTGATTCGTCTTCTTATCTGCAGGGTGAATTCAAGCGACTGAAGCGTGGTCGCGAGGAACGTCATCGGCAAGCTCCTCGAGGATTGATCGACATCTTTGCGGACGAGGAATTAGACGCCCCCGGAGAACTCGATGACGACGACCGTGGCTACGGAAACAACCGGCGGGCTGACGAGTTCGACGGGTTTATCGAGAATGATTCCTCCGAAGATGAGGATCGTCGTATGGGCAGTGGCGACGAGCGCATCGCACGCAGACGAAGTGGCCACGGCCGACGGGTCGACACGGATTCGCTGGGACTCAGAGATGGTGCCATGAACGACATGGAAGAGATCTTCGGTTTGGGTGACTACGAAGATGCGCTCGTTCTGGACACGGGCGTGGCGGAGATGGAAGAGCGCACCCACGAGCTCCAACTTAAGGATGTGTTCGAGCCGTCCGAGCTCGAAGAGCGCCTTCTCACCGACGAGGACAATGCCATTCGCCATCGTGACGAACCGGAGCGATACCAGATCGCCCGGAAGCCTTTCAAAGACCTGCAGGTGACCCCTGAGCAGCTTGCCGAGGAAGGTCAATGGATCGCGAACGCTCTTCTCTCTAAGAGAGTCATCCATGAGGAGCTTGAGGAGCCCTTCATCGAAGCTGTCAAACGCGTCCTCCGGTTTTTCGTCGTTGATAACTACGAGGTTCCGTTTGTGTACCACCAGCGCCGCGATTACCTCATCCACGTGACGAAGATACCCAGGAGGACTTACATCGAGGGCGAACCCACATACGATCTTCAGTCCGAGAGATTACTGCATGAGAAGGATCTGTGGTTCATTCTGGACATGGACCTCAAGTTCAGGGCCTTGTTGACCAGACGCAATAGCTTGGAGAAGTTGTATGACTCCCTCCGCACGCAGCTCAAAATTGAACCAGATGAGATGCTGGAGGAGCGCATGCGCACGGCCGATCAGATGGAGCTGATTCAGGATCTGTTCGATTACGTGCATTTCCGCTATCAGTCTGAAGTTAAAGACCTAGCATTGGTGGAGGAAAGCGGTGCCGCCCGTCGACGACCTAACGCTGGGAAGTCAATATTTGAGCGCATCCGTGCGGGAAGAGTCTACGGCCTCGTTAGAGCCTTTGGAATCACTCCGACACAGTTCGCCACAAATGTTCGGTCCGGAAAGAAGCGCGAGTTTGCCGAAGACCCGAACCTCCCTCCCCACGAAATGGCGGACGACTTTGTCGACGACACCGACTTCCCCGTCTCGGAGATGGCTATGGCTGCGGCCAAGAAGATGCTCGCCGAAGAGATTTTCATGAATCCTGTGGTGCGCGAGGCGATGCGGAGAGAATGGTTCACTGAGGCAGTAATTCATATCAATCCCACGGAGAAAGGTGTGAGAATGATCGATGAACAACACCAGTACTACGCGTTCAAGTACCTCCGGAACCAACGCTTGTCTGCCATCGCCTTTGAACCCGAAAAGTTTTTGAAGATGCTGAAGGCGGAGAACGACGGATTTGTCGAGGTCATGTTTGAGCTGGATAATTCTGGCAGGCTTCACAAGGACCTATACGAATACATTGTGTCCGGGGGTTTTAGTGAGGTCGCAGATGCCTGGAATGTGGAACGCAAGGAGGTGGTGGACATTGCGATGGCCAAATTCGGCGAACTCTTTCGAGGAAGCTTGAGGGATGGGCTCCGGACAGCGTGCGAAGACGCGATCGCCGCCACAGTTAGTCAGGTTTTCAGCAAGGTGAGAGCGCTCTGTTCTGTGCGTACCCGAGATGCATGTGGCTAATGGTTCTGTGTAGAGGTTAGATCAAGCACCGTACAAGCCTAAGAATTTGGAGCTTGGCGAGCTTCCCCGGGTCTTTACGTTCTCTAACGGACAGGGAGAATGGGGCGATGCTATTGTCGGTGTTTTCCTTGACGAAGAGGGACGGATCCATACAAACATCAAAGTGAACGACCTGAAGGACGAGGCGAACAAGAATCAAGTTTACGAGATTCTTCGCGAGAAACGGCCTGATGTCATTGGAGTGTCGGGCTTCAGTGTACAGACGAACAGATTATACGAGGATCTCAAGAAATTGGTCGAGGAAAAGGAACTCACAGTCCAGGACGAGCACGAAGATGGCAGAGCCTTGTGTGAAGTCATCTTTGTCAACGATGAGGTGGCGAGGCTATATTACAACAGCGCTCGGGCCAAGGTCGACCATCCCGAATTCCCGCCTCTGGCTCGGTACTGTTGCGCTTTGGCGCGATATGTGCAGAGCCCTCTCCTCGAGTATGCTGCGTTGGGCAAGGACATTGTTGGACTTACGTTCCACTCGGCGCAGAGTTTGCTGCGTCCCGAGAGATTGTGGAAGGCATTGGAGACGGCTATGGTTGATATCGTGAACCTCACCGGAGTACTCATCAACGAAGCCGTTCGCCAACCCCGCATCGCGAACCTCTTGCCGTACATTGCCGGCCTTGGTCCTCGGAAAGCATCGCACGTCCTGAAGATTATGTCTTCCTGTGGCGGAAAGATTGCGACACGAGAGCAGTTTGTCCTCGGCGACCCCGAAAAGAGGCAGCCTTCAATTCTCGGGCCAAAGGTGTTTGAAAATGCCGCGAGTTTCCTCAATATCCCTTTTACTAAGAACGACCGGGAATCCGAGTACCTCGATGGAACCAGAGTGCATCCGGAAGCGTACGAGTTGGGACGGAAGATGGCGGCCGATGCCTTGGACTTTGACGAAGAGGACGTCGCGCACATCGTCCAGAATGCCGGAAAGGGTGGCATCATCAATCGACTGATCAAGGCTGGCACCGAGAGACTTAACGAACTCATTCTCGAGGAGTATGCTGAAGAACTTGAGAAAAACTTCAATCAGAGGAAACGGGCCACCCTTGAAACGATTCGGGCCGAGCTACAGCAGCCATACGAAGAGCTACGCTCGAAGTTTGTTCGTCTTGGAGTGGATGAAGTCTTCACGATGCTCACGGGCGAGACAAAAGATACGCTCGATGAGAAGATGGTGGTGGCTGCCAAGATCCGTCGCGTTACCGATCGCTATTTATCTGCACGCTTGGACTGCGGTATTGAAGGCAACATCAGTGTCGATGAGATGCCAAGTGCTGCGGTTAATACCCGACCGGTAAACTTCTACAGTGTTGGACAAACGATCCAGGCAAGAATCGAGAGTCTCAGCCGAAAAACGTTCTACTGTGAACTGTCTCTCCGGGATGAGAAGATTCGAATGCCTAACCGCAACATGGTGTACGTGCCACAGGGGGAGTGGGACGACGAAAGGGAGGAGAAGGACAAGGCGCGCATGGCTGTGACCAATCAGGAGCAGACGCGAACGGTTAGAGTCATCAAGCATCCGTTGTTCAAGACGTATAACAGCCGTCAAGCGGAAGAGTTTTTGGCTGGCAGGGCTCGCGGCGACGCAGTTATTCGCCCATCGTCAAACGGACCGGACCACATTGCCGTCACCTGGAAGATTGGCGAGAATATCTACCAGCACATTGATGTGCTCGAGTTGGACAAGGCCAATGAGTTCACGGTCGGTAAGACTCTGAGGGTACAAGGCAAGTACTCTTACAGCGATCTCGACGAACTCATCGTGAACCACGTCAAGGCAATGGCGCGCAAGATCGATGATCTTTGCAATAACTCGAAGTTCCAGACCGGATCCAGAAAGGACGCCGAGCAGTGGCTGGAGAAGTACTGCGAGGCCAATCCCAAGCGGTCGAGTTATGCCTTCTGCCTGGACGAGAAGAAGCCTGGATACTTCCTGCTTCTATTCAAGGCGGGATTGAAGTCTCCCCTAGGATGCTGGGTATGTGTCCTCCCTTATGAATTGTTGGAAGACCGGACGTGCTAATTCTAGAAATAGCCGGTACGAGTCATACCCGGCGCATATCAGCTTCGAGATACGAGCTACCCCGACGTTGTTACTCTCTGCAATGCAAGTTCCCCCCACTACCATCATATCGTGTTACGCATTCTAACAATCCGCGAAATGCAGGGTTTCAAAACCATGTTCACGCACATGGCGGTACGGTCCAGTAGACCCGGAGGCGGCGGCCACAGCGGAAACAGCAGCGGCAACAACAGCAGTGGTGGTGGCGGCCCCATGGGCAGGAGATGATCTTGTCGGGGTTAATACATAATAGCAAGGGTGTGAATTACGAATGATTTGATAGCGTTTGGTTTGCTTTTTTTTATCTTTTCGTCATCGCATACCGAATGTTCGGTTAACAAATTTTTGTACATGTTCGTGGGGCTAGATAGGGGGAGGGGCGGATGTGGGGCATGTTTAGGCCCCACGATTGCAGCTCAAAGGGTTTCGTTGGACGACACCGCAACGTGTCAGGGAAGCGATAAGATTCCCGAAGGATAGGTGACTTTCGGGGACGAAGGGTATTGAAGACAAAACTAATGCGGCCCAGTGTACTTTCTCCGTCCGAGCATCTTGTACATACGGGAAGATCAACTTCTGGGCTAGACATGTACTGTAGCTTCCTGGCGAACCCAGTCTATCGTCACAACCACCTCAAAGCTTGATTACAGGTATGCCCATGAGCTCGCACGCTGGTTTTTCCAGTTGATAGGTCATCCTACATAGAGTAGAATGCTTATAAAACAGTATCTGGTAGGTACATCTGTTGATACCCAACGCCGCAGCCACATCCACAAGCCACTGCCACAAGCCACCGCCACTGCCACCGCCACTGTCTCCAACCCGCCGAGGGCCGAGCCTGATGATCATCCGCCAGGGTACATCCGGCCAGCTTTTTCCCCCAACCAACCGTTGACCTCCATCCGACCGCATCTGAACCTCCTTAACTGCACAAATTTCCCGCCGCGTAACTCCGATTACATCTGCACACACCTACTTTTCGGATCTAATCCAGCACAAGTACAGCAGAATTCTCAATCGTAACCGAATCGGTCGACTACATACCAGCATGAGTACCAACGTCGAGACCGAAGTGCAAGCTATTTCCACGCCCGGCGCCGTGACGCTTCCAGCCACGGAATACCATGGCCCAGCAAAGGTACGCAGCTTGGTGTGGCATATCCGCGTCCCCCACTTGATACTCACTAGCTGGGCGCGGGGCCAGATCTACGTCAAAGGCGCCCACATTGTTGACGGCAGCGAATCGGAGGAGACGCTACGGACGACCGGCCCAGTCCCGCGGGACATCCGGCTCCCCCACCACCAGTCCTCGTTCTCCCACATGGCCATCGACGTGAGCTCCATCTCGCCCCCCCCCCCCCCCCTCCCGTCCGGCCCTACGCGTGCTCTGACTCGTTATAGATTGGCGGCTCGTTGGCGAAACTGGTATACTTCACGCGCGACCCACACGGGAAGGGGGGCCGGTTGAACTTCAAGAGCTTCGAGACGGAGAAGATCGATGAGTTGATTGCGTTCATGGGTGCGCTCATACGGAGTTCGGAGTGGGCGCGCCCTCCGGGGAAGGAGAAAATACAGATTATGGCGACTGGAGGGGGAGCGTACAAGTACGCCGAGAGGATACAGAATGCCATCGGTGTGGAGATTCGGCGCGAGGATGAGATGGAATGTCTGATCGGAGGTGTGTGCGGCCGGGAGGAGGTCTTTCTGGAGACTAACTGACTGATTGACGGTGGCATAGGGCTCGATTTCTTCTCGCGCGAGATTCCGAGAGAGGTGTTTAGCTATACCGAAGATAATCCGATGCACTTCTCCGAGTCGAAGCCCGACGCATACCCGTACATGGTAAACCCATCTTCGAGCGACGTCGTTACAGTATTTGATCGGAAAGCTGATGCGGGGGCGTAGCTAGTGAACATTGGTTCGGGAGTGAGCATCCTCATGGTTACGGGTCCGGATGAGTTCAAGAGAGTGGGAGGTTCTTCGGTGGGTGGTTCCGATGGGGACAATGCGTCGGCTTGGAGTCGGCTAACTCGTGGCTTCAGCTCGGCGGTGGAACGCTGTGGGGACTCCTCAGCAAGATGACAGATGCGAAGACATTTGACGGTGAGCTATCCAGCGGGAACTCTCCCGGATGCAAGCGGTGTGCTGATTCTCGTTGTCTAGAAATGCTGGCGCTCGCTCAGCGGGGGGACAATACGAAGGTCGATATGCTGGTCGAGGACATCTACGGTGGAGGTTACGATAAGATTGGGTTAAAGCCTACGACCATCGCCAGCAGCTTCGGGAAAGTCTTCAAGATGCAATCAAGAGCTAATAAGTACGCTGCTGCCAGTGCCAACGATGTTTCCTCCGCTAGTTCCGATTGTGCTTCGTGTGCGGCCAAGCGCGCCGAGTCTCCAGTCGGCAACCCCTCGCACTCAACCACCAATGGCGTCTCGGATGCTATTCCCGCCGAAGATCAGTCGAAGGCCGGGGCCGCAACAGTCAATGGCGGGGACGAGAAATCACGCTTCGGTCCAGAGGATATTAGCAGGAGCCTACTTTACGCAATTAGCAACAATATCGGCCAGCTCGCGTACCTCCACGCCCAGATCAACCATATGAAGCACATCTACTTCGGAGGAAGCTTCATTCGAGGTGAGCCCCGGCACTTTTACCATCTACTCGCAGGAATACTAATATCTCGACAGGACACCACGAAACGATGCACACCCTCACATACGCGATTCGATTCTGGTCGCAGGGTGAGAAGAAGGCTTATTTCCTGCGGCACGAAGGATACCTCGGTGCAGTGGGTGCGTTCTTGCGTCACCCACCACTGAGCGAATATGAGGAAGACCGCCCCTCCTCATCCTCGTAGAGGGGTGTCGACTCTGGACTGCTTTTGTGGGCGATCTCTTCACGGCGTTTCTGGATGATACGTGGTATTAATTCCTACAAGTCGGATTTTTTTCTCGTTCCTAGTAGCATTGGGGTAGCGACGGCGGCGGCGCATCGGACTTTTTTTTTATACTTCTCTTTGGATTGCCATGTCTTTGCAGAGTATTGCTGCGGAATTGTACGTTTTTTTTACGGGGTGTTTTTTATTGTTGTAATTAGACTAGATCACACTCGGGCACGGGTTCGTGCATGAGTAGAAGCTGGGCCGCGGTTTGTACCATAGTATTAGACAGTATATATGAATCTGTTAAATCAGGCTTTGAGTGGTTGGAGATATCTCTATGGCAATGACTGTATCTGCTGGGAGTTCCTCGCCTCGCATCTAACACCGATGTTTCTATGGCCGGCCCGGACTGTGCGCTAGCACTAATATCATAGGCCCAACCGTTTTGTTTCGTTATTCCATTAGGCCGTGTTCGGCCACGACAATTTCAAGTACGCACAGCTCTCTCTCTATCTGACTTCACTGGGAACTGAAGTGCCCCGCCCGACGGAGTTTCGCAGGTTCAACGGACCGAGGATTCTGTGGATATCAGTGTTGGCGCCGAGTGATATCGGGAGGAGCAGCGCAACCTTAGCTCTCGCGGTTTCCTTTCTGATCCGAAGGCCATCCCCCGGGTTTACAGTAGGGAAGAAAAGCCTTGTATAGCTAGTATAGTAGCGGATGAGGATGCGGCTTGTTTATGGTACAAGTATGTATTATCACATCACGCTTCATAAGAACGGCCTTTCAGCATTCAGCTTTCAGGCAACTCGACCGCCGACAACGAGTCCGTGTATTAGAACCAGGGTAGAGTATAGTAGGTGCTTCAGATCAAAGAGAAATCTGGAAGCTCCCAGCAGCTCCGTAGCGTAGCGCCCTTATCTGACCCAATTGTATCCCAGGATACGGTCCTCAATTCCCTTCCAAATCTGGTCCAGAGATGTGTCGACAGGATTAAACCAGCCGGGTTCGACGATTTGGCTATCACGGGTTAGTGGAAACGGAACTGTATGAGCAGCTACGTAGTTGGACTTACACCATAGTGATGACCAGGTACGCAGTGATGCCGAAGGCAATGGTGTACGCGGCGAACATGCGGTAGCTGCAGACGAAGGCGTAGAAGTAGCTTCGCTCGATCAGTCGGGTCCTCTCCTTTGGCAGGAGGTTCTTCCACTCCCCGGCGCTGATATTTGAGGGCCGGACCGCAGCCTCCTCTGGGTCGTCAGGCCCTGTCGCCTTGAGCATAGCCGCGTATTCATCCTCGTTCTCGAAGTTCCTCAGCAACCTGCGGCCGGCCACATCGTAGACGACACGGTCTCCGTGCGGCTCCACCGGCTCCTCTTCCTCGCCGTCGTCCTCCATCTCCCCGAGAACATTCTCCTCGTCGTTGACTACAGCCGTGGGCTCGGGCTCGGGCTTGCCCTTGCCCTTGCCATTTCCCTTGCACTTGCCCTTGCCGCCGGAGTTCTCGACCCCCTCAAACGGATTCCAGTCGTCCTGGCTATCGGTGTCGGCTGTGCTCAGGTCGTCGTCGGGAAACGGGTTCGGACCCCAGCTCTCGGGCCGCTTGAAACACTCCGCGTAGATCCCCTTGGGCTTTGCCCGCTCGAGCTCCTCAGCAGTCATAAACTCCCGCAGGTGGTGCAGCGGTGCGTGAGGATCCACTTGGCTCAGCGGGATGGTCTCACGACCGTAGACGTTGCGGGATGAACGCATTGTTGTGAGACCGCTGTTGTGTGGGAGCATCTTGACGAATGGAACGGTGAGGGTTCTTTGGTCAAGTGGAAGCGATTGAGGGAAGGAGAGCGGTGGATGAGGGAGTTGATTGTGCTGGGGGATGGTGAGTAAGAAACGAGCGGCGATAGGTAGGGACTGACGATGGAGGTGGAGTTGGAGGGGGAGGTAAACGGGAAGGTGTGGTTGGGGAGAGTTGATTGCTAGTGGGGGTGGAGATATAGCCTGAGTGGATTTCGGGGCTGACAACAACAGCGGTTAGTTTAACGCCAAGTGGCAGGTAGCTGAGATATAGACGGGACAAGCGCGTCACGACACATCATGTACTCACAGTATTGCTTCAACTCACAGTTCCGGTTTGGCTTACTAAAGAAGCATCTATCGCAGGCCAACTTCGAGGGGGGGGGTCCGTTCGAGAGGTAGCCATAGCACACTCGAACAGCCAACACACTTGGCCATCGATACCAGCTATCCTATGGTATTTCTGCTATCATCAATCCCTAAATGTCAAGCAAATCTCCTTCTCCATATCATCATCGAGATATCAGTCGACATGCAGAATCTCACCCCATCGACCTCTCTCATTCTGCTAAGTCCAAGGACACGATGCCCGTCACCTTCCACATCCCGTCCGATCCTGAGTACTCAAACTCCCTCGATAAACTCACTCGGGAAGTAGAGGTTTCCGTGTTGCTGCGCATGCTCAGAGATCGTACATGCTATGAAAGCGGTGGCTTTGACGACGTCGCCGTTCTGTAGGAAAAACGTGATCAGCAGGAGTTCATACGCATCTGTCAGAGCCGGGAGCACTCTTCGAGGTTAACTACAACTGAAGAACGTCAGTGAACCCTACAGGACGTCCTGGCCAGACCTAGATTATGACATTCACACCACGCAAGGTGCATGCCGAACGTCGCTGTAGTTGTTGTTAGCTTCTGCAAGGGTATCGCTGCAAGGACACCGGAAGCTGGTATAGACCGCGGGGACACGCTTCTCATCGGTAGCGAAATCATGCGAGCTGTCATGTAGTTGCCATACGCCGACGATTCCAGGGATATCCGGAGCTCTGGAATCGCTATGAGGGTACCCATTCTGGAACATGGTCCGAGTCCTGAATCAAGCCGAGTGCGATATAGTGAGTGTATCATAACCATAGATGCGTGAAACAAATGAAGCGAGTAATTGAGTACTCGAAAGCGTGAATGTCGTACCTCTTTCCAAGAAGGCCCAAGTTGTCCTTCGGCAAACCACCTTTATCCATCGCACGATTCCCATAGCCTTCCCGCATCCCTCCACCACCCGATTCCCCCTCGCACCAACCCGCACCACGGGCTCAAACGTAAAGTCTTTCACAAGGGCTGTAAACTCCCGTTTCCGTTGAGAAACACACCACTCTCCCGCAAACTTCCTTCCTCTCGGGTACTGTGCGCCAATACTGGCGGAAGCTGCCGTTGATGCCATCGGAAATCCGGGGGTTATTCGAAGGCGAAGCTGAGACGAAGAATGTGTCTTGGTCGAGGTAGAGGTGCCAAAGAGTGATAATCGCTTGCAAACAAGGAGGTGTGATAGCGGACGTTCCAGATGTCGATTGCGGGGCGAGTCTTCGAATGTTCGAAACCGCAGCCGTATTTCGCGGAACAGACAAAGGTACACTCTACTCGGTAGGCGTGCGGGCTAGATGTGAAACTATTCAGCAGATCCAGTTGACAGGCCCTGATGAACCGCCTCGTCACCAAGTTCATCCCCACAATACCTTCCTACCCGTCTCATATCACACAAAGAATCTCCCCATTCACCGATTTCCATGGGTTTCATTTCTCGGTTGGCATCTCGGAATCCAACTTTGTGATTTCGTATCCTGATTATGGTTAACGTGTGCGAGTCAAGCGAAGTGCGGAAAGCCTGGATTGTGACGTCTGCGGTAGCAAACGACGAGGCCTTCGGATAACTCGCTCGCATAGAAAGTATGCATTCTTCGGACGACGTTCCTCCAGGCCACAAAACGGTCTGAACTTTAGCCAAGCATTTGTCGTTTGTCTCAACTTTTGTCATACAAAGTTTTCGGGTTTCTCTTCGGGTGACCGCGTCTGCTCGAGTGCCGCATGCTTTCCACTTCCACTTTCTGATCGGCGGATTCCTACTGCCTCGAGATTGAAAGTCTCTGACACGTAAGACTGTCGATTCATCTAGGCTCTGCGGGTGCGTCGCAGGGGCGCCGTACTGCATGCCAGTGGCCACGACCTGACACTGGACTCTTCAGCCGTCGGTCTCGAAATACGGGCAAAGTACCCCACGGCGCCTCAAGTGGCGGATCGGTCCTAGCAGGGCGTCAATCCCACACTTCCAACTGTCCAACGAACCCCCATGGCCATCGGAGGTCGCGTACATACCGCCGCGGTGCCGACTCCCACATCGTGTCTAGATCGTCCTTATCCGCAGCCCCAGCGACTCTCGGCTAATTGGCCGGACGCCCCCACGATCCACACCCCCACTTCCACCTGTGTCTTTAATTACAAACGCCTGCGTGATGAATCCCCCCAATCACCTCGCGGCAAGCTGTCACACGCACCCCCGCTTTCCGCCTTTCCGGGCGCTTTCCGCTTCCTGCAGCTTCAAGCCGCTTCCTGCAGCCTCAAGCCGCTGCTGCAGCTTCTGGCCGCTTCCTGTCTGCTTGGTACATATTCGCACGTTCCGACCGTACTCTAGAGTACAAACAATCCCAACTTCCGGCTTCGCTTCCAGCTTCGATATGTGTAGGGCACTCGGGCGTGATGATAAGGCGGGCCGTCTCCACGTAGGCGTCTGCATCAATTGCGAGAGCATCTGGCCGGACACTGTTTGGCGAGTGAGCGATTGTGAGCAAGTGACGACCGAGGAGAGGACGGTCTGCCCTTGTATCCGTGTACATACTGTGGTACTCTATGTGCTCCCGAGTCCCACGTGCTCCCCCCGATCGGTAGTTGCAACTTGCAGCCCCCACGGATGCATCATCAACCTGGTTATCCACCTCCAAGCTCCGGGCGGTCGAGCTACTTTTCGGGCGGGGAAAGCTCCTGGCGGCGGCTGTTTCGAGCTTTCCGCGCAGGTGCCGAGAGACTAAGCCTGCGGAAGGGGTCTTTTTTTGCGAATGCACATATGCTGCTCGAGCGCTTAAAGGCCACCCATTTGGAAGAGACATGGAAAAAGGCAGTTTTCGGCATGACGGATTGGGATGGATGAATGGGTGGTGGGCAGTGGGCACAATCTCAGATGGGTTGACGCAGGTCGGCGAGGAATGAATCTTTGCTAGCAGATGGCTGCACACGTAGGCAGGTAGGAAAGCAGACAGGCAGGCAGGCACGCCGCTGTGCAATGGGGGGAGGGGAGTGCAGTGCGCGTTTGTGTGGAGGAAATTCGTGGAAAATGTCGGCAACCGCCAAAGCACTATATAATATTTATTTACCGGGGGACAGCCGCTTTTGCAGAACATTGTACACACGCTCCTCTCCGTCCTCTTTGCACCCGCTCCTCCCCTCTCTGTCCGTTTTGTACCCGTCCATTTGTGTTTGTTCTGATTTGTTTTCGCTCACCCATCCTCGTGCACTGTGCAATCTCTCATCTCCTCCTCCTCCTGTTGTCCTTCAATCCCCTCCATCATCCACTCTCCCCCGTACATTCAATCTCCTCCTGTCTTCTATTGTCCTCCCATCCTCCTCCATTGTCCCCCCATCCATTTCCCCCCGTGGAACAACTTCCCTTCTTCCCGCCCTTGCTCTCCGAGACCTTCATCCCGAACTCTGTTTTGCCCTTCTTAACATCCACGTAACCTCTGCTATAACAATAAACGGTTCACCCCTCGCAATAATGGCCGGAATCTCGAAACTAGAGAAGGACGAGATGACGATCGAAGTGGATCCTGCGGTTGTGAGTTGGCAGAAGGCTAACCTATTGACATTCTTTCCTGTCCGATGGATACTGATGATCTTTTGTCGATGATTCACAGCTCGAGAACAGTGATGCCGACTACGAGTCCGCTGGGTATATATCCTCTTTCTAAATTCGTCTTGGACATCTTGGCCAATTGCCGTGAATGTGTAGTTATGATTCCAGCACTCAGAGTCTTACCTCGTCTATCAACGAATGGATCTTCGAGAACGGCCGTCGTTATCACGTCTACTTCGGAGCGGAGAAGAACCTCATGCCCACGGATGAGGTCGAGCAGGACCGCCTCGACATGCATCACGAGTCCTTGCTGCAGATCCTCTCGGGGAAGCTTCACCTTGCCCCTCTCAAGGAACCCCATCGTATTCTCGACGTTGGCACGGGCACTGGTATCTGGGCTATCGACATGGCTGATAAATATCCTTCTGCCGAGGTGATCGGCATCGATCTTAGGTATGATTGACTTCCTCCCCCCGCCAGTGGTAGTGGGGGTTCTCTTGCTGTGCTAGACCCGTCATGGATCTTCTGACTGACCTGCGTTCGAAACAGCCCCATCCAGCCCAAATGGGTCCCGCCGAACTGGTATGAAACAAGTGCGTTTCAGATATGGTGGGGGATGAACGCTGATTGATCGAAATAGCCGTTTCGAGGTCGACGACGCCGAGCGTGAATGGACCTACGCCGAGAACTCGTTCGATTTCATCCACTTGAGAAACATATCGATCTCGATTAGTGACTGGCAGTTCTTGCTCGGTCAAGCCTACAGGTGCGGAACTCCACCCTCCCCCGCTTGTTCATCCGTGCTACACACACCATCGAGGAATGTTTACTGACTAATGTTCGACCAGGTGCCTGAAGCCCGGTGGCTACATCGAGCACTGCGAGCTCGGCATCCAGACGCTCTGCGACGACGGAACCATGCCGGACGACCACGGCTCGAAGCGGTGCATGGAATATATCTCGGAGGCCATGACCAGTATAGGTACACATGACCTGGATACTAAATGCCCGTGTTTTTTTTGCTACTGACATTCGAACCGCAACAATCAAGGAAAGCCGCCCGCGACGAAACCCACCATGGTGGACAACATGAAGGAAGCCGGTTTCGTTGAAATTGACGCGAACACCTTCAAGCAGCCTATCGGACCGTGGCCTAAGGATCCACGCATGAAGAGAGTATGCTACCCTCACCATTCACGTGTCAATACTATCGCTAATTTCCGGGCACATAGATTGGCGGAATGAGTGTTCTTCTGTCCGAGACTGGCTACGAGGCATACGGCATGGGTCCCCTTACCAGGATCCTCGGCTTCGAACATGCGAAGGCCAAGAAGATTTGTGATGATGCGTTCGCCGCCGTGAAGAACAAGAATTATCACGTGTACAATCACTAGTGAGTTCACCGGATCACTTCCTTCGATGCAGTGCTAACACATTGGGTAGTTATGTTGTCTATGCCCGCAAGCCCGAGGAGGAATAGGCAAGGGATTGCAACCGCGTCGAGACATTGCCTGCCTGCAGATTTTATTGGCTGGAGTGGGAAGCGGAACGACTTTCTCTCCACCTTGTTTATTCGTTTTCTTTGTCTCGTCGCCTTACTGGATGATGATCCAGCTGTCTTTATATCCTGTTCTAGCGTTCTGTTTTAGGCACTTTTATGGTGCCGTCGAAGGTTGCTCTCGTCCCGTTTTCAGCGGACGGTCGGATTCATGAATCGTGATGAATCCAAACCTTTCCCTGCTGCTATCATACCCTCTCTGTGAAGTGTGAACCGATAACGTGAGAACCGACAACGTGAGAACCCGATGCCATGATCTACTCGGGTCGAATGCAATGATGATGGCGATGACGTACATTGCACGTCCGAAGCTTCTGCACTTGTCGTTTCAATGGGAAAACCCCGTGTAGGGTGTATGGTGGTGGCGATAAGTGTCATTTCCGGAACTTGTAGTATGTGTGCATGTATTTACCTGTCCACCGTCTTAGGCGACATCTTGGTGGCTCCCGCGGACTCCGAAACGAGGTATCATTCCCGGTATCATACTTTCGTCTCAGCTCGTTTTCTAATATCTATCGGCGGATCGGATGCAATTGGCAACTCAACCCAACCAGAGCGGGCTTGCGTCATGGTATATCACCCGGCCCGCTCGCATTTCGTATTTCGTCGGTGGAATTTCCTGCGCTGCAGTAGCCTGTAGGTGGGCTTCCTTGGGGCTCTAGCTAAATCGAAACGGAAGGGCCTATGGTAGCCGTATGGGTGGACCATGGTGGTGTTGCGGCTGCGGTTTCTCATCACTCACTCAGTATGCAGGTAGTATGCCCGCCCTCTCTCTCCCCAAATCCCCGAGTCCTCTCCCGAGCTTGTAGCATCGCAGTCGTTCCGGTGGAGACGGCTGCTGCTGCTGCTGCTGCTGCCGCCAACGAGGAGGGTCCGGTTCGTCGTTGGCACGATGGACGCCGAGATACTTTGGCCGGAACAGTGAGGTTGTGTATGTCACGATACCAGAGTGTGCTCAGCTAGGAATAGGAGTACCGGTACATACCTGCTCCACTGCTCTGCAGTCTATATGCCCACCCCTCGCTCTGGAGTCCATCACTCCCTCCCCCTCACCCCCTCACTTCGAAGTGCGTTTACGCCGCCGCCGCCGCCGAACGATGACTCCTTCCCCTTCCGTTCTTCCGCTCACTACCGCAACGACGAAGACGACCAGACCGGACCGTGCAGCTTACTCCTACCTACAGTGATTGCACGAATTGCAAACCACCAAGTCTAGGAGTCGCTGGTTGGCGGTAAAGTTGTCTGGCGGGTCTAAATTCTCTTCCTCTTGAGATTCTGAGATTCTGAGATTCTGAGACTCTGAGACTGCGAGGTATGGTATCTGCCTATCCGTAGGGGGCGAAGCTGGGGAAAGAACACACTGGACTCGAGGTTGAAGCATAGGAGTAAAAAGCAAATATCGAGAGATGCATGGGATAGGATAAGATGGGATGCACCCACCCCTCTCTCTGGGCGGGAACTCACGTGTGCACTTGTCTCACTTATCTGCCCCACGCACCATGCACTGCCCACATTCCACGGATGGATATGCACGATGTACGGGCACAGGAAAAGGCAAAGGCAATGCGTGAGCATGAACTTGGGCAAAACAGACGCACTGTTTGGGGCGCTGGGCGCAACAAGGTTCCCATAACAGGCTCTAAAGCTACTTACAAGGAGGTTTAAGATACTTGGTCCCGCACACACTCAACACTCAACTCAATTCTGAACTCCTTGAACTGGAACTGGAACTCGAATCGGACCCCCGGCGACTTAGCGAGATGGTTTGATCGCCTTACTATAGTGGGTTCACATCCGCACAAATCTATCCATCCCATAGACTATCCAACATATACCAGCGACTGGCCTGCCATATCCGCCGTCCTCGAACCCCCCAGAAGCCTCTAGAAGCACACACTCTCGCACACTCCCACTCACCCTCTCATCCCGTCTCAGCCATACCTCAGCCATCCCTCCACCGAGCTTCCAACCCAAAACGAAAGGTCTCCCAAAAACGCATCCAGAACCAACCAGCGAAACAGCTCGATCCTTGCACGCAACGTTCCGCGAGCGATCGTTCGTGGTAACGATACTACATAGCCCACTCCCAACCGCCCAGCAAGGCCACACGACCGCCCACAGTCCAGCGACTCACGAACCAACTCGACCCTACTACCGAGACTACCGTGCAGCACCGAGCAGCACCTAATGTGCAGCCGCAAGAGTCCAGTCGCCGTCTCCGCCGCGGTCTCCGCCAGCAACAAGCGTAGCCGACGGGGCGTCGCAGCGCAAGGAGGACAAGGAGGGCAGACACGTACCTCGGGGCGGCCGCAGCCCGCCAACGGCGGCTCAGCGCAAGCGCAGATGGGAGCAATGGGAGCGATATATTGTGGCGACGCCGAGGGGTCGCAGGAAGAGGCGGGGGCGGGGGCGGGGGAGGTGGCGTACTCTGACCGAAGCCGCCGCGACGAAGACGGAGCGCAAGAGGAAGCGCGATGTTGAGAAGTTGCGGGTGGTCGAGGAGCAGATGCGCCGGGAGCAGAAGAGGCTGGACCGCGAGTTTGAGGCGGGGATCGTCGAGAATGCGGGGCTGCGGGATTTGGAGACGGTGAAGGAAGGCGCAGATTGAGTTGGCGAGGCGATCGAAGAATGTCGCCCTGTGAACGGGAGTGGGCTTGGATTACTTGGATTGATATGTACCTAGGTGGGTACCTGGTAGGTACATAGGCTACCTATCCGGTGAGGTCACCCAGCGGGGGTTTCTGGGGTTTCTGGTCATTTTGCTGATGCGTTGATTGCAGCTCTGTGTTCGTCAGTTCTCGTAGATATCCCTTCCGTTCGTTCGCTCGATATGCCCGGTCGAGTAGTTGTTGCGGGCTTCTTTCACCCACGAGTCGAGGACCGGTCACCAAGCTGAATCTGAATGTCACGAGCACCTTCAACCTTCAGCAGTGGATTCTGTCGGTGTCTGGAGTAAGGGGTTTCTGCGTTTTTGCTGCATTGGATAGGTAGGGCGTCGTGTCCGCATGAGTTCTCGCAGTAGATACCTATGTTGCTTTTTGTATCTTCCCTGCTTGCGGTGGTCAACATCGCCAACAGTAGCAACCGCCACATACTCTACTCTACCTCGCTTGTTACATATCTGACCGCGTTCCCTAGGTATTCCGTTCCTGCCATAGGGTGGATCATTTGCCACAGGGTGGATCATTTGCCACAGGGCAGGAGCAGCATCGGGCCGACCACCAACCAACCAACCAAGTCATACATAGCTCCAGCCTCATCGCTTCCCCGCACATCATCATCGATTTTACCACTCTAGGAGAGCCTGTTTAGCAGGCGATACGGCAATGGCGGGGAGGAGAGTGAACTCCAGGGGGAGAGCTCAGCGCTTGGCGCAGGAGAACGTCGACCATGACAACCGGCATTTTGCCAATCCCGCCGTCGATCCAAATATCTTCCCTGCTGTTCATCGGACCTCGGCCTTGACAGCTACGCAAACCCCGAGACGACGATTCCTTTTGAGCACCATGCCGTGTGCGCTAGACTGGTTATGTTGAGGGTATGTAGTACCGAGTGGAGGTACCTTTGGAGAAGAGGAGGGCTACGACGCGCCGCTACCGCGTAAAACCGACAACCCGAGCCTCTTCGAAGGCTCCCTTTCAAACGTTTCGAGGCGAAGGGATTTGGCTTGTCATTTCTGTATGGATTTGGTGGTGGAATTTCTTTGTCGAAATGTTGTATGTATTGTAGATATCTCTATCGGCCATAACCTTAGGGTTCCATGCTGTATGAACAATCAATCAATCAATCAATCAATCAATCAATCAATCAATAGCTCCAGCCTCCAGACTCAGATTCCAGATTCCAGACTCCGCCGGCCCCTTTGGAAGCGACTCGTGTGGTTACACGCAATGCCGGGTTGGGTTGTTGCTTAACTATTTCCCGCGGAGGCATGTGTTGTGTCGCACAGAAAGCCCCTTCGATTGGCACGGTGGCACAGAGGCGCAGAGGCACTGGACTCGCCACTCGCTGATCCTCCTATGATGATAATACTTTGACAGTTGAGCTGAGCTGAGCGGCGCGGAGCACCAGCCACGCGGTAAACCGGGTACTCGGGTCGGCTACGAAGCTCGTCGAGTCGCTCCGAGCGTTGGAACATCCCGGATGATCTCTTAACTATCGCGCTCGTTCGGATTGTTTGTGACGAAGACGCGGCTTCGTTGATAGTTGAGGATCGTCAGGCTGAGGGTCTGGTGTAGTTTTGTGGCTGGTATTTCCGGCTTTCAGCCACCACCACCACCATCACCCCCGGGCCCCAGGATTTCGCAGGATTCGTTGGATTCGCAGGGTGAGCGAGTTAATAAAAACACCACGTTGGAAGTCGGGACGAAGCGAGATGTTGAGCGACGAAAGAACCGGTTGCAAGTGATACCACTAGGTATTCGAGCGAGACAAGGCACACGGCACATACGGGTATGCACTCACCCATCGAATACCTACGGGTATATACTGCTTTAATCGAACGAACGGGCATCGTGTTCCTTTCCTTCTCTCCATTGTTCCACCATATATTGCCTTTTTTATGTGCCGTAGCAGCGTCGGGACTGGCCAGACCAGTGGGCCGCATTTGGCTCCGTCGGGATTTGGGAAGTCATCGAACTGGCGGTATTCCCGAGTGATAGGTCGTGAGCAACCTCGCAGCCCCACAAGTGAGCTCGAGTGAGCTCATAAGCGAGGGCGGCGGGGGCACGACCGTCAACCGTTCCCCGCACGCGTGTGCTCACGATGCCTGCCGGAGGGTCTCTGTTGGCCAGGCTTGGCAGGCTTGGCCGGATGATCCAATCGCAGATTATAATATAGATCTGTGGTGTGGCTGAGGTGCATTGGAGAGCATCCCATTGGCCGTGGTAGCGGGCGGCGACTACGCCACTGAGCCATCCCATGCCTCGATCCCAACAACCATCGTCGAAGTCTTTCAGGCATTGCGATTCGTCGTACGAGGAGGCACTCTAATCGGTAGAGTCGGTATGATAGAGTACAGCAGATACAGCGCAGGGAAATTTTCCGGGAGCCTCGCAAACGGTTATGATGGGCGGGCGAGCCAGCCTCCAGGGGCAAAAGGCAAAAGGCAAAAAAAAAGCAGAAGCAGAAGCAGAAGTTCGGGTCTCCCCCGTTCTCTCTCTCCTCAGTCCTCAGTCCTCAAGCTTTTTTTTCTTTTTCTTTCTGTCTCGATTTACTCTACATACGTACCGTTTCGCCGATGATCATGATGTCACCGCGCTTTGCGCTCTGCTCTGGCGATTGCTCTGGACGATTCCTGTAGCCCTGCAGGGACAGATTCGGGCTGGACATCGATGGATGGACGAACTTTCGCGAGTGGACTCTATGTACGATGCTCGATGCGTTCATCGTGCGCATTTCCCAGCTGATGGGATGCTCTAGGTATTTACATTGATAGAGTGCTTGGAGTGTGTATGTAGGTCTGGCGACTACATAGAAAACAGCGACAGATGGGAAGGGGAAGGGTCACGCATTCTCAAGTTGCGACGGACTCCCCATAGGCACTTCACCATGGTGGACGATGTGCGGCGTGAGCTTGGTTTCGCTCGTAGGCGTGTATGTATAGATAGTCAATATCAAAAACTTGTGGACACCTAGAACCCTAACCCACGGGCACCATACCAAATCTTATGGCTGGGAGAATATGGGCTCCAGAGACCGCAGTCAACATGCAGCACGGTTGTGATTATCCAACTACAGCCAACTGAAGTTTTCTTCAGTACAAAAGAACATCGTTACATGAAAATAAAAAATGCGCCCGGTATTTGGATACCAGCAGTCGTGAGCGGTCAACTGCCAGTCTGCCATCTCCTCACTCTCTTCACGGATTTTGGTGTGGTGCCCGTGGGTTAGGGTTCTAGGTGTCCACAAGTTTTTGATATTGACTAGTACCTAGAGTACCGAAGACTTTGCCCCCGGTTGAAGACCGGGATTCTTGGGGCTCGATAACTGTCTATCGATGCTGCCGGAATGCCAATCTTGCGCAATCCGGTTTTTCCAAGGGTGGACTCGTGGAGGGGTGGGGATCCGGCAGCACCACATATGGCATTTTCTTTGTTTTTTTTCTTTCCCCATCCACATCCACATCCACATCCACATCCACATCCACATCCACAGCTCGCGTGTCATCGTCGTCGTAGCCCCGAGCAGAACTAGCCCCAGCCCCAGTCCCAGCGCCCGCGCCTGATCGGACCAGGACCGTGACGGTGATGATGATGATGATGATGGTGATGGAGATTCTCCACAGGCGGGGCTTTTTCCCTCCCTCCTCCTAGCAGCTTCCGCTTCCGCGAGTGTTGTGCATGGCATGGGCATGGGCGTGCGATAAACAGGATATTGGCCATGATGGCGATGCTAGCGGTGCGGCGCGGTGATGCAGCGTCGGCATATGCAGCGGATGGATGATATCGATGCGGAATCGGCGTGAGGGCCGATGCCTACGATCGCGACGTGGTCAGCAAGCAGAAGCAGCAGGCAGAAGTAGAAGCTATACTTCCCTTCTGAGCCCCGAGATCATCGGGCGGCACGGAAACATCCAGCACACTGTTGGATGCTGATACCTATGTCATCCACGCTGTCCGGAGTGCTTGGGAGCATTGTTGCGCCCATCGGTACTTGTACGGTCCGGCTCGAGTTCATGTGTTCCACGTCGCGCCTGGATTGATGGTGCTGGAAGGGTAAGAATTCGTAGATAGTAGATGGTCCCCACATTGCCGACGCAATCAATCGCCTCGTCGAGCAGCAGCTTCATCGTGTGTTGGATCGAGGCCACTCGAGAAATGTATCATAGCAATGTTTGTGTCGTCTCCTCCTGGTGTGATATCGGCCAAATTCGATCGTCGCCCATCTGCGCACAGCATCCTTCGAGATCACCATTGTCCCCCGATTCCTCCCCGCCGGCCGTAGCCAAATATACAGCCCGTCCACCAGCATCCGAATTTCGCGAGCCAGCTGCCAGCTGCCCAGAGTGCCCACGCCATGCAACAACATAGGGGGGGGGGAAATCATTTTATAGACGTATCTATAGACCTAAGTAGATCACGACGTCCACACCAATGAGAGCCATCGCCGCGAGACTAGCTAGTCGGCGTCCCTCGCCTGCCCGCGAGAGAGAAGTACACTAACCAATGAAAAGCTGTAAGGGACGCTTGGGAATCGTTGCTCCCCTGTCGGAGCCGCCATCGCGCTTACTACATAAATTGCAAATCCGCCTCTCGGGTCGTCCGCCTCCCCCCCCTCCCCCACTAGATCATCCATCACCACCGCCACCTGCCAACCATATCCCCTCCGCCTCCCCTCCGCCTCACCTCCGCCCCCCCGGTCCTGGACGAAACACACACACACACTCACTGATCCCGTCGCTCTCACACTACAACTTACTCCTCCTCACTCGCTTCCATCCCCTTACCGTCGCTGCTATTCGACTCGGTTCCGTAACAGCATACGAAACGTCCTGCGACCGCGTGCGGCTTGCGGCGAGAGAAGAAAAAAAAACAGAGACAGAGAGACAGACCGAGAGACCAAAGAACTGACATAACAGTCGCCGGCACCTCCCCCAAGCACCCGCGCAAATCCCCGCTCCGCGCCTGACCGGGCGCTCGCATCCTGTCCCCACCCCCTCCCACCTCCACCCACCCGCGCCGCTCAACATCCACCGAGAGACAGGATTCTAAGCGAAACGTTATCCAGACCTCGCCGTTATCCAAACCTCACCGTACGCAACGAACGCACTGAAGAGACGCAGAGGGTCCATGGCGAGCAGTCCCCCCGCCGGTCAGGGCGGTTCGGGTGGCTCCAACGATGGCGGTGGTGGTGGTGGAGGTGGAGGTTGCGGCGGCGAGGCCATTGCTCCCCCCTCCACGCGCGTAAAGGTTCCCATCCCGCGGTTGCGTAGAGGCAGCAAAACCCGAGAGGATAGTTTCATCGGCAACGCTGGCAGTCTGGGCGACGGCAAAAACAGAGTATCGCACGCGTGCGAGCCGTGCAGACAGAGGAAGACGAAGGTAAGCAAACATGTGGCCGTGGCTCTTTCCCTCCTACTAGCACGCACATACCGTACGCACCCTAGCGGCAGACGACGAAGGAAAATCCCCCCGAGATGATATAGAATAACGCTGATCATTCCCGCCCCTTCGGCTTCGCTCCATATAATTAGTGTAGCGGCGAAAGGTGCGCACCTTATGCGTCCCCTCCTTCCCCTCCCCCTCCCACTCCCCCCAATCCTGCCTCAATCCCCCGCATACCCCTCTTCGCTTACTCCCTGTGCATATCCTATCGATGTTTACCGTGTCGTGCTGACGGTGATTCGCGATTGTCCTCCGGAAAATAGACCTTGCTGTAAGCACTGTCAGGACTTCAAGATCAGCTGCTACTACGCGGATGGCAAACGAGACCGCGCCAAAAAGTACGTCGTCAAGGCGACCTCGACCCGCATTTCTCCCTCCTCCTCCTCCTCCCCCGGGCCCTTTCGGATGGCGATGGCGATGGCGATGGAAAGCGGATGGTCATGCGGCGTCACTCGTGGGGAATCTGATTGGTGTTCCCTCCTCCGATGGGACGGATCGGTGGCATTGTTGTGGACCCCCAAACTGAACGTCGATTGTAGAGGGAATCCCCCTGAGCCACAGCCCCCCACTGTGAACCTTTATACCACCTCCCCGATACCACCATACCGCACATCCGATGCCGTAATCTCGTTGACATCCGAAAGGGTCCTGGCGCGCAACTGTTCTTCGACACTGGACTGATGATGGCATAGTGAGATGATAGCACTCAAAACTCGGGTGGACATCTATGAGAGTCTACTGGAGCAGCTCAAGGCACAGGTGGACAGTGCTGGGCAGTTGGCCATCACCAAGGCATTGCAAGGTGTATGTATCATTGGTCTACGCGCAGTGCGTGTTAATCAATCCTGACCCCTCCCCGTGCTTGCAACTTACGCGGATGCTCAAGCTTATCCATTCCCGTCTGTAGCTGCGTTCACAGGAGAGCATAATCCAAGTTCGAGTACAGCCTCGTGACGGCGAATCTCTGGTTTCGGCTGGGGTCGGCTCGACGGGCTCGATGGACCATATCAAAGAGGATATCAACAGCGACAACTCGCCCTACCCGACCGGATACATGGGCAAGAGCAGCGAAGTGGCTTGGATCCAACGTGTGGCCCAGCAGCTCGCCGAGGAAGCCGAGCAGGAATCAGCAGATGGCGCAGGTATCCGTACGAAAACCAGTTCCCGAAAATCATCCTACTCGTGCCCATCTACTAAAAGAATGAGCTGCGACTCAGCAATAGTGGATGATGAGTATCAATTCCAAACGCCCGCCTACCACCTGGACGACTTGAGCGTGTCCCTCTCCGGCAGCCAGATTGATCCGTACCTCCTGCCCGACAAGAAGATCGCCGATCGGTTGATCGAAACGTACTTCAACACCTTCCACCCGTCGTTCCCGATCGTCTCGAAGAAGCTATTCATGCGCCAGTACGAAACGTTCTTCGAGACCTTCTTCCCGCCGGGAAGCTCCAGACGATGGCTTGCCATGCTGAACCTCAAATTCGCTGTTGGGTCGTTGTACGCCAAGCTCATCAACGTCGAATGGAAGGGAGGTGACACGGAGCACCTGAAGTACTTCGGAAGGGCCAGGCTGCTGTGCCTCGACGAAGGAAGCTTACTGGAGGTTGCCGACTTGCAACAGGTCCAGATCATGGGGTTGACCGGAATGTATCTGCTGGCGAGCAACCAAACAAACAGGTAAGCATTCGGTCTTCTGCTCATCATTACCGTGTTTGTGGGGGAGTTCCCCGCTTTCCTTTCCAGGTGGACTGCCGCCGGCATGGTCCGTGGGGGCTCGATACTGTGTGGGTAGCTCGGACTGCGCTTTCGATCGTGCTCACCACACAGGATCACATGGGGGCCCACCTTCCTCATCCTCTTTCTGCTTTTGATTGGCCGCGAAGGGACCTATCTGCTTTTCTCGTTCCACCGGCTCCTACTATCCCGCGCCCACTGTATGGAGGGCAACCACCTTTGCTCGAAAAAGTGTTAGGACTGACAGTCGCATTCATCCGCAAGGGCATGGCATGTCAATGGTTTAGCGATTCGCTATGCGCAGACTCTCGGTCTTAACCTCCGTAATGACGTTCAGAATTTTGATGAGGTGGAGAAGGAACTACGCGTGCGTATGTGGTACGCGCTCTACTCGGTCGAGCACCTCCTGTGCTTCATGACCGGTCGTCCGGCTTCGATCCAGGACAAGGATTGCAGTGCGCCTTTACCTCGGCCGATGGGGGAGGGTTTCGATGGAGCCAACGGAGCGTTGGCCTTCGAGGTGCCACTTCAACATTTTCCAGATCCCGATGGTCTGATGACTCCCTCCACAAACTCGGGGCCCGACTCGATTACCCCTAAATCCAGCACGCCGCCTCTACAGGGAATCGGTTCGAATTCCATCAGTACACCGTCGCATAGCACCCCTGACGCCCTGTACCTGTCGGTGGGAATGTCCCACGCTTCGTCGGTTCCGCCCATCCCATCGTCTCGCGCCTCCCACACACCTTACTCCCAATCGCCTGGAGTTCGGCCCGGCATCCACGCTAGGTCCAGCTATTTCCTAGAACTCACGAAACTCAATAAGATCACATCGGCTGTCCTGTCGAGTCTTTACAGCGCCGACACGATCAAACGGAGTTGGAGTGACATCCAGGGCATCATATCCACCCTCGAACTGAGTGTCATCAAGTGGAGAGCGGATCTACCTGCGATATGGGACTTTGGAAACAAGAGACATCGGGACGTCCAATTCGCCCGCGAGGTGAGATCCCGTGATGGTGTTATTTTTTCGAGCGACGCATGTGCTGACACGGCGGATAGAGAATGTCGCTAGCATTTCAATTTTACAACGCTCGAATTCTTATCAACCGGCCCTGTCTCTGTCGGTTGGATCAGCGGATACCGAACGAATCGAACCGGTCACGGGATTTCAATCGGTCCGCCGCGGCCACGTGCATCCTGGGTGCCCGGGAAACGATCGCGTTGTTGCCGGATGAGCCGAATCCTGTCGGGCTCATCAGCAAATCTCCGTGGTGGTGTCTGCTGCACTACCTCGTTTCGGCCGGCGTGATTCTCATGGTGGAGATATCCATGCGGGCAGAGCATAACCCACAACAGGCCGAAGGACTCCTCAACGATTCCAAGAAGGTGGTACGATGGCTGCGGGCCATGTCGAAGGACAATATTGCCGCTGAACGTTCGTTGACGGTACTCACCAAACTACTACTCATCTCGGCGCCCAAGATTGGCGGCGATACGTCCGACGTCGAGAGAGATCTCGGCGAATCGAACTCGGCGACCACGGCCGCCAAAAATCGGCTCAACAATCATGAACGCCCCATCAACCACCTGGCCGTGCACGATAGCGTGGCCATGCTCGGAATCGAAACCACGCTCGATGAGCCCTTACACGTGCCCTCCCCGCGCTTTGCTAATACGGAACATCTGGGCGACGTGCAGGATATCTTCCGAGGACTTCTCGACGACCCATTCCCCTTCGGCACGATACCGATCCATAGCCCGTTCGACAACCTGATGGGCATGCCCGGCGGCGCGGCTTTCCACTCGACTGCACCCACTTCGATGGATGCCGCTTTCCGTACGGCACCACCGGATTACGTCGACACGCATGAACTCGTGTATGCGGCGGACAATCACCATCCTCCTCACGACGATGACGACATGCACGTACAGATGCAACACCACCACGGGCAGCACCAGCAGCACCCGCTCCAGAACCACGATCAGCATCACGTGCAGCACCACTGCCAACACGAGGAAGTCGGTCGAACGAACGAGCGCATGCAAAAGAGATTATCGCGAGGAGTCTCGAACATCATCATGCCGCCACCGCCGCAATTTCCCAAGTGGTCGACGACGGATGAATACGGCATGAGCCATATGGGATCCTCGTACGACTCGGGCGTCGAGCGTGCGCGCGCCGATCTGATGGAGGCCAACGAATCGATAAATTCCAACAATGTCGAGTCGCCGCTATCTGCCGATAAGTCGAGGAAGCGCGGAGGAGAGCAGCTGGCTTGGCCCACAATCTGAGTGTCGTCTCTTCGACAGAGTGGAGTGGGATGTGAGATGAAAAGTTCGTGATGGTTCTGTGGGAGGGGCGGTTTTTTTTCTGTTTCCTTTTTTCTTCTCTTTTACTTGGTACTCGGTATACGTGTTAATTGCTCGGTTTATCATGGAGGGGGGGGGTTATGTTTGCCGTCTCATTTCTCGATCCATTTCTCGATATTTGTCATGGTCCTCGTCCGCATATTCCCACTGCTATACACCTCTCTCCTATTTATTTATTTTTTCTTACTTTTTTTTTTTACTTTTTCGGTAAGCAAACGCATGGTTATTGGGGTTTTATTTTATCTATCTTTGGGTTCCTTTCATTTTTTCTTCTTTCTTCCTCTTTCTTCAAATGAATCGCTATGATAGGGGTAGGGGTAGGGGTAGGGGGGGGCAGGGGGAAGCGGGGGGGACGGGGGGATCGATGGTTGGTTGGTTGGATGGCGCCGTGGGAACTTGGAAGGCGGTATTTTTACTTGATTTGTTAACGGAACATTATCCCCTACTACTACTACCGCTGCTACTACTGCTACTGCTACTGCTACTGCTACTGCTACTGCTACTACTGCTACTGCTACTACTGCTACTACTGCTACTGCGGATATATTTGTCGAGTGGTTTTGAGTGATTTGGGAGTGGTTTTTGAGAGTGCTTGAGAGTTTTGAGTGTTCTTTTGATACCCACGATTTTTGGAGATGATCTTGGAGACGATCTTGGAGATGATTTTGGAGACGATTTCGGAGGTGATAATGCTGTGGATGATGTGGATGAGTGAGTGAGTGCGAGTAGCGCGAGTAGTGGATGGCAATGTGGATGGCAGTGGATGGCAGTGGATGGCAATGGCAATGACAATGGCAATGAAAATGGCAATGAAAATGACCTTTTGACCTATTGATCATCGGTTTGAGGACGGAGTGATCAGACAGTACTATAGACCGGCTGTGACGTTGCGTGGTCAGTGTGGTGGTTGATGGCACGTGATCGGACCGGACTGGTCTGTACGGCGTGGTGTTGGTATCGTTGTGTGGGCTGTGCAGTGTCAAGGCTCAAGGTTCAATGATGCTCAACGATGCTCGCCGGGGGATTCCGAGGGATGCCGGCGGTAGTTAATGGGGCAGTCAGGTCATATCACGTCATGTATTATCACTCACTGCAATCGACAAGCAACATTTTTTCGCGAGGGGCGTGGTAGTGGCCAGTAGTGGCTGGTTCAAACTATGTGTTCTATCACCCTTATAGCTACATGGTTCATATGCGAAAATTGGACTGATATATTCCGCATCACAGGGAAATTCTCATAACGCCCATGTTTCAGAGTCTGGTACGTGATAGGTACAAACTGTCATGCCCTGCAAAGTGTAGTTATTCTCTGAAGTAGTTTAAAAAGACGTCGATATGATGCACATTAATGTAATGCAAATTTTCATCCACCTCAGTACAGTACAGTCAATTCCTCAGATATCATATGGGTCCTCGTAATCTCCAAGCTCGTCACTGTCTCCGTATGTACTCCATGCCTTCAAAGTTCAAAGATGTCCTCTGAGTCCTAACAGCGGACTCTCTTCTCGCTTGCGCTTGCGCTTACGAGCTAAGCTTGATTCTTGGAGCACGCAGTGACGCAGGGCGAATCCATTGATACCCAGGTTCCTGAAAGTTGAATCTAGGGATATCGCCGAGATTGTCCCAGATGCGATGCAGCTTGGTACGCCCGTATCCCCTTCGTATCGTCTAGATACTGTGTGATCTGGACGGCAAAAATGATGTATACTTCTGTAGCGTCGGACCACATCGATGTTTTCGTTGTCGTCGTCGTTCACCGATCCTAACTCACCACCTTCCGACTCATCCGACCCGCGGGTCGGATGGAGAGGCAGCTGCTGCAGCCGACCGGCGGACCGCACCACAGGCCCCGTGGGGCATTGCGGGGCGCATGTTTTGCACCCGCAGTTCAGCTGCTGGCGGCGGATCGCGGCGGATCGCGGCGTACAGTAGCTCCTCGTGCGCTAGTCCTCGAGCGCTGGTCCTGTCTCCCAGAAGGCGTGGAAAATTGCCCACGTGTGGTACGGCCCTTCTTTGTACATTATCGCCGCGACATCCCCACTAACTAGCGGCCGAGGCCGTGGAGGGAGCCGCGGAGGGAGCCATGCGGGTGGAGCATCAGGGTGGAGCGGACAGTTCATGTCCGCGCCACCCTACTCCACCGCACAAACGGTGGGGATTATCGACCCATGGCATTGGGGCTGCAGCCCAGTCACTGGCTCAATGCACCCTCCAATACTTAGGGCGGGAAACCCCGCCGAAATCATAGTGCTCCCCTTCTTCTTGGTCCGCAGGTCGAACAAGCTGGCAGCGCATGCTGCGGCGGACTGGAATTGTTTCCAGTTGCAAAACTGGTGGGTCACCAAACTTCAGCATCTAATCTTCCCTTCAAGGTCCGATCAATAAGTTGCATACACGGAAGGGCAGTGGGGGCTTAGAATTGTCGCTGTGATTATGTGAGGTATAGTGAGCGAGTGAGAGAGTGGGACATCAAACACGTGAATGCTTGCAGCAACATTACGCTCATCGCGTAACCTACCCGGCCCAGTCTCAAGATACATAGCCATGTGGGTGGCGCTCGCTAGGTACTAGACAGCCTACCTAGACTTTACAACTTTGCATGGCGAGTTACCGTGAGGCTTGAGACTTCACGGCAATCCGGAGGCTTAACTGAAAGTTTGACGGACCTTTGGAATCATGGGGGTATGGAATTAAGGAGACAATGAAAACCCATGCTGAGAGAACTCGGTGAAGTCTACATAGATTCTGGGTGATAATAACTTTGATGTTGTCTTCTTTCTGCAATTATAACCTAGTTTTACCATACTATGAGTTGACAAACCACTACTGGTTTGCTCGTGTCGTGACCGGGATGACAGCAGACCGAGATCTTGAGTCTTGATACCTAGGCTTACTACGCTGAGAGGACTGAGCGAACGCTTGACAGACCGTTTTTTGTTTTTTGTTCATTCACTGATTGTATGCAAATTTGACAGACCGTTTGAGGGAAGGTGTTGTGGGTGTCGAATTCGTTTGTGAGTGATATCTCAAAGTTCTCTGTACGGCGAAATGAAACCCTTGCCTTTGGATCCGGGCTTGGAGACTGAATCCTACCAGTCGATGGTGAGATAGTTCTACGCAACCGACAACTTTTTCATCCGTCAGAGGCTTGAGAAGTACTACTAGTATAAACCTCCTCCCCTCGAGCTCGCAGACGATGTCTCCACACTCACCACCCATCCTTCTCCCATCCTTCTCCCGCTGCGAAAAGGACTGGCCGGACGCTGCCGAGCGATGCCTTTGTCGACGGTCTTCCCCAACGACCTCCACCCTACTAACACCGACATCCACGGGAAAGCTTTGACAATCATGCAGTGTTCGACATAGTCCGGACTGGACTGACTGCTAAGATCTGGTCCAGCCCGGCTCCTTGAACGGACTGCGTAAAGGTAGTTCGCCCAGTCGATGGGTTTCGTTGACTAGTTGCGGACTGCAGTCGACTACAGTCGGTCGGTCCTGCTCTCGATTTTTTTGGACACCGCTCCCGGACGGGCAGCTAAGATACAGTCCGGTCCATTCCGAGGCTCAGGACGGACGGACGGACTGGAGTGTGTCTATCACAGTGACAATCAGCCGGCGTGATACACTAGGGTAGCTACATATTTTCATCACTTACACGAACCCCTCGGCTACACGTTCGAAACCGCCTTTCAGAAGGCAAACCCCGATGATCCGCTTCACCTCGGCAGTCCGACGGCCTGCACGGCCAAAACGACTGCTTGCACAAGGTACAATTCCTCCTCGAGGGCAAGACATCACATCCCTCTGCCTGCAGGCTGCAGGCTGCAGCATCACTCGCTAACGGACCGCCATTCCATCCGCCAGCGGCCACCCCCCTCCCAGTTCCTGCTTAATGCACCATAGACGCTGACTAGTTACGGTCAGACTCACCAGTCCTCCGGCACGGACCGATATCACCGGTCTACCTACATGGCGCACTTCTACCGCCGCCACGAGCAGCCGTGATTACGTGAACATCTCGAGGACCTCGTACTCGAGAGAGCTGCTAGGCGGGTAGAATAACTGCCGCCGAGTGATTGTCATGAAGCAGTACGAGCGTGTACTATGTAGTACTCACATAGCAGCTTTACGATCCTACGATGTCCTATAGGTGTCACGGCTTCTTATGGTGGAGGTAGAAAACGCCATGCAGGCAGGCGTATCGATCCGTGCCGGGTGGGAAGGAGGGAGACTGCCGAGCTTGGCTGTGGTGGAGGTCTGCCGTCTATGGAGTAGTAAGGAGGAACGAGAATGGTGGATGGTGGATGGCGGATGGCAGGGCGGTCCGCTAGCCTGGTGAGGTGCTGGAGGCAGGGCAGCGGGATGTGATGGCTTATCCTCGAGCCTCGAGGAAGAGCTGTGCCAGCGATCGATGGGATCGTGTAGATAGGCCGTCAGCTTGGCGAGACTCGAATTGACGTGGATCATCGAGTTTGGCTTCAGTGTTTGGGGAGGCGGTTCCGATCCCCGGACGTGTATGTACCCAGCTGAGGTATTCGAACTTCGAACTTAGAACTTCGTACAAGTGATGACTTCCGTCTATAGCCTCCCCAGCGAAGGTGTACTTCCGGTAGCAAAAAGTGGGGTGCGATTGATGCGGGAAGAACACCGCGGCCATTTGCCCACCGAATAACAACCAGATCTTTGTTCAATACCTATGCCCAATTTTAGAAACGTCTAAAGAACACGTATTTGCATAAAGACAGGAGCCGTGCCGTCTCTTGGGGTTGACGTTTGACCGTTGGTGAGGCGCAGAGTTCACAGGAGCAGGAGCAGGAGCACGAGCACGAGTACTCAAGAATCAAAGCCGGGGATGCGCCTGTAGTTATACCTACCTAGTAGAGACATCGATGGCGGCCGACCCCGCGTCTTCCAAGCTCCAAGCTCCATGTTCCCATGTGCCATTGTGGATGCCGTTTTCGTTTCGTGACCAACGGATCCAAAGTTCAAACTATGTACGGTGGGCTCTGGAGAACTCGGAAGACGGAAGGAAGCAAGGAAGGATGGAAGGCATTGGCTGTAGCCTGTCCGCATCGGAGGCGCTGCTCGATCGTTAGGATTTCTTTCAATCGCCCGGAACGGAATGCAGCCCTTCCACCGTGTCCGCTGTCCACTGTCCAGGTATGTAGATTTGGGGATCGTAACTTCGTGGGATCGTGGTTCCTAAGCAGCGGCGAGCGCTAGGCGGTCTACTATACCTAGGTAGGATGGTCTCTGCTCTGACGGGTACGTCTGGCAGTGGGCACATAAGTTGTGCAGGCCAAGTTTCGGCATGCTCATGATGCCCACTTAAGCGGGACACCGAAGAAGAGGGGGGGGGAGAACGTCGGCATGGGTACCGTACCACAGCACCGGCCGGCCCTAACTAACAGGTAGCGATGTGATGAACCATCAACCATCAACCGTCAACCGTGCACTCAGCCCCCCAACCATCAACCGTCAACCGTGCACTCAGCCCCCCCCCCCCCCCCCCTCCCCCCCCGCCAGGCGTTTTCATCTCCACGCTCTCTCCGCTCTCCGCTCTCCCCCAGGCGGCCCCCCCACAATATCTACTCCACGTTTGTACTCTAGGTAGAGTACACGGGGTGTGGGGGGAATAAACCACATACAGTTGTGCACGGCGAAAGTGGGGGGGAAGCGGCCGTTTCCATCTGTCCAAGTTCCGAACGAATGATGATAGATACGAGGCGCGCACGAACCCGGGGCGCGCATCGCATCTCATCTCATCATAAATATCTTCGATCTCCTGGATGCGATGCCAGACCAGACTCCTCGTGTTGGTCGGGAACACGTTACACCGGCATAACTATAGCCGCTCGCTCGCGGGTGACGCAAAAGCCAAAAATGCGACAATAATTTTCGGTAAAAAGCTAACGAACCTTTGGGAGCGCGCGCCAATTCTTGTGCACTGTGCAGTGCACACTGGCTTTGTGTACGGTACCTACCAGGTAACCATGGCAGGGATCGAGAAGTGGGCAGAAATTTGTGCCAACCCAACCCAACAGATCAGACCGTGCGGGGTCGTGGTCGTGGTTACGGTGAGGCGAAAGGATGGATGGAAGGGAGGGATC